GTGGGGGGGGGGGGGGGGGGGGTTTGGTTGCCTTGGGGGCCTTGACTGAGGTACCAAGTCTGTGGATGGATGAGGTTGCTGACAGCCAAATAGAAGAAGGAGCAGCAGAAGGCTGAGAACGCCGCCGAGGGTGCGTCAGCAGCGGCTCCCAAGAAGAAGAAGGTCACGGCAGCGCAATTACGAGTGCAAAAAGGTACGTCGCTAGACACCTCCTCCTTTGCCCCCCATCATCTAGGCTCCATCTCACACTAACACCCCCAGACCTCTCCGAGCTCTCCCTAGGCAGCACAATGTCCACCGACTTCCCCGACGCCGACAACATCCTGGCCTTCACCCTCTTCATCGAGCCCGACGAGGGCATGTACAAAGGCGGCCGATTCAGCTTCACCTTCAACATCACCCCCTCCTTCCCGCACGAGCCGCCCAAGGTGCTCTGCCGCGAAAAGATCTACCACCCCAACATCGACCTCGAGGGCAAAGTATGCTTGAACATCCTGCGCGAGGACTGGAAGCCTGTGCTCAACCTCAATGCTGTTATTGTGGGGTTGCAGTTTTTGTTCCTGGAGCCGAACGCTAGTGACCCGCTTAACAAGGAGGCCGCGGAGGACTTGCGGGCGAATCGGGATGTGTTTAAGCGGAATGTGAAGGCGGCTATGGCGGGTGGGACGGTGCGGGGGGAGTCGTATCAGAGGGTGTTGGTGTAGATATGTGGCAGTCGACTATGGCACCCTGGGAGCACTAGGGCAGAATAGCACAAGGGGCTGGGATCGGTGGATGAGAGGGTGTTGGCATCTCTTATCCTGGGCGCGGCATGACCAGCTTCATCCGGGACACCTGATCCCTAGAGCAGTGGTTTTGCCCACCAGAGACATTAAGAGTTGGCCACCCGGAATGGGGAGAATGATACCTGAGCATGTGGGCTGGAGACGGCATGGCATAGCCATACCTGGGCATAGGACCTTCGGGGCTTGATGATAACCTACACGATAAACCGAATTGAGATATGACTGATGATGGGTTCTGGTTGAACGGAGATCTGCGTGATGTATTGGTGCAGGATGGATGTGACTCTTGTGTTACGGTTGTTGCTCGGCGTAAATGGGGTTCAAGACCCTGCATAGAAAGACCCTGGGGACCTTGAAGGCTGTGCCCAGAATTCACCTACCTAGTTAGAGCTACTTTAGAAATCAGCGTAGGTCTCGACAGCATCACTAGGTGAGTCAACACCTCCGTCAGCCATCCTCGGCAAGTTGGTAACCCACGCCGGCTCCGGTCGGCGGGACGCTTGGCCCGGTTTCCCTTGTCCCTCCAGGGTCCCGGTCCGGCGTCTCTCCGGTGGGGGGACGTGGGGAGGGGGAGACTCCATCGGGAGATTTCTCCAGGGTTTCCCAAATTGTCCGGGTTGACTGTTTCGTTCATGGAAGCCCGGCTGGGCCCGGGTTGCAAGTTGCATCCCTGGCATTCAAGCCGCCCCGGATTAAAGTTGGACCAATAGGAAGCCACATAAACGATCAGGGCTCCATCCCACAAATCCACCTTGCTGGAAGTTCGCACGCCGAAGTCGGGGTGAGCTTTGCACGTTTGCACGGGCAAGCCAGCCAAAATTCAAAAATTTCTGACTCGACGCTGCTCCGATGCCATGTGGATTTGGGCCGTGGAGCGGAGCGAGCAGCGAACGGTTTGGAGACATCTGTTGCGAATGCGGTTGCGGTTGCGGTGTGTTTAGTGTGTGTGTGACTGTGATCCCTCTTCTGAGCTCATAAATAAAACCGATCTTCGGCCCTCGTTGTCCCGTCCCGTCCTTCCTCCTCTCTCGATCTTAACGCTGTTGTTGTTGTTTTGTTGTCTTTTTAGACCTTTTTAAAGATTTCCCACGAGGTCGGGCCTGAATTCCACCCCTCCTTCAGGTTTCCCAATCCCCCCCCGCTCCGTCCCGTCTTTTTCCTCCTTCCACCTCACAAACCACATTCCAAACCACACATCACATCACAATGGCTTCCCGCAGCTTCTCCAAGGCTCTGCGCCCTCTGGCGCGCCAATTGGCCTCGTCGTCATCGCCGGCTGTGCAGCAGCGCACCTTTGTTGCCGCTGCTGGTGCTGTGCGTGCGACTGCTGTAGCGGCGACCCGCGTGGCTGCCGGTAACGGTGCTGCGGTCCCCGCTCGGCAGCAGCAGACTCGTGGTGTCAAGACTATGGACTTTGCTGGCTCGAAGGAGGAGGTATATGGTGAGTTTTCTTTCTGTTTCTTTTTGGGATTGAGAGGGCTGGTGAGGGTCAATTGGGTGCTTTTGAGTTTATTTGGGAGTGGGAATGGAATGGCTAGCTGACGAAATTGGGTACATACAGAGCGTGCCGACTGGCCGCAAGAGAAGCTCCTGGTGAGTCACAATCGATACCTACCCTCTAGTAACTAGCTAGAGAACCGGAAAGGGTTACTAACGACCGGTCTACAGGAGTACTTCAAGAACGACACCCTCGCGCTCATCGGCTACGGCTCGCAGGGCCACGGGCAGGGCCTCAACCTGCGCGACAACGGCCTCAACGTCATCATCGGCGTGCGCAAGGACGGCAAGTCGTGGCAGGACGCCATCCAGGACGGCTGGGTGCCCGGCAAGAACCTGTTCGAGGTCGACGATGCCATCTCCCGCGGCACCATCGTCATGAACCTGCTCAGTGACGCTGCTCAGAGCGAGACTTGGCCTGCGCTGAAGCCGCAGATTACTAAGGGCAAGGTGGGTTTTTTCTCTCTCTTTTGTCTAAATCCTAGTTTTAAGGGTGGTTGGATGTTAACAGAAGGGTAGACCCTCTACTTCTCGCACGGCTTCTCGCCCGTGTTCAAGGACCTGACCAAGGTCGAGGTCCCAACCGACGTGGACGTGATCCTGTGCGCCCCCAAGGGCTCCGGGCGGACGGTGCGCTCTCTCTTCCGCGAGGGCCGCGGCATCAACTCGTCATTCGCCGTCTACCAGGACGTGACGGGCAAGGCCAAGGAGAAGGCGATCGCGCTGGGCGTGGCGATCGGCTCCGGATACCTGTACGAGACGACGTTCGAGAAGGAGGTGTACTCGGACCTGTACGGCGAGCGCGGGTGCCTGATGGGCGGCATCCACGGCATGTTCCTGGCGCAGTACGAGGTGCTGCGCGAGAACGGCCACAGCCCCAGCGAGGCCTTCAACGAGACCGTCGAGGAGGCCACCCAGTCGCTGTACCCGCTGATCGGCGCCAACGGCATGGACTGGATGTTTGAGGCGTGCTCGACCACCGCCCGCCGCGGCGCCATCGACTGGACCCCGCGCTTCAAGGATGCGCTGAAGCCTGTGTTCAACCAGCTGTACGACTCGGTCAAGACCGGCGAGGAGACCAAGCGCTCGCTCGAGTACAACTCGCAGCCGGATTACCGCCAGCGCTACGAGGCCGAGATGGAGGAGATCCGCAACCTCGAGATCTGGCGCGCCGGCAAGTCTGTTCGGTGAGTTTCTCTCTACTTTATCCTATCCCGTGGTGTTTGTCGTGCTTGTACATATGCTAACGGTGTGTTTCCAGCTCGCTCCGCCCCGAGAACCAAAAGTAAGATGGTGTCGGATACTGAACAAGGTGGTGTCTGTTAGGCTGGTAAAAAAGGGAACATTATGATACACATATGCTCTCTTACTCATACGGGGGGGATACCTTGGCTGGGAATCAAAACAAAAGCCTTTTGCTTTGCTGGTTCGCGCGCGCTGATTTCGGGATGGGTTCGCTGACGAAAACTGTACATATACTGAATGATGATGTGCTATGTTTGTCTTGCCTGTCTTGTCTGTCTTGTCTGTCTTGTCTGTCTTGTCTGTCTTGTCTGTCTGTCTGTCCGTCTCTGTTCTCTCTCCCCCCTTTCCATCTATATTCGTCCATGTCCATCTACGCAATCAACTCCCCCAACATCTCCAAACTAACATTCCCCCCCGAAAATATCACCCCCAAATCCCACCCCTTCTCCCCCCCTTGCTCCTCCACCAACTTCCTAAACTCCTCATTCCACAACGCCACCGCCAACCCCACCACCGCACTCGGCTCAACAACCACCTTCAACCTCTCATAAACCAACCTCATCGTCCTCCGAATCTCCTCATCACTCACCGCATAAATCCCCCTCACCAACCTCCGCTCATAAATTACCGACCACGGAATCGCACCCACATGCGTCCGCAACCCATCAGCAATAGTAGTAGTCGCCACACTAGTAACCCGCTCCCCCTTCAAAAACCCCCGCCGCGCATCATCCGCCCCCGTATCCGACGGTTCCGCACCGAAGACTAACGGCCCCCCCTCCGAGGAGCACGCGAGTGCTGTGCCGGAGAGTAGACCACCCCCTCCACAAGGCGTAATAACAGCATCCAACCCCTTCCCCCCGTTACGAGCAACAACCTGCCCCCGCAACTCCAACCCCGCCGTGCCCTGTCCCAGAATAATATCCGGGTGATCAAACGGCGGGACCATGCGTGCACCCGTCTCAGCCTGGACGGCGGCGGCTGTGGCTTCGCGTTCGCTGGCTAGGGGGCCGGAGAAGGTCAGGTTGGCGCCGTAGGAGCGGGTGGCGGCTATTTTGAGAGGGGAGGCGGTGGACGGCATGATGATGTGCGCTGGGATTTGAGAGGTGAGGGCGGCGAGGGCTAGGGCTTGGGCGTGGTTGCCTTTATATTTTCTTGTTAGTAGGTGGGTATGAAGAGGGTTGGGGGGTGAGTGTGTGTGTTGGAGGTGTGGGTAGGGATGGTGATGGTGATAGTGATGATGAGGGTTAATGAGGGTGAGTGAGTAGGGAGGAGAAAGACAAACCAGAACTATGCGTAACAACCCCCCTTTCGCGACCACCCCCCTCTTCCCACCCGGGCTCCCTCTTCAACCTTTCAATAGCATGGAACGCGCCACGGGCCTTGAAAGCGCCGATTTTCTGGAAATTTTCGCACTTGAACCAGAAGCGCAGGACGGGTTTCGCGGGTTGGTAGTCGGGTTGCTTGGCTGCTTCGTCTTTGCCGAATACCTCTTCGGTGGTGCGCGGGGTGGAGGCGAGGGTGTTGAGATAGGTGCTGGTGAGCACGGGGGTCTCGTGGATGTAGGGCTTGATGAGTTCGTGGGCGGCTTGGACGGAGGCGTAGGTGAGGGGGGGGGTTGTTGAGAGGTCGGACATTTTGAGTTTCGAGGTGTGTGGGTGAGGGTGGATTGTTATTTTTTGATAGAAAGACAGGAAAGGGTGGGAAAATTATAAGCTCTACAGTAGTTATGGTTGGTGTTGTAATCGGTCGTTTTTATAGATCACGAATATGGCCCAGGTGCGTTATCCGGCCAAGAGCCAAGCTACGTACCGTATTTCGTATGAGTGGAGGAGTTTGGTAGAGGGGTACGAGGGGTAAGGCCGGCGAGCCGGTAACGGAAAGGTGTTTGCTCCATCCTACACCGAGATAAAGCTCAGTGAAACTGTGATGACGGATCATTGGAAGGTTCCATGTGGTTCTTTTTGTTCATTTTTGAAGTCATTCCATGGAGAAGAAAAGTTAGAAGGAACTGACCTTAACTCTTTGCATTTAAATTTCCAACGGCCGCGAGCTCCGTTGTGCAACGCTGTACACCCCGACACGGAAGCACGTGACGCTCCGTGTCTCAGACGGTGGACCGTATTTTGCCCCGTATTCTCCGTTTTTCCCCCGGCGCACGTGGGGCTCCGAAAGTAACGGCCGGAATTTGTCCGGCCGTTTCGTCGCTGCATGGACCATCTGCGACGCCGGTGGGTTAGTTTGATGGGGTCGAGGCCGGTTAAGGCCGGAGAAGAGCGGGTCCTGGCGGTGGAGGATGGAGCCTGGATTTCCATTACATACTACGAATCTCTTGTTTGCTGGTTCGTTGTCTTATCTTGGTTCTCCGTGATCAGGGGAGGGTGAGCACGGCAGTTGCACGATAGTTGAACGACAGCCGAACGACATGCGGTGTTAGACGGGATATTGACGGCGACGAACTTCGAGATGGTACAAAAAGGGGTTCGATATTTGAGAGTCCGACCACTCGACATATTCCGTCTGCGGTAATCGCCGTCGACGAAATGAAAGCCAGGGTTAGCTGTGCACGTCAGGGTTAAGTATGCGAAACACCATCTCGTCACCGACTCGACAACAGCCCGGATCCGAGATGGAAGGCCGGATGAGATGGAAAAGGCCGGCTGAGATGATGTGGAAATCACCAGATGGGTCATGGGGCTGTCGAGCCATGACAAACAGAAATTCCTGGCGGCGCGACGGAAATTGTGGACGGGCCAGGGCATCGTGACGGCTTGCCCAGAGGCCGGAATGCATTCCGGCCACGGTCTATATAGGCGCACAACTTGGCCTCCTGGGGAGGTTTTGGATTTGAACTTTTCACCATCACACCTTTACTCAGAGCATTCACTCGATCAGAGCATCTGAAGAGTGAAGGCCGCAGAATTCTGACACTTGGTTACTCAGTCTTGTCAACACCACTACTGTTTACTTACAATATCTTCAAGTCTTATCATCACCACCCAACACAACACCTTGTACAGATACACACACACATATACACACACCACCACCACAACCACCAACACCCAACAAACCCTTCACACTTTTACACCATCTCCCCCTTTCTTGATACATACTCTCTACGCATATCACCATGGGCTCCCTCAGCACCCCCTTCACCGTCCTCACCGACCCCCGTCCCACCGACACCACCCTCCCCGCCTTCATGGTCACCACCACCCGCGGCTTCCTCCCCCGCGCCGACCCCATCGTGACCCTCCCCGCCGAATTCGCCCCGCTCGAGTCCATCCTCCAGCGCATGCCGGTGCAGACGCTTTCCGGCGAGCCCGGTCTGCTGGCTCCGCCGGCGGAGGGTAGCGACGAGAAGGGCGGGAAACTGGGCGCCGTGGTGGATGGCGGGGAACTGCCGGATTTGACGGAGGCCGTGGAGAAGTATAAGGGGAACTTGCCGTTGATGAATGCGCTGTATCGGGATTATTCTTTCCTGGCGTCGGCGTATTTGTTGGAGCCGTGTCATGAGAGGTTTGTGAGGGGGGAGGAGTATGGGTTGGGCAGGGAGGTGCTGCCGGCTTGTGTGGCGAGGCCTATTGCACGGTGTGCGGAGCTGTATGTTCTTTTTCCCTTTATGTCCTGTCCTCTCTGACTTCCATGTCTTCACGATATCTTCTCACTCAACCCTAACCCTTCTTTACCCCTTTACCTGACCCCTTACTCCTTACTTACCTACCTACCCCCATCTCTTATTCACACCCATCTCTTATTCACACCCATCTCTTATTCACATACATCTCTTATTCATGCCCATCTCTTATTCACACTCGTCTCTTCTTCGTACTCTCATCATTCACACTCATACTAACATACACCTAGCTGCGGCTTCAAACCCTTCATGGAATACGCCGGGTCCTACGCCCTCTACAACTACCGCCTGGTCGACCCCTCCCTGGGCCTAGCCCCCTCCAACGTCCGCCTCATCCGCGCCTTCGAACGCGGCCTCGACCCTTCTTCCTCCGAAGCCGGCTTCGTCCTCGTCCACATCGACATGGTCAAGCACACCGGCCCTCTCGTCGCCGGCGCCGTGGGGTGTATCCACGCTGCTCAGGCCCAACAGTTGTCCCAGGGGAAGGAGAGTGACAAGGAGAAGCTCAACAGCTCGCTAGACCAAGTCCTCACCGCCCTCCGCAAAATCAACAGCACAATGGAAACCATGTGGTCGCGCTCGCGCCCCACCGAATACACCTCCTTCCGCACCTTCATCTTCGGCATCACCTCGCAGTCCATGTTCCCACATGGTGTCATCTACCGCGGTGTAACCGAATTCGGCGAGAAGCCTGTCTCCTTCCGGGGTGAAAGCGGCGCGAACGATTCGATTGTGCCGCTGGTGGATAATCTGTTGGCGATCCCTATGCCGGAGACGCCGCTGACGGAGATTTTGAGGGATTTCAGGAGTTATCGGCCGGGGGAGCATAGGGGGTTTTTGGAGTGGGTTAGGGAAGCGGGGGGGGAGGCGGGGTTGAAGGGGTGGGTTTGGGATGTTTCCAATGGTAATGGGGATGAGGAAGAAGGGAGGAAGAGTAGGGCGCTGTGGATCCAGGTGTTGGACCAGGTGCGGGAGTTCCGCTGGCGGCATTGGTGTTTTGCACGGGAGTATATTTTGAAGCGGACGAGTCACCCGACGGCTACGGGGGGTAGTCCGATTGTGACGTGGTTGCCGAATCAGTTGGCGGCGGTTATGGAGGAGATGGTGAGGGTGTATGAGTTGGCCGGGGGGAGCATGGTTGGGGGGGAGGATGGTGAGAGGACGGAGGGGAAGGATGTGCTGGGGGCGGAGGTGGAGGGGATTATGGACTTGGTTGGGAGGCAGAGGGAGATGTTAAGGAAGGAGGTGCGTAAGTTTTGTGAGGAGCGGGGGGTCAAGAATTAGGGTCTGATGTTGTAAGGACTAAGTCGGATAGAAGTTGGGTGTATTGGACAGATTGTATTGACAAATTGACAAATTGAGAGTGAAATTAGTCTGCTCTTTGACCTCTAAATGCACCAAACGCCATGCCATGCCATGCCATGCTCACATTACCGTCATCATCATCCGCTGTGCAGAACAACATCAATCCCCTAAATCCCACCCAACATCACAACCTCATCACAATGCTCATCGCAGCCATCACAAGGCCAACCCTAACCCGATGATAATCCCCAACTTGATAACAACCCCAACCCTAACCCTAACCCTCCCACCTCCCGAATTGCCCGGCACCCCCTTAGCCACACTAGCCGACGGCACCCCCTTCTCCGTAGGCCGCGCAAAACAACTCGCCGTCCCACATTCATACCCCTGCGGACAACACCCTCTGTCACTCTCCCCACCCCCCTGATTATGATCCTGATCACTCCCACACAAAAACCACCCGTTCGCACACGCCCCTCCAGTCTCCTGACCCCCTCCCTCAGGCACAGGCACAACAACAGTCACCCCGTTCCCATTCCCTCCCACGATAGTCGTCATCGGCCCCGGCGCCGGACACGAAGCCGTCGCACAATCCCGTCCTGTCTGGCAGCACCCGCCTCCTGCACGTGCCAAACACGGATAAAACCCAGTTGGGCAGTAAGCTGGGTTTGTCGGTTGCGCAGCGGAAGAGGTTGGTCGCCAGGGGGCGCCTGCTTCTCCACTTGAGGAGGAGGATTCCTGGGATTGGGAGGAGGAGGGGGAATGGGAAGGGGAAGCGGTGGTGGTGTGGGTGATGGTGGAGGTTATGGGGTGCGGGGCGGAGGTGGAGGAGGGGGTGATGGTTATGATGACTGTGACGAGGATGGTGGAGGGGGTGCCTTGGGGGGCGGAGATGATGCTTGTGGAGGTTGTGGTGAGGGTTGTTGGGGCTGGTGGTGGGGAGGGTGCGGGTTGGACGCCTGGAGGGAGTTAGTAGTCATTCTGTTAAAGAGTTGAACAGTTGGGAGCTGGAGAATTGGATGGTGAGGGGAGCATAAGAAAAGAGAGAGAAAACGTACACCCCACACCCTGACAAACCCACCCGGGTATACAACACCCCCCACCAACCTGACTATCACACGCCGTACTCCCCCCCGCGCACCCCGAAATCCCCCCACTGCACGTAGCACCCGCGGGACAACAACCCACAGGTCCTAGTCCAGTATCGTCCACCGCCATGCACGTCTCGTCGCGCCCGCAGCAGCTGTGGGGGAAGCCGATGGCTGCACAGCTGGTGGTGCCGCTGGGACAGGCCCATTGGCGCTGGTTGAGCTGGGAGAGGGCCGAGGCCGCGCGGCGGAGGATGTTCCAGTCGTTTTCCTCCCTTTTTTCGTGGTCGTTTTGTTGGGGGGGTTCGTCCGAGCCGAACAAGACTCCAAAAGGAGCCCGCACGGCGAGTTCGGCAGAGGAATTCGCCCACAGCCGGCGGGCGTCGTCGGTGTCGTGGGTGCTGCGGGCTGCGAGGGCGGCTGGCGGTGGTGGTGGGTTTGGTATTGGTTCGGACGCGAATAACCCTTGGGGCATCTGCTGGGGACTGGGACTGTCGTCGAAGGCGCAGTACTCGTGGTGGAACTTGGCGCCCTGGTCGGCGGGCATCTTGCGGACGGCTGTTGGTTCATGGCGGCGCTCGTGGGCTTTGGCTTGCGCTGCGAGCAGCAGCCAGAGGGAGGCTGGGCGCATGTTGGGTTGGGTCGTCGGCTGTTCTTTTTTTCCTTTTTTTTTTCTCGGATTTCGGGGAATGTTTATTTATTTTTGTAAGCTTTATTTTTGTACTGGCTACCGGAATGACATGTCGGTATCGGTCCGAATTCGAAAGAGTGTTGACGGCAGAAATGTCGCTTTGTGGTGGCTGTCGAAACGAGGGTGATGTCGAGACAAGTGGACGTCGAGAGGTCGAAGTGGATTGTTGACTTTGGTTGCACAGACGATGAAAACAATCGGGGCGGGCCGCCAATGGTCAGGGGAAGTGGGGCCCTGTTGGGGTCTAGCCAAGTCCGGTAAGTCGATTGGTCCCTGTAAGGTACGTACCGTACACACAACACATGACGAATTTTAGGATAATAGTCTGGTGTGTTCGGAAGTAAAACAGGAGATAAATAAAAGTAAACAGTGGTGGTGTGCATGGTCGACTATCGGTGTCAGTTTGGAAACCCGAACGGCGAATCTTGCCAGTGGGTTGGAAAACTGAGATCCAACACCGGCTTACTCGAATTCCCTCAGTACAAGACAATTTGTATGTATAATTCCATTGCTCGTTGTAATGGCTCGTTCTACTGAGACTACAAGCGACGTCCCATCTATCATGTACCTCATGCTCATATTCGTTACAATCAAGACAACGCCGTCTAACATGCTTTTCTCCCCTTCTTTTCCTCGTCTATCCCTATCATACACCCACCTATCATACACCAGTACACATCCCGCCTACCATAATGTACACACATCTAATACGGGCCTACCACAAAGCCTGCGCAACCTTCCCTCCCCCTCCTCCTCCTCCTCCCACAACCCCCCTCTGCAAAACACCTCCCATCTCCTCCAACTCCTTATTCACCCCCCTCAAAAACGCCGAACACAGCAACGCCGCCGCAACATTCACATTCAAGCTATCCACCCCACTCCCCGGCGCAGCCAAGTTCGGTATACTCAGCTCGTAATCCCCCTTTTTCACAATCAACCGCTCCAGCCCGTCACCTTCGTTGCCGATGACGAGCATGCAGGGCTCGTGCCGGAGGGGGTCGGCGTCTTCGATGTCGCGGGGGGTTATTTGGCGGCGTTGTTTAATGACTGGAGGTGGGGGGGAGGAGACGATGGGGGAGAATGGGTCCGTGGAGGGGGAGGTTGTTGAGGGGTTGCGTTCGTCGGTGTCGGTGTCTTGGTCGAAAGAGAAACCGGACGGGAGAGAGCCGGTGACGCCGGCTACGGCTGCGTAGACTGACCAGCCGTTGGCGCGGGATAGTGTGATGAAATCGGGGAGGGAGTTGACTGAGAACAGGGCGAGTGATTCAGCCGCGCCGGCGGATGCCTTCAGGGCTACGGCCGTCAGACTGGCCGAGTGTTTCTTTGTGATGCCTACTGCGGTGGCGCCCATGAAGCTGACGGTGCGCAAAATCGCGCCAAGGTTGCCTGGGTCGAGCACCTTGTCGAGGACGATGACGAGCGGTTTGTGGCCTGGGGAAGGTGGTGCCGGAAGGGTGGTGGGAGTGCCGTTGATCTCGGCGTCTTCGGCGGATTGGTGGCCGAGTTCGAGGGGGATGCGCGGGTTGGTGGTGTAGTCGGGGGGGATGGGGCCGAGGGCGGTTAGCAAGGGTCGTGGTAAGGGGGAGGCTTCGAGGATGAAGCCGTTGTGGGGGCGGGATTGGGAGAGTTTGTCGAAGAGGCGGAGACCGCCTTCTTTGACGATTTCGACGGGCACGCCGCGTTTCTTGGCGAGGCGGGCCATGAGCGTGTTGCTGGTGGTGTTTTCGCGGTTGGCGCCGTCGTAGATGTAGAGTCGGTAGAGTTTGCGGCGGGATGCGCGTAGGGCAGCTTCAACGACGGAGCGGCCGTAGAGGAACTGGGAGGCTGCGGTGGTGTAGGGGATGGACACGGTCTCGTGGAAGCCGGATTTGACGAACCGCGCCGAGGGTGAGGTTTGGGGGTTGGGTTTTCCGGGTTCAAGGGGTGTTTCGCGAGGTGGACGGGAGTCGGGCGTGTTTCTGGGTTTAGGGGGGGTGTCGTCGGGGGTGTTGTCGCGGTCTCTCGCTTTGATAAAGCCGTCCCTTTGACTGGTCAACCCGTCACTTCTGGTAAACCCGCCTGCACGGAAACCATCACGACTCGGTCTCTCCGGAGCCGGCCTGTCTCTCCGCCGAACAGACCCCAAATCATCCGTATCCTTCCGAGCCAGACCCCGGTCCCGACCCTGAACTCCCCTATCCTCAGATCCCCTATTCACCGCCGGCGTCGACTGCACCTGCGCGCGTGCCCCCCCAATCGGCCTCGACAACTCGGCCACCACATCCGCCACATTCAACGGCCCCTCATCACTCTCCCGTCGACCCCTCCCCCTCCGCGCCCTTCCCCCCCTCTTATCCTGCCTCCTCGTCGTCAACAGCTGTCGATCCCTGTCCGGCCGTGTCCCCGTCGTCCCAAATACCTCATCCGCCAACACATCCTCTATCCCGCCACCACCCCCCCGCCTCGCCTTCTCCGCCGCCATTTTCATCTTATACACCAAACTCCTCTTCCCAAACTTATCCCCCGGATCCATGAACCTTGCCGCGCGGGACTTGGGCCGGGCCACGTCCGGGTAGTCCGTTATATCCTTCTTCCCGCGGCGGATCTTGAATTGCGGACGCATCGCTTCCAGCGCGGCGCGGTTTTCATGTCGTTGGCGGTAGGTCAGTTTGTTGCCGTCTGCGTCGACGGCGCCGACGCGGCTGGCTTTGTAGAGCTGGTCGATTTCGGCGCGGCGCGGGTCGGGGGCTTCGGCTCGTTGGGTGGCGCGGTGGGAGCGGATTAGGCCGCGGTGGATGGCGGAGCGGGAGGCGTGTCGGGTTGTTGGGGGGGTTAGGAGGGAGAGGGGGAGGGAGCGGGTTGAGGCCCGGTAGACGAGGGAGAGGCTCATTGTGGTGGTTTCTATGGCGGGGCTCGAGACGGGATGAATGTACATAAAATTGGCAAATGTATTGCCGGTCCAATTGTAGAAATTCCGTGGAAGGAATCAAGCTATTGTTAAAGTCAACACATCGTGTCAAAAGAGTGGGCAATTCTTCAACGGCAGGAACGTGATTCCAGATCGAGATTCAAAGTCTCGACACTTTTTGAGTTTCGCTTTGGAGTTGACGACCAAAAAAAAGTTACGATATCGTTTATCTGCCCCACCACATACCACCCCACACCCCATCCTCCAATCACAGCAGCAGACCTCACCCCTGCACACAGTGCGGATCAGCGGCAATGACCTCAGACCCATTAACCAAACGCGGTGCTGCGGTCGAGTCGCGTCCTCGATTTAACTTTACGCCGGAGCCGTCAATTCAAGACGGCGTTTCACCAATTTACAACCTCGTTTCTTTCCACCTCGACTGCGAACCCCCAGTTTTCCCACGCCACGACACACTCCAAAAGTACTAATCCCCCATAATCACTGCTCTCTCTCTTGAAACAACCCTCCAGGTTGCTGTCAATGCAATCGCCAGCACCGCCCGTCGCCGGCGATTCCTCCTCCACTCCCACGAATTCCATGATCCTCCTTTGTCCTCCTCACCACCACCACCACCACCTCTTCTACCCATGGGGACGCCCAACGGTTTCCTGAGCAGCTCCGACCACGAGCGGCTGCCGGACGGAAATTCCAATCCCGAGACCGACGCTAAAGCCGACGTCGAGAATAATCAAAAGAATAATAATGATAATAATACTAACGACGCCGACGCCGACAAAGAACCGCTGTTCATCTTTGATTCCGACCTCAGCGATGACGACGACGATGTGACGCCCGCTGCTGTGGCTGCAGCTGCAGCCGACCCGGTAATAAATCTAGACGAACTTGCCAAGTCCTCGCTTGCGGCGCTGGGGCAGCGGGCGTTGATTGCCGCGGGGTCGTTGGTGAAAGCCGGGGGAGATTCTTCGGATTCGACGGGCACTGGCTCTGGCTCTGGGTCTACAACTGGGAATGGGACGGGAGGCGGATTATCACCGGCGCTTAGAGAGGGATGGGCGAGCGCTGTGGCTCGGGTTGCGGATATTGCGGATATGGGTGACTCGGAGGACGGTCTGTTTGTTGAGCAAGATGAGGATATCAAGGCTGTGGAAACGGTTGAGGTGGTTTCTGTTGTTGGGGCGCAAGCAGCGCAACAAGGGCAACCGGCGCAGCGACAAGCGCAACAGCACGCCTGGGAAGCAGACGAGATACCCGACGAGTTCTCGGACGACCAACCGGACGAGAAACAGAAGCCCGTCAAGTTCGTCGATATCGAAGTGCGCCTGCCGTGGCTCTCGCCGGAAGAGAGAGCGGGGTATGAGAAGATCGAGGTGGGGGAGTACTGGCCGGAGGAGGAATACATGCGGCGGAGGAAGAGAGGGCGGAGGGTGAGTTGTTTTTTACACTGGTATTTCTTTGCGTGTGATGTTTCTCTGCCCGCTGCGGCTGGGTTGCGTGGATTTCTTGGGTTTGGGTGGACGACTCGAAAGTTCGAGGCTGTTGTGGGATATGGGATTGGCGTATGGAAGCGGGCGTTCAATGGAATGGCCAACCGGAGAAGTCTTCGTTGTTTTGTTCCTGCCTCTAGATTCGAAGCAAGGTCTGAGGGTGTCTGTCTCAAGTTGAGGCGAGTCCTGAAGCCGAGTCCCGAGCAAGGCTCGGATAAATCCCGTGTCGGCTGCTAGTGTAGTCCGGACATGATTCCCATCTCACGCTCTGTTCCCCTCTCGAGTGAGTTGGAATAGAGGTCACTCAGCACTGAGTTTCTTTTCTCGTCAGCTCTTCCATCCGATGCCTCACAGTCTCATGGTTTCTGTGAGCGTCTCTCAGTTGGGCCTAGTTGACGGCTCCATTCTGCCACAGCAACACCACCCTCAAACCTTCCTCATGGCGTTTCACAATAGTTTTCACACAATACCACCAACGTGGCCCTCTTCTATTGTATCCCCTCGATTTCCACGCATTCTTCCACCTATTTCTCAACCTTTTCCCCCAAACATATTTCTCGATCTTCAACTTTTAACCACCAAACCACCATTTCTTCCACATCACCTATCTTCAAAATACAATACCCAACACATCTCCAAAACACTGGCGATTATCATATCCTGGTTTTTTCGAGCCGTTTATATCCTTTTATTATTTCGCGATATTCACCTCTACGCTGCGGTATCTGGGACTAGTATCTCGCTGAGAATATTCCATTTCTCCCTAAGAGCCTTCCTAGCCGATAACCTGCGCCGGGGTTAGTTTTCTCGTTCCAACGGTTCTTTCCGCCGAGATCGTCTTTCCACTTTTACCCTCCAAGACCACCTTTGTTCGCCGGTCGACTGATCCACGTGACCAAGTGGTCACCAAATCCAAGATGGTAGGCGAGCGTCATTCATCTTTACGTCACCCACGTGGTTCACCAACTATGGCTGCTCAGCTAAGAGCCGGACACTGTTTCTTTTAATTCATATTCGTCTGGTTCAATCCTTACTTCAGTACTAACTTTACAGGACGACGAGGACTACGCGGACCAGTTCGGCACTAAGAAGCGCAAGCGCGACTTGGACTACACCAGCTACGATGAGTACTCGGAAGACTCAGACGGCGACATTGTGATGGAAGATGCCGGCCCGTCGCGTCGCAGGTCCGGTCTCATAGACGAATACTTGGACGGCCCGAACGGACGACGCAGTACCCGGGCCAGCACACGTGCTAGCTCTCATTTGGTCTCCGACGAAGGCGACAACGACGACTCGTCCCGGCCCCGACCCCGGGGCTTACGGCTGAGAGCCAGAGCCAGCGTCGTACGGAACCGGCCAGCAGACTACGACGACCGCGATGAGCTGCAGGACTCGGACGGAGAGGACCCGAGCTTCTCGATCATCCAGTCCGACATTGTGCAGACGCGGAAGCGCGGCCGGCGGAAGCGGAGTGCTGCGGCGGCCGCCCAGGCCAGAACACGCAGAATGGGATACACCGGAGGCGATTCTGATATCGAATTCGAGTCGACCGACAACAAACGGCGGTCGTCGCGACCCAACAAGACCAAACGGGTCATGACGGACACAATCATGGATGACGACGACGAAGACGACTTTCTCTACTACCGCGACGACGACAAACCCTCAACAACAACCCCCAAAGTAGCCAGCATCCGCGAGATCTTCCAACCGGTCACGTACGACTTTAAGGAAGCGCACCGACCGATCTGCGAGAGCTGCGGCGGACACGGCGATAGCTCCAACAAAGGCCCGCTGGTCCACTGCCAGGGGTGCTCCAACTCCTACCACAAATACTGCCTCGGTCCACGCGGAACCCGCGAACACCGCGTCACCAAAGTCGGCGCCGACTCTTTCGTTTTACAGTGCCGGTTCTGCATCGGCGTCTACAAGAAAAAGGACCCGCGTGCGCCGAACCACGACGTCTGCCAGGGGTGCCACACCAAAAACCCGTCCTGCGCGGCGTTTTCAGAGAAGAAAACCCCTAAACGGGAGGAAGCGCTACGAGCGGACAACGACGGGATAGACCCCATCACGCCTGTCGAGCCCAAACTCGTCAACAGCGTAGACAACACACTCTTCCGATGCAGTCGGTGCCGAAGGTCCTGGCACTACGAGCACCTCCCCCACCCGAACCTCTCGCGCGACCCAGCGCTGGACGAGCCGCTCGCCTTGCGCAAGCTCCGCCGCGAAGAATACCAGATCACCTGGACGTGCAAAGAGTGCCGGGACACGGAAGAGGAAAAAGCCGATCGAATCGTGGCGTGGCGGCCGGTGGATTCTTCTCAAAAATCCCGGGATCGCGCGGTGGGCATGTCCGTCACGGATTTTGTGGAGGACGAGCTGGAGTATCTGGTAAAATGGGACAAGAAGTCGTATGGCCACTGCGTGTGGCTGCCCGGGGCGTGGGTGTACGGGGCGGTGAAGCCGGCGATGCGGGTGTCGTTTATCAAGCGGACGTTTGGAGAGGGGTCGGACGAGGGTGTCACTGATGAAAATGGTGAAGAGCAGAATCGGCATGTCGACTCGCTGCTGCGGTGGACGACGGAGGAAGCCGTGCATGAATCGTGGGTTACGGCTGATATCATTCTCGATGTGCACTGCGCGCCGCGGACGAAGGAGAATGACAAGAAACACCGGGCGAAACCGCTGCGGGAGCGGTTCGAGGATGATCTCAGTCGCATCCACCACGTGCTCAAGATCTTTGTCAAGTTTGAGGGACTGGGCTACGAGGACGCCGTGTGGGACAGCCCGCCGTCTCCAGATGCGGGCGCCATGTATGACGCCTTCTGCGCGGCGTACCGCGAGTATCTGAACGGGAAGCACTTTGAGACAGAGCCGGCGCGGGTGATGAAGGAGCGGGTGGAGTCGTTTCGACAGCTAGATTTCCGGAAGGATATCGAGGTCAAGGCGCAGCCGGCGGGCTTGCAGCGTGGGAAGCTGATGGCATACCAGATGGACGGACTCAACTGGATGCTGTACAACTACCGCGATGACCGCAGCATCATTCTGGCGGATGAGATGGGCCTCGGCAAGACGGTGCAGGTGGTCGCGCTGCTGTCGAGCATGATCCAGGATTGCCCCAAGGTGTGGCCGTTCTTGGTGGTTGTCCCCAATGCGACCTGCTCAAACTGGCGCCGGGAGATCAAGAAGTGGGCGCCGGATTTGAGGGTCGTGGCGTACTACGGCGGGCGGGTGTCGCAGACGCTGGCTATGGAGTACGAGCTGTTCCCCGGCCGGTGTCGCGATATGAAGGCGCATGTGGTCATCATGTCGTATGACTCGGTCAAGGACAGCGATACGCGGGCGCGGTTCTCCGGCGCGAAGTGGGCGGGTCTGGTGGTGGATGAAGCGCAAGCACTCAAGAATGATGAGAACGCGCTGTACCGGGCGCTGTCGACGCTGCGGATTCCGTGGAAGCTGCTGCTGACGGGCACGCCGCTGCAGAACAACAAGCGCGAGTTGTTCAACCTGCTGCAGTTCATCAACCCCTCGCTGATCCGCGCCGAGGACCTGGACGCCCAGTTCGCGCAGATCACGTCGGAGAATTTGCCCGCGCTGCACCGGCTTATCCGGCCGTACTTTTTGAGGAGGACCAAGGCCGAGGTGTTGACGTTCCTCCCGCCCATGGCCCAGATCATTCTGCCTGTCACCATGAGTGTGCTGCAGGAGAGGCTGTGCAAGTCCATCCTCGCGCGCAACCCGGAGCTGATCCGGTCGGTGTTTGTGCAAGCCGCGGCGCGAGACGAGAACGGCACCGGCGCCAGCAAGCGCAAGGTGGTCGAGCAGCGCGGCAGTCTCAACAACATCCTCATGCAGCTGCGCAAGTGTCTGTGCCACCCCTTTATTTACTCCCAGGCCATTGAGGACCGGTCAGATTCCATCTCTGCCGAGCGCACCCGCCGCAACCTCATCGAAGCGTCCTCTAAGCTGGTCCTCCTCGAGCAAATGCTCCCCAAGCTCCACGCCCGCGGCCACCGTGTCCTGCTCTTTAGCCAGTTCCTCGACGAATTGACCATCCTCGAAGACTTCCTCGCCGGCCTCGGCCTCCGCCACGAACGCCTCGACGGCTCCCAATCCAGCCTGGAAAAACAAAAGAAAATCGACGCCTTCAACGCCGCGGACTCCCCCATCTTCGCCATGCTCCTCTCCACCCGCGCCGGCGGCGTCGGCATCAACCTCGCCACCGCCGACACCGTCATCATCCTCGACCCCGATTGGAATCCACACCAGGATATTCAGGCCCTATCTCGAGCTCACCGGATTGGCCAGCAGAAAAAAGTGCTGTGCTTCCAGTTGATGACGGTTGATTCGGCCGAGGAGAAGATCTTGCAGATTGGCCGGAAGAAGCTTGCGTTGGATCATTTGTTGATTGAGACTATGGATAGTGAGGAGGAGGCGCCGAGTGAGGTGGAGAGTATACTGAGGCATGGGGCTGCGGCGCTTTTTGGAGAGGGGAAGAGGAAGGATGCTATACACTATGATGCTGCTGCCGTCGACAAATTCTTAGACCGGTCTACGATGGAGAACCCACCCGCAAAGGCCTCCTCCTCCTCCAACGGAGACGGAGACGGTGACAAAGACGGCGACGGCGACGGAGACGGCAAAGAAGGCAAAGCAAAAGATAAATCAGCCGAATCAGCCTTTGCATTCGCGCGCGTGTGGGCAGTTGATGGAGACGACGGGGATGGAGGGGCTGGCGATGGTTTAGACGACGAAAAAGAGGCTACGATGGATGTGGGAGTGTGGGATCGCATTCTGGAGCAGAGGGCCGCGGAAGCGAGACGGGAGGCGGAGGCGCGGAAGGAGACGCTTGGACGGGGGAGTCGGAGGCGGGGTGTATGTTTTTTTTTCTTTCTCTTACTCATCTTCCCCTTTCTCTTTGCGTGTTTAAGATAGGGGCTAACAAGGACAGGCTGCTAACTACATCGGCCCGCGCTTCGAATTCGACGATGCTGCCCAACCCGACAGCGACCAAGGAGATGCCGACGATGATTTTGTCGGGAGTGGCGGGGAGCATGGCGGGGATGAGAACTCGGATGATGAGAGCGAGAATTCGGGGGATGAGGATGAGGTGACGGGTGAGTTGATGTTGGATGGCGCGGAAGGGATGGCCAAAGGTAGGCTGGATGTGTCTCTTTCTGTTGGGGCGGATGGGAAGGGGAAGACTGCCAAGGGGAAGAATGGGCCTGGGAAGACTGGGACAACTCCCAAGAAGACTCCTAAAGGACCCAAGACACCCAGGAAGACACCTGTCGGGGCTTCTTCCACCAAAACTCCCAAGACTCCGAGCAAGGCTCCCAAGACCCGCAAGGTTCCCAAAACACCTACCAAAAAGGGGGCAAAGGCAGCAACACCGCGGAACGCTAGTCGCGCTCCCGCTGGTGCCGCTACCACTACCACTACCACTGCTAGTAGCAGTGCTAGTGCCAGCATCACTGCTAGTAACAGTGCCGCCAGTACCAGTACGCCCCGCAAGAAACAAACCCCCACAACCAAAAAATCCCAGGCCAGCAGCTCACGCAAACGGACAAAACAGACCTCAACCGAATCCGCGAAGACGCCCACGCGAAAACCAAGAGCGCCAAAGACAACGACCGGCGGAATCGCGACGACAGAGACGGAAACCGCGAGACAGCCCCAGGAACAGGAAGGGGAACACCAAGAGGAGGGAGGGCTGCGTCAGCTGGCGGACAGCCTAATGGTCAAAGTCCAGGGCCAGGAACAGGAAGAGCAGGGCCAAATGGTCGACGCGGGACAAGCACAGGCGCAGGAGCAGGAGCAGGACCAGGAAAAGGAACAGCAACAGGAACAGCAACAGGAACAGAAAAAGGAGGCGACCCAGCAAGAAAAGGCCCACGCAAACTCGGCTCAGACAACCCCACCGTCCGGGCCGGCAACGGCCTAACCCCCGGCGCGCCCTCTTCTTCCCTACCGCCTTCTGTTCCTCCCATGTACAGCACCTCGCCTATTCCCGTCCCGCAGATTCCTGGTCCTCCCGGCCGAACCGCGCCAGTGCTGGGGTCGACTTATTTTCGTATGCCAGAGGGGGGTAACACAAAGGCTGGAGCGGGAGCGACAGATGGATCTACACCAGACCTTGGACCGTTATCGGGCATCTCAGAAGCGGCGGCCCGCCCCCGAGCCATGGCTTCGGCGAGGTTGTGTGCGAAATACGGCGAGGATCTTTACGGCAAGGCTGGGCCGCTGACGAATGGACATCTCGCGAATGGACATCTCACAAACGGTATATCGACAGCATCAACACCAACCCCAATAACACCAATAACACCAACAACTACAACAGCAAAAATGACACCAAAACCGGCACCAACACCAACACCAGGCACAGGCACAGGCACAGGCCCAAGAACCGCAGCGACAGGACAAGTAACAAAGAAAGGAGGAGGACCCACTCTCCCCATAGACCCCTGTCTCGTCTGCATGTTTGTACACCCCGAGGCGTGGGAGTGTCCGGAGATGCGGTCCGAGGTGAGGTTGAGGCTGGCGCTGGATTTGTTAAGGGGGAGGTCTTCTAAGGCGTCTAAGGAGACATCGGCGATGGGGAAGAAAGGAGTGGAGAGGAAGAGGGCTTTTCTGGGGGGGAAGTTGAGGGGGTTGATTTTGGAGAGGGAGAGGAAGGTGAAGAAGGGGGGTGAGAAGGGGGGGTGATTGGGTTGTTTACGGCTGGTTTTGATGCTGCGGTTGATTTGGGGTTGGTCTGGGTTGCTTGGGTTACTACCTAAGTGGGATGCTTGGGATCACCATAACGCGGATCGCGGTCTACCCCAGGATCTTAAGGCACGGCTAGCGGCCCTTCCAAGGTAACATACCACAGCGCGTGATTTCCGTCGACTCTCGATACCATGAAGGGAAATGGGAATGGGAAGACGCGATGGATTTGGGGTTATCATATCATTATATCACGCAGTCAAGAGAGAGAGGAGAAGAGAGAGAGGAGAAGAGAGAGAGGAGAAGAGCAGATAAGGAGATTTGCTTATTGGGACTTGCTACGTTTTGCTACGTGGTTTGCATTGTCTGCTCTGGCAAGGGAAATAGAGCAGACAGACGATAGGCACCCAGACAGACAGAAGAATAAATATATCGATGGCTTTGCGCAAGCCACCTCTTGACTTCATTTGAACTTGATTATGGCTTCAACTCACGTTGCCTTTGGAAAAAAATATTGAACGATACAAAGAACCGACCATAGAGATTTGCCCATTATTGAAGGCGAGAAAAAGTGGGAACATCCCGATAATGTTCCAGGTTTAGAAAATCTCCCTCTAAAAAATCCACCCAGGGGCAAGCGCTGCGGCTTACACAACATTACACCTGTTTAGCAAGGTACAGTGCTGATTTCCAGCTTCTTAAATAAAGTGTATGGTGGGGGAACAGCCTAATTAATTATGATGCATGTGCAGCCTTAGCCCTATCCTTCCATATCAACACCGCCAAATTCGTCAACGACCCCGCGGTCAACAATTCCAACACCTGAAAATTCCGCCTCAACGTCTTGGTGATCCAGTTCCTCCACTCAATCACATTCAAGCTGTCGAGGCCGTACGCCGTGACCGGACGCGACGGGTCGATACTCTCCGCGGGGATCATCAGGATGGTAGCCAGCTTCGCCGCAAGTCCCGTCACGATGATGCCCACCGCTTCCTTTTCCGACGACGCCCGCGCGAGGGATCTTTGGAGAGACAGACTTGAGCTTATTAGACTCGGACTCGGATTGCCGCCCGGCTCCTGCTCCGGCGCATTCACAGTGGAAGAAGCCATGACGGCGTCTCTTAGGCGTTGGAACTTGGCGTCCGTGGCGAAGTAGGGCAATGAGGGCATCATCATCTCGTTACCGACACCGACACCGGCAGCAGCAGAAGAAAGCCCAAGCCCGGTGAGGCAGTGCCCACCGCCGCCGTCACCGTCACCCGTGTTGTCGAACCGGCCCTGCACGGCGGCTTTCAGCAAGGCAAGCACCTCAGCCTCGCGGAGGAAGTTCAAGTTCCCGGGCCCGCCGCCGCCGCCCAGGTTTTGCGCCACGACGGCCTGGCGCCCGGCCCCCTCCTCGGCGAGGTATCCGACGTCCTGCACGGCGGCCAGGGCGATAGAGGTTCCCGGCAGGCCGAGGTGGCGGCGGTGGCGGGCCAGGGCGTCGAGAAAGGTGTTGGCTGCGGCGTAGGCGGCCTGGCCGCGGTTGCCGACGATTCCGGCGACGGAGGAGAGGAGGATGAAGAAATCGAGCGGGGGGGCTGAGGTTGAGGCTGAGGTTGAGGCCGAGGCGAGCGCGGTGTGCATGTTCCACGCGCCGAGCACTTTGCCCCGGGTGACCTCGGTGTAGTCGGCATGCGTCATGTTCTCGAAGAGCACGTCGCGGAGGACCATGGTGGCGTGGATACAACCGCGGATGGGGAGGAGGCCTCCTAGCTGCATCATCAGGTCCTCGACGCTGCGGGGGTCGGCGACGTCGCACGCCTTGACGGTGATGTTTACCCCGGCGGTCTGCTGCTGGAGGTCGTTGACCAGATCGGCGACAGGGCCAGGGCCATGGCCAGGGCCATCGGCTTTTTTCCCGCTGCCGCTGCGGGAGGCGAGAACGAGGTTTCTGGCCCCCTGGGCCACCATCCACCGCGCGATGGAACGACCCAGGCCGCCGGTGCCGCCGACAATGATGTAGACGCCGTCGGCGCGGAAAAGAGGTCCTCCACCACCACCTCCTCCTCCTCCTCTTCCTCCTCCTCCTCCGTTGAGCTTTCGCTTTGGCTTGGGGTCTGTCACTCGGAGCAGCTCGCCCGGCTTGGGGACCACGACCAGCTTCCCCATGGTCTTTCCGCTCTGCAGCAGGCGGAAAGCCTTCTCGACGTCCCCCAGGCCGACGACGGTGACGGGCCAGACGGGGCGCAGGACCTTGTCGGCGACGAGGCGCATGACGGCGTGCAGGGTCCTGGCCATGAGGTCCGGGCGGTGCGCGGCGACCAGGGTCAGGTCGACGGAGCTGAAGGTGACGTTGCGGTCGAACATGGCCATCTCGAGGCGCGTGTTGCTGGTGATGTCGCGCTTGCCGATCTCGATGAAGCGGCCAAAGGGGGCGATGCACTCCCACGACTCGCGCAGGAACTCGCCCGCCAGCGAGTTGAAGACCACGTCGACGCCGCCGACGCCCCGCGTAATTTTGCGTATCGCCGGTCCGAACGAGGTCTCGCGGCTCGAGAAGATGCGGTTGTCTGGGATGCCGTATCGCTCCATAAGCAGCGCCTTCTTTTCGGGGCTGCCCACCGTGGCGAATATCTCTGCGCCCACCATGCTCGCCAGCTGGACCGCCGCCTGGCCGACCCCGCCGGCCGCAGCATGGATGAGCACCTTCTCGCCGGCGGCCAGGCGCGCGAGCTCCACGAGCCCGTAGTGGGCGGTGCCGAACACGACGGCGAGGGACGCGGCGTCTTCCCAGGGCATGTCGTCGGGGATGCGCGCGGCGCTCGTGGCGGCACACCGCGCAAACGTGCTGTAGGCCCCCTGTGTCATGGCACACACGCGGTCGCCGCAGGCCAGGTGGGCTGGAGAGACGGCCGCGCCCACGCGCGAGACCACGCCGGCGCACTCGACCCCGAGGTGGTACCCCGGGTGCGGCAGCTGGCCCATGGCGATGACGACGTCTTTGAAGTTCATGCCGGTGGCCGCGACGCGGACCTCGATCTCGTGGTCGCCGAGCGGGCGGGCCTCGGGGTTGTCGTCGCCGCCGTCGTCGTCGTCAAAGTAGAGCGTGTCCAGAGCCCCGACCGTCTCGATGTCGAGGTGCAGACGACGGGACGCTTGGGCTTCCAGGGGCTGGAGGCGCGGCCGCGGCCCGGAGGCGGAGTCGGAGGGGCACAGCTCTTGGTGGATGTGTTGGTTGACGGCGTCGTCGGGGACGATGCGCGGCACGACGAGGCCGCCGTCTTGCTCGGCGTATTCCATGTCTGCTGCTGTGTCTGCTGTGTCTGCTGTGTCTTCTGTGTCTGCTGTGTCGGGACAGCTCTGACAAAAGACACGTTCGAGGACCTGCACGATCAGCTCGGCGCGTGACGCGTCTGACAGCGTGGAGGCCGGGTCGAGGTCCAGCATAGCGGCCTTGGCTGCCGTCTCGGAGCGGACGGCCCGGAGGAGCCCGGAGACCATGTTGGCGGCCGGGTTGGTGCAGGATTTATAGGCCCCCGATGTTACCCACAGCGTGCCCGCCGACCGGAGCAGAAGGGTCTGTACGCTGCGCAGGGCTTCCGGGGTCGGGTCGGCAAGGAGAGGTCGTCGGTCGAGGTCGAGGTCGAGGTCGAGGTCGAGCTCGAGGTCCAGCTCAGTCAGCACGACGTAGGCAGTGGTGTCCTTGACGTTGACTTGTTCGCCCAAGCTGGCCAGAGTTACGAGCGACGGTGGCTGGCCGGTGCTGGTGCTGGTGCTGGTGCGCGTGAGAAGAGCGGAGCACAGAGCGCGAACGAGATGATCATCTGCAGCCGATGTGCTGTCCGCGACGACGATGGATATAGCAGGCAGCAGGGGCAGAGTTCCCTGGATCCCGGTGTCCTCGGTGCGTTTCTCAGGTGCAGGTGCAGGTGCAGGCTCCCAATCCAGCCGGAAGCACAGCTCCCGCGGAGCCTCGTCGTCATTGCTAGCCGCTTCGTTCCGGACTGGGATCATCCGGAGGCCGACGATGCTCAGTACCGCTTCTTCTTCCGCTTCTTCCGCTTCTTCCCCGTCGTCCGTCAAAGTCAAAGGAAAGGCGTGCATCGTAAAGTCGGTTTGCCGCGGCCTATCAAGCGCCTCCTCCACAGGACCATCACGACCATCACCAGCGATGGCGTCAACACGGAGAGACTGGCCGACTTCCTGCCGAGGCAACAACCCGGTGTCGATATGCAGCTCCCTGATCGCGTTTGGCATGTACAGCGTCTTCATTTTACCCCGTCCAGCGCCGAGGAGGGGGTAAGCCACCTGGAGAACCTGGTCCACGAGGGTCGGGTGCACGAGGTACGGCGACTGGTGCGCCAGGGGCATACTAGTCGACGTGGTGTCGGCCACATCCAAAACACCGACCGCCGCGCGGTGGTCCGCACCCGTCTTGAATCGGATGTCGCGCACGCCACAAAACGCAGGCCCGTAGATGGCGCCCTTTTGTTGCAGCTCTCGATAGAAGACATCCGACGCGACCATCATCTCGTCGGCCTGGGAATGGGAATGGGAATGGGAATGAGAATACTTTTCCGCGATGCCCTTGATGCCCTTGTCCTTGTCCTCCTCCCCCCCGCGCACGCGCACGCGCACGCCAACCAAGCCGCGGCAGTGTTCCGTCCACCCCTTGCCCTCTTGCCACGAGCAGATCCGGAACTCGTCCCACTTGTCCGAATACGACCGCGTGCCCTCGGCGTACGCAGCCAAAGTCGTCACCAGCTCGTACTCCTCCCCGCCATCCCCACCGTCGCCGTCGTCGTTCTTCAGCAGCAGCGGCCGCATGGCCTGCACCTCCCGCAGCACAAACCGGAACGCAGGCTGCTGCTTGCCAGCCTCTAGCGCACCAGCCGAGGCTAGCGTTGTCGTTGTCGTTGGACCTGAGCCTGAGCCGCGTCGCACCAAAAGCGTGGCGCGCTGGGCAGCCGCCTCGACGGCCATGCTCACGTAGCCGGCGAGCGGAAACGTGGTCAGGCCCATCATGCGGTGGTCGCACAGCCAGGGGACGTCGTCGAGGCGGAGCACGTTGCGCCACGTCGGGCACACGTCGTGGTTGGACGTGTCCGCCAGCGTGCCCAGCAGGTCGTGCCGCGCGAACGGCTTGAGCCGGTGCTGTCGGGCCATGCGTGACTCGGTCCAGTACCGCCGCTGCGCATGTCGGGTCCAGGGGTAGGGGGTCATGAGCGTGACCAGGGACGGCCGGCGGCGAGTCCCCTGGGTGTGGTCCTCGTCCTCGTCCTCGCCGTTGATCGCGGCAAAGTCCAGCGCGTGGCCCGCTGTGTAGAGGCTGGCTGCCAGGTTGAGCATTGTCGTTGTGGCGTTCTTGCTGCGGATAAGCGTGGGCAAGTATCGCGGCTGCTGAGGGGGGCGGGAAGAAGAAGGAAGGTCGGACGACGACGACATGGCCTGGAGGGTCTGGTTGATGGGACCTTGGAGGGCGGCGTGGGGTCCAACCTCGACGATGATGTCCGGTGGCCCATCCTCCTCCTCCTCCTCCTCCTCCTCCTCCTCCTCACCCGGAGCCGCGGAACAGAGTTCGCGCAAGGCCGTCGAGAAACGGACGGGGTTAACCAGGTTGTCGACCCAGTACGAGGCGTCGACGAGGGTGGCGAGGTCCCGTACCTCGCGGCCATGCAGGGATGAGAAGAATCTCACGTCCTTCTCTCTCACGTCCTTCTCTCTCACCACCTCCTCCTGAATACAATCCCGAATCAAATCCCTGTACTCCCCGGCCACAAGCTTCATGTGCGGCGAGTGATACGCGACGTCGACGCGGAGCCTGCGGTGGAACAGCTGCATGCGCTCCGCTTCCGCAGCGACCTCCTCCACAGTCGACGCATCGCCCGACACGGTGACGGACCGCGGCGAGTTCTCGCAAGCCACCACAACGACGCCCGTGCCGGTGCCGATGCCGGTGCCGGTCTGCTGCTGCTGCACCCGCTCGAGCATCGGCGCAATCTCGTCCGGCCCGGCACCCACAGCCAGCATGGCGCCCCGGAGGCCCCCCTGCTTCTCCTGCCTCTCCTGCTTCTGCTTCTCGCGCAGCCGCAGCACAGCCTGGCCCCGGAAGTAAGCAATGGCCATGGCCGCCTCGAGAGACAACACACCCGCCGCATACGCCGCCGCAATTTCCCCGCTCGAGTGGCCCGTCACCGACACGGGGCGGACCCCCCACGATCTCAACAGCGCAGTCAGCGCCAGTTGCACTGCGGTGCACGCCGGCTGGCTGATGTCCACTTGACCCACGCGGCTCGCGTCCTCGGCCCTGTCCAGCTCGTCAACGAGGGAAAAGTCAGCACCAAGCTTCTCCCGCAGATAAGCATCTGCGGCGCGCAGAACACGGGCGAATACGGCGTGCGACTTGTTCAGCTCGCGTCCCATGGCGTGCCATTGTGCTCCCTGGCCCGTGTACACAAAGGCTACGCGGCGGCGCGGTCGCACTGACGACGACAGCGACAGCGACGCGCGGCTCGGCTTGACATGCCCCGCGCCGAGGGTCGCTGCGAGGTCGGTCAGAGACGACGCCACGACGCCGACGCGCCACGCGAGGTGGGATCGCCGCTGGCCGAGCGTGTATGCGACGTCGCGGGGCAGGCTCTGTTGGAGCACTTCTGGGTGCTGCTCTATGAAGACGATGAGCTGCTTCATCGATTGCGTGGCTGCTGCTTCGTCGTTGGCGGAGATCACGAAGAGCCTTTGCCGCTGCGCAGAGTCGTCGTCGTGACGGTCGTTGTTCGCATCCGAACCGACCCTCTGGGGCTCCCCCAAGAGCTGGCGGGTCGGCCTTGCTAGGACGCAGTGGGCATTGCTACACAGTGCAAAAACGAGTTAAGGTAGTTAGTGGTCGCTTCGTGGTCAGCGCGGGGGTCAAGGAATACAACGTACGACCCGCCAAACCCAAAGTTATTGCAGCTGATGTATTTCTTCTTCACCGGCCAAGGTCTCTGGCTCACTGGCACCTATAATTCGCAGATCGAAGCCGTGTTAGTACCGTGTCAGTACGTGACTCTGAGATCCACTCTGTGAGATCGAGTGTACTGACCTTTATATTCCACTCGCCCAGCGGGATCTGCTCGTTGGGCGTCTCGAAATTGATGTTGGGCAGAATGAATCCCTTCTCCAGCATGAGGCTACTCTTGATGACCGAAATGACCCCGCTGGCATTTTCGAGGTGCCCGATGTTGCTCTTCACCGAACCCATGTACAACGGCTGTTTGGCTGTCCGGCCTTTCCCAAACACCTTGTGGATGGCTGCCGCCTCGATCGGGTCCCCCACCCTGGTGCCTGTGCCGTGCGCCTCGACGAAACCGGCGTCTTCCGGATCGATGCCGGCACGGCTGTACACCTCTCGCATCAGCTGTTCCTGTGCCTCGCCGTTGGGCGACGTCAAGCCTAAGTAAAGTGTCGACAGCATTAGCCTGGTAATTACCTAAGGATAAGTAAGGGGCGAACGTGTACATGTACATGTACATAATACACGCGCAGCCAAGTGTGAAGTTGCGAACGAAACTAACCAATCGTCCTCCCGTCCTGGTTCGTCCCCGTATTTACAATCACCGACCGGACGCAGTCATTATCTCGTACAGCCTGCTCCAACGGCTTGAGGATCACGCACCCGGCGCCTTCCCCGCGCGCGAACCCGGACTTGGCCCGGCTGTCGAAGCTGTAGGTCCGGCCTTGGTCCGAGAACAGGCGGCTCAGGCTCATGGACACCCAGTCGTCAGGCTGCAGATTGAGATGACACGCCGCCACAATCGCTAGCTCCGACTCGCCGCTGCGGATGCTCAGCACGGCTTGGTGCAGAGCGTGAAGGCTCGACGAACAAGCCGTGTCTACCGACACGCTGGGTCCGCGGAGGTCGAAGAAATGCGAAATTCTCCCGGCGAGAATCGATTGGTGGTTTCTGCGTAGAGTGTGTGCACACCCTTATGTTAGCCAGCCAGGGGGAACGACAGGCGTAATTACCTACCCTGTGGTCTCAAACATGGGCGTCTTGTCAAGGTCACGGAGAGCCCCGAGCCGATAATCAGATGCTGCGCCCCCCACGAAGACGCCCACCTTTCGGCCGACCAGTGACTCCTTGGGAATCCCGGCATTCTCAAGAGCCTCGTAAGCGCACTCGAGCAGCATCCTCTGTTGGGGATCTAAATTAAATGGTAATTACATGTTAGAAGTCACTAGCTAGCTAGGTTACTAGGTAGCCAGGCGGCCGGCAGGCAAACCCGGAACAGAACAGAACAGAACAGAACGGAACGAAACAAAACATACCCATAGCTTCAGCCTCCGGCCTCGTGAGATTAAAAAACGGCGCATCAAAGAGTGCCGGGTCCTGCGACAGGAAATACCCTCCCTTCGCGTTGAAGCATCCCTTCTTTGCCGGGTTGGGATGGTGATACGCGTCCGTGCTGAAGCGCTCCCGGGGAATCTCGGACCACCCACACCGTCCTCTCGACATCATCTGCCAGAACTCTTCGACGGTGGACACGTTTCCCGGAAGACGGCATGACATGCCGATGATGGCTATGGGTTGGGGGAGCCCGGGTCGGGGCCGGGGCCGAGGCTCCTCCTCCTGCCCGTCGTTCGTCGAGGGTTTCTTTTTCTCCGTGACCCCCATGATAGGTTAAGGTAGGTAGGTATGCACGCAGAGTCGCAGACAGGTCGTTGATGTAGGATAGATAGAATGAGCCAACGCCCAATAAAGACAGCGGGATTCTTCGATCATGTATTCGTACGTAGAAGGCGGCGAGATCATGTTTCTTTTCTTAGCAACCGTCGAGCGGGTGTCAAGTGATTGGATTGATGGTCTTGACTGCTGGATAGCAATCTCATCCGCACTGGGTAAGGTATGTGCTGTCAACCCCATCGCCGTTGTCGGATGTCTGTACACTAGTGTATGCTCTTCATTGATTTACGTGTCTGTTGATCTCGTCTGTAGATCTCGTCAGTCACAGACATGCATACTTAGCGTAGGTAGTTATCGACGTTCGGAGCGACCCCGAAAGATGAGGATGGTAACGTCAACGTTGCAAGCGCCGTGGGATTCACCGCCGCCGATCATAGTGTAATCTCCCGAGACCGGTTAACTTAGTGTAGTTACCATCCGCGCAATGCCTACTACACGTAGTTAGTACCTGAAATGAAGGCTGGATCAGATCAACGGCGAGTGGTCCACATGCAGAATATTCAGCCCCCTCGTGTGTTGGGAGGCTGAATCACTTGCGTCGATCGCGCAGGGCGGCAGGAATAACCTGCCACGGCGACCGGTAGTATACACTACACTAATACGATCCCTGTTTGATTCCAGGTTGTTAGCTCGAGACTTCAAGCGGCTCAGACAAGGATAGAGTTGGAGCCAATCAATGCAGGTGCAGGTGACTAGCAAAATACTGCCAAGAATCAAAAAGTACCCAACAACGCATACAAACTAGCTGGTGACAAAGGTACTAGTCAGTACCTACTGTACCCTCCGTTCTGGGCAATGACCATCTATAGCCGCCCGTGGCATTGGGCGGACAAAAGTAGGTGCAATGAGAGTGTAAAAAGGCAAGCGAAGGCGCAATATATATATCCAAGTAGCTGATTTCGTTCATTTTCGTCGCTTTTCCTAAATTCATTAGTTTGATCGTGATATTCTTGATAGTGGTCCGTGTTCAACTTGCGATTTTGGCCTGCTGGTGATGGTTGCTCAATTTCTGATTGGCTGGATTGGATCAATTCCGGGCCCAAATCGAAGCTCGCGGGTCTATTCCCAAAATGGCCGTCAGGTTCCGAGCTAACAATCATTCAAGGATCGTACTGTTGAGTCCCTGCACCCACATCCATCTCGGAAACAGAGCCCGACAGAAACTTGACGATGTTCATAAATTTGCCCTATAACCATTCATCCCACTTGGGTACGGACATAAACGGGCTTCGCTGCACTGACACGTTTCCTTCTGTCGGAGCAAAAGACCAAGAGCTTCTCTCGGCGGCCGAATCACCATCATGAAGTTCCTTTGCCTTCCAGGTACCTTTGGCAGTGCCGTTGTGAGTAATTCATTACACTATCATTTCCTTTCCTTTCGGCACACTTCTTGCAGAACTGATCCTGCTTTGCGTTTAGAATTTTGAGACCCAGCTCCAGCCCCTCGTTTTCCGACTCAAGGAACACGGCATTGCCCAATTCTCCTTCACGCAGGGGCAGCACAAGGCCACTCCACCCCCGGGGTTTGAGCGATACTTTGGCGTTGCCCCCAACTACCGCTTCGTTGGCTTCGATGGTCTGCACGGAAATATCCGCAACTTGACAGTGGGCGAGGGCTATCATGAAGACACCATGAGACGTCATGTTCGTACAAACAAGGTAGACCGTTGTCCTTGGGCCAATGTCCAGGATGCCGTCAATTACGTGTTTGAGACGATGGAAGCCGACCAGGACATTCAGGTACGTGTCATGTTGTGTGTCCGCGTGCTCTCTCTCACCCTCTCACCATCTCGTAGGCGTTCTGCGTTCTGCGCGCCAAGTCCTGATACCTAATTAATTATCCAATCAGGGTCTCCTAGCCTACTCCGAAGGCGCCATGATAGCAGCGACGATGGTGCTGCAAGATACTCAAAGAGCGGTGCGAGACAGCCGGCCGAGACGGATCAAGGTATGTACAGTCCCTACCTTACCTACCTCGGATGAGAGTTCACATGGGACTTGTGAGCCAATTCCTACCTACCTTACCTCGACTAATTCCTTCCTCTAATTACCCAACCAACCCAGTGTGCAATATTCCTATCAGGGTGGCCTCCCCTGTGCGAGCGCGAAGGCGGGGGCACGAGCTTGGTCCTAGCGGACGAAACGACAAAGGACATGATGATTGACATACCCACCCTACATGTGCTGGGCTGTAACGACCCTTACCTTGCTGGCGCCGTGTCGCTATACAACATGTGTGACGAAGACACGGCCGAGTTGTTGGATCATGGCATGGGTCATGCCATCCCGCGAGATGCCGACACTGTCGAACTGATCTGCGATGCGGCCAGGCGGCTTGTAGATAAGGTATGAATTGATATCGGCCGGGGGATCTCTGGCGAATTTTGGCGGCCTCCGGATGCAGGATAACTTGGTAGCCGAGCAAAATGTTTATGGTCTTTCTTCTTCCGGAAGGGCTTCTATCAGATCTCCTCGAAATACACTAGTTGTTAAAGTCTTCGGCCCGACTGGAATCACAAAGACACAGAGAGCATTACAAAAGAGCACCTCTGGCCAGCAAGTAGTTAGATGATCTACAACATCTCAGAGATCTTTGATTGTCTCATTGGGCTAGATCAGCATCTCGCGTCTGAGTCACAATCGTGCATGTTCCCCCAGCGCAAATCGGAGCGCCTCTCCACGATATTGACCTTTCACCGCATTTTGTCTTTGATTCTCCGGTTGTACACTAGTTTAAGGGAGAAAAAAGCGTCCGGTTAACTAACTCCTCACCAACAGGGAGATCGACAGAGTCGACATGGCTCCCTGCTCACATGATCCCAAGCTGGCCATCTACACATGCGCCGACTCCTGTTGCGAGGGACGTGTTGAGCAACTCAGAGCAATGGACTGATGATATTCGATATCTGGCTACCTATCTAGGTAGGTAGTGAAAAAAAAGGCGAATACGTACCATGCATGTGAAGAGACGGATCACTTGTGTATCCGCCAGGAGTGCTAAGACTCCTAGGTAGTGACCAATTTCAGAAGTCACGGAGCAACATCCTACACTAGTTAGAATGCAGACAGCATGGGAGACCAAGTTGGATCCGCGGCCCCCAACCTCAGTTGATCGACGAGTACACTAGTGTAGATTTGCTAGCTAATTTAGTGTAGCTACATACATGGGAGCGGACGAGCGGCCAATCAGGACACAGTGGAAGAAAAAAACAAAAGAAACGCTGGGCCTTCAGCTGAGAGCCTGAGCTGGTCATGTCCATTTCCATTTTTACCTCCGTACATACCCCAACATTTCTCACGACCACTACGTGGTTTGACGAATACACTAGCACCCTGGATCCGGACTAGGCGATGTCTCAAAGAAAGTCCGCCGTAATGACGTACTTCCCTGGCTGCAGGTGAGGCCAAACGAACGTTCCATACCTATCTGAACCCAACTGTCTCAGTTTGTAGTGTACACTGGAGCGTAGGTGACACCATGATGATACTCCGAAGTCCGAATGAATCAGCCCCTCAAGGCACGCATAATTTATTGCACGCCCAAGTCGGTACCTAATTAACGCGTTTCCACGACAGCCCGTGACGTGCCCACACTAACATGAAAGTGAACGAGGAGCGAGGCCGTCTTACACTATAGCGTTATTGTCCTTGAATACCTAGTTACCTATCACCTACCCTCAAATCCCACAGCGTTTCCCTCACTCTCTTGCCGACTTGCCCTAGTCGCATCGCTTGGACCGACAACAACAACAACACCATCAAATTTAATAATACTCTTTCTTCACTAGGTAATTAGCCCAGGTTATACCCAAACCCCAGCAAAGCAAAGCTGCAAAATTAAAAACAGCCATGGCCACCCCCTCTCCCCTCTCCCAAGTCCTCGCCGGTCCCGGCCCGCCACTCCCCCCCGCCGGCGGCAACAACCCCTCCATCTGGTCCCTCCTCCAAGCAGGCCTCACCACCAACCCCAACAACGCGGCTCTCATCTCCATGCACCAGCCCCCGACCCATCTCGCCCGCCTCGTCTCCGGGCCACGGTCACCACCGCAGCAGCAGCATAAGCAGCAGCAGCAGCATGAGCAGCAGCCCATCCAAACCCCAGCCACCCTCGGGCCTGACCAACTCCTCACCTGGTCCTACGCACAACTCACCCGTGGCGCCGCCCGCCTCGCAGCCCTCCTGCAGCGCCGCGGCCGCGGCCGCGGCGTTGTGCCCGTGCCCGCCGCCGAGTCGGTCCTCGCGACTTTTATTCCGCAGAGCGCGGAGTCGGTGCTGTTTCTGTGGGCGGCTGCGGCCGCGAGGTTGATGATTATCACAAGGAGGCCGGAGGAGTTGCGGCAGGAGGAAAAAGTGGGATATTATTTTGAGACGTTTGCGCCGGCGGTGGTGGTGGTGGAGGATGAGGAGGCGGTGGGGGTTGTGGAGGAGATGAGGAGGAAGTATACTGGTGGTGGTGGTGGTGGTAAGCATGGTCAGCAGCAGCAGCAGGGCGGTCCGTTTTTGGGGATTTGCCTGGGTCGGCTGGGGGAAAAGGGGAGGAGGGAGGGGTGGTTGAGTATGGCGGAGATTGAGGAGATGGAGTTTTCCGAGGAGGAAAGCAGCACTCTGAATCCTCCGCCGGCGGCAGTAAATGAGGATCGACTGCAATCACTGGATCGGCCGGCTCATGCGCTTTTCACGAGCGGTACGGCGGGGCCGGTGAAGTGTAAGTTTGCTACCTACCTAACCTACCTTACTGCCGAATGTTTTTACGTACCTGTAACCTACGGATTGCAAGCACCATCTCCAGATTGCTAAACAGCCACCACAGGCGTCCCCCAGACAGTCAAAAGCATCTCCGCCACAGCCGCCCTTATGGCAGCAGCAGTTGGCCGTAACCCCAGCGCACCGAGGCTCGTGGGCATTTCCATCGCCGGCGGCGTCGGGGGCTCGGCAACCACGCTTCCGTACCTCATCGCCCCCTGCGGCGGCACTCTCGTGATCCCAGGCCCCCGGTGGTTCTCGTGCGCCGACGTGATCCGCGCCATCGAGACGTGCCGCGTCAACTGGGCCGTGATGTTGCGGTATTACGCGAGTATGCTACTCCAGCATGCGGAAGCCAAGCCGGAGAGGTTCCGGTCGCTGCGGCTGGCCACGGTCTTTGGGGAGATCGTTGACGAGGGCGCTTTGGCCGAGGTGCGCAAGATGTTTGAGAATGCCGTGGTTGTGCCGGGTTATGGCATGACGGAGGGAGGAACGCTGTTTGGTTGGCCTTCGGGGCCTCCGAGTCCCTTGCCGAGCCTTCGGGGGGTTGTCTCGTCGGGTGTGGTGCTACCCGGCTTTTGGGTGCGGATTGTGGACGAGAGCGGCAAAGTCGTCGAGCGCGGCCGGCAGGGTGAGTTGCATGCCGGGGGGGACGTGTTTATTGAGCGGTATTGGGGTGGAATCGACGCCGATCGGTTTTACGAGGACGGGGCTGGGCGGTGGTTTAAGACGGGGGATTTTGCCGTGGTCGATGACAAGGGGTACTGGTACGTTGTGGGCCGGCTTAAGGACCGCGTAAGGAGCATCGCGGGCGAGGAGCATGGCATGTTCCATCCGTTTGTGCTTGAGTCCTGCATCGGTACACGGTTTGGGGTTCAGGTCAGTGACGGGATATCGGATATCCAGAAGGTGCAGACGAATGGGAATCAGGCAAGATCAAGAAATGCTAACGACATGTATTATTACTACCAGGCACAAGTCGTCGGAATTCCTACGGCCATGCTCGACGATGCGCCCTGTGCCATCCTGGAACGGCTTCCCGAAGGCGTCACCGAGTCCGATATTGCAGAACACTGTATCAACACAGTAGGTGCTACCCACGGCCTTGCCGGAGTTTTGAGCCTCGAGCAGCTTGGGATGAAGGACTGGCCGAGAACGGCCGAGACAGGCAAGGTCTCCAAGAAGGCTCTGCAACGCCTAGCATTGCAGCGGCTGGAAAAGCATGAGTTTACTGCCTACGCGCTTGGCAAGTCTTCCTGAGGCTTACATGCTGCCCCTGTCACCGGGGATTCGGGAACAGGAACCGGATTAACTGTAGAGCATGAAAGACCTTGGCCGGCTGTCGGGTGCTGAGGAATCGAGATTGCTACACTGGAATGAATTATGAAATTAATTAGTTCTTGTACCTTACCTTAACGCTTTAACTTGGAAGAACATCAATGTTCATCATGTCTGAAACGAAGAATCCGCCATAGGAGGAGTGATAATGCAAAGTACAAATTGGGAGTTGAAAGTTGGCCAAGTGTTTCCCACAGAATAAATAAAAGTCGGGAGCGAGTAATTATTCATCCACTCCATCCGACAGCTCCGGGCCAATTGAGCTGAGCTGGAAGAAAAGAAAGTACTAGTTAGTCTAGACCAAAAAAGAGAGAAAAAAAGAAAAGAAAAGTCAAAAAGCTCACCGCCCCATCATCTCAACACCCCGAGGGGGTCAAGGAATGGGGGGCGGTTACGAAAATCCCGAAAGATTTTACTCGGTGCATCATCCGGGGATCGAACCCGGGAGCTTAGATTCCGTGGTGTACCAGTTGACGCCCACGGCCCTCCCATTGCGCCATTCGACCGTAGTCGGTTTGGGAGGGCGGTTGGAAGGAGCTCCGCGGGAGTGGTTTATAAAGGGTGGGTGTTGAGGGAAGGAAGGTGGGAAGGAACGATGAGGTCGGCGTACCCATGATGACTCACGTGCAGCAAACCACATGTGGTCCTTCCTCACTGTCCAATTTCTCTTGGGGATCTGTAAGCTTCTTGTAGGAATCCCCTAGCCCGTCCTGTCTTTCGTGGTTGGGGAATATTAGCCTTTTTAGACGGATGGTGGTCGGTGGGCCTGCATAGGCTTATTCCAGTCTACCGAACTGTGCTACTCTTTAAGTTGATGTCTGTTCGTTGCATCGTACGTGACCATTGATTGACGTTTGTTCCGTTGACCTGTTGTATCCTTTTTTTTTTCCCTTTTTCGCCCGTCTTCAGGCCACTCATCGGTCGATAGTGGTACCAAGTTGTTCTGAAATTGGGAGTGTCGTTATTGAGTTTGCTATTGAGGATGGAATTAGATGGCTGGGAAAATCATTTTTCCTGTTGAAAGAGAAAGAGCTCTACTTCGCTGACCTGGGTGGTAGATGCTTGACTTGTAATTGCTGCTTGTCCTACCGTATGTGTTCCGGATATCTACGCCCATCTTACCTAGATGTAACTAACACATCAATAGGGAGAGATGGAGACGAGAACTGGAAGAGTCGTAACAGCTGTTGGCATGCATGCATGCATAATTTATGAAGAAAAACTACGAAAGTCTAATAGTTATGAACAAGCCGTGGAACAATAAGGAAACCCTGTAGCACCCATTCTCTCTCTCTCTCTCTCTCTCTCTCTCCCCACGTCTGTCATAATCGTAATCGTAATCATCATCAGTCGGCATTCCCCAAACCGCATTCCAATTTTAAAGCCTGCCCCAAATCGGTTTATAGCCACCCCCTTCCCACGTTATCCTCTCGCTTGGGGCAATGACCGTGTCTCCAACCCATTCCCCTCCCTTTTCATGCCCTCCAGATAATCCGTCTTTCAGCTCGTTATTTCTTCCTCCTAAAATCCAAGCAAACAAAACAAAATGAAACACACAGAGAGAGGAATGATCACGAGAACGGAATGAATACAAGAGACCGAAAAATGAAGAGAAAAGAACGGAAAAAAAGATCAAAAAAGAAATAGACAACCACCTCCCACTGAACCCCCGCAATACCTGCCCCCCTATCCCAACCAACCCAGCAGAGAGCAGAGAGTACATCTACCCCCAACCAACCAACCCACCCCATAACCGTCCCTCCTGCTCTGCTGCTCTACTGCCCTGCTCTTCTCACACTATATCTAACCCAACAGCAGAGTCAAACATACCGTCTGCCAGGCGGGGCAATGGGACCAAAGGGAGAGGGAGAAGGGGGTGTGCTGGATTGTGGTGCGGTTGTTGTCGTTGTTGTTGTGCCGGCGGAGGGTTTGGCGTGGGTTGGGTGGGTTGGTGATGGGTTTGTGCTTGTGCTTGTGGTGATTGTTGTGGGGGTTGTGTTTGTTGTTGGGCGGAAGGCTGTGGGTTGTTGTTAGTGTTCTTCTTGGAGTTGGAGTACACAGTAACAAAGTAACGGGTGTAAACACAACCCCATGACAAAAAAAAAAAAGGCAGGACTTACAAAACGAACAAGCTGCTGCAAACGTCGAGCCACTCCCGCTCAGCGTTTGTCCATGCGCACGATACGGCATCTGCTGCTGGAGTGGCTGCTGATGCTGCTGCTGATTTTGATCTTCCCAAGCCCACATGCGCGTGTCGTTACCCGAGAAACCCGCGGAGGAAGTATTGTTTCCCAGCTGGTGGTTAACATGAGAATTGGCAGTCCTGCTGCTGTTGACCTCGCTCAACAACAGCAACGACGATGATGGCGATGGCCCCGCACCGCGCTCCGGATCCGAGCTTGACAGCCGATACCGCGATAGCTCGTCGTGATATTGCTGCTGCTGCTGCTGGTTGTACTGATGTTGCTGCTGGCGGTGCTGTACACCATCGCTCGCCCCGTCATAGCTCTGGATAATCGGCCCGTCATAATCATGAGATGACGGGGATGAGCCGGTAGCGGCAGAGGCAGCGGCAGTTGCGGTGGGCTTACCGCCGGAGACAGAAGACGGAGAGGAAGAAGTCGACGAGGGGACTTGACTCCGCCATGCAGCAGGGAGGATCTTTTCCCGCGCGGGGGGCAAGTCGACGGGCATGTTTCCTAGGTTTCCCCCTCCGCCTCCTCCCCAGCGTGAAGCAGCCAAGCCGTGGGATGTCGGTCCGGAACGGAAGTCTCTGGACTCGGAAGTGTCGAGATCATCCCCTGGGGCGGTCAACAAGCGGGGACCCTGGGGTTGAGGTTGAGGTTGAGTTCGATTCCTAGCGGAAGGGAGCATCCTCCACCCTCGACCGTCCGGTCCATACCCCTGGATCTGCTGCCCCCGGCTTTGGGTCCCGCCCATTTCCATGCCCATGCCCATCCCCATCGGCATCCCCAGACCCAAGCTCTTACTGCTAGTGTTCTGTCCGTTGAACCCTAACCCTAACCCCCGGCCCTGATTCTGCCCCTGATTCTGCCCCTGAATCTGACCCTGAATCTGACCCTGAATCTGACCCTGACTCCCCTGAATCTGCTGTGTCTGTCCATGAGTCGTCTGCGTCTGCACCCGCGCCAACTCCCCCTGCCTCCGCTTCCACCACGCGGGATACCCCAGAAACAACCCCAGCTGGTGCTGCGTCGCGCGGTCGGCGGGCATCTCATGCTTGTACTTGCAGCCCTGCTGGGTGAAGGCGCAGACGCCTTCGTGGACCCATTTGTCGCAGTAGACTTTCATGCGTTTGGAGGAGGGGGTGAAACTGGAAGTAGACGTGGGGGTTGTTCGGCTGGGGGTGGTTATGGTTGTGCTGGGTGGTGTGTGTGTGGTTGTGGCTGCGGTCTGGGTGGTTGTTAGAGTGGTTTGATGGTGATGGTGGGTGGAGGACGGGGGCGAAGAGGGGGCGGCGAGGATGCGGTCGATGCGGGACTGGATGTGTCAGGGGGTTGAGCAAGGGCGGATCTGAATGGGAAGAAAAAGGAAAGCAAAAAGAAGAAAGAAAGAAGAAAAAAGAGTCGGGATACAGTGAGGAGGAGGTTGGAATGGGACATACCTGAATAACATCCCCACTACTCGCACTAGGCGGAGTCTGTTCACGTTAGCATCTCATGCTATAGCCACCGTGCAAGTGCTGAACACACTGAAAACCAGAAGGGAGAAAATAAGAAACTAGAGAACTCACCACAGCCCTCAAAACCTGCCAATTACTCGATCTCCCATCTTCACCTACACCCCCCGGCACAGGCAGCTCTACCAGCCTCCCACTCTCTCTCTCACTCCCACTTCCACCCTCCCGTGCCGGAATACCCTCCAGCGTAAACGGCAACATATCCACCGGGACCAATCTCGTGCGCGTCCCATCAGGGCGGACGAAGCAATACCCCAGCGTGTCGGGGGTGATGGTCACTGTGAAGGTCACCGGCTGTTTGTTTGTACTGGTTGTAGGCTGAGTCTGCGTCGTCTGCAGTTGAGTCGTCTGCGTTTGAGATCCAGACGAAGCGGCAGTATCAACACTGCTCAAAGACGTGTGATGAACATGTCCAGAGCCCAGATCAAACCGAACCCCCCGTCCGGAAACGGGGGTCGAGACAGACGCTGTTAGGGACACGGGAGTGGGCGGGCTGGTTGGGTCGCGGAGGGGCGCGCCCTCTTCTTCTTTTCGTTGTGTGTTAGCGAGTGTTGTACCAGGCGTGCTGTGAGGAGGCTTAGGGTTGAAGGCGAATCCGGCAATGGACGAGTCGATAGGGGCGGTCAAGGGGCTGCGGGCTGGGCTGAAGAGGGTGGTGGTCGAGGTTGAGGACGGAGCAGCTAAGGATAGCTTGTTGTCGTTTGAGGTCTTAGTCTGGGACTTGCCGGCAAGAGAAGCAGAAGCACGCCAGTTGTCCGACACAATCGACCGGGAGGCTTGGTCGAAGCGTGGAAAGGGCTTGTACACCCCGATCTGCCCGTTTCGGTACGGGGGGTTGCCCGAGCTGGTTTCCTCCTTTTCCGCTGCGTGGTGGTTGTCAATACCACTGTCATCACTCATCAAGTCTGCCAGCTCGGCACAGTGGCCATCCAGTCTCGGGAGTTTGTGATCAGTGTGAAAGTTTCTTGTCTGGGGCGAGTCCGAGTCCAAGGACCCCTGCGGAGAATGCGACGGGGTGAGGGGTAGAGAGGCCATGGTCGTGTAGGCGAGGAGCTTTGAGAAAGAGATCGAAGTTGTGAGGATGACAGCCGAGATAAAGTCTTGTTGTTGGTTGTTGGCGGGCCGGTCTGGGAGCTGTCTATACCACTACTCTGCAGAGGAATAGCCGAGATGAGAGATGGAGAAGAAGCGGAAAGAGGCGAAGAAGAAGACGAGTAACAAGGTTTCGACAGACGAGACAGTTCCTTCCGGTGTAGTTAATCTTGATCCGTGGAAGGCGCTGAGTTTAGTATCCCCAGTGGCGTATCCTTGACCGAACCATAAAATGTGGGTTTAAACCAAGAGAAAAATAAAGAAATCCCCGTTTGGTAAGAACCCCAAAGGCAGACAACCGAAAAGCAGGGCAAGACAACGAACAAGAGGCTGTCTGCGTACAAGCAAGGCAGCAAAGCGGGCCTGGCCTGGCCTGACCCAACCTTGAGAGTGCAAACGGACGATGTCAAATTGACAAACTGGGATATCACAGCCCTGGCACCGGGCACCCGCCTGTCGTTGTCCCGCGGCCTTCTTACCGCCTTGTCGGTAATGCCGGTGTGCTGTGTAAACGGGCGTCCTTGCTGTCTACCGTTGCTGTCTTCGGTGTATGCCTGGTGGTGTAGGCCAGTCGGTGTGTCGTGTATCGAGTGGGTGTGTGTATGTGTGTGTGTGTGTCCTGCAAGTTGCCCGGACAGAATGGCGAAAACCCAAAGCAAAACAAAAGAGGGAAGAAAGGTAACGCAACGTTATACACACCCCCGAGCAGAGCAGAGTCGAAGGGGTGATGTTGCGGGGTCTCCACAGCACTTGACTGGAACAGCCTGCGGGCGAAGCGTGACACGCGTGTCACCGCAGCAGAGGGAGAGACGGTTATGATTCCGAGGTGGGAGACGCTAGAGATCTGGGTTGGCGAGGGCAGGGCTGGTTTGGGTCTTGTGGTGCGTGAGATGAAAGCGGGGACGTAGGCTGACAGGAAGTGCGAGTGTCTGGTGATATTGCTCTGGAAGAATATCGAGGTTCTATCGTAGGTCAAGGGATCACGTCCTATTACATATCAATCATCAACAGATGGCCCTATTTCACACCAAACCCACTGAACCATCCATCAAACACAGGTTGACACCCCAGGCCGTCCACCGGCACATAAATACAAACGCATTACCCACTAAACCCACTAAAGCCGGTCAAGACCGCGACAGAAAGAGATAGACAGAAACAGACAGGCAAAAGCAAATAAGGTTCGCTGCTCCTGCGCCCGGCTGCCTGCATCCCACATCCGTCCTGCCATTGCCTGCCTTGCCTACCCACGTGAGCAAACGGCCGGCAAGGAAATGCATTGGACCGCATCATGTTGTGCGTTGTCTTGTGGGATGCCAAAACACAACAACCGCGATAAACGTTGGCGGGGAAAGCATACTTGCAGATGAGTAAACAGGTAGCCAATGAATGAGTGTTAGGTTGGGGAGGGTTAGTTTGTTGAAATGTAGGTTTTCTTGGTAGAAATCAGGAAAACGTACAGAAACACACATACGGAAACACATAGTAACACGATAACTAAATCCTGACGTTCTATCATGTCCATTTCTTTCTGCCTCTGCATCCAACTCCCGACTGTGACTAACAACACCATGCACCTGTCCCGGGCATATGCGAAGCCATGCAACGGAATACTCATCCCTGCCCGATCGGATCAGGCACGCCGTTGCTGCCGAAAGAGTCATCCGAAAACACTCACCCAAACAACCTGAGGCACCCACCAGAAATTTCCATCTCTGCCTTCTCCTTCCTTTCCCCCACAACCACCCTTCATAACCCCCCCACGCACAGTCCCCTTCCAACCACCTCCCCAACCGACAATAAGTCGATCTGGCGCAGTTGGGGGGGCCGTGGGCGTCAACTGGTACACCACGAAGCCAGCCCCCAGAGGTTCGATCCCTGGGGGCACCACTTTAGTAAAATCTTTCGAGGTTTTCGTAACCCCCCACAGAGTGGGGGATGGGCTTTTCGATATCTTCTCTTAGGTAACTCTTTTGCCTCGAAAAAAGTCCGGGTTTAGCGGTTTGTTTCGTTCGAATGGATTATTTCTTATGTATTTTTGTTCACTCAACTTTTGTCTTGGAATTACCAAGGTTTGTTCGGGGAGGTTGAGGATTGGAAAGCAGTAAGCGGAATAAATGAATGGAGGTCATCCGGAACATGACCAGAGAGGCCTACAGTCTGAGGCCTACAGTTTAAAGCCTTTTCTCGATATTGAGGCGTGCGTTCTGCAGCATGGCACTTCCTGCAGATGGTGTTTGACTTGGCAGCTACATCGGTTTGTTTACAACCCCCTGAATTGCCTAAACAGACCTACCCCAAGTTCCCATCAAAAAATCAAAAGATCAAAACAAACACCCACACAGCTACAATCCACTACACATAGGTACTTGGAGGAGTGGTCGAAATTTCACAGCATATCAACTGCTTCAAAAAATGGACATGTCTGGGAGCCAAGACTGCCCAAGGCTACACGTTTCATCCACGCCCAGTTACTCCCTACAACTGACTACAACTATCATGCCCCCACTGTCTAAACGCCTGGCTTCCGCATAATCCCATTCCTATTCCCTCCCCATCCCATCCATATCCTTAACTTCCATAGAACCCTAAAGTTCCATTCCCATTTCATAACCCCATATCCTTCGTTTCCTATACCCGCCCCATCTCCCGCGGCCACCTCCCATAGCCACCTCCCACTCAGAGCATAGGCCACCCCTCCCAACCCTGTACAGTCAAGGGCACTAATACCCCGCCACAACCCCCGTCATCAAATCCTCATCCTCCACCTGATTCATAAACAACCCCCCATAATCCCGCTGCCAATCCTTCCCCCCGCGCTGCTGCCCAGCCACAAACCGTACATAATCACGGCTCGTACCCAGCCGCTCGTTGGTCGCCCTTACCAACGGCTCCAACGCTTTAAGCCTCTGCGCCGTGGCCAGCATGCGCGCCGCAAACTCCCGCTCGGAGAGTTCCTCTTCGTTGCTGGCACTAGCAGTAGTAGCGCTCCGCGAGGACGGAGAGAAAACAAGATAGGCTGGCCCGTTGGCTGGGCGTTCGATCACGCCAGGGAGCATCCCCTCGTCAATCATCTGCTGCGCGAGCTGGTCGATGTCCGCTTCCGTGGCCAGCGGTGCGGCGGTCTCGCCGCTCTGCGTGCGGGTGCGGATCTGCTCGAGCGAGATCTTGGTGTAGACGTTGCGGAGATTGAGGATCTGCCACCGCTGGTAGTGCTGGATCACCAGCCGGACAAGGTTGAAGTTGTTCTCCTCGCCGAAGAACCCCGCGCCGAGGTTCTCGACCTCCTGCTTGAGTGACTCGGCGGTTTTCTCTGTGAATGCCAGCGCGATCGTTTGGTACGGCTTGCCCAGCGTGCCAAAGACCTTTTGCGCGCCCTGCGCCGTTGTGGGCGGAATTGTCGGCGGCTTGCCGTGGAGGAGCAGCCCTACCAACACCCACTTGTTGTACGCCTCTACCATGACTTTGCTACACCCCTGACTGTCTCGGACCGGGTATGTGATGACGCGCTCGAGAGCGGCAAATGCCTGGCTCCACGACCGTTGTTGGATGAAGCTCAGGCCACGGAGTAGATCGTACTGCAGCACGTCGAGACTGACCAGGCTCTTCGTCAGCCCGCTGTCTGTGGTGATGTACGACGCCGGCGGCAGCTCTGGATGTCCGAGTGATTGCTGTGTCTGTAGGCTTTTGGCGCCGGGGTAGAACACAATCTCCTTCTCGAGGATCGGTAGCGCGGGCTTGACGTTGTCGGTTGTGTACGCGAGCTTGACCAGGCTAACGTGGTGGTTCGTGAGCACCGAGCCCGTCGGGTCAAGCCTGAGAAGTGCTGTCGTGGCGAGATCGACCGCCACGGATGCCTAAACCCGTCAGTGCCTGTCCCAAAACCGCATGACTTTACCAGTGACCGTATGACTTTCAGTGTACATACCGGAAACAACGCCCCCTCCAAAACCCAATCCAACACTTCCGCAAACGCCCTCCCAGCATAGCGTATCTGCCTCGCGTCAAACGTCACCAGAAACACCGAAACCCTAGCCAAGAACTCAGCTTGCGGCAAACTATTGGCAGCCTTGGCCGCAAGTAGCAGACCAATATGTGAGATAGAGTTGATCGAGGGGTCGACGTGCTATCGAGGACCGTTAGCAAATAACCGCCAACACCTGGGGTGCCTGCCCCTCCAACCGCTGTCCACCAAATCACTTTCCACCCATAAGTGAACGGTGAGAGGGGGAATAATGAATACACACATCAAGCAACTTGGCCGCCACCTCCACAAACTCCGCCGTCCCCACCAGCCGCTCAACCTTTTGACTGTGTGCCTTGGCCAACGAGTGATATAGATCGTCGTCGACAATCCCGCCCGCGGGCGGGAAGTCCAAGAGCACCGATGCAAACTGGTCCATCGGTGCGGTTGTGTTGTGTATGTGTACGTATTATCAAGTGTGGTTGCGCCTTGTACGAAAGGGAGGATGGTATCGACCGGTTGGTCGTGTAGTTCTATGGGAGTGTGCGAGGTGGGGTTGGTTCGGAGGGAAGTAAAATCGAACGGTCGAGCTTTAATCGGTCGGTCGGCCAGTCGGTTAGGCCGCTCGATATTTCGATGGGAACAAATTGACGTCGTTTTTGGTTCGGGCGATCCGAGCGGCGCCAGAAGCTCAAAGTCGGGCAGGTAGGGAATGGTAGCTCCGGTCACGATACCTTGCCGAGCTACCAACTGGTGTTAGGTGGCGTCTTCTTAATTAGCACAATGAATCTCTTGTCAAGTCGTCACCGGCAGAAGAAGGCGGAAAACAAGTAAATTCGAGAGATCGAGGTCGAGTAGCTTGTTTGTTGAGTAGCCCAGGCTTGCCAGACAAGGTTGAAGGAAGCTCCCCAACCCGCTACGATTTGGGGACCTGCCTGGAAGCACCCCCACTTGGAGCACCCCGCAAGGCTGTGATTGAGGCACCCCCACAGGGCAACGGCCCCGACCCCTGCCGGTTTGTTGACTTTGTCACAAAACGGGATACAAGTCACAAAGCAACACTGCCAACTTGAAAGTAAAGTCCTCACTTAGGTGCACCGAATTTATTATGCCCTCAGACTAGAGCATTTACATTTCACTACAGTACAGCGCGATGGGTGTTCCACCTCAACGTATGTCAGGATTTCTCAACTCAGATGCAATAGTCATCTTGTCTCCTCCCCCGCATCATGCATCAATCATGCTCCTCTCAGACGCTCAACTCCTTGATCAGTTCCGCAAGTTTGTTGCCCTCGGTTTTGTAGTCAATTGGAGTAGCGCTCATAATCTGGAAACGAATCCTGCACGTGACTTGTCAGTAAAAAGGCCAAAAGGTGTTTTAGCATTAGGAAGAAACCAACCTCGATTCTTCGCCAAAAGTCTCCATCTTAGCGCGGAGCCGGAACGAAAATTTCCTGAGGGTGCCCGCCATAAACGTGGCGGCAAACGCAGGGTCGTCAGTGGTCTGGTACGCCACCAACTCGTCGGCCGTCTTGCCCAAGATCACGCGGCCCGAGTCGTCAAAGGAGCTCGCCCAGGTATGACCGGTGTGGTCGCCAATGTCCATGCTCAAGAGGTAGCGATGCTGCGGCGTGAGGTTTGTCTTGTTGCATTTCTCGCATCGCCATTCCCCGCCGCCCATGTCGGTCAGCTTCTTGTTGCATCCCTCTGTGGGGCAAGCTGGGTAGGAAAACCGTTCTTGCTTGATGTGCATGATGGTAGCCCTGACAGAAAAATACTGGGCTTCCTCAACCCCCATGTACTCCGCTTTGGCTTGAGCTATGGTCTTTACGGCGTCTGGACGCCCCCCGGCGGCTCCGGTTGAGTTCATGTTGGTGTGCGGTATGAATGTTGTGCTGCCGCCCTGGGAATCGTACCAGCCCTTGAGCTTGTGGGCTTCGGGGATATCAGGGTCGATAGCCATCGTGCCCGATGACAAGAGCGAGAGGCTACGACCGCTGAATTCGCTGACTCGCGTACCCTTGAAGGCAACAATGGATTGGCGCTCGGCGTCGAACTCGCTCGCCACCTTGCCCCAGATGGTCACGCGCACTGAGTAGCCGGTGTCGTCGGCTAGGGTTAGCTCACGCTTGTTGTACGGCTTCTGCGTCGTCTTGGATACGATTTCCTCTAGATCTTTCACATCCGTCAACACGCCGATAACGTCGACCGTTGCATCACCCTGCACCTCTAACAACTTTTGGATGTCACAAAAGTTGTAGCGCACCTGCGGCACCGAGCTCTGATCCTCGGCCTTCTCAATATGCGTGTCCGTCTCGAACACGAGCTCGTAGTCGTTGGGCAGGTTGCTGAACTGCTTCTTGGCAATCTGCACCTTACAGGGCGTCGAGATGTAGTAGACGGATCCCTCCTGTAGCAACTCGTAAAACTGGTCGACGGCTTGGTTGAATCCCGTCGCCCGGATCTCGCCGCTTTCGTCGAGAAGATTCACACTGAAGAGTTTTCCAGGGCCGCTAGCCTTGTTCCATGTCCGAATGTCCGACTTCTGAGTGACGCGAGCCTTGATCGTCCACTTGTTCCCGTACGGGGAGAGTGCTTCGATGGGGTATATTGTGCCTGCAGCGAGGCCACTGCCTCCGCCGCCACCACCGCCGCCCCCGAACGCTTTCTGGGCTTGCGGCTTTCTCTCTGGGGCGGGCTCATTCTTGGCCCCGCCGCCGTAGAAACTAGCACCGCCAGCACCACTCGCAGCAGCCGGTTGAGGTGGGGGAGCTTCTCCCGCATTATCCATACTCTGGGGATTCCCAATCCTTTCTGGTGCGCCTAGTTCCCCAGCAACTTCGAGATCGAGAATAATCACCACACTACACACAGACACACGAGATCAGTCAGCACCGTCCCCCCACGCTAGCCATGGTGGATTAATCAGAGGAAAAAAGACTGACAATTTGCCCTTCAAAACCTGGGCCTGGTACTTCTTGACGCGCACAATCGACCCACGCTGCAGCAGCCCGTCATGCATCACATAGTTCGCCTGCGTGGCCAACATGCACTGCACATAGTTTCGGATGTCGCTCAGGACGATGCGGTACCTCTGGGCACCATCGTCGCCCACCTTGTTCTCGAGAGTCTTGATGTGGATACATTGCATAACCGGAACGGGAAACTGGGCGGCAGCCACTTCGGGTTGTTTGTAGAAAATGGCCCTAGGAAGCGAAGGTTTCGGTCAGTTTCCAAACGGGCAGGACAGGCCAGGCTAGCTCGGGCTGCATCAACTCACTCTATCACGCCTTGCGTGATCTGTTGTTCCGCCATTATGTTCAAGCAGGTCTAAGGGTGACACTGCGTTATGAAAGAGAGATAAGATGTCGATGTGGCTATCGTCGGGTCCTTGGTGTTGCGATGGTTTGTGGTTCGGCCCGTGACTTTTGTGCAGAAGCGATTGTTGCACGAGGGGTCGCGTTGGGCAGAGCGCAGAACGCGTCGAGGGGCAACGAGTTTAATGGGGTCGGCACGTACGGTGCGGAGACAGTGTGGCACTGTATATGAACGGTGAGAATCCCAACACCCCACTTGCTTTTTCCTTTATTTCCGTCTTGGGCTTCTAGTTGTCTGCTTGGGAGGTTGCCATCCCTTGCAAACGGTGTCCCGCCGGTATGACAAGTCTCGAGTGACACGATAGCCTTGCCTGCCTTGGAATACGCGAGGTCGGATAAGAGCCGGCATGGACTAGAGAGCTTACCGATGGATCTACCTGCATGTTACCTCTCTCCGCTCGAGCTTGGTGCTTCCGAGACCATTGGTGGAGCTTGAATATCCCCGCTCATGTTGGTGAGGGGTGTTGAACAACACCGTCAAGCCTGTGATGAAAGCCCGAGTTTCATCCTCTCTTTCATTTTATGAGAAGAAGTGGCTTTTTTTACGAAACGTAGCTGCTGCTAACTCTAATCTGACCATTTGACTACTCGTTTTACCACGCTCGACCCTGTCTCCCCTCTATCTTTCCAAATATCCCGGCCCCTCACTCACTTGACGTGCCCAATTCATCCTTACCCAACACCAACAACAACATCTCTAACCCAACATCTCTAACACACCACCAACCATGTCTTCCACCGCCCCCCACCCCATCATCGACTCCCACATCCACCTCTTCCCCACCTCCGAACTCACCTCCCTCTCCTGGTACACCCCCGACCACCCCCTGGGCTCGCAACACTCCCTCGAAGAATACCGCGCCGCCATCGCTCCCACTCCCGATTCCAAGACCCCGGCACCCTCCGTCTCCGGCTTCATCTTCGTCGAAACCGACCGCAACACCAACCCCTCCACCAAAGACTTCGCCGGCCCCTTGCAAGAAATCGCCTGGCTACGACGCATCGTCACAGGCCAGCCCAAACCCGGCGAGGGCCACACCGCCGACGACGCCCGTCTCTGTCTCGGCATTGTCCCCTTCGCGCCGCTGCCGCTGGGCGCCGAGGCGCTGAAGGCGTATCTGGCGCAGGCGGAGGAGGTCGCGGGGCCGGAGACGTGGGCGAAGGTGAAGGGGTTTCGGTATTTGTTGCAGGACAAGGAGAATGGGACGGCGTTGGGGGACGGGTTTGTGGAGGGCTTGAAGGTGCTGGGGGAGAAGGGGTTTGTGTTTGAGGTGGGGATTGATCAGCATAGGCGGGGGCGGGTGCAGTTGGAGGAGGTGGTGGAGATGATTGATCGGGCGCATGATGGGGTGGCGGAGGATGAGAAGGTTGTTTTTGTGTTGAGTGAGTGTGCCGACTGCTCTGATCTCTGATATGAGGTGTATGTCTGTCTTGTGTGGCTAGAGTGATCACTAACGCGGCGGATCAGACCATCTCTGCAAGCCCGACCTAACAATCCTCAACCAGACCGACCCGTCCTTCATCGCGTGGTAAGCTGAACCTTCACTCCTCTCCCACAACACCTCACTTCTCACAGCTAACCCCCCGACTCTAGGCGCACAGCCATGTTCACCCTCAGCAAGTGCCGCAAGACCTACATCAAGCTCAGCGGCCTCTTCTCCGAGCTCCCCGACAAACTCAAGGAGCGCTCTGCCGAGGACATCTTCTCGGCAATCCTACCGTGGCTGGCCGTCGTGGTCGCCGCCTTCGGCCCGGCCCGCATCATGTTCGGCAGCGACTGGCCCGTGTGCACGGTCGGCGTGGGCAAGGAAGATGCGTGGAAGAAGTGGCACCGGGTCGTCGACATGGTGTGCGACCTGGCCGGGCTCAGCGAGGAGGACCAGGCGATGCTGTGGGCGGGGACGGCGAGAGAGGCGTACAAGTTGGATGGGTAGAGAGTGAAGTGGGAGGAGAGGTAAAAATGGTCCGTTATGTGATTGCTATCTGGCTGATGTTATCTATCGATTATTTAATGAAACAAATATTCGTGACATTTTGTTGACTCGTTACTTTTTAAGTCACAAGCCTAGCTCTTAACAGACCACAACGAGGTGAAAAGGGCGGATTGATGGACATAATACACGCATGTATGTGTGAGCATGGGAAGCCCAGCTAGCCCGTCGATAGATCGTAACCAGCTACGAAAACCTGTTCAACCGGGGGTTTTCCTTGCTGCCAGGGCGCATCCTAAAACCCCTCCCTTTACATGCCACTCCCCGAGTCGTACCACTTTGTCACCGTTTCTAGAATGGTGATGCTTCGGCTTTTAAACTTGTTTGTTTAATTTCCGCAGTTGCCCGACCCAACACTGACCTAAAGCCAACCCTCGGAATGCCCCCATAAGTCAAACAATCAGTAATCCAATAAAAAAAAGAAAAGAAACAAAAATACCTGCAATGCTCTCAAAGCAAAGCCGTCCAAATTATAACCCTAACTGATACCAACCAACCCCAACCCAAACTCCCCATCACACAACACAACCTTATCACAAAAACCAGAACCAAAACCAACATCCATTCCAAAACCAAACAACCTCACAAAATCATGCCGACCGACGGTCCCGACCGTACCGACCACACGACCACACTACATAGTAGTGTACCTCCGACAAAGCCGACATAGCCCGGCCAAAAGACCGGCCCCGATACGCCCCACACATCAGTCCCATGTGCCGCCTCTGGGTCTCCGTTCCGGTAAGTGGGCTTGGCCTTTCGCTTCTGGCCCCCAAAACCGGCCCCCAGGTTGGTCTTCCATCCCGGCCAACAGCGAAACATCACTCTTTTTGATGCGTGTGTTCTATAACTACTACCATAGTAGATGTGCACGTGCTCGCGCCCGCATGCGTCAAGTTAAACACGCAACCTTGACATGTACCTGCCTGCATAATACATCTAGCCCACCCCAGCGACCGTTGATAACGATGACGAGGAGGCTCACCAACTCTGCTCCGACCGGTCAGCAGCCCAGGTCAGACCTGGGGCCAGCTCTGCTGAGGAGATAACATGATCCTCAGTGCCCCCTCTCGGGAACCGTATCCGGTCGGATAGACAAGCAAACAAACAGGCACCGGTGTGACGATGGACCACAACCCGTCAATCCGGTCTCAATTCCTTCCCTGTCCGGTTGATTTACCCGGCCAACAACAGCAAAAACTTTCGCCCGGCCAAGGGACAAGAAATCGGCCAAAATTCGGGACAAGAATAGGCAAAGTGTCACGCTCGCAAGCCCTGTCGCTCTGGAGACCCCTTGAACTTTTCTCCAGTGTTTTGGTGACATCGGCTGGCGGATGAATGTGAGGGAATGCCACGGCATCGACACCATCATCCATGGCACGCCTCGGCATGGCTGGCATGGTACATTCAACGGCCGCGGCAAGGCGGGCAAATCGGCGATCCGACCAGCCCCAGCCATGCAGTGGAAGAAATTTGGAACGGTCGGCGAAGCAACGTCCCCGTCGTTCCTCACCTTGGTATTTTCATTCTTGACCTCGGCCCTTTTCGTCGCGTGTGATTCCCGAAACAGGACTGGGGGTGCAGGGACAGGTCATTGAATCTGAGGTTCAGTGCTGCCTTCTTCCATTCGGCACATGCCTTTCCGCCCTGCCTGGATAGACGGGACAAAGAAAGGGGCTTGCCTGTGCTACGTGTACAGTACACCGTACTGGATGTATGGACGGATCGCATACCGCGCTCTGGGCACGGAATAAGTCAAATTAAGACCGGCGCGAGGTTGTTTTTGGGTGGTGAGTCACCAACCATGTTGAGAGTAACTTTTAGTCAACTCTTGCTAAAGGAAGAAGAAATGAGGGGACAAGTTGATGGACAGCCGTGCTTGTGCACAACGAGCCTAACGTTAGAGAGTAAGGGGACCCAGGGAGCTGAATGAGGTGGTCCGTTCCTCGCCATATCCTCCTCGCTATTCGACGATGAACAGTGGGTTGTTGTTCATTCACTCACCGTCTTTCCCTTAAGGGTTAAATTCCTGAAATAAGTGCCGATTCTCGCAACCGAAGGGGGGGGGAGGACGAAAGAAAAAAGTGAGCGGGGGGTCTCAAAAAGACAAACCTTGCCCGTTCCACGGGGATCCAGTCGGTGAGAGAACACACCACGCCCTTCACTCTCGAGTCTCGACTCGCTTCTCGACGATTCAAGAACACGAAGACAGAGATCTCCGGGTCTCACCGTTAGCGTCACGTAGCAGCACGCCGTTGAGGAACGACTTCGTTAGCTCGGAGGCGAGGCAGGGTGCACGCGTGGGAAAAGAGACAAAAGTCGATCCATGTCTTGGCGCTACTCCCGGCAGGACCGAAAATCTGGGGAAGGATAATCATACGGATACCACAGAATATTCTCGCAAGAATTACCGTCAATTGCATTTCGGGAGACCGGAAAACAGCGCCGATATCCGCCTTTTTGCTTTTCTCCCTCTCAGTCTCAACACGCGTTCGGCGCATTTCTACAAAGGGTTAGTTGACCCAATGCGCTTACAAAGTTCAGACTCGTGCTTCATGCTCGGCCCCTGGTGTTGTTGTAGCAATGCAGGGGCCCGCTCGTTCCGTCGGCGGGTCCCCGTTCAAAGAGGAAATTCCAGAATACTTCCTGAAACGGCTGTGCTGGACGAGGGTGAAGCAAGTACAGGCAGATCGCGGGAGATCAGACGGACGGGACGGCGGCTTTGCCCACGTCATCGAGCGAAATGTTGCAGAAGGTGTGCCGATGGGGGAAAGTAAAGCAATGACACCCAGTGTCTGCTGTGATAGGAAAGAGGAAAAGCGACAGCAAAATCGTCGGTTTGGCGTGCTCGCATGGCGGGGTGAGCTCACCAACTCGCGATTGCCCGAAACGCCAAGATTGGGAGGTGCTTTGTGTTGGAGGCTCATGGGGGCTGTCGTCTGACGGAGCCGCTGGGGTGTTGCTGACGGGTTTGGCGGTCTGCGTTTGTCGACACAGTCAAACATCTGGGGGTGCGAAGCGTTGTGTGTGCACGAAGCTGTGGCTGGCTGGATCGTTGGCATGCTTTGCCGCCCGCGGAGGAAGACAGCAGGAGTGTGGCCGGCGGGATGCAGCGCCTTTCGGTCTGAGAAGTGCACGCAAGGCGATGTTGGTGGCCGGCTTGAAAATGACCAGATTCATGCGCCGCCCCCTTGTCGATGCCCTGCCGTTTTGGAGCAAACGCGAAGGAAATATGTTGCATTCTTCTGACGCTGTGTCAAGAAACCATCGGCGGAGTGGTGTGATGAGTATCACGGGGATCTGGACGCTGGCTGGCTCGAATGTTCCCAATATTCAACCAGTGTTAGAACGGAGGCACATCAAAGTCAGCCTTGGCCACTCAAACGAGCGAAATTATTTGTGAGAAGCCCAAGCTGGGCTTTGCATCACTGACTGGCTCTAGGCCGTCGTGGCTCGGTCCTTCGGGCTCCTTTCTCAATTAATGGAAGACGTGTCACCTCATAAACGGGCCGCGACTTCCATCCCACAGGCCTGCCTCGCTCTTTCTTTGACGAGTCGAAACATTGAACAGAATGTGCCGCGCAACAGGCAGCGGTTTCCAAACTTTTTTGAGTGAGAGTCGCAGGCGGGCGGTGGGGCTGAAGCTGAGTCAAGTGGGGCGTACTTTCCTCAACCAATCGAGCGGGATGCCCCGGACCCCAGATGAACGTGGGCTGCTGGATCGTGGGCGCTCGACCCGAATCGGGGTAAGCGGCGGGTCTGCCCCACGGGGAGAATTTTCTCGTTCCTGCCTTTCTTGCAGTGCTTCCAGACTGTTTGGTATCGTTCCTGCTTTCCGTAATGTAGTTATTTTTTCGTTGAGCATCGATTGTCGCCGATCTGCCCGTCCAGTCTGGATACTTCGGACCTGCCTCCTTTTTCTTTACCGCCTCTTGCTCCATGGATTGGGACGAGAAAGCAAACTAGAGAGAGACCCTTGATGGTTACCGAGTGACCCCCTAAAGCGACGCGCCCGACCGCAGCAACAGCCCGAACGGCAGCACGTTTGCTCCGGATATAGATGGCCATTTTGAGCACGAGATCCGGCGTGTTTTGGCTCAGTTGGCTTCTTTGATTTTTCTTCCTTTCCCGACCATCCGTTGAGATAATACCTCCACCTGCCCGGATAAGCAAGGCCTTGAACTGCCAGTGGTCACCCTTTTTGTCCGATTTTATTATTCTTGTCGTGTTTGCTAGAGACAGGGTAAAGTTACCGGTTGCTGGTCGGTGAGATGCCAGGTACCGCGTATAATTTTTCGAGCAGGATCCCGGCCAAGATTCGGCGGCCCAGTCAACAACCAGCTGGGTACAGTCCGCCGTTCACAATTCCGGGCGGAGGGGGCCGTGCAGTGCCTCCCAGGACCGTTGAAAGCGCCTCCAAATGCCACATCGGCAGCCTGTTGTTGCTCCTAGACCCAGTTTCACCATTACGCAGTTCTTAGAAAGCAGAAAGCAGCAAACAGCGTCCCGGTTTGGGGCGGTCCCAACGAGAGAAAAAAAGAGCAAAAAAGGGCAGATTGCGGGGTCTCATTTGTGTTTGCTCCACCAAATTCGCCGGGGCTGCTTGGCCGGATGTAGTGTATCGTATCACTTACATCCACGCCCCTTTCGGGTATTACTTGTGAGACACCCTCGGGCCTCTCTGCTTGAAAAGAAGGGGTACGGCAAAGCAAGAAAAATCCGGGGCCGCAGTGCGAGGCACGTAATCTGTAATCAGTACCACAGGACAAACTCGGCCATCCATCCGTCTTCCCCAGACTCCGACGCTTCCACTGGGCCGCACCATGAATTTCCAATCTGACGCCCCCCTGCTCCTTGTCAAACGGCCCGGTCTGGCTGGTCTGGTCTGGTCTGGTCTGCCCGTTCTCCCTGGCCGGCCGGACCTGCTTCCACATAAAGACACGGTTGGTCTTACAAAAAGTTTCCTTTTGCCTCCCGTTTTCTTTCTCACCCGACCGCCAACCGTGACCCCAAACGTACCCGCCCTGTCTCTCCGCGTTGCCGATCGCAGATCTCGGTTGGAGACAAGCAGCCGAGGACCAACAACACGCACGCTCCCCCAGCCCGTGAAACCGACAGACATACTTATATCAACCTCGGGCACCCTCCTTCCCACTCACCACCTCGCTCAACAACACAGCTTGACACCCCACAGCCAACCTGGTCAACTTGACAGTCTAAACAAAACTCAACCATCCTCGACACAGCTTCCCTTAAGCCAAAGGTACGATACAGCTCACACTCATCAACCCACTCACTTATGTCGCCCGTATATGCTAACTTACACCCAGTCATCCTCCAGACGCGCAAAACTCATTCATAAAACACTCACACAAACACTCATCCACCATGCCTTCTCAAGTCGCCAACACCCTTGCCGCGCCCATCGCCATCCCGGCTGGGCGCCGGACCAACCTGGGCCTGCTCACCACCCAAGAACTGTTCGCCAGCCTCAGCGCGACTCTCGCATCCCACGCCGTTTCGGACCGGGACCCGAACCAGCTGGCCACGCCGATTCACCACCCCACCGAGCACGACTACTCCGTCCCGGCGCCACCTCCGCCGAGTCCCGTGTCGTTCCGGGACCACTGGCCCGCTTCGATGCGTCGTTAAGCGGCCTTGTGGTTTTCCTTTTCTCTGTCGTCATCATTTGATTTGAAGCTTGCTGGCGTTGGCGCATCACACACACAATATGGGGTTGTCATTGGCGAATGACTTGCTGCTATCACTTTGGTCCGAAACAAAAAGACATTTACTTTCTCCACCCATCGTCACGGTCTTGGTCGGGGAGATACAAGTGCCCCATCACATCACCCTCACATGGATCAATCACTACCATCACAGTTGTTCCCGAGAGGTGATCGGTTGATCGGCGGGCCCGACCTGAACTTAACCTGATCCGACCTGATCCGGCCCACGACCCCGACCAACTCCGATGTTTAATTCAGCTTTCTTGCATCTACGCCTTCTTATTACATACATACATACAATGTCATCCACCCCTACCCCCCGTTGCTTGCTTGACCAACCTTCTAGGTGACAGCTTGCAATGGTAGGGGTGAGATCCACTTCGACAAATCTTCACACGGAGTTTGGTCAGTCGGCAGATTGTGTTTTGGGCTCGGGATCTTTGTTCGATCTGTTATCGGGTTGTTTTGTTTCCTTTGTATCACGGTCTACTGGAGCTTTGGGGTTCTGGCTTTTTGGCTTTGAGGCGAGGATTGTTTTTGGCTTATTTTGTATTGTTTACTCTGGCTTCTGTTGGGCGGGTAGGCAAGCGAGCGGGCAAGCGATGCCGGGGCATATAAAAAGCGTAATATTGCTATTTTCTCTTATTTGCGCTGCAACCCTTGCTTGTTGTTTGCTATTTTGCGCACGATCCAAAGTTAATATCCGCCTTTTGCTAGAAATGTATCCCGTGACACTCAATTCCGTTCCAGAGAGGAGAATATTTGGGTCAATCAGCTATTCTGGCAGTTTCTCGGACTGAGATTGTCCCGTCTTGGTTTGGAACTGATTGGCTGGGAGGGTACCACGGCAGCCGAGCAGCCCCGAATCCAAAGTAAGGATTTATTTTTCGCCTTGTCATCGGCCTTCGCGAACTCAACGACTATGTAGTCGACTGTCCTTTCACCACTTAAAGAGCTGTCTGTGGCTCAAAATCGTCGGGTTTTGGCCATCTCCTAGATTAAAAGCATGTGTCTCTCGCTACAGCCCACCATTCTTGGATGTATCTCCGGTTGGTTGACATGGTATTCAACCCGGGTTCAAATCCCGGAAAGCAAGAATGTGGGCTGATCGGGGGATTTCAGGTGAGTCCAGCCGCTCAAGAGTCGCTTGTGCTGCAAGCAAGCGGCCCATTCATCCGCGGGGGTTTCTATGTATGTTGAGCCGTTCTACACCGGTCTGAGAAAAAACCGTGACTGTAGTCAGATTGTACCTATATCGGACGGTATGTAACCCTATACGCTGTTGACTATAAGGTCACCGTCATATGGCCCCTCATCTTCTTCACATGCCGGGCTGATCTCCTTGTGATCGTACGCCAAGACAAACCGTTCTCCTTCAGCCCTGTGAAGGCAGAAGAGCATGTGGGTTCAGATGTCAAAGTATTCTTGGGAATAAACTCGCGTGCCTGAAGGACCGGGTATCGAGCCCGAATACCGACGCTTGGAAGAACCCGGGTATCGATCAGATGTATTCCATCTAACCGTGTCACATGTCTACTTTTGTACGGCCAAATTCCCAATTCATAATAATGCTGGCGAGCAAATGTCGCCCCGCGTTTCTAGACCCAAGTTTACCTCCTCTCCATATCTAACCACCTAACCAATCCCTATAACGCCCAATGTCCCCTTGCCGTGGTTCTACAGGTTTCACGGCTTACACACACACACACATCCATTCCAGCTCGACCCAAAAGAAACCACTCCACACACCCTCGCGTTACTCAACAATAAAACCCCAAGAACAAACCAAAAAAATCCTCTAAACGGATCCAACATTACTACATTGGTGGTAGTTATCTCAACGCCATGCCATGCGTCGCTTGCCAGCCCCTATGCTTACAGCTTACATACCCGTACACCCATACCATCCAACTCACAAATTGCCTCCTTCCCCTTGTCTCAACCCCATCCTCCACACCAGCCTCCCCCCCTTCCGTCCCAGCCAGATACAAATCCATCACACCACCTTACAACTTCGCCTCCTCCTTGAGCGTCCCAACCTTGAGTTTGGGCCCATACTTCTCCAGCACACTCTTGCTGTGGTACTTCCAGAACTGCTTGGTCGCATCCTTGCCAGCCATGCGCTTCAGGATCTTGGGGCCGCCTGGGTGGTCGTCGAGGAAGCCTTTTTTGTATTAGTAAGGGTTAGGGTAACTGCCAGCGTCAAGGGCCACGGGTGTCTCAAGAGAAGGCGGGGGTCAAAACGGAGAAGGGAGCTCATCAAGTGAGAAGGGGAGGAGGAAAAAGGCAGCGATGTGTCCAAAACAGGTGAGCGAGGGTCAGGGAGGGGGCATGGGAGGGATGATCGAAGGAATCAGAAATGAGAAATGAGAAAGAATCGATGAAAACATACCAGCAATGTCATAGACGCCATCATCGACAATGATGAACATGGACTTCTCGTCCTTGTGCTCGGCGACCTGGGCCTTGGTGAACTGCTCAGACATGATGATGGACGGCGGGCGGCGGTGGGAGTTTTGACAAAAAGGAGAGATGAGAGATGGGTATATCCTAGACACAATTCATCAATAAGACTCTTCAGGAAACTGAAACCAAGAAAGAAAAAAGGAACACGCAAAACTCACGATCTCAACAATAGTGGTGGTAAGTCGGTAAAGATCAAGACACTGATTGCTAATTGTCGACCGCCGAGTGGTAGGCAGGAGGAAAGAGAGTGGGCAAGCAGCGCAGGGAAGTCGAGTCGGCTCGGCTCGGCATTGCCTTGCTTGGGACCCTGCTTGTGAAAGTTGGACCTCGGGATAACTCAAGATGGGAGGAAAAGGCTTGGCGCCTGGGGTGCAGGTGGGCCGCCATATCGGGTTAGCGGCGACCCGAAGAGGGAAGTTAGCGTGACTAAATGGACTGTGCTGTCTCACGACACGTCCAGCCCATGAATAGTTTGCTCAACGACAACAACCAGTCGGGAATATGATAACTGTAGGAAACTCGTCCGGTGGGATGTTTGTTCACTATCGCCATGTTTTTGTATGTTTTTCATGCGCGGCTGCGAATGAAATCTATGACATACCAAACGCTGGAACGCTAACCTTGCTCAATTTGCAGATGTTCAACATCGATTTCAATAGTCCATGTACCCCCACTGCAGTCCATGTCTCATCGCATGTTTCCGACAGAGCTTGATAAACGGCAGCCGAATTTCGTCTTGTGCAAGACGAGGTTTGTCCCAGAATATATAACCCCCAGTTCTCATGCGCCGCGAGAGAGCAGGCCCGTACCGGAGATGGTCGTCTCCGCTCTACATAAACATCCAAGCAAATGGCGGGTCCTTCTCCTCTCCCCCATCACCGTGGAAGAACCCTCCCTATCTGATCTGCCATCGGGTTATACAACCGTCGAGAAAGCTGGGTGTTCCGACTACCAAGTCGAGAGATTCGAGTTCCTCGTCAAACGTCGCCTTGCGTCCATGGTAAGTTGCCATGGTCCGAACGAGCTCATTATGGTCGTTGATGTTCAGGACCCGGTGAACGAGCCACAGGCCCCGTTCGGCCGTGCCTTTACATAACTGTATAGGCCAGTCTGCAAAACATGTCAGTCATTTCAATGATCGTGGGCTAGCTCGGTGGCTTGCGGGAGGAACGGTGTGGACGACGCAAACGTGTAAACTCCACGTCAAACTTACCGACTGGAGGGTTCGGTGAGGGTGGCCGGGTAGCAACGGCTTCAGGTTGGCTCTCAAACACGTCCTCCGTGATAGCCCTGAAAACCCGGTTATATACACCATATATCACGGAGTATATGCAAGAGATCTCTGCTGTCTCCCACACGATGAACGGGTCGGAGAAGAATTGCCTGGCGTGCTGTGGTTTATGCGGAGGTGCCTTGCGGGATGCCCGTCGCCCGTCTCCAAACATATTACACCATAGTTGAAACCGGTAAAGGGCGCGTAGTAGGCGCGTTTGCTCCATCGCGGACAACTCGCCGACTTCTAGTGACGGGTCGATGTGTTGGAGGAAGCGGGCCGCGCATTCTCGTACCAGGGGGCGGGCGACCGAGCGGTAGAAGCTCGCCATACCGGTGAGAAAATCCTCCGGCATCATGTCCAGCGCGTCCTCCATATTCGGAGTGTCCGGGTGCTGGTCGTCATGCAGCCGGTAGTTTGTTAAGGTAGTAATCACCCCCGTAATAGTGATCAGGTGTACCGCGGGGTTTCTTTGGCGATAAAGGGAGGCGGACGCCTGAACAGCGAAAGCTTCGGGCACGTAATTGCCCAGCGATTTTTGGATAGCTGTCCGGAGCAGTATTCTTCGTTCAAGTAGATATAGCCGAAAGTAGCCCGGCGAGGCGAAGACGAGCGCCCCCAGAGCTTCCAGACCACCCAGGTCTATCAGATTGAGGATAATTTTACGGCTGAGTTCGGCTGGTAGGCTTTCGATGGAACAGATCGGCTTGGGCTGGTCATCGCTCGTGTTTATTCCTGAAGGATCATCGGTGGACTCGGGGTGGGTGTCCGGCTGTTGTCCTCCCTGTGACTGTTCAGTTGTTGGAGGCATTTCCGTTCCACTTGGCCCGGCCGTCGGTTGATTCGTGGATTTTCTTTTCGCTAGGGTGACTGTATAATGTATTAACTAGAATGTTTAATAGGTTTGTCTGGCCGGGCTTCGGTACCCAAACGAGCAGATTAATCCGACAAAGTCCAGCAAGCGTAAAATGAAATGGAGGAGAGATGTGGGCGTTCTAAACATTTGTGGACGCAGGCACACCTTGACGGGTGGTTGGTGGTTCACATTAGGTGCCTCACGGAAAGGGCGATGGCCATGTGTTCCAAGTTGCTTCACCCTTGACGGGTAGGTATCGCCGGACCCCCTATCAAAACCCTAGGTTGGTGTCAACATTCAGTCCAGTTCGCAAGTAACGCCCAGGCGTTTAGTCAGCGAGGGGCAAAGAAATGAAATGAGGAATACAAGCCGTAGGGTGGGACAGATTTAATCAGTGTTATATTCATCTGCGGGCGTAAATGCCCGGTTTCCATGCCTAATTATTCCCATCCCAAGCCACACAGCACTTACGGCATCCCAAGCTCCCATACCATGTCCAGTTAGCTGGGCCAGGATGGTTGACTAAATCCCAGCGGTTTGTGACCACAATCGGTCGTGATTAGGTCGTTTCAATCCCCCGCTCGGCCATCTCAACCCAGGTCACAGCCCAACCTAAATTATAATAAAATCACGTTGATGCTCTTCGCGGGCGCGGAGAAACGGACCCTTGATGGCCTCCTTCACCAGCCGCTCGCGATCCCAAAAGACATATCCCCCGAGTTTAAAAACCTGCGGAATATAATCGCCGTACCAGTTGCTATATCTCCCCTTCCACATTATGACCCACGCCAGCGGCGGTGCATCCTCCCTATCGCCAGCAAACGGGAGCCTTTCGCGATCCTCTTCCGCTAGATCTCCCTCTTGGGGGTATTCTACGCGTCTGTTAAATTGCGTCGTCGTGTGTATAAGGTCTTCGTAGCTTCCTGATACGTCCATGTTGTCATCCATCGTTTCAACAAGGTCATCGTGGTCGTTGATACACAGGACGTTGTAAAAGAGAGATAGCCCCCTCTCTGCGGTGCCTTGCCGGATGTACTCGCGAAAAACTGACCAGACAATCACTTAGCCGGACTAGATCTCCTCTAACGAGGTAGTGTAGAATGTGTGACCTACAACCATCCTCCTCCAAATGCCGGGCACCCGGAGGCGTGTTTGGGTAGCCCCAAAAATCGAACTTGGGATTATCCCTATGCAAATCCCAAGCAATGGCGTCAAAGACTTCTTCATATTTTCGGAACATGGTAGCATAGATAGAATCAATCTCCTCCATTTCCCATGGCCGGAAGAGGCCAAATAAAAGGGCCAGCTTTTCTGTCGACTCAATTTCGAGCTCCGGGTCCTGACGGCTTGAGGGCCAATCTCGAAACAAGTTGCAGTACAACTGGAAACGATACAACGCTCGTAAAATCCGCGTTTGTTCCATCTTTGACAGACTAATCTCAACCTCTGAAAAAGTGTCAAATTTATGGAGCGTATCGGTAGCGTATCTCAGTGCAAGCGGCCGGACGATAGACCGAAAGAAGTTCGCCATGGATAGGAGGTCTTGCTCCGAAGATTCTCCCAAGATCAGGCCGGGCGCCCCGGAACGTGAAATTTTGTACTCATCTATGGCTTGATAAACAGCCGACTTCCGTGCGGTGTCTTTGGTGTAGCAAACCAGGGCGGTCGTCTGAACGGCGTAGGCGTCAACCAAAACGATGCCCAACGTGGTGTGAAGCGCATGCTCAAGCAGTGCTTTCCGGTCAAGTTGGTACTGTTGCCAGAATACAGGGGAGGCGCAGGTGATTGCGCTCATGTCGTCCAAGCCCGATATATCAGAAATGGCGAACAAAATCTGCCGGCGTAATTCGGCCGGAAGTGTTTCTAAACAGCTGACGACAGCCTTATGAGGCTCACCCCGCCCCGTACCATCCGCCGCGGTGGATTCGACAACGGCCGCCTCGGCCTGGCTGTCGAGGCGTCCATCGGGTTGTTGTTGCGTTTCTAGCCGCTGTTGTGCTCTTCCCACGTCTCCTTGTGTTGCGCTTGCGCTCGTATCCGCCGGTGTACCGGCCTTCGGACATTGCGCGGGCGTGGACTGGTTATCATCTGACTTAGCGGGCTTGCCCGGGCGTGTGAAACGACGGAGCTTAACTAAAATCTTTCTCATTCCCGGAGCCTTGGTTACACGTCGACAATAAAGCTGATTGAATGGCCAAGGTTTTTGGGGGTGTGTGTGATGGAATGCGGGCGATTGTTGCACAAGGTTGGGAAGGTGTGTGCTGTTGACTCACTGTCGCCAAGCAGCTGGAGTTCTTCAACCTAGATTTTGGGAAGGAAGGAAAGGAGAACACTCCTGACACAAGGACCGGACATTGCCCCGCCTTCAATACCTATTGAGGGGCTGTTCCCTACCTAGGACGAGGGTTTACCAACCTAATGTCTTATCAAGCCGTGAGTTGGCTTTTCCTTCTTAGTCTTGCGTGGTGGAGTTCAGAGTAACATAGGTATCAACAGCAATATCAACTGCTTACAGTATAAACCACAGTTGAGGCAGCAAAGTTATCATTATTCCTTCGCCATCGATATCTGCATTTCTCAGTCTATTTCAGCGATCTATCCCGCTGTACCGCTATGCAGGTGACTGAACAATCTCCTCTGTGTAATTCGACGTATGTCCATCCGTCTAAATGACCTTTTCTCCCATGGATACTTTCTTAACCCACCCATAGGTTCCATTCAAGCCATAACGCCGTGCAATGCCATCCTTACTTAGCAAACTTGCTAAACAAAACCCACAAAAACAACCCATAAAAACAAAATCTTCACCATCCACCCTGACTTTCCTTCGCTCACAACAACACCCCCTCCAGAACCATCCACCCCATCCATCCCAATCCAATCCACACCACCATCATCCCATTAACCACCACGTTCCCCACCGCCGCATTTGACAGCGGCCCACAACACGGCCGCTTAGCAAACGTGACATTATTCAACGCAGCCGCCGCCTCAAACACACTCCCAGGGTAGCTACCATAGTTGTAATAATCAACGTTAAGCACATTCGGCGGCCGGCCCCAATCAGCGGTACAATTCGCGCCCGCGGCACCCACGCTCCCGTTCCCAGCCGCCGAGTTCGTCTGGTTGAGCTGGCTGACAGCGGGGACGAGGATAGACTGCCCCAGCAGGGAGACCTCGACGTTGAGGTTGTGATTCATGATGTACAGGCGGTCGCGGGCGTCGCGCGGGGACAGGTCCGGCGGACGCTGGACGGTGCAAGGGAAGGTGGTGTCGACGGGGTCGAAGGGGGTTTCCCAGGCGTGGGTGAACTCGTCGAGGATCCAGGGGTAGGCGGTTTGGTTGGCCATGTAGTCCATGAAGAGGACGACGCGTTGACCGGAGAGGATGAGTTGGCCGAGGGTGGGCCAGTCGTTGGCGCGTAGGGGGATGACGGCGGGAGTGTAAATGAACTTTTTGATACCAGAGGCTTCGATGAAGGGCACGTAGAGCTCCGGCTTGGAGTAGTTGCCGTTCCCGAGGAGGATGGTCACAACATCGTAGGGGTGTCCGGCGACCCAGTCGCGCACTTGGCTTAGCCAGTCTGTGATGGGCCCGGCGTCGAAGAGGTCGCATGAGGTGTGGCAGAAGTGCGGCGCGGTGCCGTTGACGGGCCATTGCATCTGGGCCTGCAGGAAGCGCACGCCGTCGTTGAGCTGGTCGACCACGGGGAACTGCTGGTTTGCGGCGGCGCTGCCGGCCCGCACGAAGGGGCTGTTGTGGCAGCCGACGTGGGTGATATTGCTGTACTTGCGGGCGCAGAATTCGGGGTAGTTGTTGCACGGGCGGGTGTTGGTCGGCCGTGGTGGGGCGTTGGACGTGGAGGTTGAGGTCGTCGAGCCCGTGCCAGTGTGCGAAGTCGTGGTCGTGCCCGTCAGGTAGGTGACGGTGTTGGTGGTGGCCTCAGTGTAGCTCTCGGTGAGCATGCCGAGGTCGGTGGGCAAGCTGGTGGTTGCGATAGTGATGCGTGAGGAAGGTGTCTGGTAAGCCCCTGTGGGCGGGCCGGTCGAAATGGTGACATCGCTCCTCGTGCCCGTCAACATGGTGATCTCCGGGTCGTCGGGGTTGATGCTTTCGGTCCCCAGGCCCTCATTTTGGTGTTGGTTTCCGCTCCGATCAAAGGACTTGCTCTGGGTTGCCGTCGTGCTGCTCTCGTTTTCAGTCTCTGCGAGGACGTTGCCGATGCCGAGCGAAAGGAGGCACAGCAGCCAAAGCAGGCCGGCCATGCGCGGAAAGGGCGCCATCATATGCGGTGCCTGTGCAACTCAAACTCAAACTTCAGGCAAATCATCAAAAGGAAAGAAATGTGAAGCAACGCGGAAACCTCCAAAACGCTGGACAGGAAACAAATCGACCGAGGAAACGAGAGTCAAAGGTGTGGAATTCCATGTTCCCAAAGTTCGCGCTGGGACGAATCTTAAAACAGGGTATGCGGGAGACATGGGATGGGGCAGGGGCCTAGGCCTGCGTTTCCCCTGCTGCGGCAGTGCCGCAGCAGTGGGGTCTTCCGCGCTTGAACCCTGCATTTGCCAGCGCTTCTTCGCGAGCACACCAGACGGTGGCCCCTTCCCAACCATTCATCACCCGTGTCCGTCCCGAACATGGGATTACTGCTCACGGAACGGGCCAATGTAATTCTTATCTTGATCGTATTTCTCCAATTCCTCGTGCCAGCTCAGTTCTTACTGTCAATGCTTCATCCCGACCGTTGTTTCCTCTCTTTTTCAGCCATTTGTAACTTTTTCTCTGCTCGTGCATCTGATCAACGCCATGACGTCGACGCCAAGTGCCATCGGCAGCAGATCCGATATTAGCGTCGCCCCTCCACGCCACTTCTCAGCCGGCAATCAACGTCGAGTCTCCATCGACCTGAAAAAAATTGCAGGGAACTTCTGTTTGAGAGCGGGCGAGCGTTGCCGATGTTCACCATCGTTGACGTTGACCGGCGAAGATCATGTGCTGAGCACCCACTTCTCGTAGAAACCAAGCCAGATCACACTGCAAGTCTTACGATCGTGGACCAAGTGGCTCGAGTACTGTGTAAGAGGCGCTGACTGGCGGAAGCCCGGGAAGCATTCGCAGCCAGTTGATGCCCCACGGTCAGATGTTTCTCAGACCACAACAGCGAACCGCCTGGCTGGGATCCTTGTAGGCGAGCGGCGAGCGCGTATCTCCGGGCAGTTTTGCACTGCCCAACCGCCTGCAGCACCTGGCAGCCGCCCTGTCTCCACCCTTGCTTCGTGTTGTGCTCGGACGACATCCCCCATCGCCCGCACTGTGAAATTCAAAGAAGATCTCATTTCTTGCCCGTCGCTCCCCATTCTCTGGTTGCATGGCCGTTTCTCCACCTGAAGTCCTGTTTCTTCCGCGCCTTGATTCAGCCCCGTGGTTTTTGGCCATTTTGGTGGTTTGGATTTTTCTCTCGTTTGTTTCTTTGTGTCTTGTGTTTTCTTGTCTCTTCTCAAGCCCCCGAGGTTTGCGCGTGTCTCGGGCAATTCCAAACCTCCTGCGCAGGGGTGTTTTGCCACTGAAGGTCTCAAACCGACCCGGGATTTCAGGTCAAAGTCCAGGTCTCTTCAGCAGCAGGCCTGCCAACAAACAAACCTCACGGTCCTTTGTTTCGTCCCGTCCCGTCCCTTTTTCCTCCAACAGACGAGCGAAAGGCCCCAACGGCCGCAGTCCACTGTCAAGATGGGACTCCCCGCCGTTCTGCGATCCCGCTTGAAGGGCGGCAGCAACAACAACGAGAAGCATGACCCCTCATCAACATCTAGCCCTACGACCCACGATCAGACCGGCACTATGGGCGCCGAGGCAAGCACTATCGCCTCTCACAAACGTGCAACCCGCATGCGCCGGAACTTTGCCTTGAGCGCCTCATTCGCCTACCTCCTATCCTGGATCTTTCTCGTCCTCGTATGCCATGATTGCTCTCATCTCTATCACACCCCCGTGAGAATCCCACCACTAACGCTATGCCATAGGTCCTCATCGGCAACACCCGTAACGTAGCCGTACTCCGGGGCATCTACTTCTTCAAGCTCGACCTAGCCGACATCATCCCGACCTCCGTCCCCAACGCCAGCCTAATCAACAGCATCGCCCAGTCCATCGGCCTGCACGACTTCTACCAAGTCGGCCTATGGAACTTCTGCGAGGGCTACATCGGCGACATCGGCATCACCTACTGCTCCCCACCGCAAACCCTCTACTGGTTCAACCCAGTCGAGATCCTTATGAGCGAGCTCCTCTCCGGCGCCACCATCGCTTTACCAACCCAGGTCATCACCATCCTCGACGTCCTGCGCATCACCTCGCAGATCATGTTCGGTTTCTTCCTCACCGGCGCCGTCCTCGCCTTTGTGCTTGTCGCCCTCTCCCCGCTGGCTGTCTCCTCGCGCTGGTGGAGCTTACCGCTGGCTATTGTGTCCTTTGTGGAGATGCTGCTGCTAGTGGCGGCGAGTATTGTGGCGACCGCCATCAGCATTGCGTTCAAGTATGCTGCGGAGGCGCAGAGTGATTTGAATATTCATGCTGAGGTGGGCGTGCGCATGTTTGTGTTTATGTGGCTGGCAACGGGGTTTAGTGTGTGGGCGTTTGCGGTACATTCGGGGATGGGGTGCTGTTGTACGTCGAAGCGGGATTTGAGGATTGGGAGGCGGGTGATGAGGGATGGGAGGGGGGTGAGGAGGTCGATTCAGTAGGACTGTTGATGGGATGAAGTGGTAATCGAAAGGAATGGAAATGAGAGCAAGAATGGGAAGGGGGGAAGAAGCAGGGTGGTTTTTATTAGCGTCAACTGAACGGCACGGTTGCATATACATATGGGCTGGATAGGCCTGGCTGGTCAAGCAGGTCAGGACGGGGGGTATCTCACGGCTTGGGTTACGGCCTTGAGGGAAAGGTAGATTGGCTTTTCCGAGTTGCCCGTTTCGGGGCTATTAGAGCGGCTGGTACTCTGGCATTAGAAGCGACATTTGTTATTTCTGTCTTAGCAACGCACATAGATGACGCACAAGCGTTGGTTTATTGGAGTGTCATGAAGACACAAGCTGTTTCATACAACGACATTTCCTATGTGACGTACTTTCAAGTTTCGACCGACTTTGGAATAAACCCTCCAGGTTCACACTTCTTGCCCAGGCCACATTCAAGCTCACTTCACAGTCACGATTCACACAATCAGTCAAATACAAGTGGAAGTAGCCAGCAGAGCAGTAGTCAATTATACCCCCAGAAGGTTAGGCAGGTAAGTAACAACTACATACATCCTCCAAAAAGAATTGGCCCGGTCCCCGGTTCCCAAGAGAACCGTCCGCTGCTGGCACCCCAATCCATCCATCCAAAGTAGCGGCTGGCTCAGATAGACTCAACTCAAAGAGTCTCAGGATCCAAGGCCGCATCAAACTTGTCATTGGCCCCATACAGGACAGGTTCCATCCCATTTCACCTCAAATCATCCCCAAGAAAATGAAATGCATGAAACCCGCTGGGGTCTGAATTGTCCCTCCCCACAAACAGTTCTGTTTGTTTTGTTGGTTCGCCATAACCAAAAAGTGGAAAACAAGAGCTGGACCAAAGCCCCCTCATCCCAACCCTAACCAGTAGGGGGGATGGAAGGGGGTGGTACTCTGGCGAGTTGAACAGAAATAAGCACAATAGGGCTTGTATTACATCTCAAGACAAGTAAAAAAAATTGAAAACAAAATTTCTTTGGCGAGACGTCGGGACCGGCGTCCCTCAATTCCTCACTCCAAGCTAGACGTGGTAGTGGGGAGATGGAGGGACGCGGTGCAGGAAGCGGGGGGTGCAGGCGGGAGGGAGAAGGGATGATTTTCGCATCCTCTCCCTGATCCCTTTTCCCGGGCCACGACACGGCACAGTTGACGACTGGCCACTGAGGAAGAAGACCCAAACAATTACCCAACCCAGACCAGCCGGGCGGGATTGATTTGGTATCTTCCCCCAAAATGTGTGCCAAACTGTGGGCGTGAACAACCGGGAAGTGAACTTGAAGCGGGACCCTCGCTTGGGTTTTCACTGCTGTTGTGTCTCAAACAACGAAGGTGTGGAATGGGCCATGATACCAGGAGGTGGTCGGTCATGTTTGCCTCTTTTCCCAAACACGCGCAGGCGCTGGCGCGCCACGCGGAATTAGTAGTCCCTCTGGGTGGTTGGAAGTGTGTTGACGCTGTCCAAGGAGGACAGACACCCAGAAACGGAGAAACCGTTTTTCTTCTTCCTTTCCTTTTGATCCTCATTTTATCCTTTCGCACCGGGCGGGGGGCAATGGTCGCACAGCGAATCTGGGGAATTCACTTAAGCGCGGACGACCATGCCGTTGCGGCGGGAGCTGCGCTCGACGTACTCGGCCTCGTCCTCGGACGACGAGCACGAGTCGTCGTACGAGCAGCGGGAGCCGCCGCAGTCGAGGCGGACGCGCTCGCCCTTGCGGGTGATGCCGTAGCGCTCGCAGGTGCAGCTGGAGCAGTCGGATGCCGGGGTGGAGTAGCCGGACGAGGAGGCGGTGCTGTCGGAGCGGTACGAGAGCGACGAGCCGACGGACGAGACGGGGGAGCCGGGAGCACCGAAGTCGGTGATCACGTCCTCGTCCTCGTAGATGCCGGTGGCGGCAAAGCGGCTGGAGAGCTCGTCCTCGTCGAAGTCGTTGTCGAGGATGTGGCGGGTCGCGTTGGGCGAGACGGGCTTGGGGGCCTTGATCTGGGAGATGGACAGGGGGCGGCCCTTGGCGACATCACCGCTGCTGGCGGACGAGCGGGAGCTCTTGGAGGAGGAGGTCGACTTGCGGGACGACGACTTGGAGGAAGAGGAAGAGGAAGAAGACTTGGCCTTGGGGACGTCGAGGATGTTCAGGGCGCGGCCGGTGGTGGGCTCGACGGTCGAGTCCTCGCTGGGGTTGTGCGAGACGTGGTACCCATCGATGATGTAGTAGTACCAGTAGCGCTGGCCGGGCTGGAGGGTAGCCTGCTGGAAGCGGAAGGTGCCCTTCCAGGTGCCCTTGGACGAGCTCTTGTCCTTGGAGAGCGGGAGCTGGCCGGAGTAGTTGTCCCAGGAGCCGAGGAGATGGACGGTCTTGACGCCGGAAGAGACGCGGAGGGAGAACGAGAGCTGGATGGCGGACATGTTGACTTTCGTTATTATGGAAAAATTAAAATTTTGTTTTTAAATGTCTTGAAAAGAATGAAGTCTGTTGCGCTGAAGAGCGTGACGAGCAAGTAAACCGAAAGTTGTTTAAAAAAAGTTTGAATTGGATTAAGGAGTTGTTGTGAGTGTGATGATAGCAAGACCAGCGAGCTATCGAATGTTTTGTTTTTTGGTGTATTAGTTTTTGGATTAACAGAGCACAGCTCCGCGGAAGGTGAGAGAGAAAAAAAAGGGGGGTAAAAAAAACAACAAAAGGTTTGGTTGTTGAGAGCTTGCTGCAGAAGAAAAAGAGAAAAGGAAGGAAATGAGGCCGAGGGAGGCGGCCCTTATATCATCACGAAGCCAACGGCCGGGAGGAGACACCGGAACTGGGGAGATCCAACCCCTCTCCCTTCCGGGGGGTTTCCCAGCGTGCCAGCATCGGCCAAACTCTGGCCGAATCGGCTGGAGTAGCACGGGGGACAGGCCTGGCAGGACGAGGGAAATGCGGGCTGCCGGCCGACAAGATGCTTCGGCAGCAAGGCCAATGAGGAAAGGGACTCTCGTCGGAGGAAGCGTGAGAACACTCTCCAACAAGCTTGGAACGCTTCTGGCCGCAGGTCTTCTCCCCTGTCTCGTCGAAAACTAGCCTGCAACCGTGCAGCACTACTGCACGATGGGCGGCTAAGAAGCGAGAGAAGCGAAAAGCCGACCTAAAGCAGCGAAAGCAACAAGCGGGCAAGTTGGGGACGAGAGAATGGAAGCAGCTGTGGGTGTCGGCACACACACACACGGCCATGGTGATCACAAAGGCGCTATCCCCTTTTGGGATTAGCTGGGCGTCTAAATCCCTGCTGACATTGCCCAATCACCTCAGGCATTCCCCAACGTCGTCCCTTCCGTGAGCGCAAGTCCGTTGCCCTCATCACACACGCTGCATGCGGCATCCGCCAATAATCGCCCGTTGTGCTCCTGCTGAACCTGCCGTGTCCCATCGTGGCTTCCTCGACCGGATCTCAATGCTCATTGCTGACCACGAACCCCCGATCCGCGAGCGCAAGGGACAACCTCACGACAACTGTGATGGGAGGGTCGAGGCCCGGAGATGAGAATGATGAGGCGTCCTGTGTGTGGCGGCGAGGTGAGGTTGTATTGAACCCGTTTTCCATCACCACATGGCCTCCTTCGAAGCAATGCATTGGGGCGGCGGCGGTTCTGCCAGGAACACACTCCTGGATCGAGCACCACTGCGATTCAAAAGGGCAAGTCGGCATGCAGCACGACAATGCAACCCCCCCCTCACCCGACCTCTTCCACTCTGCAGCTGGCTGTAATCGATATCCTGTGGGGAGGCTGGCCGCGTATTGGGTCGACGATGATCGATAGTTCGACATTCCCGGCCATTTCATTTTTCAGGTGATGCCGGATTACTTTCTTGTGGGTAAAAGTGGTCAACTGGACGGGCATCTGTCCATTCAGCGAGTTGAGGGCCTTCATCGTACTTGGATGGCCGAGTCAAAGGGCCCGACTTGGGAAAGTCCGTGATCGCGAGGTGGCCGCCTTGATGGGCCTCGTGGAAATGAGAACGCCGCAACGACTTCTCAGTGGAAGACTGCAACTGTAGCATCCCGACAAGTTGTATCTGGCCTCAAGCATCCGGCCAAGTGTCGGCTTCTCTCACGAAATCAGCCCCTCCAGCTGACTGCTGGATTTTCAGACTGTTTGTCTCATCGTCGATCATCAAGGCCCCGCGCGCCCGCAAGAATGCAGCTGCAGCATTGACATGTCTCTCCCACGATTTGCCCGGCCGCCCAGCCCCGTCGCCAATTCAAGTTAGCGACCTCAGCAACTAACAATGGAAGCGAGCTAGCCGCGTACTAAAAAACTGCGAAGTTCAAAATGCATTCAACTTTCAGCACTCATACCGAGACCAATGCCAGTCCCGGCGGGTAAGCAAAGCGCACAACGAGTTCATAAAAAGCTGGCCAAGAGGGATTGATCAATCACGCTCAAAAGCCACCCAAATCTCCAAGTCTTGGCCTGCACCACTGCAGTTCTGCATCACTGCATCTGCGCGATATCTCTCTTCCAGCAAGCAAGCAAGCCCACACCCAGTGCCACCCTTCTTCTTCACCCACCCCACTTCCCAACATCATCCATTCCCCGTGCGTGGATAGCCGCCGCAATTACCGCCTTTTCCTGCGGTCTGTCGCGTTTATTGCGCAAGCGAGAGGGATTCATCCGAACCAACAGTCCCAACACAACCGCAGCCGAGGTGTGTCCGGGGAGTGGGTGGGGGAGGGCACACCCGCATTTGGCCCTGAACTTGAGCTTGAACGTAAGTGTCGCTTCGGGAGAATGCAACGTGTCGGTGGGTGTTCGGTGAAAGTGTTCGGTTGATCATCGGTTCCGAAGAGGGCAAGTTGCAGTTTGTAATGGCACGCAGAGAGAAAGGGCGTGTAAGCCGCCGGACTCGGAGTCGGGAATGTCTTGTTGAGAGGAAGACCTTGAGTCTTGATGATGTCGAGATTATACCTGGCACTTCCGCCTTGAGCTGGCGCCGGTTTTACGACCCGAATTGGGCGATACATTGAACACAGGACGGTCCGATTATATCCGACACCAAGATCACGCTGACCTCGTCAATGTTGAAAGAAACGCTGACACAACAACACCGCTGTTTACATCGGGCGTTTGCAGTCCGAGTTGTGTAGCTACCACTTGACTCCAGTGTCAATTCTCAATGCTTACTTCTTATGTTCCAATTTTTCAAGACTTAGTCCTATCGAAATTACGGTAGATATGTACCTTGATGTATTTCATCTAGCATGCTTCACAAAATCGCCGATTTAATTTGACATAGTTTCTTTCCTTCATGCAACTCATACATGAACCACCATTTCCATCGAATTTTTACTTGACCTTGTCGTAAATACATTCTTTTTACACTAGAAGGGGTAGAAAATAAAGGGTCATTAAAAAGCATGCAAAAAGAAAAATACAAAAAAGCTCACACACCAAGCGCCTATCCCCGTCCGGAGGGATAGTGGTTGGTGGTTACGAAAACTCTTTCCGGTGAAAGAATTTTTCTTCGCTGGCCCTGGGAATCGAACCAAGGGCCACTTCGATTTACGACGGGCACCGGCGATGCTCTTCCCAATGCCGCTGCACCAAACACCGCTGTTTGGCGTATTGGGAGGAGCTGGTGACTGGAGCAGTGGGAAGCGAGTTTATATGGTGTGGTTGGGGGTTAGGAGGGAAGGAAGGTGCGTGAAAGTTGAGTTGAGAAGAATTCCACCCCTCAGGCCCATTCTATGGAACTGAGTACAGCACCTAAATCTCCCCCGCCTCCTCCACCCACCACCCCCTAAACACCCTCAACCTCTCCCCCCTCTCCCTGGCCACCGCCCGTCCAGCCTCCGTCTTCATCATCCCCTCCAATTTCACCAACTTCTCATCCAGATGAGCCATCGTATCCCGCAAGCTGCGCGTGGACCGGGCGCCGCCGTACGTAAACATGCGGCCGATCCCCACGGCCCCGATGGCGTCTAGCCGGTCGGCGTCCTGTACGAGACCCAGCTCGGGGTATTGGGCGACTAGTGCGGCGGTGTGGGCTGGGTTTTTGGTCTCGGTTGAGTAGCTTACCCCGGAGCAGATGGTTTGGAGGGTGGTGGCGAGGGGGGAGGGGCAGGAGAGGGAGAGGAGGAGAGTGGTGATTTGGGTGTGGGGGTTTTCGCCGGGTTGGAGGTATCTTTAAGTAGGGTTAGTGGTTTGCTGTGATAAGGGGGTTACGTACGGAAGTTGGTAGATCGATGTGTAGTGGAAGACAAGAAAAATAAAATAAAATAGAAAAATAACATATGAGTGGGAGATGGTGAGAGGGACAAAATAAAGAATGGAAAGAGGAAAGAAACAAACTTGTGATCCCCCACATCATGCAGCAGCGCAGCGAGATGGACCACCCGCAAATCGACCGAATCCCGAAACGCAGCGTCCGACCGAGCATACAAGTTGTGAGCCATTGTCACAACACGCTCGATGTGATCCCATGAGTGAGAGGCGTCGTAGTTTTGCATGTAAGTCTTAACATGTTCCTTGACGGCCTGGACTAAAGGGTCATTTGGGAAGGCGTTGATCGCGGGGGTGGAGGATGCCATGGTAGGTTTGTGGGGCGATTATGAGAGGATTTTGGTGTTTCGGGATTGAGTTATAAGATATAATAGTTTTAGAGTTAGAAAGATACGGAAATGGTGGTGGATGTTGTCTTTCAAGATGGTTGATGTTGAGTCTTTGAAGGGTGGTTGAGAACTTTCTTAGACCCACAGTTGGGCGCGAAGTGGGCCAGTGGTGTAACGGCGTCTCTTTGTTGTAGGCAGCAGCACCAGGAAAGGAAATCTTGAAGTCGAAACTTTCACAAACGCGGAAGGTCTTGTTTATTATTTCTAATCTTTTTCGGTGTGACTCGAGCGGGTTAACTTTGCCCCTCGGGAGAGGGTTGTTCTGTGTTGTGAAAAGACTTAATATTTTCGTCTGCTTGAAGAGTGGTCAACGCGGTATTGATGAAAGCGGTGTATTGAGAATTCATCACCTAGACAAAATCATTTTCCGGTTGTTTTCCCTACAGGGGGCATGATAATTTTATTTTGTGTACCGGGCCGGTTTGGGGGTCGTTGTTGTTGAAACGTCTTAGTCTTGACGGCCAGTTTGGGAAGCTAAATTAGTCGGCACTAGGTCTTAGTGTTGTTAAACTTAGACATAATTGGATGCCTCAGAATTTAATTGGGAGGCAACACGAAGCAGAAGACTTGATCCAGATAAATACCGTGACTCTAGTTCCAAACTAATGTCACTCGTATATACAGTACTACAGGCGAGATACTATAAACATCTGATATTTCAACACCGTATATGCATCCGATACGTCCCCAACGCTAATATATCATCACCCATTAACATTAACACCCTTCAACTCCCCTTCCCATCACCACAACATCCCCCAAACCACACTCCCTCACCCACCCCAAGCTTTACCTTATAGCAAAAGAGCAGCCAACCCACCAACAGCAGCCAACACACCTCCAGCCACACCCCCACCAACAACGGGCGCACCACCAGTCGCAATGCTGCTCGTGCTAGCAGGCGGCTTGCCACCGCTACCAGTACCAGTCGAGCCAGGGTTGGTAAACACAGTCGTGATGGTGCTCGGCGCCGAGGCGGTGCCCGAAGGCGGGAAGGAAGAACCAGGGTTGGTCAAGGTCCAAGTGAGGGTGGGCTCGGCGCTCTCGGTACCCGGGTTGATGAAAGTATGGGTGACGGTGGGCTCGCCGGCGGACTCGGTGCCCGGGTTGATGAAAGTGTGGGTTTCGGTGGGTTTGCCGGACTCGGTACCGGGGTTGATGAAGGTGTGCGTCTCGGTGGGCGCGCCGGACTCGGTGCCGGGGTTGATGAAAGTGTGGGTTTCGGTGGGCTCGCCGGTGGAGATCTCGCAGACGGCGTCGCCGGCGGTCTCGGAGGTCTGGGAGCAGAGCGAGGGCTTGCCGCCGAGGTTCTGGATGGGGTGGGTTAGTGAGTTGGCTTAGGGTGTTATGTGAAGGAGTAAACAGAGGGAACGGAACGTACGTCGGTGCAGCGGCCAGCCACGCCGACCTTGTTGGCGTCGCAGCGGATGATGATATCGGTGGCGTGCGAGGCACCGGCGCAGTAGGCGACGTTAGCCTTGGCGCAGGTGTACTTGCCGTCTTCGTACGTCGCCTGGGCGTAGACGCTGGCCGCGGCCGAGGCTAGGAGGAGAATGGAGTTGGTCTTCATGGTGATTAAGACGGGACTTGTGTGTGTGTGAGCGAGTGTAAGGTAGGGTTGATGTTATCAACGGCCTAGAAGCGAGCGACTTTGGCAACGAACTGAGGGTGATGATGAATTATACTGGTGATCAGCAGGAAGTAGAGGACCTGCAGCCCAGACGACGGGAACAAAGATCCTTTATACCCGTCTCGATTCAAGCTTAAACGTCCCGTGGGAACCATGCAAACGGCAATGTTACGGTAACGAGGACCCGCCGTTGGTTGCCTCGAGTGGGCACTTGACACATCTCGTGTTGAGACCCGGGGAGTGGCATCGGGGAGTGGCACCGGGGGGGCAACCGGTTGGGCGGATCTGCTTTGACCATGCTGCCATGCTATTTTCTGTCGTTCCAAATCCACAAGCCACGAGCCACGAGAGTCGAGACCTTTCCTTGAGCTAGCGAGCGCCCTCGGCCCAAAGAGGGAACCGAGAGACAAAAAAAGAGACCACCGCCAACGACTCGTTACGTTTGGGGGCGTTAGTCAGGGCCCTTTCTCCGTGCCTCGGAAACAGGAAATATGGGAAGGGACGAGCCTAGGGTAATCCCAAATGGCCGGTGAGGGTATGAAGTACAGCGGTAAGAATACACGGGGTTCGGATTCCCTGAATCGTATGGCGAAATCCCCACACTGGTCGGATGAACCGAACGACGAGAGAGCGAGAAGCGAACTCAACGAGAAATAGGCCTGTGACGTAGCCGGGTGGCTGGAGCTATCGAACTTTTCGAGCCTTCGTGGCTCGTATTCAGCAAAGGGGGCCAACTCCACCTTGGTCGCTGTTGCCAACTATGGAAGTTTGCCCAATTTGGGACTTTGCTGGGCTCTCAGTGGTGGGAACCTCAAACGGGCTAGACTACGGTGCACTCTTAGTGCCAAAAATGTGCAATGATTTTTCGATTTTCAAGTCCGTGCGCAAGCCGTTGTCTGTTTTGGACACATGGAGGATGTGGTCTACGGAGTTTCCACCAGGAACCTTCGTACGCCTCAGCATGCAGGAGCCACACCGTGGCGTCGCGGCAGCCCCCAGGAAAGACCTTTGACTTTTGGGACCATACCACGTGACTACCTCCATACATAACCCCAACCCCACCACCTCTTTTCCCCTCTCACTCTTTGGCGCTGGCAACCGTTGAATCGCTCAAAAATAGAACAAAACTATGATTTCCCAGCCTTCCATCCGTCCTTGGATGCCCTGCTTCCTCTTCCAATACCACGGGCGGGTACCTGTAATGTAGTTGTACCCCTGCCTGCTCTACCTGCCCTGCCCGCTCTCTTCGTGGTGCCCATTGTGGAAGATGTGGAAGATGTGGTAGGGTTGCGGTTATGTATGGAGGTCCCAAAAGTCAAAAGGAGCGGTCCCAAAATGCAGGCTCCAGGAAAAACAGGCTGTGATCCAGAGATAATCACAGACTGGAAAATCGAAAACCATTGAACATTTTTGGCACTAATTAGTTAAGGATGCACTTCGCACTATAGTAACTACATGTGAGAAGACGTCGGCTGACCCTAACCCTGACCATGTATGTTCATACAGGACCCATGGAACTGACACCCACTCTCTTAAGTGTAGAACCATTCTCACCCTCACCCAAATAAACTGGGCAATTCTCCAACCTTCAAAGCGATACCAAATCCAGCCTTTAAAATCCGACCATCTGCGTACATACAATACCATCCCGCCAACTCAAACCGGACCGAACGTCCCCCTCCGTTGCAGCCTTCAATCTTCAATTGCAGTGCCCCGCACAGGTTGACGTTACAACCCGACTACTGCAGTCGCCGACCAACAACCATCCGCCATTGGTCCCGGACGTCCGTCGCTGCAGGGCGGCGCCATTCGTGAACTAGCGGGCGTGGCGGTCGGAATGTTGCTGCGGGCGATGCGGGAAGGGCCAGTTTGGTGAGACACACCGGACTTTTTTAGTCCTTTACACTAGTCCTGACGAACCTCGACTGGAAGAACCCCCATCTCGGGCGTATTAGGGGCCGCGCATGCAAACGTCAGACGGTCGGTCTGGTTGGAAGTTCCGCTGGGTTGGGCTGCGTGAGAGGACTGGAAGGGCTGCTTGTGGTTGGGTGCATTATTCGAGAATGGGATCTGCTTAGGCGGCCTCTGCAAGAAGGGAGAACGGGAGTGAAGGGAGAAGGCTGCGAAAAAGACAACAAATACCCAAGAAGGAAAAAATGGAACGTGGCTGACTGAGAAGATGGTCGGTCAGTCGCAGCGGGTTGTTTGGCTGGGGGCCGGACTGTCGGATTGTCTCGCTCGTGGCTGTGCATTTACATTCCAGTCACTGTCATCCTCATTGCCATCTTCATTTTCGCCCTTCCCATCATCATCGTCGTCACCGTCGGTGTCGGTTTTCTTACGGACAGCCACCCCCCCTGCCAAGCGCCCGAGGACCCCTCGACCAAGACACTACGTTCCCCGGTTAGGGTAACTAACGACGGGAAGGAGACGCTAAATTCCCCCACGCACTTTGCGGAGGATCTGCGTCGCTTCCGCAGCCTGACGGCACGCACGCAATCTGGTTGCGGTGCACTGCGCTGCGCATCTCGGGGTTTAATCTCTTCACTGAGATCTCAGCCGTGTTTTCTCTCTCTTTTTGGGGTTTTTATTTCTACTTATTAGCGCGCCGGCGCATGTGTGCGCGATATCTCACTCTCACTCACTCACTCTGTCAACGAAGTTAACTCACTCTACATACGCCGTGCGCGCGCAGAGACGATGACCGGCGCATCCGGCTCCCGGCGAGGCACAGCCGGGTCCGTCAGGCTGGGGCTTTTGTTTGGATTTCTGCTTCCACAACTCGCGCAGGCCGCTGCGGCTGTCGCGACGCCGGGATTTCTCGGCCGTGACGATGTTGGTGTCCGTGGGAATGGGAACGGATTCTTCGCTGCTGAGCCGGCCGCTGCGATGGAGCTGTGGCCGCGCTTCTATTACGACCAGGTCGTTAGCCCGATGCCGATGCTAAAGAAGCGCCAGGATGGGGGTGACGGGGTTTGTGAGGCTGGGTATCATCCATGTGCGTTTTTTCTGTCTGATTATTTAGGTATTTTCTGCCGTGAGACTGACTTGACTTGATATAGGCAACGACATCGGACCCCCCGGCGAATCATTCTGTTGTACCAACGAGCAGTAGTACGTCCCCTTACTTCTATTCCCCCTTTCACCTTACTCACAGAGGTCCAGCTGCATAATCAACCCCCAAAACCCCTCCCTCGGCGGCTGCTGCGCTCTCGGTTCCGTGTGCGGCTCCCCCTGCGCCGAGTCCCAATTCCAATGCACCACCACCGGCACCGGCACCATAACCCTCACCCGCGCCGGTGGTCTCGGCCATCCCGCCACCACCTTCACAACAACCACTACCACCACCGGCCAAGCCTGCTGTCCCCGCCGCTGTGCCGCACCCTCTCAATTCCAATGCGCCGCCTCCCTGGGCGGCGGCTGCTGCGACTTTGGCAACCGCTGCGTGCGCGTTACTCCCACGGGCCCCGTCGCGACGACGGATACGTCCATCAGGGGGCAATGTGTCTTCACCCCGCCTCCGGAAACCACCATCCCCTCGTCTCTACTCCCGCCTCCACCGGGGTGTACAACCGGACAGATCTCGTGTGCGGCGTCGTTGAGCGGCGGGTGTTGTGCGGCGACACAAACGTGTACGCTCATCACGGGCCAGCCGCATTGTGCGGTCGGGTTAGATACCGGGTTGCCGACGGGGAGTGGGGTGAGTGTGGTGGATCGGGATAGTGGGGAGATGAGTGCTGGTGCGAAGGCTGGGTTGGCGGTGGGTGTTGTGGTGGGCGTTGGGGTGTTGGGGGGGTTGGTGGCGTGGGTGTTTTGTTTGAGGAGGAGGCGGAGCGGTGGTATAAGTGAACCCGGCGGACATGTTGGAGAAGGTGGCCTCGGTGGTGGTCTTGGAGGTGGTGTAGACGGGGACAACACCACAACCGGCCGATCCCGCACCACCGGCCTCGTCGGCCGCATCCTCGGCGGCAGCGGTGCAGGAAGCGGCATAGGCAGCATAGGCTTCCACAGTCCCAGCCAAGTTGGCTCCCCCTCAAGCCACGGTCGACCGCGAGCCGGCACACGCGGCGAAATGTCCGAAGAAAACTCCGACATCCACTCCCGCAGCGGTCGATTATCCGGCCTGGCACAGGATTATTTCGGGCCTGCGCCGGCTGTCGGGCCCTACTCAGATACCCATGATTATGATCCGTTGGGACCGCCTTCGGGGCCGGTGGCGTCGCCTGTGGTGGCTACGCCGTTGCAGCCGCATGGGCCGGGGGATATTGCGGTGCCGGTGGAGATTGATTCACGGGTGAAGGGGGAGGAGGAGGATGGGGAGAATAAGGAGGGGGAGGAGAAGCAAGGGCCAGTGGTAGCTGGAGGCGCGTCTGTGGTAGCTGAAGGTGCTGCGTCTAGGGTACCAGTGGGTAGAATTTGGCAACAAGGGGATGATGATGGGCAGGAACGGTTTGAGTTGTATGGGTCAGAGGTGGGGGAAGTGTCGTCGGCGGCGGTTGCTAAGACGCATGAGGTGAGCGGGAGTGGGCCGGAGGAGCAGAATAAGGGGCAATAAGGGGTAATATATATATACCAGGTATGGATGGATGGATATTGACGAAGATATGACAGCGTGTTTGTTTTCTTCGATATTTCATATTTCACGTTCACAGTGATAAACCTGGCTCGATATCTCAAGTGACTCGCTCAGTAAGCCTAACTTGCTAGCGATGGTCTAAGATTGACAAAATACAAAAGAAACCAAACAGCCACCTTAACGCCGTGCTACCCATGCATTTGTTGAATATGACTCGTCCGGGGGGCGGTCTCCGGGCGATTGCTTCCCATTTCTCCTGTCAAAACAAAAGAAAACTGAGACGCCGGTTCTTCCTGTGGGAAAGGTCGAGAAGAGAAGCGTCGGAACGAGAAGGGCCGGCCGTATTACAAAGAGATGAACCAAGTGATGAAAGCGAAGGAAAACAGGGGGTAAAAAGTAAGAAAGCAGGGGTAAGACACCAGAGAAAATCAACTCAAGACCCCCCCAAACGGCTTATACACCTCCAAATCCTTGACCAACTCATCCACCACCCCGGGCAAATACCGATCCACATACCCCTTCTTCTCCCTCACCGACACCGTCACACCATCCTCAGCATCCCCTTCCCTCCCCCCTTTCCCATCCCCACTACTACTAAACAACGCCTTCCCCAACTTCCCCTGCCCATTCCTCCCAGCTGCTGAAACCGGCCGTCCCCCGCCCACCGGCGTCTCAGGCGTAAGATAAAAGTACATAAACTCTGTCAGGCGCACCTTGACTTCGCGGCTTGTGTCGCGGGATTTGAAGAGGGATGTGACTGTCAGCAGACCGTCGAGTTGCTCAAAGACACGGGTGTTGCGTGGCATGTCGAGGAGGGCGACGACGAGCGTGGTGAGGGTTGCGGATTGGATGGCGGGACAGTTTATTGGTTCTAGGAGGTCGAGGAGGAGCTTTTACTTGTTAGTCACGTACTTAACTCAGGGGTGGGTCGGTAAGGAATGAAGTTGGGAAGGGGTCTAGTAGCCGGGAAGAGAGAAAGTTGGGAAAAGGGAAGAGGGAGAAACAAACATTCATATGAACACTCCTCGAAAACAACCCCTTACTCGGCGGATGCAACAACAACACCCCCTGGATCAAATCCAACGCATTCACAATCAACAAATCATACTGCCCATCCCCGCCGCGCACCACCAGCCAGTCCAGCGTAGTCAACAACCGCTGCGCAATATTCCATTCGAACCCTTCTTGTAATTTGAAAAACTCGCGGAAAGCTGGGTCGCCCGAGACGTCGGAGAGGTGTTTTCTTGGTGGGTTCTGTTCTTGCTCGCGGTCCCGGTCGGAAGGGTGGGAGTTCTTGCGTGGGCTGCCGGGAGTGGGATTGTTAGGCGGGGAGAGGCAGATCTGCGCGAGCAGGCCCTCGACTTGCTTGAGGCCCTTTTTGATCTTGCCGCCGTCGAAGGAGGAGAGGTTGTCGAATGCTAGCGACAAAAGGGATTCCATTGTGCCGCTTTGCTTTGTCTTCTCTCTCGGGGGTCAGTCAGCCGCAATGGCGGCTTTGTCGAGTGACGTAGTCGGTGCGAAAGTTTTGGTTAACTACTGTGTAATTAATCGGGAAGATCTGCTGGTACCCGGCAAACGGTTTTCGGGATGTCGCTTGGCTAGAAATAAGAAATGGCGGCCGAATCGGATCGTCGTGGCGCCTGCGCAAACAAACGGAGGGTCGGGTCTGGTTTCTGCACAACGACGGTTGTGATTCGGCGGTTGGCGGTCGGCGGTCGGGTGGCGGTCGGGTATTTGTTTATTTCTGTTTGTTGAGATCGCGGGATCGAGAGTGGCGGTCGCGGAGACAGAAAATCGGTAAATAACCCATGTATCGCTAAGTCGGTACTGCCGACCCAAATTCTGATGAGAGCAAAATAAAATCTTTGGTCCCGCTCTGGAGACGTTAGTTATTTCTTTTGGCAACGGTCAGCTCCTGGACCGGGCTGGCGGGTTGAGATTCGGCCAAAACGGGACGATGCCACGGCAACGGGCCGCCAGCGCTGGTCCCTGCATGACGTGGTGGGGCGGTCAACAGCGAACGCCTTGCCGGGCTGGCCAATGCGAGGGATCTCGAGGTGGGGTCTTGTTCGACTGGGGAAGTGGGGCACACCGCTGGACAGGACTTGACAGGGTGAGCTTGCGTTGTCTGTCCGAGCTTGTCAGTTGAAGAAGCTTGAAACAAAACTAACGTTATTAGTTAGTTACTTCGGTGAGGATAGAAGGAAAATCCGAGCGGAAAAGCCTTGTATCGATATAAACCTACAATAACCCCCAGGTTACTCCAGAATTACTACTGAACTCTGCCTGCCTCCCGAAGAGCAAACAGCCGATGCACGCTCCCTTGCTTTCCCAACAGTCCGGCGGTCTCCCGTCTGTCGGGTGTTCTGCTCAAAGTTACAAACGAGCGGTCGCACAGCCCACAGCATGCTCCCGGACCCCCATCTTCAAACAACTTCACTGCGGCTACCATCCAAAGGCATGCGCCCTCATCAATGCGCGTTTGCTCGAGCCAGTAGATTGTCAGAGTCATGATGAAGAATGGCTGCTATTAATATGGATATGCAGGGGCAAACGGAGGCCAGAGAGATACCTAGCTGGTGAAAATGTACAAATTCTGCAGTTTCTGCATTTTTCGGGATAGGTAATTGATAGCTGAACAACTGCATCTAGCTCACACTCGACCACAATTCAATTCAAAACTTCCAATCTCAGCTTTATTCATGCCTCGGTAAGTCAATCCGCGTTTTTGCTGCGTCATCGCCCAAGTTCCGATCATGTGCCGCAGTGAGGCGTATCTCGGTGTTAGGTGACGCCCCGCATTTGCCCCCCGCCGAGACAGCTGCGCAAGCTCCGGGCAGTTCGGCAACAGACGGGCGATGAACAGGTGGAAGCTACCTATGTTGCACGCTCAGCAGCCCACTATCATTGCAATGGCTCCCACGCGGCCAGATGGGCTGTCTTATAATTTCCTTCCCGGTTACGTGTTCTCGGGCGGGACTAACTTGTTGGTTGGATGCAGTTGAGAACAAAGCGAATTGGTCTCAAACGACAAATCCGGAGGTAACGTGCGTAAAACGCCTAGAAGCTTAGCCTCGCAGCTTGCAAGGGGCCAACAAACCACATGTCGTCACCTGCATCGCCCTCGGACGCGCGACCCCACCACGCACCAAGCTCGCCTGGGTACCTCACGTTTGGCAGGAAGGTGGCCTCTGCCTGCAGCAGCAGCACGAACAGCATTCGTCGGCCGTTCCAAGCGTCCGAACAACCTGCCTCGGTGGCCTCTTCCTCTGTCACGGGTACTTCAAGAAGGCGAAGAGCCCAGCATTTGCTGCATTTCAGGCGTCCTTCCTCTCCAACCCGCCCAAACCCGAACCAAGACCGTTTCACTTCCTTCCACAACGTGCACAACCCGGACCCGAACCACGCGACACAAACGTACCCACCTGCCGCCATGACCGCCCAGGCTTCCTCTTCTGCTGTCCTCGCGACGAGTGACCTCAATCCCGACGAGACCAACCTCCCCAAGCACACAAACGGCGACACCATCCACCACCAACCCAACAACCTACCCCTCACCTTCCTGCAATCGCCCGCCGCGATCCCCCCACGTACCTCGTCTGTACAATCGACACCCGGAGCTGCGGCCGCAACCGAGACCGACTGGCTATCCAGCCACAAACGTCAACGGAGCCGCAAAGTCTCCAACGGCGCTGGCCTCACCACCAACAACAACACCACCGCAATGTCGACACCCCCAGACCCGTCCCGGTTCGCAACCGAGGACTTCTTCCTCCACACCCGCCGCCCCTGGTCCGAAGAAAAAAACAAAGTCCTCACCGGCCCCTTCGACTACCTCAACAACCACCCGGGCAAAGACTTCCGCTCGGCCCTCGTCAAAGCCTTCGACGCCTGGCTCGAAGTGCCCCCCGAATCCCTCGCCATCATCACCCGCGTAATCAGCATGCTCCACACGGCCTCCCTCCTCGTCGACGACGTCGAAGACAACTCCCAACTCCGCCGCGGCTTACCCGTCGCCCACTCCATCTTCGGCACCGCCCAAACCATCAACTCCTCCAACTACATCTACTTCTGCGCCCTGCAGGAACTGCAAAAACTCCGCAACCCCAAGGCCGTTACCATCTTCACCGAGGAACTCTTGCATCTCCACCGGGGGCAGGGCATGGATCTCTTCTGGCGGGATACGTTGACTTGTCCGACGGAGGACGATTACCTCGAGATGGTCGGCAACAAGACCGGGGGGCTTTTCCGCTTGGGGATTAAACTCATGCAGGCCGAATCCCGCAGTTTGGTAGACTGTGTCCCCCTGGTCAACGTTATAGGCCTAGTCTTCCAGATCGCAGACGACTACCGCAACCTGTCCAGCACGGAGTACGCCGCCAACAAGGGCATGTGTGAGGACCTGACAGAGGGGAAATTCAGTTTCCCCGTGATCCACAGTATCCGGTCTGCACCGGGGAATATGCAGTTACTAAATATCCTGCGGCAGAAGACGGAGAATGAGGAGGTGAAGAGGTATGCGGTCAAGTATATGGAGAGCACGGGGAGTTTTGCGTATACGAGGGAGGTGTTGGCTGTGTTGATTGCGAGGGCGAGACGGATGGCGGAAGAGCTGGATGAGGGGATGGGCAGGGCGGTGGGGATTCAGAGGATTTTGGATCGTATTGAGGTTAAGGAGGGGGAGGCCGAGGGGATTTGGGGGGATGGAAAGGGGAGGGAGGGGAAATAATTGAGGGAAAATAATGATGGTGGGTTTGGGCTTGGGTGGATGGATGGTCTTTGGGCGTGTTGGTGGGAATATACCCTTTATTTTTATGGATTTGTGTTTGTTCGAAGAAATAGAATGGCTGTGGTTTAAATCGGATGTGGATTGTGAGTTTGACGTGGTTGTCTGCAAAGGACAACGGAATATGTTGTTGAATGGCGATGGTTGGTGCAAGGGTAAAATTTAGATTGAGTGTCGATAATCGGGCAGAGAATAATCGGGCAGAGAACGAGCAGTTCTCGACTGCCGAACATTCATCAAGATACCTCGTCTCACTTGGAGCTGAATTCATGTTTCTTCATAACGAGGAATGTACCAAGCTGACACCCGCTCATAATCAATGCATTCGTTTCCAGTTCTCATCAAACCTAGTGGCCAAACCCAAATAAAGCGTAGCTAATAAACCAACCAACAAAACAACCCAATAAACAATTAAACTCCTGATCCAGTGCTCAACCCAGTGTTTAACACGGTGCTTAACCCAGTGCTCAACCCGGTGCCTAACCCAATGCTCAACCAATACTCAAACATCACGACACCACCTTCCGCCGCTTCACCATCCTCACCCACCGCCGTCGTCTCCACTGCCCCCTCCTCCCCAACCCAGCCTCCCTCTCCTCCCAACTCACCCCCGGCGCCGGCACCGGCAACTGCGGGCCCCCATCACCCACCCCGCCGGCCCCAACCTCCCCAGGCCCAACCTCACTCGTCTCTCGCCCGCCTCCGCCACCACCAAACCAACCCCCGGTCTCATCACCATCATCCCCAGCGTTTCCACTATCATTCGGAGCGGCCGCAGGACCAGCCCACATATCATAAACCCACCTCTCCCCCTCCGTCTCAACCTCCACCCCCGTAATAATCCTCTCCTCCACCCACTCCCGACTCCACAGATCCAACGCCCACTTCTTCTCGCTCCATTCCCAACCCTCGGGGGGCAGGACGTCTTCGAAAAACCGCGCGCCGCTGGGTCGGTCGTGGGCGAGGCGGGCGGCGGAGAGAGGGTCGTGGGGGGAGGGGGAGAAGAGCCAGGGTTCCCATTCGCGGGAGAGGGGGGAGGATTGGTGTTGGAGTTCGAAGATTTCGACTTCGCGGGTTTCGGGGGCGGTGTCGAGGAGGATGTCGTGGGTGAGGAGGGTTTGGAGGGTTTGGATGGGGTTGGGGGGTGTTGCTGTTTTGGGGATGGGGATGGGTAATGGTGGTTGTTGTTGTTGTTGCTGGGGGGCAGGTTTGTTGTCTGTGGGAGGAGGGGAGAGATAGTGTTGCTGAGCTTGGCGCAACCACCTGGCCACGGTGGGATTGCCAGACCAAATCCCCGCCCAACCGCCCACCAACGCGATCAACCGCAGCGGGAGCAAGTGCCCCGCGATGAGCATGACTAACGAACCGGCGAACAGCAGCACAAACACCCCCGACGACAGCGCCTCGTCGGAGAAATTCGTCTTGGGCACCACCAGCGCGAGGACCTTGTCGTGCGCCACGCTGAAGTCCTCCATCACGTTCTGCAGGTCGCCCATGTTGCGGAAGAAGTCCCGCGACAGTTCTTTCGTGGGTTTCACCGTGCGCGCGGGAGCTAGCGGCGGGCCGCGGGGTGAGTAGCTCATGTTGCGCACGCGGTCGGCGTCGGACGCGGGCGCCGGGTGGCGGGCGAGAAAGGATGGGACTAGGATGCCGAAGAGGGAGAGTGCGAGTGGGAGTGCGAAGAGGAGGTAGGGGTCGAGACAGACGAAGGTGTAGACGGCTAGGAAGGAGAGTGTGTGCGTGGGCCGGCGCCAGGCGAATAGGCGTAGGGCACGGGCTTGGAATCGGAAGACTACCCCGATGCGCGCGTTGAAGCGCCGGAAGTTGGTGGTCATCAGCGGGAGTGAGAAGCCCGGTCTCTCGGCGAAGCCGCCGGGCAAGTCGTCGTTGGATACATCCCGTGGCTGGGCCTGGCTGTCGTCGGCGGGTATCACTTGGGAGACGAGTCTGGGGTGTGTTAGTGAATTTAAGTTTCATTATTGAACAAGAAATGACCATTAAATGAGACCCATACTTTTCCAACAGCTTGTCCTGGAGGTTGGCAGCGCGAAAGATGCCGTTACGCAAACTCCTCCGCTTCTTGCCTGGCTCGGCACCCGCCGCTGCCTCGGCCTCATGGTGACTCTCATCGTCGCGGTCGTCGGCCGCCAGATCGGTCGACTCGTCAATAACGTCGAGAAAGCTGGATGCGTAGTCCTCCATGTTGTGCACCGATGTAGTGTCACCCGGTCCGAGCCGAGACCATACCGTTGATGATTCCCGGGGTCCCTGTATTCGTCTCACTCTCGGACTTCGCCTTTGTTCTTGGGTTTCTTGAATAATCAGGCAAGGAAATGAATTGTTTTGTCTTTTCTCAACGGTCGTATCACTGTTTTGGGTGTGAAACGGTCATAAAATCCCGGCCGCTAGACAGGGGACAGGATGATAGAGCTGTTGATGTGAGTTGTTGAGGTTGTCAGATCGTTGGATCAACCGGCGTTGAAGTCGGGGAATGACGACAGTGCTGCCGGGCTCCGGCTCGGTTTGGTGTCACATGCTTCCGAATTGCTGAGGGACAGCGCCAAGTGACGCCACCTGTGGCCAGCCGACGGCGCTGCGGACCACAACTACAAGGTTAAGCATCATTAACCTGGCGTAGAGCAAACAAAGTACCGACGGGATTCTGACGCAAGCATACAAAAATAGTGTTCCGTCACACCAGTATCTTTTTGAGTTTGGAGGCAAACGCAAACGAGCAAAGCGTACACTTACCATAACGTTAGTATTGCAGGCCAAATGCATCATTGAATCTCCACCCAGAACGTCGAGCATCAACTCCCAAATTGATGGCCCCGGAAATTGCATGTCTTGCGGTCCGGGATCCTGCAGCCGCCGCGGGCCCGATGCATGAAATCCATTTCCATTCCGCTGGAAATTTAAGATTCGATTCGACAATTCCGAACTTTTTTGTCCATTTTTTTCCTTTTTTTTCTTCACCACACCCATCCGTAAATGGCAAAACGAAATTGTGGTAGCCCACCGTCGGTGCTGATCCAACTCTTGCTGAGACAGTAACCGGAAACAACTGTCATCGAATGTCACATCGGTGCACCATCCCTGGAATCTCGGGTGTGGGGAATGGGGAAACACTTTTGTTTTAGCGTACACTTGAACGTCAGTTACGGTTCTTACACATACACAGAACATGGGATACCAAACGCTTCCATGGAGCATCGGGAAGCCCGTCAGAAGTAGATTATGGCGACACTTCCTAGACGGCTGATATTATTGGAAAATCCACTCATGGACTTGTTCCTGGCGCCAGGCAGAGGTACGCATGAAAAGCGGCGCGTTGCTGGGCGGATCCTGCGCCTTAATGGCGGACAGTTAAGCAAACAATCACATCACGGGCCACTCAACCCTTGCCTACGCAGTTGAATTCTGGAGTCAGCAGGCGAAATGATTTGCGCTCCGGCGTACGCCCGGAGGTTCGCAATGGGAATAGCGAGGTCAACAATGTTGAAATGAGGCCGACTATCTGATGCCCATCGAGTTCGAAGATCAAAAGAATATTTCACGTTTGGTACCTTCGTACACGACAATGGAGCGGACCCATCAAGATGCCAGCGGTTCATCCACATTTGGAATTTACCCGTACTCCGTGCCAAGTATTCGTAACGATGCGGTCTGCGAGACCCGAACCTCGCCAACAACAATCGTTGGTTTCCCCAGCCTGCGACCGCCCGACTCGGCGGAGAAGGTCCCCATCTTCTTCTGTCTCGAAGTCGAGGAGAATCCATAATGATGCGCTGGCACGCTCCCAACCCCCCGAGTAACTGACACATGCGGCTGGTGCAAATCGCAAACGCTCCGGCTCCCGGCTGCACTCTGTTTGAACGAAGGCTGTGTGTCGCACACCTGCCTGCAGCCGGAACAATTCGTCCTTTTCTCGAGATGTCAAGAAGGTGGCAGGTTTATTGGCCGCTCCTGGCTTCGCTTGCACGTGGCTGCATCGCACAAGACGGACAACCACCGATGCCGCTGACTGTGCAGTGGGGACCTCGACAGAAAGAGATGGTTGTCCTTGTGTCCGTATTTCGTGCAGTTCCCAAACGGGACCTATCGATGTGTAGATGATGGATGTCCTCGAAAGTCTTCATCAAAAGAGAATCGGCCGTTGCCCAGGACCGACTGTGGATTGGATGCATCGGGAAGCTGGTCCCCTTTTTCCACTGCCCCACTTCGCAATGGACCCCCCTGAGCAAGCGCACGTCCCAACCTGAGCTGGCTAGCAGCGCTGGCGGATCGTCTGGGGTTTGCCTGTTGCCCCGTGAAAAAAAAGTCCATGCCCCCGTTCGTGCGGTTTGTTACGCTGGTCGCTGTGCTGTGCCATACGGTCAGGTACACCACCGCCTGTATCCCCCGGACTCTCCCAGGCAGTTCTAGCGGACCCACCTGCCCGCTGTCGAAAACATCCTGCAACCCAGCGAAGAACAAGCTGCTGTTTCTGTTCCCCCAATCCACGCCTGTCTGGCGACCCGACAACGGACAAGCAACGCGAAGAGACACCATCTCAGCAGGACCAAGCCGGGGCTGCGCTTGCAGCTCGTCTTCTCTCCCGCCAACCCGCAATAACTAACTACTCACACAACAACGACGACCACCACAATAACAACACCGAGAAGAAAAAACAACCAGCCTGTGTCTAAACACACATCCCGTTGTTGCATCGCGTTACTGTCGGAGATGAGGTAGCCTTTCGACTGTTCTCAGCTCCCTGACCGGACTGAGCCCGCTGCTTCCGCTGCTGTGGACTGCGGACAGTGGACGTCCCAACGCCCTTTTTTGACTTGAAGAGGTGCTCGAATTGAGCAGTTGAGAGTCAAAAGAGCCACCAACACCGAGACCGACCCTCTTCGACCGATCTTTGCCGACCGCCCGCGCTGCGCTGCTCCACCGTACCGTCGTGCTGCCCCATCACCGTCTCTCTTCCTCGCTCTCTCTCTCCCGGCTTCCCCTCTTGGCCGCTGCATTGAGAGTCTCGCCGCCCGCGCGCTCCTCTGACCCGTCCACCTCGCGCTACGCGCTTCCCCTATGAACAGAGAGCGTCTCGTCCCCGCTGGGCCCCGACGGGAAAACCAGTCTCCTCCGAGGTAGGCCCGCAGAATTGAACTCCCTTTTCCTCTCCTTTCCACTCCAATTGCCCGGGTCTCACGAAATAAAACAACCCCCGCGGTAAACCCTCGGTCTGAGACGGACTCGTGGGTGTCTTGGCCTGGTCCTCGGCCTCCGAGAGACGTCTCCGTGCAACCACGAGCAAGCGAGCGGGCGACCTGGCCCTGTGAGTGAGTGGACTGGTATAGCTAACCTTGCTTTTCTGTCTCGCCAATTTAGAAGGTCACGCAACACCAGTCCTACCAAATTCGGCCCCGTTCTCCGGCCTGCCCACGACGCTCCGATGCTCAGTGCTTCGTCTTCCAACAACCATTCTCTCTTTTCCTTTGGCGGCGCCAGAAATGGCTTGCCCGACGACTTGACCGACACCGCCTCTTCGTTCGAGTTCCTGCCCTCCGTGAGCTTCGACGACCTGCAAAGCAGCCTCGAGTCTGCCTCGACCGACTTCAAGCTGACCCAGTTCCCCTCGCCCACCGGCCAGGGCACCATTCTCGGCGCTGGTAACGGTGGGAACAGTCGTCCCGCAGCACAGAGCAATATGGCGGTGGAACGTCCGGGCACAGCGCGTAACGCCCCAAGCAACCACGCTCCCGTGCAACCGGCTGTGACACGCTCGCGTACCGGCTCGATTCTGCGTCGGCCCAGCATTTCCGGCAGAAATGTGAGCTCGAGCTCGACCGCGCCGACCGCGTCGAACAACTTGTCGGGCGTACCCAATGCACCCACAGCCCCGGCCGCCATGCGCACGCGTCGTCAGAACCATTACCCCCCGGTTTCCAATGCCAGTGTGGCCAAACCGCCCAGGAAGTCGACCGGAGACGTGGTGCTCGCCGGGGAGTTTGAACCTCGCAAGCGGCGGCCTAGCGTGGCTTCGCTATCGGACAGGAACGGACTCGAGCCCCCGACGAGGGCTTCCGTGGACGGGGGCTCGCGTCCCACGGGTGACTTTCTACGTGCGCACACAGGCTCGCGAAGTGCCAAGACTCGATCCGTCCAGCCGCCGCCGAGGGCCAGCCAGGCCATGTTGACTCCCGACTCGGCTTCCCTGACGCTCGAACCGGGCCCTGCATCGACCGCGCTTCCTCGCTCGCCGCGAGCGGCTGCTAAGGGATTGGGGTTGGGGTTGTCCGCAACAAAACGCGTGTCGGTCATGCCCGGCGCGCCGCAGCTCCCGCATGCCACGGGCCTTGGTGCCAGGACCATCAGCCCGACCGATACACGACGGATGAAGCGGCTCTCTATGCATCACACACAGGGCCAGACCCCGACTCCCATATTGCCAAACCCACCCCCATTATCTGCCGCCGATATCCGTTCGGCTTCTCGATCCCCCTCTATGCTCCCACGAAAGATTACAACCCCGAACTCGTCGCGTACAACTCCCGATCTGAACCGGAAATCATACAGCTCTGGCCTCTCCGTTACCTCTACCGGCAGCTTCACAACTGCCAGGACATCCACCGTGCCAGCTGGGCAGCGCAATTCGCAGGCGGGCACGTCTCGACTCCCCGCTCCCAAACCGCTACCTTCCCACAGCTCGTCCACCCAGGATGACGACGAATATGTTCCCCCTGTGCCCGCGATACCCAAGGCATATGAGTCTCCCAAGGACACATTTGTGGAGGCGCCCTTTTTGGACAAGAGAAGGTCAAACTTGGCGTTTGACGCGAGCAGTCTTCACAGCACGTCGACCGGGAGTATGTCTGGGGCCTTTAACGAAGGGCCGCCCGCCAAGCTCCAGCGTAGGCCAAGCAATCGCAAGTCGGTGCACACGTCCAAGTTGGATATGGAAACGAAGCCGCCAGCTGCACAGCAATCCAAGAAGACGCTCCAGCCCCTGAGGCTGCCTCCCATCACCTTGGGCCCCTTGAGCACACCTACTACCGCTAAGATTGCCGCGCTTCAAGAACACAGTTCGTCCGAGAGGAATTTGTCCCCGCCTCCAGCGCGGCAGCTCGCGAAAACACCGACTACGCCCATGACCGCGTCGAAAAGCGCTTTCTTTTCCAAGGCGCGCCAGGATGATCGGGGCGATGTCCAACATCTCCGGAGCAGCAGCTCGGTACACCGATTCAGGCGGGAAACATCGCCTCCTTCGCAGGAGCCCACAAGCTCGGCTGAATCATTCACCGCAGTCAAGAACGGGAACGGACAGAGGCCAGGGCCGTCGCCTTTTACGAGTAACTCGTTACCGAAAGGGGGCACTTTGGAAACCGCGTTTCTTAAGCGATCTAAGACGGGTGGCGATTTTACGGCCGCGGTGGAAGCGACTGCTGGCCCGCCAACACCGGTTCAACACTCGAAACCTTCAGGTCCTCGGGCGCAGAAGCCTAATTCGTTGAGTACGACGACGAGCTCGAGGCAAGCCAAGTCGCCACCTCCGCTTTCCAGTCCGGACGAGCCGCAGACTCCTTCGTCAATGAGCTCCCTTAGGAGGAAGTTGAGCTTGTCGTGGAAGCGGAGTGGATCCAAGGCCGCCGGGAACCAGGGTATGCCAGCACAAACCGCGTCGGAAAAACCATCCGACCCCAAACCTGCCAAGCACGATTCCATGCCACCACCCCGGATCCCGGCGTCGGCGACAATGAACACCCTACCCTCGACCAAAGCCCCCAGTCCCGCCCTGCCTGGCAAGGCTAACGGGAACGGGACCTATCTGGAATCTAGAAGACGAAAGAGTTCGGCCTCGAGCCTGAATGCGATGGTCACGCAAGAACAACGTGCGCGCAACGACAGCACAGCAAAGAAAGAATCGACTTTAGGCACGGTTTCGGAACGCAATACAGTCCCCCACAACTCGTCGGTCGTGCAGCGCATCCTGAAGCCTAGACCGTCGACGGCGACGCTGCGCAACCATGATGTCTGGGGCAGCGAGCTTGACAATTACGACCTGATTGCCGAGGAGGAAATGAAGAAACTGGGGCTCCGCCGCAAGGATACCGAGCTGGCGGCACGCACCCTCGACGCACTCCGGAAGCGCGCAAGCGCCAAGGAACGGGTCAGTCCTCAGGACGCGATCCGGATCGCGGTGCTCAACATCTACGAGCGCGGCGAGATTGTGGATTACAAGGATGTGTACTTTTGCGGGACCCAGAACGCGGCCAAGGTTGTCGGCGACCCGCAGTCGGACAGCCCTAATTTTGGCTATGACGACGAGCGCGGGGATTATACGATCGTGCCGGGCGATCACCTGGCTTACCGCTATGAGATTATTGATGTGCTCGGCAAGGGCAGTTTTGGGCAGGTCGTCCGCTGTATTGATCACAAGACCGGCGTGCTGGTGGCCGTGAAGATTATCCGGAACAAAAAGCGGTTCCATCAGCAGGCTTTGGTGGAAGTGAACATTTTGCAGAAGCTGCGTGAATGGGTAGGTTCTTTCCTTTGCAACAGTTATTTTTTCGGTGTTCCTTTTTTGGTGTTCTTTCTCTATTGAGGTCCATCGCTAATGGTGTGCAGGATCCTCAAAACAAGCACAGCATGGTCAACTTCACTCACAGTTTCTATTTCCGCGGCCATCTGTGTATTTCCACTGAGCTTCTCGACATGAACCTCTACGAATTTATCAAGTCCAATGCCTTCCGGGGCTTCTCGCTCAAGATGATCCGCCGCTTCACAAAACAGATGCTGAGCTCGCTCAACCTGCTCAAGCAACACAAGGTCATTCACTGCGATCTGAAACCAGAAAACATCCTCCTCCGGCATCCCTTACACACCGAACTCAAGGTCATCGACTTCGGCTCTAGTTGCTTCGAGAACGAGAAAGTCTACACCTACATCCAGTCCCGATTTTATCGCTCGCCTGAGGTCATCCTCGGCATGACGTACGGCATGCCCATCGACATGTGGTCGCTCGGCTGCATCCTGGCCGAGTTGTACACGGGCGTGCCCATTTTCCCCGGTGAGAACGAACAGGAGCAGCTGGCCTGCATCATGGAGGTCTTCGGCCCGCCCGAGAAGCACCTGATCGAGAAGTCGACCCGCAAGAAGCTCTTCTTCGACAGCATGGGCAAGCCGCGCCTGACGGTCTCGTCTAAGGGACGCCGTCGCCGCCCGTCGTCCAAGACCCTACAACAAGTCCTCAAGTGCGACGACGAGGCCTTCCTCGATTTCATCGCCCGCTGTCTCCGCTGGGACCCCGACCGCCGCATGAAACCCGACGACGCGATCCGCCACGAATTCATCACCGGTCAAAAGACCTCCGTCCCCGTCCCCCGCGCCGCCCATGGCCATCACGCCCGTGACGCCTCCCCCGCGAAACGTATCACCTCCCTCGGCGCATCCCGTCCCCTGCCCGAACCACCTGCGGCCGCGAAAACCGCCAACACGTCGCTCCGCTCTCGAGACCACACCGGGTCCGGCTCCTTCGGCAGCTCCAACATCAAGTCCTCCGTCCCGCCATCGTCCTCTACCACAGGTACCACCGGAGGAACCCGCCGTGTCTCGGGCATGCGGGATTCCTCAAGCACACTCACGGGAACAGGCGCGAAACGGTCCAGCGCGAACACCGGCGCGAATACTGCCTCAGCCTATGGGAATGGAGGTGGAGCGGGCGCTGCCGCGAATGCCGCTGGGCTTGGCAGTGGCGGTGTAACTGCGTCGTTGAGTAATAGCAGCTTGCCAAGGGCGTCGATGAGGAGTGTCAGTGGCGGGTTGAGTGTGGGGTTGAGTGGGCAGGGTGTGAAACAGCAGCAGCAGCAGCAGCAGGATTTGGCTGCTGCGGGGGCTACGGCGGCTATGAGTAGGCGGGTTTGAATTGCGGGGGTATGGGTAGAGTTTTGAGTGGGTTGGGAGGATGGGGGAGTGGGTATGCTATGCTATGCGATGCATCTATCTGTTTTATTCTATCCTATCTTATCCTAGGAAAGGCAGGCATCGGGTGTGTGGTGTTTGTGGGATGTGAGCTCATGTTAGAGCGAGCGAGAGAGAGCGAGAGAGAGAGAGAAAGAGACAGTTTAGTGGGGGTGAGTGGTAGGGGAATATGAAGGTGTTCTTGGTTGGGTGTGAACTGAAGAATCGCCCGTGCTCTGGGATTTTGTTCGAGGGTGCCACTGCTTCTTAGTTAAGTTTACATGACGTGATGGCGGGTTTAGTTGTGGTATAGCATGGCATGGTATGGTATGCGGTATGGTCATGGCATAGCATCGGTGGTGTGGTGCATGGAAGGGAAGGAAGCCGGAAGCCAGAAGCCGAAAGCCGGAAGGGAAAGGCAAAGGGGAGGCCGGTGTGCGGGTTAGTTATATGAGGCGTAATGGGTTGGTTGGTTGATGATGGATAATGAAAGATGGGAATTGTTTGGGTTCGGACTGGACTGGACCTAACCCCGGGCCGCGGACTGGCATTTGTTAGTAGAAAACATATTTTTTTGTTCTGTGCGTGTCCCTTCTTTTCGGGTTTGCTGTGTTGAGTTTCCTTTTTTGCGTGTGCATGTGGGCTTCTGGGAGGGCTGAATTTGCTGGGCTGGTATTCGTGGTGATGTCTGGACTCCTGCACCTGCGTGCTGCGTGCTTGCGCTGTGGAGGTAGGATGTGGTGTGTCTGGGTATGATCAAACTGTGGCCATCGTTGGGGGACAGAGAAGGCGAGAGGGGCATGAAAGGATGGGCAGCTGGGATATCCTCTATCCTTGACTGGCGATGGATGGGAGAGTATGCTGGGGGTATAGACAGCGGAGGGACTGAAGGGCAGTGGAGGATGATACCAGATATGTTTTATGTTTTCCTTCTCGTTGTTTCTTTTTCCTTTTTGTTAGTTTTTTCTTTGTGATTCGGCCCCTTCATCATATTCACTCATCGGCATCGACGGTTTGGCATTGCGATGGTCATACAGAGTACCAAAAAACTACAGCTATAATAGAGCTATGACGAACATGACAACTAATTTCTGGTCCTTATCTTGGCCTTGATGATGTCAACTGAACTCGTATTCTGTCCTCGCCGGTGGTCACTATTTTTGTGAGAGAAGACGAGCCGCGTAATGAACTAGACTGGAAAGCTGAACCTCCCAGAACGAGAACATGAGAATATGGGTCATGACTCCACGTACGCTCGTTTCTTCGGCGATACTGTCCACTTGTTTGGCAACTTTGCTCGGAGCCGGCGATGTCCGCAGACGCGACGAGTACAGTTCGGGGTGGGTTCCCAGTTCGGATGTTGATGTATTCTCATGCTGTGTAACATCAACTCTCCAGTCAGGTGTGGCTTGGGTGGTAGCGTTCGGTGAAGGAAAAAAATACGGTATCTTTCTACTTGTCTGGTTTTCTTCTCGTGTTCTCGGCTATTCCCATTGCGCCCGGTTGAAGAAGGATGTAGGGGCCTTGGTGATGTTGTTCGGGATCACTATCAACACCACCGTTTGTGTACCCACGGAGTCATGCCGAGCCATGGTAAAAACGGAGAGGTTCAACAAGACATTGAGACGGAAGCCAAGTGAAAATTGGGAATTCTGCCTTCCTCCTTGTGCCACTTATGTGGCTCGGGGTTCGGTCTGCTTATGTAGCTCTCCCTGTCTTTCCGGGCGTGAACAATGACTTAAGTCTCTAGATGTACCGGCACACGGACAACAGATACCAAATATAGGGTCCAGCTCTCCTAGGATACGAGCACTAGTCGGATATCGAAGTGTACCTTACGCGAAACAAGGAAACCATTTTCTGCCTGCACTCCTGCCCGCGTGCTCGCCGAGTCATTGCTCATATTGGGGGCGGAATGATTCTTGAGTAAGGAAGAGGGGGAGGCGCGAGCCTACGCCCTTGGCCCTGGATACAAGGCGGCGGTCTTCTGTCTCACATAGCCGAACAATGCTCAAGAGCCTTGAGAACCTCACACAGACCCAATGCTTGGTGCCGGAAAGGAATGGAAGCCGAGGGACTGACAGGAACTGAGATGCTATGGTGGTGGTTTGACGATGGTGAGGAAACACAAGAGGGCCCGAGCCGCGGCACCGGTGTATGATGTCTCCCATAGTTACACAAAAACTAAGCGATCCGGGTAATCGGCGGTGACACAACTCACGAAGGGCAGGCGCAAGAAGAATTGTACCCGGTTTAACATTGGCAACCGAGGCAAGCGTCAATTCCTGCATGGACTGCGCACTTTTACTGCAATGAGCTGACGCTCTTGCCCGTACAGTATGTGGATTCAGGGTTCGCAAAACAAGGCTTCGGCGTCTTCGGATGTTCGGGGAAGGAATCGGGTCGCTCTCATCGGCCTGGTGACCAGATCGAAAGGAAAGAACGGAAGAGAAAGAGAGAAAGTTGGGGAAAGTCAAGGAATGAAACCGATGAACGGAACCGGAAGTTTGGCAGGCACAACCGTTCAACAGACACGCCCTCCCAGTGGTACTTCGTGAGGTCGCTGCTGCCTTCTCAAGAATATTTTAGCGTGTTGATGAATTGGTCACTGGTGTCAAAAAAAGAGGGGAGGAGCGAACGACCACCACTTGTCATGTGGCCGCTCACCAGTGAGGAAACCCATGGAATGAATGTCAGTGTTCTGATCGTTTTCGCAGGTTATTTTTTGGCTTCTCAGACATATTCTTTTCTTCCACCCCATGCTCCACCATCGCCGGTGTCCCGGCGTTCCGGCTCCATTGTTGAGATCGATCTAATTCGTTGCAAATGCGATCAAGGTTCAACCGATGGGGAATCGACTGGCGGCCAGTCATAGTCGTCCGTTGCGAGGCTGTGCTGCGAATTGCTGCAGCGAAGTTTGAGGTGAGATGAATTCTGGTTCGCCCAGCCGCCAAACCGACAATTGCAGTGCCTGCAACAGGCATTGGTCCCCTAGCCATGATGCCCCAGGCGATTGGTTCGCTCACGAGAGAACCCTGATCACGACCAACGCTTGCCTTCATTCAGTTCCATAATCGGAGGAGCACTGGTAGTGTAGGATGAATAGAGTTCTTGTGAGTTCCACCCGCACAACGCTCCGTGCAGGAGGCTGCGTGAATAGATGACGAGGCATACCACAAGGCGCAACACAGGCCCGTTGGAACCGGATCCAATTTACGCCGGTTCGGTCGCTGGGCCTGGCTAGGCCTGTTGACCGAATATCGAACAGGTTGACATTTCGGCTTGCGTGGTTGTCTCCAGAGAGCATCTACTGTTTGGTGTGCTCAATGCAACAGTCCCAGCAATCCAACGCTTCGCGAAGGTAACCCAAGTCATTCGGCATGTCCAGTGATATACGCTTTGGTACACACGAGTCGGCATTCGATGCCAAGTCGCTTCCGCCTGGGGGAACATGTGGACTGGCCTACCCGCTCGATACATCGGTCCTTGAATCGGTATGTAACAGAGTCCCAGTCAGACGGTCTAGGAGGGCGGCCCACGGCGATCAATTGCAACTCTTCCCCTCGTAGCGTGCAATCGCAATTATTGGGCAACATACGGTCCCTGAGAATTTGACAAATAGACCAGAACGACTGCATTAGTCTGATGACTCCCGCATGATACCCCCCACCTGCCCTTGAGGCTATTTCCAGACGAATGAGGGTTTGCAGAATTTGGATTCACGTTCAGGGTTTCCCGGGTGGAACTAGTCCGTATGTTTGGAGGATGCCGAGGCCGTTGCGGACTACTGCGTACCGTCATCCAATGATGGTGCCACAAGCTCCAACAGCCGCTTTCAGTGTCAGACCGGCGCCGGGAGTCTTCCGGATCTCGTTCGGCGCCGCATGTCAGCAGAGGCCGCCGGCCCATCCTCACGACAGATCGTTGGGAAACGACAACCCCAATCAACAACTCCGGTTGTTCAGCGGGCGATCTCTTGGCAGCCGTTTCACCACCATGACACCATCTCGGGAGATCCCCCCTGGCACCCTGGCCGGATCGTAGGCCATCGGACACAAGCCGCACATCCCGCACAACAACAACACCAACCAGAGCAGCGGACGGACAATAGCGCAACATGTGAATATCTGCTTAGGGACACCTGCGTCAAATTGTCACTGGAGGCAAGCTCACTTTTACAGGGAGATGGGCGTCGAGCCCTGCTCGCCATACCCTTGAGATGAGGGGCTTATTCCCTCTTCACATGGGAGACGGTCGTCTGCGCCGTGTTGCGGGCCGCTTGGTGGTTGAACGGCCGCGGGGTCGACAATCGAAAATGAGAAGAGCTCACTCCGCCGGGCCGGTCTGCCAAGCAACCGGAGCCAGGCAAGCCAGGGGACCGCTGCTCTCCACAACGGGGCGATGATGGTTGCCTTCCCAAGCCGGCTTGTTTTCCGCCGAACACGAGGTCGCAGAACGATGGACAGCAAGTCGAGGGGGGAGTTCTCTCACCTGCAATGCTTTCTGCAGCCCGAAGAGGCACGGCACCATCAATTCCCGTCCATGAGCCTCATGCCCACGGCTAGCATCCAGGATCCAGCCGTCGGGTTCTATGTCCGAGAGATGCTATCCTCTCTTGCACTTCGTGACGTGGAGGGGCTACCTGCAGAATGAATTAACTCGGAACGGTCTTTTCGATCCTGCATCGGCCGGGCCTATCCTCGATATGGCTAAGCATCCGTCGTCGTGCTTGTCGCTGGTGGAGTTCATCCTGTCCCGTCAGAGGTCGAACTGAATCGAAGGTAGGGATAGGATCATAGCGACGGCCGATTTCCTTGACGTCAGGGTTTGCTCAACCGTTGCAATTCCGGGAGGATTCATCAAACGGGCAGGGCAACATCCATCGCGGCTCGCAGGCACATGATTCGGCAGTTTCCACGACCGGTTTGGACTGCACCGCAATTCTTAGGGTTAGTCACGCCGCAGCGGGCTGCCCCGGAAAGCCGTCCAGTGAGGTTCCCACGTTCCGTTTGGGCGGTTTCTGGGGGCTTGCTTGGTGCTGCGGTGGTGGGACAGCCTTAGGATTTCGGGCCAGATTTTTAGGCGATCTGGCGGGGGGGATATCCCAGCAATGATTTGCGCAGCCCGTTTTCCAGGACCGGGCCTTGGGGGCCAGCAGGGGTAATGAAAAAAAGTCGATGAGGGGTAACCCTTGCTTGACCTGAGGACGACGGTTTGCCGCGACAGAGGTTCACCAAATGGGGCATGTCAGGAGGTTCATCGTCCTCGGCCCAAACCGATCCCACCAAAATCGTCGTGCGCATCTGCGAAGAAACACGCACCTCTCCTCTCCAATTCGGTGTGCAACCTGCAACCAAGGGCCTGCTGCATGCGAGCTCTCCGTTCCTGCTTCCCAGGGGGAAGGCCCACACACCCTTCACCCTCCATGCCCCCACCCGGGCTGCGCCTTGGCATACCGTCAGAACACCAAAAACACATACCCTGGGCCGCATCCATACGCGGTAATCTGTACTTACGGTACGTACTGACCGGTACTTGTCCAAGGCCCCCGTCCGGTCGAACAAACTCCCTGCGCCTTCTTTCTGGGACCGCGCCCTCTGCATTAGCCTGCATACTGCAGACGATGCCCCAGTCATCCGTCACTCGGTTTACCTGGGACCTTACTCCATATGCAGTGAGCAGCTCGCTGGCGTCACTGCTGCCTTCACGCCGCAAGCAGTTCCGGCCCCAGGCCCGCCTAGATGTCACCGGGAGACCTCCGCCGCCGGCTCCTGGGGCCTATAAGGCTGCCACGAGACCCTCCCCTCGGTCTAGGATATTGATGAGTCGACATCACAGCCTTTCCGTTGACAGGTCTTGTGCCTGATTACTCACGTTTTCTTTCCTGTTTTCGTTTTTGCTTGCTCGCCGTTCGCTTCAACCCACCGTTTACCGTTTCCAACGGTCGCCCTGCCCCATTCCGGGCTGCTCCTTTCCGGTGTTGCCTTAGAGACGTTTTGCTCATATTTATCTTGCCCTCTCGCTCTATTCCTTTCCGATCAGTCAGTCATCAGTCAGACACTTGCACATCACGCTCACAAGTCAACCTTCACGACTCCGATCACAACTACCAATCGGTCGGATCACACCTTGGCCACCTCTTCAGGCCACGAACTGCCACACATCACAAGTCAACAAACGCCCCTTCGCCACCCCGTCCCGTATCCACTCCCGCGCGGGAGAACACCTTCAAGATGTGCTACCAATTAGTTGAGCGCTACTCGGCATGCCGATGCCTCTACTACCAACACGCTGTCGACCGCTGCGCGGCCTATGGCCGACCAGGCCACGGCATCCAACTACGGACAATCCTCGTCGGCTACGCCTGCAGTGACCACACATCACACTCCAGCGGCCACGACTACTCAACCTACGCCACACATTACTCGGACTCGGGCTACCACTCGGGCTCGGGGCGCTCCTCCAAGAGCTCCCACGGCCACTACCGATGAAGAGTACTGTCTTTGATGACGATGGGCTGTTGTTCACGGCATACACCGCCGCTGGAACGCTTCAAACTTTGGGATTGGGTCGTGTATCTCTACTCGTTTCGGGTGAGAGCTTCAGCATCGAGCCAGCCCCCTTCCCAGCTCTCCTACCTTTTCGTGGGCCACGACCGCTTGTTTTCAACATCGGCTCCTGCCGCCGTTCTTTAACAGACTTCCTCACCCTCCACGAATGCCGAGCCGGACTTTCGACACGCAGCCTATGTCATTGAAGACGGGGAATCTTTCAGTCAAACCAATGGGGGAGGAGGGCACGACGGCAAACCGATGATCATCACGACACGCAAGGGACGAACTCACGTATGGCGGCCATGATCTTTTTCTTTCCACTCGACGACGGGCTGGATGCCAGACTACCACGAATTTTACGGACGACGACGGTTTCCTATCTTGGGACAGTTTCTTTGGGGTTTTGGAGCTTAGCGGTTTCACCGCTTCACGCAAGCACGGCATCGGTAAGGGAATGCATGTGGAGGAACGAACGACATCTGGCATGTGTACAGCACTGCCTGGCTTTTGAAGCACAACTCTCTCCCCTCTTTGGTTTCCTTTTCCTCGTTTCTGTTTTGTACTCTTATTTTTGGTTCTCTTCAGCACGGGATGGGATGAAGCATGCATATGGGATATGATACCAGGCGTTTATGAAACAGCGGGCGACTCCAGGCAACTGGAAGGACGAGATACATTGGATTTTTCTTCATTTTTCTTTGGTTTACGTTTAGAACGGGAACGTTTCACTTTTCAGATTTCTTCTACACTTTTTTTTATCTAGATCTGCTTTTCTTTGCCTTTTTCATTTTGTCTTATGTCTGAGATGTTGGATGCTTAACGTTGGATGGACTTTCACTCCTCATTATGTCTAATTCCTGCTCTGGCAGCAGCGACATGTCAACGGCCACACCTGGAGTGTGGGGCGGAAGGATGGACGAATCACGAGAACACCGGGAGGAGCAGCATATGGCCTGCTCCGAGGAAATATAGACTTCTATCTGACTTTTGGCTTTGTATTCGGGGCCGGAACCTATCTTCACGATTCTCTCTTGTCAGCTGGGGTTGGCATCCTCTGGCAGGATTCCAGGAGGTTGCCACGTCTGCGAGGGTTTGGTGGAGAGGGATAGACAGGAGGCCTTACATAGCCAGGATATAATTGAAGAAAGACGTCACTTCAAAAAATGAATTACCTATCTTGAAGCCATTCCGACGTGACTACTGCACCTGTTGTTCCCAAGCTTTGCCGCTCCCAGAGCGTCTTGGGGGCTCTGTCCAAATCGGGTAATGGCCCGGCCGACTGATTGACGGGGCGGGGCCCGGCTCGGCAGTGCAGCCGCCCGATCTTGATGTGGTACGGCACGGCATTGCACGGCCACTTTCACCCCTGGCTAGTCGGTGAGCGTGGATGTTCACGTGAGTAATTTTCCCGTGTTTGTTACGAGATGAGGTGGATGGGGACTATCTCGAGAAAAAACGCTGCAGAGAGAGACGCCAACTGAGTGAGTTGTAAATGTCTCACCAAAAAAACGAATTGTCGTGCACAATCCATGACGGGTGTCTCTCCCGTCACACTAACACGGCGGGAGGTTCAAACGACTTGCACGGCGTGGACGGGGAATATTTCCCCATTGGCGGTTTCTCCCGACGGGCTCGCCTAGGGCGGCCAATTAAGGTGCGGCAAAACAGGCGTGTAACTTTCAGCTGGTGTACCACAGCAGTCAGGTATCCGTATTCCCTAAAATATCCTACTGCAATACACTACACGTGCACACCAATTCCGTACAATCCCGCATTACCATACACCGCCGGAGCAAACAAACCGAGAAATATACCACCATCCCAACAAGCCCCAACCTCCCCTCCCCCGAACCCTTGAACCCTCAAGGGTAATTGATGATTAACAAGCGAGGGATTGAGAGGCTAACTACTTTCTCTTTTTTTTCCGTCTGTCATCCTCAATTCCGAGAATCAATCAACAAGCCCTGATTTCTCAGCCTCTCAGCCCCAAAACTGGCGCAGCCGCAGCAACCAAGACCCGTGGCGCCCAGAACTTCCGGGCAGCGGCCCTTGTCTTGTCAGCACCCAAAACAACAACCAAGTGCGACCGGCCGCCCGCCGCTCGCTTTTTTTTCTCGCCTTGCTTTGCCGAGCGGGATGGCGCCCGCTCGCTATTGAGGGAGCGGGTGTTGTGGCCGTGTGACGGGTTGGATCGGATGGTAGGTAAGGTACGACTAGTACACTAGAGTGTATTGTACAGAGTCTTGCTTCAGCAAGCCACTGTCGGCAAAACACCTCATTTTGGTCATGCCTGCCTAGATGGGGATAAAAATAACTAGATGGCGGGAGGCTAGTAGCCATCACGAGCGCTAGCCAATCCCCCAAAAAGGGTAGAGGCTTTTGGAATGCTAATTGGAATAACTAAAGTTTTGTGCAACGGTTTCCACTATCTCTGTGTTATTTTGTGTTGTCTCACGTTTGACGGCTTGGTTGTCGTGACCAGGTTTTGACCCGGCGAAACGCCCACGCCTGCACCTGCTCAAGGTGTGTCTTTTGCAAACCTGGGTGACATTCGTTATTCTACCTCGTGAGATCGCGATAACATCACTTGGAAAGCGATGCCAAATCTTCGCTCACGCGCTTACGGAATCCTCGGATCGGGCTGGGTCGGAGTTAAACTATGGAAAGTCCACATGATACATCACCGCTTGATCTAACAACACAAATAAGCGTGTGTGTATGTGTGTGTGCGTGTGTAATTATGTGGCAGGCGGATGATGTCAAAAATGGAATCAACGTCAACTCCCGTTATCTCCCGATTTCCGTTCGTCCAAGCCATAGTTAGTTAGCCCAGCGCACCGCCTGGATTTCCAAGGATGACGACAATGACAGCCAGTTTCCTTGGCCTATTCCTTCTCCGCGGGGAGCGGGTGTCGGGGCCCCGTCATCCATCCGGAGCGACCACGCGAAGCGGCTCGGCCGGGAAGGCCGGAGCGGAAGCGGGTAAGCCCTGGAGCGGCGGGGGGAATTGGGGCTTAAGGCTTGAAAGTGGGCTGTGGGTGTTTTTTATCTCCGGCGGGCACGGCGTCGGTGTGTGTGTATGTCCTCAAAAGTCCGTGGGAAAACGGTGTGGGTGTATCGGAAGAAACGGTGCGGCGCGGGAGGATTCATTTTGCTGTGTCTTGTCTGCTTTTGCTTCGGCTTGCGTGTTGCCTTGCGTTGATGTTGCGCTGAGGCTCGGTTCAAACCCGATTTTCCAGGCAATTTTTGGTTTCCGTTTGTTCGTCGTGGGTCGGAAGGACTCAGGTATAGTACTGTCGTACATCGGTTTCGCTCACCATTTTCCAAAGGGAGGAGGGTTGCGTAACTCCCCCCATGTGGTACCTCCGCATTCCTTATTCCTTGCCAGGCTTACGCTTCGTCACCTCAGGACGCCGCCGCCCACGTGCTGCCGGTGACTCTAACTCGTAGGCATGGCCAAGGACCGAAACCAAGGAATCGGACTTTGTCTTAGTTGTCTCATTGATTGTTCTCTCACCTTGTGACGTCGTGCAAGGAGTCCTTCTTGGCCGGTTCCCATTCCCAAACTAGAATATGCGCTGCGTCCAAGAGAAGCCTAAATTTCTTGGTGTGTGACACGAAGTTGGAGGACGGAGCCAAGCGTCACGCAAACGACTGACTCTTTTTGCTTATAGTTTCATCTGTGAGGTGTATGACGGTGGGACGTGCATAAGCCTCTTCCTGTGAACGTCTCGTGGCATAGGTAAGTAGCAGGCGATTTTTGGGGGTTGGGAGTTGACACTCTCCTAAGCGATAGACAGTCGTGTCGGTTGACAGCGCCGCAACGGCGATCAAACCTTCTAAAATGGTACACGAGCTGTGCCAAGGGAAAGCGCGGGCAGGTACGATACAGTATGGTGCGGTACAGTACGGACCCCAATTCGCCGCTTTACAGAACCCCAAGTCCTCTTAGTTATGGGTTGCATTGTTTTCGGACGACCCGGTAAGCTCAGACGACCAGACACCAAAAAGAGATGTTGAGGAGGTGGTGTGGCCGCCTCGTGTGTTTTGGGGTTACATGCAGAGGTCAGCCGTAGTCTCGGGTAGAAAGGGAGGATTTGTGTGTGTGTGTGTGTCATGAAATGAAATGTATGCGTGTATGTGGTGCAAGTACGGGTCTGGCGCATGAGGGTTGCTTCGTTCCTGACCACTCGTGCTGAGTGCGACCTTCGGTAATCGGCTGTCATACGCTTCTAGAATAGTTTTCTCAGCGGAGTGGATGGATGGGTGAGTGGGTGTACGTATGTATGCGTGTCTCGCGTTGCGGCGGGAGGGGAAAAGGGGGAGGGGGGATATTCTGGGAACCTGATAAGTTGGGGGTGGTGGTGTTGAAATGTAACCCATAGCTGCAATGCAGATGCGGAACGGTCGGATGGAAGTACATAGGATGGTTTTGGGCACACAGCAGCGGCATCGCGGCTCTTGAAACAGGGGCAGTGGCGAGTGGGGGGCGGTCTTACACTGTACTTACATGTACGTGTAGTTGGGGGCTGTCGTTGATGAGGTACGGCGAATGCGGATGTGTAAGCCAGAGGGCCCAAAACTGAGGTGAGAGAGAACGTTCGATGAGTAGCAATTTGAAGCATGAAACAAGAATTTTTTGTTTCGAATGTCAAATGGAGTGATTGGACGAATGGCAGGGACCGCAAGTACATGAATACTATCTGAGCAGGCTAGGAGAAACTTAAAGTTGGTTGTGCTTATTGGTTTTCCGTGATTCCTGCTTTCCGTTCTCTTTAATACACTGTAGGTGGAGGTAATTACAATAAAAGTGCGGGAGGGTCTTCACGACTTTGATTTTTGTGATTTGGTAAACTTGTAAAGATTAGTATTATTGTACAACTCCAGAATCACTGGCATCCTAGGCCACATTAAATTATAGCTACGCAAGTTAGATTTTATCCTGGTCCTTTTTGTTTTCTTTGTACGCCTTTTTGGGGTTTTGTTACAGGAACACTGAATCGTGAACTTGGCTCAGCGCTGTAGATAGCCGATATTCACCCGAAGACACCCTGTAATTAAGTGCCCGTGACGCGTTGCAGCACGTGTCAGCGCGTTCATCCCTCAACCTCAACCCATCGACGTCAAGTTTTGGAAAGCACGGAAACAAAACTGGCGATGTCATAAGCATGATGCCGCTTTGTGTAAAACCCTGTGGTGTTTTGGAACTTGGATTCTTCAAACTTCCGAATACCCCGCCCGGCCCGGTTGTTTGATGAAAATTAATTAGCTTGTCGAGCTGAGATTTCGTGTCGTGCCCAATTCTATTTTTTTCTCGTCAATATCGCCGACTTTTTCGAGGTCTTTTTGAAAATCGATCCTCCAAAATTCAACTTGCCTTATTCCTGGTATTGAAGCTGACCGTCGGCCCTACCTCCTGCTTTTTGGAGACATTGACAGGGCACCGTCGCCATGGATAATGCGTGGTGCAGTGATACGTACAGTGGGCAACATAATGCCCCTCCTCCGACCGAAATAGATGACAAGATGGAGCATCTCATTTCGCGGAGTCGGAATTTGTTGGACGACGACCAGGTTACCAAAGCTATCCGTATAGTTATGGAAGTGAGTTACTCTTCTCATCATTCTCAGAACCGACGTCACTCGGTTGGCCGTCGGTAGATGGACGAGTCTAACAAGTTGTGTAGGCCGTGGAGATATGCCCCTGCGATCCCGAAGGTCAGGGCAAGCAGCGGCATGGAAAAGACAAGTCATGCCACATCATTCAGTGTATGGAGGCGGTCAAGACAAACGACCCCGCTGCCCTTCGTCAGGTAGCTGAGTGCCCTTGTACATGTGGTTACCCGTGGCCGTCTTGCAATAACCCGCAGCACGCCCTGGCTCTCGACCAACTTGCCAATTGCCTAGACAAGGCCAAGCAGTACACTGCGGCCCTCTCGACCGCGCTGTCTACTGTGCGGTTGGATCCTACCTCGGCCGTGGTGAGTTTGAAGCGGCCATATTCCATATATGTTAGATGTAACTCGGCATGAAAGACTGACGCTGCGCTGCTTTGTAGGGTTATTGCCGAGGGGGTCGCATTCTCCGATATCTTCTGAGAAGTCATTCTAACGATCCCAACACCCCCGAGATGCGGGCCGCCGCTGTAGCCACACAGAATATCGGGACGATACCTTCTTCCGTGGTTCTCAGGGATTGTCTTGTGCGCTTTGTTGAGATTGGTGTGCGCTTAACGAGCCGCTATCGTCAGATCCCCAAGGATCGTTACGACGTAAGTCGATGACCACCAAGATTCATTACTCGGTCAGTCTGCTAATACATTGCCCGCCTTTCTAGACCATTCTCCAGCGAATGGCCCATCATCTCAGGAGCGATGTGGCCCGAAGGGATCCGTCCCGAGCGATGCCCCCTGAACTCATGAGCTTGACTTTCTCGTTTCTCAGCATTTCGGATCTCATGTAAGCTTGAAGAAAGGCCCCTCTCACCACGCACACACCCGCTGGAAAGTATCTAACGTACATTTTTGGAACCAAAGCCGCTGTATGCTCGTTTCCCGGTCCTGGAATCGTCTTGTGAACCAGGACGGCTTACTCTGGAGCCACCTGAGCCTCTCCCGGCCTGGAAACGCCAAGGGATTTTTTTCTATCTTCCTCGGGAGGCACCCGCAGATCTACACCTTTATCATCAAAGACATAGTTGAGTTCGGGCTCTCGCCAAAGAAACTCTTCAAGATCCTGAAGGGCATGCCAGAACTACGACAGCTACACCTAGGACACAAGGGAGCTGGCTCTTATGTTCTCGAGGATCCTTCCAACACATGGAACGTTCTTGCTAAACGGCTGTCTAAAATTGGGCTCACTCATCTTTCCCTTAAGAGCATCAAGGGCGTGCATTCACGAATCCTCCCCTTCTGCCGGGCTAGCCTCCGCGTACTGGACCTCGTGGATACATGTGAGGGCCTTGACTTGACCCCCTGCTCCTCTGCTTTGAACAACCTGAAATTTCTACGCATCACGAACAACGGGCGGGAGATTTACCTTGACCTCGTAAGTGCCTGACCCTGCTGCCTTCCGACCGCTGACTAACTGGAGTAGGCAAGATTTGTCGCGTTTACACCAAACCTCGAGGAATTCTGCGTTAGCGGGCCTTTCCAACTCGGACGGAGTGACGTTTCATCTGTCTCTCATGGATACAAGTGGCCACGACTCCGCAGGCTTGTCATTGACGGGGCGGTCAACCAGGACTTTGCCCATTTTGCTGACTTTTTCTTGTGGGACCCTGTTATGCCGAGTATCCTGCCACTCATGCCGAAGGCTTTGCGTTCTATCGAATTACTGGGCCAGCACGGATTGGCTAGTTCCATCCTGTATTCTGTAGCAATCCCGAAGATCGACACCCCTGATCCCTCGGTCGGCATGCCTAATGTCCTGGATGATTTGGACGACAGCCCTTTTTTCCCGAGCGGAAATGGTGGCCCTGGCAACGGTAACGGAAATGGAAATGGCAATCCTGCTCCTAGCAGTGACAATAGTGATCTCGACTACAACGAAAAAGACGAATCCTTCCCTTTCATCGAAGTCTTCCGCTGCATCAGCTCTCCCTTGACCCCCGAGAAGCTCAAGAAAATCCTGAGCTTCTCCGCCCGCAACAACCGCCTCCAGGTCCTCGACATCGCTCTAGACACTAAATCCTTCGTCCCCGCGACCCCGACCGACCGCTTCACGCCCAAGCGCGACCTGGACTTCCTCGCCTGCGACAGCCTACACACCCTCGGCCTGCACGACTTCAACTTCTACCACGATCCCCATAGCTTGTCTCCCACGCGCTTCGACGGCCAACCCTTTGTCGACTGGCTCGACCTCTTTCCCAACGTCCACACCGTGTACGTCTACCCGGGCAATTGGGACAACGTCTTGAAGTTGATCTCAGCGCTCATCAACCACCCGCAGATCAAGGTGATCTATCAGAATGTCCTCGCCGGCGTGCAATGGGACGCGGCCAAGGCTGCGGCAAAGGAGAAGGGGAAAGAGTTGAACTCCACCAAGCGGTATGTTGGACCAGTGTGGCCAGCGGAAAACTGGGTCTAGCGAGAGAGAGACAGGCAGAGAGAGAGAAGAAAGAGAGAGGGAGAGAAGCAAGCCCAGCCTAGCACAGGCAAAGACTAGCTATCCGGCCTGCTTCTCTGTTGTTCTCTCACCACCTTGCCCGGCACTTTCTACGTCACTTTCCGCCGTGCGTCTCCCAGGAGTTTCCCAGTTTCTTTCCACCGCGCTCTACTTACCGAGCACCCCTCCTCGCGCATCTCTGAAGTTTTCTCGGCACTTCTACTGGCCGATTTCCTGGTCTTCCTGGTCGAATTTCCCTGTCAGTTTTGCAGGCATTTGTTGTCCCTGTACCTATCAGCGCAGTTTTCTCGGTATATTTCCGGAGGGTTCTCTGACTTCATCGCCGAACCCAAGGACGACAAGCTCCATGCTCTATCCCTCAGTGAGCTCAACACCGAGCTCCACGCCGACTGTTCTTTCTTTTCCTTTCGCTTGGGTCTTTTTCCCTTCTTTAGGGTTTCACCAGGAGGCTTTTCCTTTCCATGACGACAATTTGCTGAAGAAAGAAGAAACGTGTCTTGAAAACCAAGACACCAAACCGCATTTTCACGACCGTTACGATGTTGATGACCGTCCTGTCTTTTCATGTACGCCTAGACCCCCCATGCCACTCTTAGTTTGAAGGAGCAAACACGGATGGATGGAGGGATGAATGGATGATGGATTTGGGGGTAGGGGAGGAAACAAATGTGTTGTTGTAGCTACCATGTAAACTTGAAACGGTAGTGTAAAAACCAATGTAATGATATTAACCACTTGTTGTGCCAAAGATAATATGACTTGGACAGTTGATTAGCCTCGACTACAGAGAGAGGCACTCATCGATTGTCCCCCAGCACTCACCCAGGTCTGCTTAATCACTAGGATCCTGTGACAAGCTTAACTTCTTCAACTCATTCTTGAGATAACCAAGACCAAGGCCACAACATTCGCACAAGACTAGAGAGTAATTGGAGCGAGCGTGCTGTTTCATTCTGTTAATGTCTAAGCTACGGAACCGTGTATGTCTGTTGCGAGCCTATCCATGCGTGTGCGTGTTGTGTTAAGCCCCAGGCCGAATGGGACAAGTATAGCCAAATGTGCCTGGCTGATACATTCTCGTGGGTGAAGAAATAGTATAAAAAAGACATAAGAAATGCGTGTGTGAGAGAGTGAGAGAGAGAGAGAGATTGTGATCGTGCGACAACGTGACCTAGCCCCGGGATGGATAGAATCAACATAAGGAAAGAAAAGCAAAAGCCAACCGCATGATTAAGTATTATACGCCCGCCCTTCTCATGGCAAATTTTAGATCCCGGGTGTCCGTGTCTGTGTTTGTGTGTGCGTGTGTAAGGGGGACTAGGGGTTCGTGAAGAGGAGTGACAGAAGCGAAAAGAGAAAGAGAAAGGGACGATAGCCCAAATCCCAAGTGTGACCCGAGGAGCCGCCACTCCGAACGCCCAACGGCACCGATAGCTAGATAAATACCAGTCCTCAAGTTGCAAAGAAATATAACCCGTATCCCACTCTAACCCTATCCCCGGACTCCCCCAGATCCTTTGTTACTTATTTTCCTTTTCTTTTTGTTTCTGTGTTTTTATTCCTTTTTTTTTTCTTGTTCGGGGGTTCCTTGAGTTCATCATCCACCTATGCGGCAACTTCGACCTCCGTCTCTAGCCCCTGGCTCCGCTCGTGGACCCCCTTCTTGAACTTTTCCTTTATCTCCTCAGTTTTCTTCCTTCTCTCCGCGGCAGCAGCAGCATTGGTGGCAATCGCAGCAGCCTTGGCCTGCCCTGATATGGCCTTCTAGTTCTCAGGATTGCGGGTATCAAGATTTCTGCCGCCCGGCCGACTCGGCGCACCCCGCGCACCTGGGTTCTGGCGCTGGAACTGACGCATCACACGGTTGGCCTGGCGAATTTTGCACTGCATGTAGTAGCCGGGCTCGTTGGACTTGCGCCACTCCAGGTATTTCTCGTAATCGTTTTGCTGCGCTGCGTCGGGTTCGCGCGGTTTCGGGGGAGGAGCCGGATAGTAAGGGGGGTAGCGCTTGCCGTTGCGGCCATGGGAAGCAAACTGGGGTGGGATAGCGGGAGCAAACGGTGCAGCCATGGTGTGATATGGGTTCATTCCTCCCGGCATCGCGGCTTGAGGATACATCGGGACGGGCCCAGTACCGGAAGTGGAGAATGTGTTGAACCCGTTGTTCATTGCCGGAGGAGTTCCGGCCGAGATTCCGGCTGCGGCCACTGTTCCCATCATAGGCGAGGCGCCCTGTGGTACAAAGAACGGCGGGGCAAATCCGAAGGTCTCGTACCAACTGTGAAAGGTCTCTGCGTTGGCCAAGGTTGGAAATCCCGATGAAGGTGAAGGCGGTGTTGCGTTCGGGTTGCTTCCACCGTTGATGTGCTGGGAGCCATGCTGCGTGGATGGTTCAGGGGCGGCTTGACGAACTTGCTGAGAAGGCGAGCCCTCCTTTCCCGCTTTGGTATCCGACATCACGTCAGGGAAAATGTTGGTAAGTGGCTGGCGAGACAGAAGCTTCTTCGGCGAGAATCGCGGGACATCGTTCTGAAACGTGGAACCGTTCGGGTCCGCAGACTCCTGGTGTGTGGACTTAAACTCCGCGGCAGCCGGGTTCAGAAAAGGTTGCTCGCGGTGGTGATGCGCCTCATGCTGCGAATTGTCACCCGTGGAGTGATCGCTGGAGTGTTGGCCTCTGCTGCTGGGCCCGTACCCGGAATCAGTCTGGTTGTGTTGACCGGCCCGTTTCTGGGAGTCGCGCTGCTCGGCCAAGTAGATCCTCTTCGCCTCGTTGAAGCGGTCGTCCAGCTCACGCCGCTCCAAAGGCTCGGTTTGCGTCTCGGTCTTGGCTTTCAATGCCATGATGGCTGGGTCAACTGCCCGGCGGGCGGTCAAAGTTGCGGCGGCCGGCCCTTGATGATGCGAGGCCGATGTCTCAGGTCGAAGATGCAGACGGCTTAAAAGCTTCTGGTAGCGAGCGGGCTCGTCCGCCACCGACGCAGCAGGACTGGGCGCTGGCTTGGATACCCGGGGTCGGATTGTGGCCGAGTCGGCGCCATCGAAGCCTATGGGTCTGCGCAGCGTCTGTGACTTCTGAGAGAAGCCCTGGGATTTGGAGGAGCCACTGGCGGCGCTGCTGAAGGTCTCTTCAGAACTTCGAGCCAACTGTTGAAGCTCAAGAAACAGCTTGTCGGAGTCTTCTGTCGAGATACGGCGAAAGGTCGCGTGGCCATTAAGGCTCTTTAGATCGCCGAGCTGGCTACTGAGAGGGGTGTTGTGCGGGTCGACGGCGACAAGGTCCAATACAAATCGGTTTGGCAAGGCAATGGTTCGCCCGTTGACGGCCGTGTAGATGGGCTTGACTCGCTTCAGCTGCACTTTGGTTCCCTCCCCGGCATAGTCTGCCGAATTGGAAGACGAGGAAGAAGGGATTCCCATTCCCGGCGCTGAAACAACATGCTCCCAAGAGGCCTTCTTGTCCCGAAGATACCGGTACTGGGCGTCAGAGATAATGTTACCGGCCTCCATTTGGGCGCGGACGTAGCTATCCTCGCTCGAGTCACAGCTACGTTGTCCAGTGATGCTATTGGTCTCCGGCAGAGATGTACCGGCAGCTCTATTGCGCCAGTTGTTGGATGCGGCAGATTTGAGGCCGGTAGCCTGGAGACGGGGCGTGCCCTTCAGGCTAGGAATACGGCTCGCGTAACCAGGCATCCTGTCGTATTGTTTGAGAAGTCGTCCTGGTTAGGTGGTAACGTGGGTTCAAGAAGTGTTTGTTGACTAAGCCTTGGTACAGACAGAGTTACTCTAACCCCTTTTGACAACAGGCTAGGTTACTCGAAACACCGACAGGAGGACCAATCGTTCAATAGGGTACGCCGGTGCGTTGAGGACGAGTGGTTCTGAGGCCGGGGCTGCAGAACGCTAGGAATGACCACAGCAGGATGCGGTCGATCTGGGGTTGGTTGAGTTGGGGGTTGGCGAAGCGATCGGGACGAGGTGTCGGCGGCTTGCTTCTGGGTATTTTGGTATGAGGCGGTATCGCTTCCTTGATCTCTAAGATCTCTTGTGTTGTTTGTCGTTGCAAGTTCTCAAAAACAAACGCTTTTGGTACTCAAGGTGAGCCCAAGAAGAAGATGAAGAGATGTCGTAAGGCTGAGGGGGCGACGATATCCACGGAGAGGGAGTACCCAAAAAGGCCGACAGCGGGTTGTCTGTGAAAGCAACGTCGCTGTGAGGGTTTGGCTTCGCTGGGTGGTTTAGAGAGGAGGGTCGAATGCCGATTCGGTCGGTAGTTACGATGGTAGTATGTAAAGAGTAATCGACAGATATTATGTAGAATGAAACGGACTAGGAAGTAACGAAGGGGCTATGTATAAGGCACAGGAGAACCGGAGGTGATTCGGGAAGGTGTGGCCGTCTGCATGGTGGCTGTTCCCCGAGTGAAGTACCGTGTAGGTCGTGCGCATATAAGGTTCGTTCGGTTTCCCGTGTATCTCGGGAACGTTGGCCGCAAAATTCCCCATTAGACGCCGCCTGGATGTTGCCCTTGCAGTTTAGTTGACTTGCCCAATTATCGTATTGAGCATACAGAGTTGTTGTTCTTTGGCTCTGGATAATTTGCTGTGAAGGCTCCGTAGTTTAACATCCAGAACTGTATGGAACTTGAGCTCACCTAGGATTTCGAGACCGCGATGAGAGCCTTGAGAAAATCTTAGCAACCTGTCTCTGTGGGGTGTAAGCCAGTTCCCCGAAGCAGTGTTTTTAGCAACACTGCATGCATGCATCTGCATTGAGGTTCGGATACTCGTGGCCAAGAACAACCGAGACACCAAAGCTTGAATGAGAGGCATTGAGCATTGGCCTAGGAAAGAAGCCGAGGTGATAGATAGGCTTCGAATCTTGCGAATCTTATCTGTTGAACGGGACGGGTGTACTGTGACCGCTCCGCAACAAGGTCTTCTTGATGTCTAGGGCACACTGCTGGGAAATTCGAGAAATGCCGTCATCAATTGCAACCAGCTAACCGCTCAAATACGAAACTGCAAAATAGCATCCAAAAGGTCTTGGAAGAGAGGAAGATAGAATCGCAAACAGTACCACCAATCATTCATCCCCATTCCGTCGAAGCCAAACAAGACTTACTTCACCTCGTAGAAAACTAGGCCGTTCGGTTATGCAGCCGCCGCCTGGCCGCCGACAGCCATCATGAACGATTTCTAGAGTAATTTGTCAGAATGGGACTATCATAAACCGCAGACATTTGTGAATAAAGTGGTGGACAACACATACCGCGTTCCGCGTCTGGATAAAGACGGTACCCGGGCCGGTAAACTTGCATACCAGGCCTTCACCGGACGCCATGCCCGAGATGATGCCGCCCGAAGAGACACGCTCCAGGACGTACTTGGTGTTCCAGGCGACCAGGTGACCGTTGTCCACAATATACTTTTCACCGTCCATAAGCTACCCAAGAAGTTAGTAATCGATGGTGCTTCTGAGACCGGAAATGGGCAGAAAGAGGGAAAAGGTGGGAAGGAAACGTACGTCTTTCCGAATAATCGCACCAAAGCTCGTCAACCACAACAGCCCAGTCCCCGAGATCTTATACACCCACAAACCTTCCCCACTAAACATGGCCTTGCCAAGCCCCTGGCGCTTGTAGTCCTTGATGACGTTTTGGGTGCAAGCGAGGAAACCGTCGTGGCTGACTGACCATGCTTCTTGACCGGTCAGGCGCAGGCTGGTGATGTCGCCGAGCATGGGCGGCGCCAACAGCAGCTCGCCAGGCCCCGTGTATGTCGAGCTGTTCATGTCGCCACCGGCCACCAGCTTCTTCATGCTGAACTTGACGTTGCCTTTAAGCACGATGGAGGGAGACATAGCGATCATGGCGCCTGTGGGGTAGAGAGAAACACAGTCTTAGCATCCACGCCTGATCTATAAAGGTCACGGGAATAACGTACCAGGTTTGGCTTCGATGGGACATCCAATGGCTAACTGAATGGTCAAAATTGAGTTGCAATCGCGATGGCTGATGCGATAGCTGCCGCCATTGAAGGTGCCCACATCGTCAACGATCGCCGAGGCGCCCACAAAATTGTTGCCCGTAGGAGCGCCCGTCGGGTCAATACCAGGGGTCCCGGGCTGCGAATGCTGTTGCTGCTGCTGCTGTTGGATATGTTGGGGAGGTTGCTGAGGTGGCTGCTGCTGTTGGAGATGCTGCGTCTTTTCGGCCGGATATCCAGCTCCACTGTTATCCTTGGGATACGAAGGAGGGCCCGCGAATTGCTGCTGCTGCTGAGCCTGAGGCTGAGTCTGCTGCGAACCCTGGGAAGCTAGCGAGGGACTCCGCAAGTGCTGAGGCAGCACGCCGTGCTGCATTGGCGAAGGGGAAGCTTGGGGCGGGGCTGCATATTGGTGCTGTTGTTGCGGTGGCTGCTGCTGATGCTGCTGGGGCGGGGGAGCGTATTGCTGTTGCTGAGGAGGAGAGGCGTACTGCTGCTGTTGGGGGTGCTGCTGGAGATGTTGCTGCGGGGGCGGGGCATAGTGTTGTTGCTGGTACGAGGGTGTCGACGAGCCCGGAGGGGGTGTAGGGGCCGGAGCGCCCTGGGGAGGAGCAGGATAGTGGCCTTGTTGGGCGTTGGCAGGAGGCGAGGGGTACGAGAACTGTGTCTGAGTAGGGGCCGCCGACCCGGGAGGGGGAGGGTAGCTCTGCTGTCCTGTATTGGCGCGCGTTGTCAACATATCGCTCCGTTGGATGTAAAGGGCTTTATGGTTCGATGAAGGGTGTATTTTAACATACCTCCAGGGGCAGGGCCGCCGGCGCCAGGGGGAGCTAATAAGACAAGTCAGCGCCAGACAACTCTTTGGAGCTTTCGTTCATTTCTCTACTCTACTCACGGGGAAAGTAGCTCGACATGTTGGCTGCTACGGAAGGAACCGACTTCACGGTCAGGCGGTGATCGCGAAAATGCTGCTACCTAATAAATTTCCTGTCAGTTGAGCTCGCGGGCGACTTTGGGCGGCGCTGACGAGCTGATCCTCCACCCCGCACTTACGACCGAGTAGGAATTAATTACCCCTCGCGACAGAATCTCGGCGCTGCGGCGATTGTTTCGTGTAGTGCTGATGGAAAGGTAGAAACACCAGAGAGCAAAGTCAAAGAGACGAACAGCACCGAGTTGAAGGAAAGTTAAAATAGCTGGCGGCGCATCCAATAGCACCTTTTAGGGGCTGACCGCGCAAGGCCACACCACCCACCATCTTCTTTCCCCAACCCTCCTCACATTTGCATGGGTAGCTCATTCGAGAGCCGACGGAATATGAAACGGCCCAATCAACGATTCCGAGCCTTGGGAGAGACGCGCGCCGAGAGCTTTGTCGAGGGCGCTTAACCCAAGAAGCGGCGGGCTGCCGGCGTAGCGATTGGTTGACATCGTCCCTCGACTCCATTTGGGGGAGCAATGGATGCTTGGTTGCTTGAGGCTAAGCACTGTGGCAGGCAGGCATGCATGGTTGATCTCGAACGAGCCAGTGTGCCAATCTGATGAACCCAGGTTCCAAATGGCAAAAGGAGAAAAAACAGTCAATGATGAAAGCCGTGAAGTACCTCGACCCCCTTGAGCCATTCTCGGAATCAGAGAGACTTGTTCTCTTCCAACTAACGTTGCTGCCTTAATAGAGCAGGAGCGCTCATGTACATACTCCTCTTTCCTTGGCACCCTCAACCGGGGTTTCCATCTTGCTACTTCGTACCTACATATGAATCGGACCCCGCAACTTGGTCATGCCAGGCCCGGCTGCGGCTTCTCCCTCACCGACAAGTGTGACGAGTCTATAATTTGCTCGCCACTCAATCCCCCCGGTGCGGGTTGAATTGTTGGCTGCAGGGTAGTGTAGAGGGAGATAGGATTCTGAAAGCAAGGGAAGCAAACGAAAAGACTCGGGGCGATTCCCGCTTAGTTACTAGTTCGAAGGCCCCGGGTTCCGGCCCAACCGTTTCTCCGAGAGGCTCCCGCATTGTCCAATAGGAGTCGAGTGAATCGGCCCTTGCCTGCCGGAAATGGCTGCGGGCTGTCGCATGGGTTTTGAGCTCCGGAACCCGGGACGTCATCAAAAATCTTCTGACAGGCGGATGGAAGCACAGCACCACATGACCGACGACTCGCATCAATCTCACTACGCCACGACAACACCGACGCCACAGCAAATCCGAGCATAACAGCCCTATTTCGGCATCCAACCTCACGAACGGACCCGACATCTTGCCCCTTTCCCGCTCGAACCCAAACATTTCGCAGCACGCGGCCCGGCTGTCGGGGTCAAACATAGGCCTAACCCCGAGCTCCGGCGAACCCGAACATACGGCCTGTTGGCATCTGGACCACCCGACTGCTTCGCAGTAGGAGGGTAGGATTCTAGACCTCTATACATCCTCCACTGAACCCCCAAGTTTCGCGCGATTAAGAAAGAAAACCGAAAAGAAAGAGACACGAATAAGCTCGGAAAAGACAAAGAGTAAAATGCTACGCACATCCTTCAGCGTCTTCGACGCCCTCGTTTTTGGGCGTGGGACCGCCGTTCGCCACACTAGCACCACGATACTGAGGAATGTCGCCGTTCGCAGCAGTCCACCAAGGACGGGGCTGCCTTGGGCAAGGTTACCGACGACTGCTGTAACTGCGACCGCACGGCCATCGACAAGATCCTTCACCGCTTCCGCACATGCGGCGCCAACCAAGACATCTCCGCTGTCCGGCGGCTTCCGGTTGAGGCGTCCGTTCCATACCACACGGCCACGACGAACCGCAGACACCGCGGGTACGGCGCCGAAGAGCGGCGGAAAGGGAGGGCCAGGGAGGAAACGTGGGGAAGGTGGCCGTGCAGGAGCTGGGGAGGCCACGGCGGAGGAGGGGTCGTTGTCGCTGAGCGCGCGGTTGAAGAAGCTGTCGCGGGAATATGGGTGGTCGGCGGTTGGGGTGTATTTGGCGTTGTCGGTGCTGGATTTCCCGTTTTGCTTCTTGCTTGTACGGACGGTTGGGACGGAAAAGATTGGTGAGTTCTGCCCTTTTTACGGGGTTATCCCTCTCCTGGGATCTGGGGATTCAGGGGACCAAAGTGCTAATACGAAGCCAGCCCATCTTGAGGAAATTGTCATCCGGAACGTCCAGAAGATTGTTCCCGACCGGTTGCAGGCTTGGTGGGTTGAATATCGCCAGGCATTGAAGGATGCGAAGCGCGAGCGGGTGGGCGAGGTAGATGAGGTTATTGGCCACGGTGTTGCCGAGGCCGAGCTGAGGAACAATGAGGGAGCGAGTAAGTTCATGCCTACCGATCCACCTAGTTGTGTGCCCTTACACGTCCGTTTTCATGGCGTACTAATACCAGTGTAGGTCTGGCCACGCAGCTTGCGCTCGCATACGCGATTCACAAGAGCTTCATTTTCCTCCGTGTGCCTCTGACTGCAGCCGTCACGCCCAAGGTAGTCAAGGTCCTGCGGTCTTGGGGCTGGCAGATTGGCAAAAACGTGAAGAAGGCCAAGGCATGAATTGCATGATTTCGCTGTGTTATGGTTGGGAAGGAGGGGATAGATGGTTGGTTGGTGTTTGATGCTAGGATAAGCGGTGCTTTGAGAGCGTGTTGTTGATGGTTGCATTTACAAGTGGTGGTGCATCTCCCCATAGACTGTAGCATAACGTTGTAAGAAGTATTAGAGATCTGTACGAGATGTATTGACAAGTAAAGAAAGATACCTAGACGAGGGGAGCTTGATAGGTATTCGGTCCCGCCTGTTCGTGTCCACAGTGGAGCGCGGGTGATCTTCACCAGGGTCCTTTATATCTTTGAGCTGAGGAAGAAAACAAACCGGCAGAGTATGCCGTGAGAGAATTCCTGAGGCAAATGCTTCTTGTTTTTTTTTCTCTGCCTCTAATGCCAAAATCCGAGAATTCTGTTGACTTCGCCCTTACACAAATGTATGTGTACCGTCCTTGTGGTGCAAGTTTCTTCGGCACGTCACCTTTCCCGGTCTCTCTGCCCCGCACTCCACTGCACCTTGGACCTTGGCACGCATGGATAAACTCTCAACAGCCGAGATGCATTGTGCTGCAGGCCACCACCACCTTATCCTCGGCTCGTTATTATATGTACTTATCGCAGGCTGCTTAAATAGGGAGCCGGATGGCGACAGCGATAACCCTTTTTGATTGTAACCACTGTTTTTAAATTGACCCTTGAAAAGGTGGTTGCACGGCCTTTGCAGATTCCCGTCCCCTAGGCGTGCTGTTGTCCACCTGTTCCCTGCCCTCTGAGACCCGTGTTGTTCCTTCATTCGGTGAGGTACCTGCCATATTCCGTAGCCCGAGTGTTGATCCCATGCGATTTCCCAAGGATGCTTCTTATCACCACGAAACACAGCTCTGCGGCCATCATCGCGTCGAATTGCTGACCGCCGATTTCTGAGCGGCGTCGGCGTCGCGTGGTCTCCTTATATGTCCGTTGTGGAAACTCAAACGGACAACCCCAAGATGGCTTCAATAGACGTCGAAAAGCGCGCCATTCTTGCGGCTGAGGACTTCCCGACACCTGACACAAAGGTCAACAACACCTCAAGAAGTCGTCGCAACACGCGATACTTCCTCGCCCTCATACTCGGGGGCCTCGCTCTCCTCTCAATCGCGATTACATCCCAACGATGTTCCGCCACAACCTCGCTGTTCACCAGCCACGCCGTCTCACAACATCACCACATCATCCACCACGACGCGGAGCTTGACAGCCTGACCCATGTCACTAAGAAGGAAGTTGGCGTGACTGCGGCAACGGCGACGACCTCGACTGCAGCTCCGGGTCGGACCGTGCTGAAGAATTTTGAGGTTGCCCAGCCCGTTTTGTTGCCTGGTGGGCCGACTGAGAGTGATGGGTCGACGAAAGGGGGTGATGAGGGAGAGGTGTGCAGTGTGCTGCTGATGAGGCATGATTTTGCTTTTAGTTATGGCGCGCCTTTTGTTGGTGAGTGAACTGCGACCTTTTGAAACTTGATGTTAGGTGCGGTTCAGACTGACAAGTATCACTGCTAGGGGACTACACGCCACCTGACTGTGACTTCAATCGGGCGGTACTCAACTTCAGTGTAGTGAGCCAGGGAAGGCAGTTCGATCGGCTTGCGATCATGTACTTTGGCGACACCGAAGTTTGTAAGTCTTACAAAAAAATGTTGCGCCTTACGCCTAGGGCTAACACGGGACAGGGCGCACATCAACGGCTGAACCCACCGCCCCTCCAGGAATTAGCTGGATCTATCTCAAGGACATGACCCAGTATCTCTACTTTTGGAAGTCGCCCCAGAGGGTCATCTTCGATCTGGGCAATCTCGTTGGCAAGTACATGCTTGTCTTCACCTTTGTAGAAGAACGAAAGTGACTAACAGGCGATAGACGACACATACACTGGCATCTTCAACACCACCATGACCGCCATTTTCTACAAGGCCGACGTGGATACAGACCAAGCACCGCCAAGTGACCTGATTCTGCCAATTTCAGCACGACAGGGGGCAAAGGACTCCATCAGCCGCTTCATCCTACCTGAAGAGAACGCATCCAACACCATCAGCCTCCCGCGTAACATCCAGCGCGCCGTGTTCTCCGTCTCTGCCAACGGCCAAGCCACTGAGGAGTTCTGGTGGAGCAACGTCCCCCAAACTGACGTCGCCACCTTTAACAAAACGGCGGGCGAGCTTCCAGGGCTAAGTCCCTTCCGTGAAGTGCAGGTGCTTATCGACGGCCAGCTGGCGGGAGTTCAATGGCCGTTCCCTGTCGTCTTCACCGGTGGCGTGGTCCCCTCGCTCCACCGACCGATCGCTGGTATCCATGCGTTCGACCTGCGCGAGCATGAAATCGATATCACCCCCTTCCTCGGCCTGCTCTGCGACGGCAAGGACCACACATTCACCATCCGCGTGGCCGGCCTCGACAATTCCGCCAGCGGCGGCGACGGCAACACAGCAACACTCACCGAAACAGTCAACGAAAGTTGGTACGTCACTGGCAAACTCTTCCTCTGGCTCAACCCCGACTCGGACGCCATCACAGCTGGTGACCCCCCCGCAATCGACGCACCCCCGCCCAAGATCGAAGTCACCCGTTCCCTTGCCCAAGGCGAACAGGCTGCAGTGGGCGGTAGAATCGCCTCGTCGCTCAACAAAACCCTCCACTACACCACCTCTGTCAAACGCGCCCTGCGCATCACCTCCGGCTCAGCCTCTTGGACGCAAACACTGTCCTACACCAATGACGGGTTGGTCGCGGATTTTGGTTCGATTCAAATCAACGACATGACGCTGTCCGGGACAGACGTTGCAGACAAGACGGACAAGGCAAAGGGTCAGGAAGGCTACTACCGCGCGACGTACGCCTACCCGCTCTTCTGCAATTCCTCGTACGGCTACACCCCGGCTGGAAACTTGTCCATATCGGGGCATTTACGACAGGGTAAAGAGGTCTCCGTTTTTGGCGCCAGCGTGTTTGCCACAGGCTTAGAGGCGTTTGCTCAGGTTGGTGGGGATCGTAGCAAGGGGTTGAAAGGCAAAACGAGCAAGCTCTCAACCACCAAGGAGGGCACAGCCGAGTTCCGGCAGGCGGCCGACGGGTCGAGTAGTACCGGGTGGGGGGAGGCGAGACAGGTGTTTTGGTTTGGGTTGGAAGAGGGGGACTCGACGGAGGATGCTGATGAAGTTGGTGGTGGGAAGGGAAGAGGGGAGGAGCTGTATTATCGGGAGGTGGCGGCTGTGAATGGGACGTTGACGGAGGATGTGAAGAGGATTGAGGGCGTGAGGGTGGGTGGTGATGGTTCTGAGAGGAGAGTGTTAGATACTGCGGCTACTGAGTTTGCTTAATTAGTGGCGATGTGGGTGAGAGAGTGAGGTGGAAATGAAGCGGTTGTTTGATCCTATGCTGTTGCTACGTTTGATGTGTTCACCAGCGCTTGCTACCTTGCTGCGACGGTATGATTACGTGGCACCGTTGTCAGCAAATATCCCCTTCACTATCGAAAGTGAGTGCTATTAGTTCGCTGATACCCCAAACCCAGATGCGTAGCTTTGGATAAGAGCCGTGGACGCAGTCACAAGTCAGGAAGCGCTCGTCTGATCGAGCAACCCCCAACTTCGCCGCCAAGTTTCAAGGTCTTGAATTCGTTGGCCTGGGTTTGCCTCCTGGGTAACTCAAGTTTCGGGCAGTTGGTTGGTCACTTTGGAAACCGTGTTTCACTGCGACTAACGAAGGTCCAGACCACAAATCCATAGATTCATGATCCACCGTTGAATCGCCGCGCGGCAATTCCATGCTTTCCATGCTTCATGTCCGATCGTTGCCCGGCCACCCAAAGCATTGCTGGTGGGGCTCTCCGTCTGGAAACAAGGCCCCGGCAACGAAAGGATTGGTTCTGGGCTGCTCATCTCGGATGCTGTGCAGGCGCTTGAAGTCCCGATGGAGAACGGCTTGGCGTGTGCCACCCTGGTCACCCGCCAACCGCCCAGTCGTCACTTTCTCAGGGAGGCACATGAACATGCCGTTGAATGGGTTTGCGAGTTCGAAAGTTGAAGACCTGGGAGCAAGCGGCAGTTTGAAGATGGGTAGAGACGGCGCTTGTTCTTGAGCGCTTGGACGGGTTAACAATGATAGCGGACTACGTGGTAACGTGGGCAGAATCACATCCCGCGCCTTTGTACCTGAGGATATGCACTACCGAAAGAAGCTTTGAAGCTTCGACCACCCTCGATGTTTCTGCCCCACATGCTCCGTCATTGACCCATTTTTCGTTCTTTCTCCAGATTGCATGCTTCCCTTGATGGTGTGCTGCCATGCGCCCTCCCACGTTATTGTTGCTGCTGCCGCTTGCCCCTCGAAGATGAGAAACACGCCGCATTCTTGAAAAGACGTCCAGGCCCCCCCACCAGATCGACCGTTTGGGATTTTCTCTCCCCCTGCTCTCAACTCTCTCCTCCCCTCCAAACCCCCCGCAACAAATCAACAAGTCCTGCCTCTAGCTTTTCACAGCTTGACCTCGAGAAACAACACTGTTTACATATTGACCGTATTGTGGAATACAATTTGGATACTGTGTACCGGAAACTAAACAATTTGGTACAAATTATACCTCCTCCCGATTCTAGCAAAACCAAACAACCTTCACTCGCTCGTCAACAACATCAACAGACAACAACCCCACCATGGAGAAACCACAACTCATCCTCCGAGCGGTCCAGCTCCTCCTCCTGGTCATCCTTACCGGCCTGATCGGTAACATCATAGCAACCAACCACAATGCCCCCTCCACCGCTACCGCCGCCATCAACTTCTCCATGTTCGTCGTCGTCCAAGGCTGGCTGGCAACCATCATCGGCATCGGCACCATCCTCGCCGCCAACCGCATCGCTGCGCTACCGATCTTCGTCCTGTTCGGTACCGACGCCGTCGCCGTGCTCTTCACTTTTATCGACGCCGTCGTGCTGGCCGCGAAGCTCAAAATGGTCAACTGCGGCGGGGATTTCAGCAAGAAGGGGAGCGATCCCCAGCCGGGCGATTGGATTGCGTTTGGGAGTACCGACGATCACAAGCGGTGCCGGGAGGTACAGGCTGGGACCGTGTTTATGTGGTTCTTGTTTGCCTCGTTTGTGGCCTCGTTGGTGTTGAGCTTCTTGGGCTTCCGTCGCGGGGGCGGGAGTATCAGGTCTGGGCCGACCATGTCGCAGGTGAGGGTTTAAGGGATTGTTGGGTCTCTTGAAGAAAGGAGAAATGGGACTAGGAAATAAACATGTGTGGCGGCGTGGGAGGACCGGTGTCGAATATTTGGCTTAAGGAATCATTGGCAAACGGCATGGACCTGGTTGGACGGCGGCGTGAGCGATATTTTCGGAGGCTGGCGGCTGTCTCATATGAGGGCAACGGATCACGAGCTTATGTTTTTGTAATGATGGAATAGGGTATGAGCCACGAGTTATTTAATGGTATCTGGCGAGGTGTTTGGCGGCATGGCCGGGGTTCGGGGCGGACGGATGGATAGGATAGGAATTACGGGCGGACTTTTGTTGTAGGATTAGCATACCCTATTTGATGTAGTGTAACAACGCCAAGGGGCATTCTTGTTGTTTTATTCTCTAACCCGCGGTTCCTCTCTTCCTCCAAATCACCGCAGTGAGCCACCGGGGCAGACTTCCACGTTGCCGAGTAAACCCAATAAGTAATTCCATGGGTAGATCTCGTTCAATCTTGAACCTGTATATTCGTTCCCGACGTTACCCAACCCAAACCCGTTAACGCCGTCGGCAAATATGTAACAACCGCCGCCCACTGGACAACCCAAGACTCTATAAACCCCAGCCCGGCATGTATGTACTCACGGCTCCTCCCAACCGGTGAATCCCCCAAGTCATAATGAGGACGCAACCTCGGCCGCGCCAACGGCGTTGAACGTCTTCTTGCTCGTCCACCGGATTTCGACGTTGTGCATCCATTCCATGTATCTCGCCCAACCTAGTGATAGAGCCAGAACCGTTAGCAAAGAGATGTCCTAAGTCTCACCCTCTCTTCTTGTCTGCGCCCTCCTAGTATTCCTAGTATCCCCCACAGACCTGCTGACACGAAATGTGGGAGGTCTTACTCCAATACGCGAACTTCCTCCCCAGAAACTTGCCCGCAAACGGCATGATGATCATTGTCAGCAGCAATTGCAGCTGCTCCAAACTCTCTTCCCACTCCCGCTGCGCATCCGACGTCGAATCTGAGTCTAGGATACTACTCGAGATTGAGGGGAGCGAATCTACGTCGTCGTCGTTTTCGTCGTCGGAAGACGTGGAACTCCGGCGACGGGAGGAGGCCGAGGAATCTGGTATGTCCGGGATGATATAAGAGGAGGAGGCGGACATGCTCGGGGTGCTGGAGGTTGAAGACGAGGACATGGTGGGCTATGGGCGAGCCCTGGGTGGGTAGGTCGATCGGCGGGGTCGAAGGTCCGGAGGTTTAGTACGCCCGTCGGCAGACACTGGTGTCGGCTTGTTGCGAAAGGGAAATGGTTAAGCGGCCGGCGCAGAGGAGCCTTCAGAAGTCTGAGCTCCTGATGCTGATGGCGGGCCCAGCCGTGGTGGTTGAGCCGAGATCCACTCTGCCACTCAATTGCATGAACTGTGTGCGATGCGTTTTAACACTGTGATTCATTGGAAGCTGCCAGCAGCTGCCAGTTGGCTCGCGGGCAAAGAAGGCTTTCACAGTGAACATTACCCCACATGTCAGGTGATCGTGAGACTGAGTCACAGGTGAGGGACAAGCCAAACGTCATGCGGGATGGAGAGCCCAGCAGCAACCTCACGGCCGCAAAAACCCTCCCTTTCTTCAACATTGAGGAAATCCCACTGTGCAAGCGCAATAAATCCGTAAATTAGTTTGCCAAGGACCCACGACTTAGCACATCACGACGCATAGGCCTGACGCTGAGACCTCCAGATTTCGTAACGCGAAGCAGAAGGCGGTGGAGCGAGCGACTTCAAGCAACGCACATTGCACGCACGCAAACAAGGGTGGCCAAAGATGAGCGGTACCGAAGTAAGTTTTATTTGGGCAACCCTCGCATTTTCCCCCTCCCACTGCACAAGACTGGCTTCTTTCCCCTGCACAACTTCTACCCCTCCAAGTCGCTGCAACATATTTGCACGCGACCGACCCCGCCGGATTTGATCCTTTTCTCCTTCAAAGTATTTTCTCTTCCTTTCATATCCAACAACGCCCGACCCCACGCAATTATCGATTCCTGCACACGATCAGATTTTGATCCCGAAACACTACCGATCCCGGGCCACAACAAGGAAGCTAACATAAATAGGAACCTTCAATTCAAAGACGGCCGTCACGCAAGTCGGTTGCATTTACAGAGGAGAAGGTAGTAGTGGACGCCGACGGCAGCGTAACCCTAGTACCCACGCCAATCGACGACAACAAAGACTCAGCCATGTCGCACACTCCTCGTACGCCGCCTCTTTCCGCCGCGCTCGGGGCGTTTACTGACGCCTCCTCAGCAACTGCAGACGGCGCGGCAGACGGTGCGGCCCCTGCTGCGATCCCAGCCCTCGATGCCAACCCGGATGGGCTCGACCTCACGCTCATGAAGAAGAAAAAGAAGAAGGTCAAGAAGGACGACGATGAGGCCGCCGGCGAACCCGCAGCCGCTGATGGCGAAGAAGCGATCGACCTATCGATGAAGAAGAAAAAGAAGAAGAAGGTGCCTAAGGAGGAGGACGAATTCGCCAAGAAACTCGAGGCGCTCAACCTCGAGGGCGCCGAGGGTGCCGAGGCCGCGGCCGAGGAGAACGTGCAAGAGGGTGATATGGACAAGGGCACCGGCATCTGGGCGCATGACGAGTCGCGGACCATTAACTACGACCCGCTGCTCTCTCGCTTCTTCGCCCTGCTCGCGCAAAAGAACCCCGACCATGCGTCGACGGGCACTCGGTCATACAAGATCCCGCCCCCGCAATGTCTCCGTGAAGGCAACAAGAAGACCATCTTTGCCAACCTTCCAGAGATTTGCAAGCGCATGAAGAGAGCGGACGAGCACGTTACTGCTTACCTGTTTGCCGAACTAGGTACAAGCGGTAGCACGGATGGCAGCAGGCGGTTGGTTATCAAGGGTCGGTTCCAGCAGAAGCAGATTGAGAACGTCCTGCGTACATATATCATCGGTATGTTTCCCGAGCTAGGTCGATTTCAAAGGTGGATTTAGTTGTTAACATGGTTCAGAATATGTGACGTGCAAAACGTGTCGGTCTCCCAACACTGAGCTGTCCAAGGGCGAGAACCGTTTATAGTATGTTCCCACTTGTCATACACGTTGAAAGTCATCTGCTAACTCCCCCCCCAGCTTCATCACCTGCAACTCGTGTGGCTCGCGTCGTTCCGTCCAGGCTATCAAGACTGGTTTCTCGGCCCAGGTCGGAAAGAGAAAGAAGATGAAGGTCTAAGTGTTTCCCAGCACAAGCCTTGGTGGGTTTGGGCACTTCTTTCCCGGTCCGTATGGGACACACTATTCGGTCTTTCCTTGCTCGGCTTATCTCAATCCCAGGCGGCTAGCCCTAGGAGACACGGTCATGTAACGATGTGACGATTGGGGCTCGCTTTGGGGATCAAATCGGCTATCGGGCATGCTGCAGAGCATTGGTTCGGAACGGCATGGGTTTATCAACCGTGGCATGGCGGGTCTCTATAAAGGGGGAGCATGGAATTAGGAATCAGGCGGGAAAGCGAAGTCTTTTTATGAGCCCACGAATGACTATGTAGACACGATGGGTGTGGGCAAGGGGTCGAAATCTGGGGATGGGTTGTTGCTAGTTTCTTCATCCGTGATGTGCATCGTGTCGTCTGGATTAGATTGACACTCAGTGGGAAATACAGAGCGGTAGCACTTTTATCCTGATTTTGTTGTCTCTCATGTGGAATGATTACGTGTTGTTGATGTATTGTGATAAGTGTGAAAGAAGTCTTAGCTGCGCTTAGCGGGATTCCAGGAGCCGGGAATTACCCCCTCCTACCTGCCAATCCTTCATTCACGGTTTAGCAAATTGAGCGGCTCCTAAGGGTGAACGTTTCCCCAAGTTCAAACCGTCAGGAACGGCTTACAAAGCAGAATCGGTAAACCAACCCCTATAAGGAAGGAGGGGATTCCAAAATACATAACTAGGTAGTAAGCAGTTTAAAGTTTCTAAGCCAGAGGAAAGCCATTAACCTAGGGCTTACATAGCAAGTCCTTGGCGCGGTTTACTGTACGAAGCGGGGATATAAGGTGTGAGCTGTACAATGTTTTTGGCACTCAGGTGTTTCTGATATGGTGGGGAACGGCATGCGGCCGATTGGATCTCACTATCTCACAATCCCAACCCCCTCTCTGCAGCTCCCATGACCTCCTCTCTTCACTCCTCAACACTTCAGTCCCAGGTCACCGTGGTACATCGATATAACACTGTATAAACGTGAGATCCCGAGTTAAGTCGAATGCCGGAGAACTAAACAGTAAGAAAACAACACAGACCGCAACACAAAAACAAGACAGAAAATGACCATCCGCAAAACCCCCTCCTTATCCACACCCACCGGCAACCTGACCCAACCCCCCGCCGGGCTTCCCTCGCGCAACCCGTCCAAATCCTACTGGCTCAAAGACCTGTCCCCAACACTTGTCGGACACAGAAGCACACCGGACCTACCGGAGGAAGCCGATGTGGTGATTGTAGGAAGCGGGATCACGGGGGCGTTTGCAGCGAGGTTCTTGTTGGAGGGCGAGAATGGTGGGAATGGAGCTGGCTCGGCAGGGTCGGAGGTGAAGAGTGGGGAGGGAAAGAAGGTGGTGATGCTTGAGGCGAGAGAGGCGTGTTCCGGAGCTACGGGGCGGAATGGGGGTCATTGTCAGCCGTTGGTGTATGGAGCCGTGCCGGCTGTTGTGGCGTTTGAGTTGGAGGTGTATGCCTTTTTGGAGAGGTTTGTGAAGGAAGAGGGTGTGGATTGTGATTGGTGAGTTTATCGGTGTACTTGCGTCGATTCCCGATCGCGGCGGTCACGGGGGCGGCCCGGAAGACTTCGAGAAATGAGATGGGAGATGCTGATTATCCCAGGGTGAGCCTCTCCGGCGTCCACGCCTTCCTCTCGGACAGGATGTTTGAAGTAGCCGTAGCAGAAGCCGAGCAACTACAGCAAACCCACCCCGAGCTGGCCGCCCAGCTCGAGGTTGTCCGACCCTCGTTCGCTTCCGGCTCCTCTACTACGGACGAAACCAAGCCCACTCTCGCATCCCTCCGCGTGCCTTCCGCTCGGGGCGTCGTCATCCAACAGAAAGCGGCCTCGCTATGGCCCTACAAACTCGTCGCTTCCGTCCTAGAGCGCCTCATCGTCCGGCATCCAGCTCCACGCTTCAATCTTCAGACCAACACCCCCGTGACCTCCCTCGACCGCGCCGAGTCAGGGACCGGCTGGACGCTGACCACCCCGCGCGGCCAAATCACGGCGCGCCAGGTGTTGCTGGCTACCAACGGGTACACCTCACACCTCCTCCCGGCGTTCTCGGATCTGATTGTCCCTGTGCGAGGCCAAATCGGGGCGATTCTACCCCCTCAACCCACTCCAGAATCTACCTTTCCAACGACATCTACCTCGGCCTCTTCTCCGGCTAAACTCACGCACTCCTATAGCTTTATCGCCGAAGTGGAAACCGATACCGATACCGACAGCAACGGCAGCCTCCTGACATCCGCATCTGCCTCTGCCCCACGAGACGATTACCTCGTGCAACGGCCCCTACCAAATGGCGAGCTAATCTACGGCGGCGGCCGACGTCTAGCGCGAGGACTGGGCGTAGGCGAGTGGCGGGATGATGAGGTAGAAGAGGACGTAGCGCGGTACTTAAAGGGGAGTTTGAGTCCGCCTTTGGATCTAGCTTCTTCTGCTTGTTCTACGGGTTACCCGGCGGAAAAGGGGGCCACAGGACAGCAGCACCTAGACGCAACCTTCGAATGGACAGGCGTCATGGGCTTTAGCCGCGACCATCATGCGTGGGTCGGGCCGGTGCCTGAGAGCCTGGGCGGGGGTGAAGGGCCGGATGGCGGGGGATTGTTTGTATGCGCTGGGTATACGGGGCATGGGATGCCGGCGGCCGCGTTGTCGGCGCGGGAGGTGGTTAGGCAGATGACCGGACGGGTGGTGGTTAGACAAACGGGAGAGGGTGAGAAGAAGGAGGCTGAATTTCCGGTGGAGTTTCTGGCGAGCGAGGAACGGGTGAACCAGGCGAGGGGATTCCCGCATGTGACGCAGGGGTGGTAGGCGACGACCTTGGCGGGTTTGGTGAGTGGTGCGAAGAGGTCTTGAGTCTATGTAGCATGTGATGGAGATTTGGAGTTGAGATATATGAGTTAACTACTTCTTGGATAACTAGATCGCAGACAGTTATGGGGAAAAACATAGGTTGACATCTGCATCATTCGTCTTTGTACAGCTGAGGAAGGGTACTTAATCAACTATCAACTGTAGGAGAGCGGTGATATTCAGTCCTTGCTCTTATTTCTGAACGTAAGAAATTTACAGGCGTATGCCCGGCTAGTTCAGGTCCAACTTGAACTGTTGTCAGAAATGTTCAACTACTGTCCCTGCAAGGAAGAAACTCCTTCAACACATAGACCCACTCAAGCTTACATAGTAACGCATTTGAAGGGAGGATGTCGGTCCGTCCTCAGTCATTACGCTGCTCATGAGTTGCAAATTGACATTGTGTATATCTTTCTCTTATATCAAAGCACAAACCGCATCGCCCCTGATGTCTATTGACCAAAGTAGCTATCTCTTATACTGGAGCTACGACCACGCTTACTCTTCGCAGCAAGAAAGTCTTGGGCTCATCTGCTTGGCTCGAGAACGAATGTCAAGCATATGCCGCTGAATCCTTCGATCCCACCTCACTCATCCGCCGTGCTGCGCGCTCGGGAATCACTGGTTCCTTCTCCCAAGTTCTCTCTCCGCACCTCATATCTCTTCGTGGACGATGAGCAACATCAAACATGACACTCTTCTCGCGAAGAGCCAGTCTAAGCCGTGCAAAACGCCCTCAATGACGGGTCGGCATGAGTTGCTGGCCGTACGGATGAGCAAGTTCGTGAGAAACTCAGTCTACAATCGCAGTAACTGGAAACATGTGGGCTGGAATTCCAGTGCTTGGCGTCAGGATTCCCTAGGCAGACGCGAAATGTTCTTCCTCTCCGATTCTTGTTCCTCAATGAGGGCTTGGGGATAGTTGCTTGACCTGCAGCAGGAATCCTGCCGTTAAACCTGCGCAGCGAGCCATCATGCCGTCAATGCATCACGGATTTGGGTACATTTCCCGTCATTTCATGACAGTGAGGCGATCCGCGTAAACGATAGACTGAGTAGCCGCTCTCCTGGTCTATATAATGGTTCTTCAGCTCCGGTCTCGAGATGAACAAGGTTCTTCGAGTGCCTCGAAAGTCGAGCAGCTGACAAGACGGACATCAGTCCCGACCGGCGGATCCCATTGCGACAAAAACAACACGCCCCGTCCCCTTCACCCGATGTGGACATTTACATCCCATCTGGTCTTTCGTCATCCAGGTGTGCCGCTTGGAGGATGAGTTCACTTTGTGGTTGCCTGAGGGAAGTGGCCCGAGCCATCAGACGCAGCTCACGGCGAATGCGGGACCCGCGCAGGCAGCAGAATAATGTAAAGGCCACGGGAGCCCGTAAAGCGACAAGCTCAAATCCCAGGGTGATTACCCCTACCTCATCGTCACAGTCATCACCACCGTCCGAACCGCCGAAAAAAACGAAGGGTCGAAGGATGGATCGATTTGTTGTGGCAGAGATGCCCGGAAGAGGTGGGAAATTTGGCAAAGCCGGCGCGTGATGGAGGTTGAGAGTTAGGGGCGCTTGGAGGAACGACAGCGCTAGGGTTATGTGGAACAGGGGCTTATCGGCGGGCGATCCCGCTAATCGACCACTACAACGCACCTCCGATTAGTGGCCATATCGGGTTACCCACACCAATGGAACGACGACTCACCTCAATCGAGCACGACGACAACCAAACTACAACACCGACCTCCTCGACGGGCTGATCGAATAACTTCCCTTTTCGCCTGCAATAAATTGGAATCCACAGATTAGTATTTTCTGGATATTTCCAAGTCAAAAGGAGGGGGAAGCGGCATATTCTGGATACCCGTCATCATGGCCCCAATTACGGACGAGGAATGGGCCGACCTGGTTGCCCACGAACTCCCCAAGACATCCGACCCTGTCATCCGCAGCTATCTCGAGAGCCGCCGTGCCTTGATCGCCCAGGGGCAGAGACACCGAAGCGGTATTACACGTTCAATTATTTTCTTCCATTTTACCCCCTTATGCAGATGTCATCATGGCCCCCAAGAGGACTATGCTGAGGATGATAACGATGAGGGTGATGACGACGACAACACCACTAACCTCCACAGCCAGATTTCTCCTTCCGCCAGGCCCTCTCTCCCATCGCGGCGCAGGCGTGTGATATCGTCTCCAAAATCCGCCATGAAGAACGAATCTCGCCAGTGGCGTCCGCAACCCGCACCGAAAACCTCGCGTCTTGGAAGATCGTTAAGCGCCTGCCTAAAGGCGCACTCCTCCGCGCACACTGCCACGCCCTGGTCGACCTGGACCGTCTTCTCGATGATGCATTGAACACGCCGGGGATGTGCATCTCGTTGTCACCATCCCTAGGGAACGATCCCACGTCGGTCAACTCCGGGTGGGAAGGACGTCCGTGTATCCTATTTAGGGGGCAGCCGGATTCGAGCCAATCGCTATGGGACGACAACTATATGCCCGGCTCTTTTGTGTCTCTTTCGAAGGCAGCCGACGAGTATCCGGGGGAAGGACGGTTGGGCTTTCTAGGCTGGATCAAGGGGAAGTGTGGGATATCGACGTTGCGGTCTGATCTCGAGAGGGGTTACGCAGGGTCGTCCGCGGTCTATTCCGATCTCATCAGCGGCATGCTATACTATGAGCCGTTGTGGCGAGCATTCCTCCGGCGGTTGATGTCTGGTTTGGTAGGCGATCGTGTCTCCTGGCTAGAGTTGGGGTGAGCACACGATCCCAAAAGGGCCTTGACAACGGGCCTCCTCTTCTATGTCGCCTCCTTCCTGTTTCTCCTCACCAACTTATCGGTGGCCAGTTCAGGAAACAATGCCGAAACTTCCACTTAAAACTAACGTCAATTGAAACAGCTTGACTTTCCCATTGGCCTTTTACCGAGAAGGGTCGGAAACACCGGAGGTGGATCACGACTACCTGTTCGGCATCATCGAGGACGAAGAGGCCAAATATTTGGCCAATGGCCGGCCTCTGGGATTATGGGGCCTCCGCGTGGTGTGGTCAACGAAGCGTAGCCTCGATCCCCGGTCGATCATCGAAGACGCCGACAGCTGCATTTCGACCAAGCTTTTGTGGCCGCGTCTGGTGGCCGGGTATGACCTTGCGGGACCCGAGAACCTCGGTCGGCCGCTTGCGGACTTGACTCCCGAACTGTTCTGGCTCCGAAAGCAATGTGTGGTCGAAGGTGTCACGCTCCCCTTTTTCTTGCAGGCCGGCGGGTCGTCCCTTGCCATCAACCACCACGACGATGATGACAACAACGTTACGATCGCCACCGACGACCCCCTTTCACCGGAGAACAACAACCTCTTCGATGCCCTCCTCCTCGGCGCCCGACGAATAGGCCACGTCTTCGCTCTACCCCGACACCCCCGCCTCATCGAAGCCATCAAGGACAAACGGATCCTCACCGAGCTCTCTCTACCACCGCCCGATATCGAAACGGAGCCATCGGTGGCGGGTACCACCAACAACAGCGACATCATCATCGCCAACCACCCCCTCCCATTCCTCCTAATGCAGGGCGTTCCCTGCGCCCTTTGCGAGGACGATTCCGGGCGCATTTCGCAGCGGAGCCGAGATGGCGTCGACCAGATGACCAGTATCTTTTGGCACGCCCTTCGGGCTTGGGAGAAGGATGTTGATGGTGGTTTCGACCTCGCCACGTTAGGATCGCTTGCCGAGAATAGCGTGCGGTGGGCGGCGTTTGAGGACGAAGACGCAGAGACGTGGTGGGTACAGGCCAATTCGTTCATCCCCCTTGGACCCTGTCCTTTTTTGGCCCCCCAATTTGTTTTTGCTTTGCTTTCCTTCCTTTGTTCCCCTCCATCGTCGAGCTAGGACTCGACGCGAAAACGTGGAGTCGCCCATAACCGTCACTTGCTCGGCGTGGATGTGGGAAAATAGCGAAGACCAGGACCGGGGTTCGCCCAAGCTGCACAGCCTACTTCTCTCCCTTCCTTCCTCGTAACTTGTTTTGGTTTGTTGACAAACGTAACTATTGAAATGGGAGCGAAGCTGACGAATATTCTTTTCGGGCAGGGTACGTGAAATTCGTGCAGCAACCGTGGGGGCCGGGACTAAGGCAGCGATGTTACAGAAGTGGGCTGTGGAGTGGGAGCGATTTTGTATTTGGGTGGTCACCGAGTATGGAGATGGGCGTGGCGATGCGCGGTGACCTACTTCGGTACCGTGTGTAAAAACCCCAAACCGCTGCCCCGAACGACGCGGTTGAGACAATGGCAGAGCCGACAGAGGGCGATGACAATGGAAGGGGAATAGTCACCTGAACTCTATGACCGGAATACAAGCAGAGTCTCAGCCATCGGTCGGACACTATCGGTCTCTTTTTCACCGTTGTGCCGTTGCTGTTGCGTCACCCCCCTTTCGGCAGTCATCCGGCGCGGCTATTCGTTGGTGTTGGTTGGCTCCCTGCAGCCCTATGATGCACCACCAAGCTCACCCGAAAAAAGGTTTGCATTGGTCAAGACCGAGAGCTGCCTAACTCTAAGGTGGCATCGCAGGCCTACAATGCACCCAATTCATCTTACGGAGTGCATCTGCTTTCATTGTTGGTGGACAAGAAAGACCAAAAGCGGACGGTTTCCGCCGTGTTCCTCCCATAAAACAAACTCATCTGATCCAAGCCAAGCAAAGTCATCATCCATCGATCTTGGCAGCGGCGTTTGCAACTCGGAGATGCCCCCTACGTGTTTGTACACTAAACTTTATATCCTTCAGGATCATCACAGGCCGATCGCACCGTGCAGAAGAACCCTACAATTTAACTTGGTGGGTTGCATGTGGGGGTGACTCCAGATCGAAGTCCGATGCACGAAATACTGTGTATTCTTACACACCCACTGTACACTACAGAGTACAGCCCAGTGACGCCAGGCCCATCTCTGCTCTTGCAGGGTATCGAATCCCTCCTGTGTTCCAGCCACCCCCCTCGCCGTTCCTCTCGCCAAAGCCACTTGCGCGCTTGTTTCATGTTTCAACGACATCGCATCGGTCAAAGAGTGTCTGTCAAAAGACTGCGCCACCTCCACGCAGCACACAAGGACGGCCGGACGATACCTTCCCCTAAATCCGGTACATACAGTATGGTATCGGATGGATTTTGGTTTCCCTTGGCAACTGGCTTGCTCAGACAGAATCCAGATTGGATTTCTAAGCTCAGGTAGCTTACTTCGGCGTCCGCTTCAATCCTCACAGGGTTGTAGATTCGAAAGATGTTGCTTGATCGGGATTCTGAAAGTCAATTCCGCCGCCCTATTATTACATAATCATTAATTGTACCCCTTTTTGGACGGATTCCGCTGTCCCCGACTTATACCATCTAGCAGTACCTACCCTGACAACGTCAACCCAGCAAACATGCCACGTACACCGAACACCGCCGTGTTATGCGATGTAATGCTGCGGGGACCTTCTGGGAATGGAACGCCCGCCTTATTCTTTTTTTTCTTGTCTCCTTGTCCCGGCAATTTTGACAGGAAAGCCACAATGCATCCATCGCGTCAAAATGCAAGACATGCATATGAGGACGGACAGGGCCAAGATAGGAAAGTCTTGAGAAAACAAACGTTGGACGGGGCAGTTCCCGTTTCTTCTTTCTTCCCCTTCGGCTCATCCATACCTGGCCCATCAGGAGCGAATATTTGCAAAGAGACCATTTGTAAGGTTGACATGATACGGCGTAGCACCTGTGTGTCAACAATCGAGAAAAAGAAAGAGGGTGTGAATGAGAAGCGAACGGTGGCCTATTCGGGTATGACAGCCATTCGTGCTCTCCCATTGGCCTATATAGCCGCCAGGAAGAGGTATAGCCAAGGAACCAGACCGACCTCGACACAAAATGGTGGAGACACTGAGGTACATCTTCAATACCTTCATGAGAGACTTCACCATTCTATCAAAAAGGTAGGTCACGATGCTAGATGACGTGCCACCGCCCGCCCCCACCCCTTACCGACCGGCCCGAACCCCCTTTGCGCAAAAGTCTCCCGGCGGCTTGCTCCGGCCGTTGTGTGTGTGTGTCATCAAGTATGTACCTAAGTACACAAGCTTACGTCTGACACCCACCTCCCAATTTCCGTTTTAGGCAAGCAGACACACTGTACACTACACACCAAGACGTTTGTCACATGATCTTGGTGTGGTGGGGCTTGAGGGGGGGGGGGGAGGTTGGTTTAGGAACTGTTGGGCGAAGGCGCAATAAGGCTGAAGGATGCACCTCCACTTGCCTATTTGATGTCTGTGGGTGGTATCGGGTGTGACTGGCACATGGTCACTACATCTACTATGTACAACATGCATGTCATTAAAAATAATGGCGGGGATAATGGAGGGGTGGAAGAGCCGGTGTGATGTACTTCTGGTATTGTAGGGGCATTTTGAGAAAGATTTGAGAGTCATGAATAACAATTGGGGGAGAAAGGAGCTTGGCATGAAGTTGTACATGTACACAGTGGGTGAGAGGCGTCTGAAGGCAGAGAAGACATGAATTGATTGGAAGAAAATAAGTAAACAGCCAAAGAGCTGGAAGAACTACCGAACGTGAAATCTAGATACACCGACCCCCCTCAAGTCAACCCCTCGAAATTAGAGACTGGGCGACCATGTGCTTTCCAACCACGTCTCGAATTTCATTGGCTGCACTTGGGTTAGATCATTGAGGTTCGGCTGTCGTATATGGTACCGTTCGCTGGCCGTCTGGAGCAACCTGTGAAAATAGTGCCATTGTACCCAGTCACCGCTCTCCTGGCAAGCTTGAACCTGTGCCTCCACCTCCTGATAATGCCGAGTTACCAACATGAAAGGTGCTTCAAGCTTGTTAGCGAGATGTAACCAGTAAATCTTGCGGGCGAGGGGAGAACTTACTACCAACCGTATTGGAGCACGCCTGGACTAGCTCCTGCACCGTCATGGAGTCCCCTCTCATCTTGAACTCCTTTGGCCAGTTGTTGAGGCTTATATCCAGAGCCGCTGTGACAAACTGAGCGACATCGTGCACCGAGGTCATGGAAACCCGTGCTTCTGTCCCGCTTGGGGTTGTTGCAATGATCTCGGCTCTTGCGCCTTGCAAGTTGACGAGATAATCGTCGGGTCCCTGAACCCCACAGCCGGCGCCAATTCCAAGTGTCTGCATCCCCCCTGGACTAAATCGTTCCATGAAAATACCGCAGGAGAAGACCGTGTAGCGCATCCGATGTGATTTGGATTGAGACCACCGCTCAAGAAACTGAAGGGCGGATTGTGACCCGCGGTCGAGAGGGTCGATCGCTGGCCGGTGGCTGAGGCTGCCCTCAAACTCAGACGGGACAAAGGTCTTCACACGGGCCTTTCGCGCGGCATCGATGAGGTTGAGTTGTTCGTTGCCGCCGATGGTAGAGATGACAAGATCGACGCCCTGGAGTGTATATCTCAGGCCCTCAACATCATCGTAGTCGACAATTACGGCTTGTGATTCCGGACAGTAATATTGGAGCTCCGGGTGGGCCTACGGCATGGTTAGCAAAAAGTTCCTTTGCGGGTAAGGGAAGTGGTGCACAAACGGTCCGTGATAGCACGAGTAGTGCGTGAGCAGTTTGGCTGATGTGCTGGGCTAGAATCTGGGCGAAACCGCCTGCGCCGGCAATTGCAATTCTAGTCATGGTGACTATGTTAAGTTGATGGCGTTGATCGTGGGTAGAGGAAAGAGGCGATGGGGACTGTGAGTGCAGGAGACTACGGGTCCAGACGGGAACTATATATGTGAGTTGTCCAGGCAGTTGACCGTCGAAGAATGGTTGTAGAGTGCCTCTTAAATAGTCTTTGCATGTCGGCGATGAACCACACCTGGATTTGGCCCAGCAGACTTGTTGAGCGGGGCGCAAGGCTCAGGGGCGTACGTTCGATCCGTGACGGTCGCGGCCATGGTCCCGGGGACCACTCTAAGCGAAAGGCCAGGAGGCATCAGACAGTGCCAAAATATGGCACTACGAAATCTCCTCAAAGGAGAAAAGGACGACGGGTACATCAAGCGCCGCGAGTTCGCCGCCGGCACGTGTCGTCCCAAGTATGCGATTGGTACGGGAACGCGACTTAGGATCGTAGAGCTTGAGGCCCGATGTGCGGGCCATCTCAAATCCTAGCGTGCATGGCGGGAGCTTCCTTCAAGGCGGCACAGGGGGTGTGTGTTGAATGACCATGCTTCGTCGATGCTAGCTTGTAGTGAGGAGGTTGTCTTTTAGGATCATGAAGTGTGCTTCCGCGACACACAGAACCGCGGGATTCATCGCAAAGTGCCGGAACAAACCCCGGCCTGGTGCTGGTTGTGTTCAACAAACTTGAAGAGTGAGTGGATTGGAAGTGTGCGTGAAGTGTCAACGACAAACCAGGTCCCCACCGTAGCTGCGCGGAAATTATCGATGGCAATGCCCAGTATGGATTAGGTTTCCCGCAGAGTTAACCCACATGAAAACGCGGGATTCTACCTATTCAGGCTTCGCGGCAAGGACGTTGTCCTTGGCTCCCACATGAGGTTCGACGCATTTAGGTTGGCCCAACAGAAGAGCCTCAAGTCCGAGCGGCGTCGTAGGAAAAAGTGGCAAAGGGGGCTTTGAAATGCGATTCCTAGAATTATGAAACGAGGGTAACTTACCGTGCTAGTGTGGGCCGTAATTGGCCCCTGATATCTGCTCCATGGGGGACTCGAAGGCGGGCTGTGGGACGACAATGCCACGGCTGGCTCTAAAAATGGAGGAGAATTAGTCAAGACCATGAGAGAAGACAAGTATCCAAGGCTCTATGATGGTGCATTTCCCAAGGGAATAGAAAAAAGAGCCTCTTCTATCGTCAGAGGTTGTTAGAAGAACGGTTGGTTCATTGGTCACTCCACCGGGTTACAGTGAGAGTGTGCCCGTACCAAGGTGGGATTTAATACTTGTCTGAAGACTTGGTTTACAGCACGGCATTACCCATGAAACAAGACACCATCGCAAAAGTTTCTCAGTGTTTCTGTGACAACATGAACGGGCGCGGCTGAACTTGAAACTGGAGAGGAAGACCTATGCCGCCGACGACCTAGAAGACGGAAAAATAGTGACCAGAAACCCCCAAAGTTTAGAGTCGAGCAGTTTGCGGTGGGCTTGTCGGGCGTAACCTTGCCAAAGCGGGAGCGGAACGGAGAACTCGTTCCCAGACGGCGGCCACGGAGAGCAGGATAACCATCACCGGAAGGCATAAGATCTGGGGATCCACACGAAATGGGCATTGGGAAATTGGGGGGTACACCGTATCTCCGAGGCCAAGCTTTCAACACAGACTAGACCTCGCGGGTTTCGGGGAGATTTGGGGGCTATTTTTCGGCCCGCGCTTACTGACAGACATAGGGTGGGCCTTTGCCTTGGCTGACGGCGGCAAAGTTGGGGCTTGGAGGTCGCCGCGCTTGTCTGGGCGACGAGGGGACGAACAACACTTACAAACAAACTCGTCCCTCACAGAGAGGCTCGCGCAGCCAAAACATAGCGCCATGTTCGATCCTTCTATTTGGTTAATCAATCCAGGGGTTCCAGTTAGTCGCCCTTTGGCCACCCCAGCGTGCCCAGTCGTTAACGTTAACCAACAACCGTCCGTGCTAACCATGAAAGGTTTGCAAATCGCAGGAGGCCCGCAACGGGAAGGAACCATTTGACGTCTCCACCCAATCTTGCATGGGTGTGCAATCCCGATTTCCGCAGCTGAGACAGCGTCATTCCCCACATCCCATTTCCATGCACCTCTCCTCCTGCATCAACAAATTTCATCAATCGTCACGGTATTACATACGGATAGTACTGTGTCTAGCCAACCTTGTCAACCTCGACAATCCGTTTTCGAACCGGCCGGTCATCCCCCAAAACGCCAGAGGACCGACAGTAGCGCGTCCTTGTGCTCGGCGATGAGCCCGCTAACGGTGGGGGTGGCCAAGTAGGTAGTGGCCTTGTTAATGCCTTCCTCGGATACTGGCCTATCGACGCCAAGTGTTGTCAAAACTGGCGGTTTCTTCCCAGGTCAGATGAAATCCGCACAGCAGGGAGTAACTACGCGAATTCACTTTTGTATTCGTCCAAGATAAGGTACATGTACCTGGCTCATCCCTCGCCCGTCTAGGCACGCCAAGGAGACTACGTACACAAAGATCTCATTCGTCCCCGCCTTGACTGCCGGCTTCTCGACGGCGTAGTCGGGGTGTAAGAAAATAGCAAAAAGTCGCCTTGTCTTTTTGTGAGCCAACCAGAAAACATCATCAGGGCCGCTCTAACGGATTTCACAAGTCGAGGTTTTTTTAAAGCGCCACTGTATCGCATTTCTCCCCTTCACCCCGCAGCGGCATGTTTCTTCCTTCAAGGAGCGTTGACCGAGCTTACACAGACGCGCGGTTCTTCACACTCGGACTCGGCATCGTGGCTATGTCTAGCGCCCACAAGATCGTGGTACGCCCCTACTCAATAGGGGCTGAGAAGCATCATGGGCTTTGAGCATGGGTTAGGTGACGACAGCAAGACCTGCACCTGTTCACTATGCTGTTCCACAACTTGCAAACTCCATGACAAAATTATGCTAGAACGGTGTTTACTATCTATCGCTCGGGGGACCCTTAACGCCTGTTCTTCCCTCAAGGACCTCGATATGCTTCTCAATATTTGGGGGTATTAACGATCAAATTCTTCGGGGAATTAAACTAAGAATGAGAGAAAGAAAAAGCCGGCACCCATGCTACATCTCGATTCGACCGCTACTCGCGGCGTTGAGCTTCGGCCTGCTTCTGAAGATCGTGCTCCACACCGCGCTGCTGGGTCTTGCCAGCGTCGTGCTGGTCCTGGTACTCGGTCTGCTTGGAACGATCGCCAGTCAAGCCGGCGACGGCGCTACCGACGGTGCCGGTGACGCGGTCGGCGATACCGGAGCTGAGATCGTTGAGCTGACCGCGGGCCTCCTGTTCCTGACCGGACCGGTTCTGCTCCCGCCCGGCCGCCTTGAGGTTCTCGCTGCCGACGAGGCCACCGACAAATTCCTTGGCCGAGCCGGCCGTCTGGTTCCACGAGCCGGCGGCGCGGTCCGGATCATCCTTGCTCACACCCGAGGCAGAAACGGTCGCGCCGGGCACCTTGATCGAGGCGTGCGAAGCGTCGTACTCTGCTTGACCCTTGTTCTGCTTGGCCTGTCCCTGAGCCTGTTACGGAATTGGGTTAGATAGGGCTCGCTAGTTAGGTGGTAGGTGAAAGCTATGTTGTGTTGCTTACCTGGTCGCCGCTGCTGCCGAGAACGCTGCCCACAACGTTTTGGACGGCACCGGTGGCCGAGTCGACGTACGACTTAAGAGTGGAGGTATTGTCGTTGGCAGACATGTTGGTGGTTGTTTTAGGTTGTTGAGGGAAGTGGAAGTTGTGATATGTGTGTTTGTGTGTTTATGCGAGTGTGTCTTGTGTTGTCTTGTTGACTTTGAACTTATGCGCTTGCTGGTGATTGTGATAAATTATGTCCCGGATCTTGGAGGGGACGGCTCCTTATATCTCTAATTCACAAAAAATGGTGAACCCACATGTGGTTTTCGATTATTCCATCTCATGCCGTTCTTTCCCCATCCGCTGAGCCATCTGCCCTCCTGCCCCACGACGACGAAGTTGGCGATGCGGGTGATGTCATTGTCATGATGTCATAGCGACCCGCTGCGCGCTTCATGATTGGCCCCTCGGCGTTGGCTCCGCAACGTGAGATCGAATTTCGAGATCCCGGCTATGGGACCGAGGGGCATTCAGCTTTTTGGGCCCATATGAGACGACGTGATCCAGATCCTGCATGATCTAGATGCTTCTTGATGTTCCATCGGCTTCGCAATGGACCCTGATGAGCTTTCTCAATTCGCCGAATGGAAATGTTTGCAAAGGTTCAAATCGGATCGTTGGGCGAACCCCTCAACCCCCCAACCCCCTCCAACAAGGAGGAAGGATGTACCTCTCTGTAGTGCCCGTTTTCCAATTGTCAAGGCTGTCCGCAGCGGGTGCCGAGGTGAGTTTGAGGTACTCATCAATTGATTCTTCATGAATCAACACGTACGCCATAGAGGAAGAAAAATTCCATGCTTTCGCAACCAAACGTCGTCCATTCCGTGTAGAAAGACCGTATCACAAGCCGAAGACATGCAACTATACTTCAAGATTCCTCGGGAAGAACCGGGCATAGCCACAGGTTCACAGCCACGCCGCACACAACAACCAATGGATCCGTCAACAAAACCCCACGTCCCGCCGGCGACCCCGCCATCTTAGAATTGCCCCTCATTCCTGAGAACGGCGATCGAGAAATGGGACTTGAATCGTGAGGAATAAACTTGGATGACTTTGCGAATACAACCGAGTGCAACTTCAGATTCCGGCGAAAACGCCGGCTGGAGGCTATGCCGAAGCGGAAGAATGTAAGTACATCATGATCATGCCACCGGCGAAGCCGACGATAGCAATATGTTAAGCCGGCGAGGCCTCGTGGGGTGACATCCCGTAATCATCGCGATTTCGTTCGTGATGGACAATTTACTGTTTGAGCGATTCGCAGAGCAGGGGAGAGTAGTGGGCTTCATTTTTCCCTAACGAAGAGGAGGTGGGCCAGATCTTCTCTCATCCCTGAGATGGAGCTCGCCATTTGGCGTACATCCGCCCCGTGGTGTCGTATCTCATGGTATCATTGTCAACCATCAAGCCACAAATACATGATATTATACAGATCCGCATGCAATTTGGGTCGCCCCCAACATGTGTGAAGGAAGCCAACCGCTCGGTATGCAGTTGGTGTGTGCATCCCCCCATCTTGAACTTGTACGCCTTAACCCTCCAGTCCCCATTGGCCCGTATCAAAGTAAACACCTGGTTGACTGGCTCAGTGTTGAGTCCACTCAATTGTGTTGAGGTCAACGCCTTCCTGGACAAGCTCCCACAAAGGGCTCAGCTCGCGGAGGAAACCGACGCGCTCCTTGACAGCCTTCAAAACATAGTCGATTTCGGCTTCGGTGGTGAACCGGCCGATGCCGAAGCGAATACTGGAATGGGCATTCTCGTCGCTGTTGCCAAGCGCCCGCAACACATAGCTGGGCTCAAGCGAGGCCGAGGTGCAGGCACTGCCAGATGACAAAGCGATGTCCTTGAGTGCCATAAGGAGAGACTCACCCTCGACATAGGCAAACGACACGTTCACACAACCGGGGTAGAAGTGGTCCGGGTCGCCATTTTGGTTGGTATGCTCCATTGACAGCAGGCCGTTGAGCAGACGGTCCGAAAGAGACTTGACTCGCTTGTGATCGTACTACCCAATGCTATTAGCAACCGACCAAGAAATATAGACGTGCAAGGTTCAAGGTTGTCGGAGAAGAGAAATCAGAGAAGGTGCTGTCTATCAACAGAATAACCCTTGTCACGGGGCTTCAGAAAGCCATGCATGTATTGAGCGACTCATCAGGAGAACTCGAAACAACGAACAAAACGAAATTTCTGGACATACCTCAATCTCTTCCGCGGCGATGCGGCACGCCTCTCCAAACCCAACAACGAGAGCAGGAGCCAGCGTACCGCTGCGCAAGCCACGCTCCTGGCCACCGCCGCTGATGAGGGGCTCCAGTCTCACTCTTGGCCGGCGACGAACGTAGCAAGCACCAATCCCCTTGGGCCCGTAAATCTTGTGAGACGAAATCGACATCAAGTCCACGTTCATGGCATTGACGTCAAGCGGAATTTTGCCGACCGCCTGGGCAGCATCGGTGTGAAAGAACACCTTTTTCTCCCGGCAAATCTTGCCGATCTCCGCTAAGGGTTGGATGACCCCAATTTCGTTGTTGACCGCCATGATACTCACGAGTGCTGTCTCGGGAGTAATAGCTTCCTTGAGCTTCTCAAGGTCAATCAGGCCATTGTTGTTGACGGGGAGGTAGGTAACATCGAAGCCTTCGTCCTGTAATGTCCGGCAGCTGTCGAGGACGCACTTGTGCTCTGTTTGGCTGGTGATGATGTGCTTCTTCTTCCCCGATCGGCCGAAGAATCTCGCTACACCTTTGATGCTCATGTTATTGCTTTCTGTAGCGCCGCTGGTGAAGATAATCTCCTTCGCGTCCGCGCCGATCAACTTTGCGATATACTCTCGAGCCTGCTCGACAGCGTGCTCGCTTTCCCACCCATATGCGTGTGTCCTCGAATGCGGATTACCGAACACGCCGGAGTAATATGGTAACATGGCATCGAGGACCCGCGGATCCACCGGTGTTGTGGCCTGCATGTCTAGGTAGATAGGCCGCTGGCCCTCGTCTAGCTTAACGGCTTGCTTGAGGACATCTAGGCAAGTATGCGATTAGCTCCGAGACCGCCCGGGGTGTGTCCGAGAATGAGTTTCTCACCAGCCATGGGGCTAACATGCTGCGTCGACCCAGTCTGTGTCGTCTCCAAGGTCGCCCCCGCCTTTTCTAACGCCGCCCGATCCAGCCGAATCGCGGTGTCGACCTGGACCTGAGCATGGTCGGGCTTAGTTTGCGTCACATAACACCTCTTGCAAGCCGCACGCGCGTTTACTGGCAATGCACGCGGCAACGTCGGCACACTGCGTCGCGGGGCAGCAGCGAGAGATGGCTTCGACGCCAGGCGCGATGCCTGCCTCAGGGCTGAAGGGGCGATGTTGGCCATGATGAGCAAAGCCGTGGTTTGCGATGCTGAGGAGAAAAGCTTCCAGGCTAGAACGGCGGGATGGACGGAGCTATCGGTTTTGCCGCGAGTCCCCACTGCAGGAATCGTGGAATGCCACCAAAAAAAAGCTCTTGTCAAATGGGGCGAGGCGGGGTGCTGCATATCCATTGGTGATTGGCTATGACTGCACAATGCCCCGCTTATTGCCAATTGGGGATTTAAAAGTGCAAAGCCAGACGGCTTACTCTGGGAGTCGGCTTGTCAGCATTGGCAAGATGACGAAGATGATCACACCCAAAAAGTGCCAAGCTACCAGTCTCCCAGACCCGACATTTCAGGAAGTTACGCAGTACATCAATGAGCATTCATTTTGAACGTTTTATTCACCACCTCCAGTTCTCGATTCTGCTCCATCAAATGAATGAAACTGGCCTCGATCATCAGCCGTTAAGTCTGACTCGCAGGTTTATCACCGTCGGCATCGAACTGCCGAACCAAGCGACTTCATTGGCGGTTTTCTCTTGGCAGAGCGTAAAGGTCGGGGTTTTGGCGGTCGGCAGCGCCACATTTGGGCCGACTCGGGACAGCTGAGGCCTGGCTCCGCCTCGGGAACATCGTCATCGCCCTAAACAACAGCATCAGGCGCATTTCTGGAGCGAAGTCCTTGAATACTCCACGCGCCGCCCCAGAACCACCCACGTTTCCACAACATCCCACAGAGAGGGAACGGGCATCCTGCAACCCAAACAGCAATATTCCGCTTTTTTTAGACGATCAGTTCCTTAAAAATGAGTTTCCGGGGCCTCCAGAAGGGGTTTGCTCGCGTACGTCTCCTTGCAGCCCCGCTGTGCGATAATGGTGATGGCAGGAATTGGGCTGTCCCTGCCCTCTGGGCACAAACATTCACGGTGTGTCAAAACAAGGCTAACCACAATCACCGGTAACAACAGGCTCCCCAACAAATCAAATTAAAATTCAATATCGGCGAGCACACCAAGGACGCGGTCTATATCGATTCTGAGCGTCGGTTCGATGAACTCGAAGCAGAAACCAAGCACCTTCATGATGAAAGCCAAAAGTACTTCGATGCCATCAACGGCATGCTATCTCACCAGATCGAGTTCTCCAAGGCCATGACCGAAATCTACAAGCCGATTAGCGGGCGGATGTCGGATCCAGACTCCCTCGTTGTGCACGGTAACCCAGAGGGCATCCGCGCTTGCGAGGAGTATGAGGCCGTGGTCAAAGAGTTGCAGGACACACTGGCACCGGAGCTGGAAATGATTGAGAGCAGGGTGATCCGGCCCGCCGACGAGCTGTTGGACGTCATCAAGGCGATCCGCAAGACAGCAACCAAGCGCGAGCACAAGAAGCTCGACTACGATCGTCACCGGGCCACCCTCAAGAAGCTACAGGATAAGAAGGACAAGACGGCTAAGGACGAGAAAGCCATGTGGAAGGCTGAGAACGAGGTGGAGCAGTCGACCCAGGACTTCAACTACTTCAATGACCTTCTCAAAGACGAGCTTCCCAAGCTTTTCGCTCTCGAACGCGAGTTTATTCAGCCGCTGTTCCAGTCGTTCTACTACATGCAGCTCAACATCTTTTACACCCTACACGAGCGAATGCAGCAAGTAGATATCGGCTACTTCGACCTGACGCTCGACGTGGAAGAAGCTTTTTACAAGAAGCGCGGCGATATCCAAGAGCGCGCTGAGGCACTCTCTATTGTCAAATTTAAGACCTCTGGCCAACGCCGCCCGCCTAAGTATGGGCCTAAACCACGCCCCGGCGCTGCGCTTGAAGGTCCTAAGACCGCCGGCCTGCTCACCGCCGGTCCTTCCTCGTCCGCACCCTCAACACCAGAACTCGAACCCACAGAAACACCGGGAGCAGCCACCTCGGCCGCTGTATCCTTCAAGTCCGCCACCCCCTCTACCCTCCGGCCGACGTGGCGACCCCAACAAGCCGACAGCGCCTCTGAGAATCCACCACCGCCTTACTCCTCCACGCCCGTCTCACCAGCGCTCGGCAGCCCAGGCGCGGCATCACTAGCGGCAGCAGCAGCGGCTAAATCCAAACCACCGCCGCCCAAGCCAAAGCCGAGCCGGCTTTCGGGGGCACCCGCGCCCAAGGAGACGGTCACGGCATTGTACGACTACGCGGCACAGGCCGAGGGGGACCTGAGCTTCCGCGCGGGTGAGGTAATTGAGGTGATTACGCGGACGGCGAATGAGAATGAGTGGTGGACGGGGCGTGTGGGAACGAAACAGGGGCAATTTCCTGGTATGTTATCCTCCGCTTTCAATTACTTTCCTTTCTTGGTTTCTTGGGAGAGGGTTTGACACTAATATATTGGGTGTCATAGGAAATTACGTCAAGTTGAATGCATAGCGCGCAAACAACGTGACACCCATGGATCCCAAGGAACCTGCTACCGCCTCGAGGCCCACGGTAGGCGAGGCGAGAAAGGAACCTACTGGAAATACCGCCTACAGGGCGAGGTCAACTCCGGCAAACACGACCTCAGTTGCAGCTCCGGCTTCGGCCCAGACCACGGCTCCGGTTTCGACTCCTACTTCTACCATGGAGAGGTTTGCAGCGAGTAGCAAGCGCAAGTTGCAGTGGTTACGCGGATGAGTTGAAGGGCGACTTTGAGAATGAAGGGGTTGGGGCGTGAACTATAGAGTCTCAGGGATGGCGAGATCGGTGGTACACGTTGGAAGGAGGTTCCCGAGGCAGTCAATGCCATCGTATCAAGTGATATGAGATGGTGTTTACAAGGAAGGTGAAGTTTGTGGGTATAAGTGTAAATCATGGTGCTGATGTTGCTTCTCGGTCACTGTGTTTCTGGCCGTGTTTTGTTGTTATTATTGTTGCTGTTAGGAGACGGGAAGAGCGTAAGGAGAGGCCGGCGTGGAAAGAGTCTAAGCAATATGATAAGGAGAGGGCGTGCCATTTACGCGGTGTCCGCATACCGCTGGTTGCGAGTGTGTTAATTTTACTTGCTTGGCGTAGGTTTGGGATGCAGGAGTTTTGTGTTGGTTCACCGGCTGGTGAGTGTAAGTTTAGTGTGCATGGTATAAAGTGATGATATTTCCATACGTTCTTTTGTTCGGTCCATCTGTGACCGTACCGTGGGTATTTATGTCTGTGGATGAGGCACTTCTCAACCCAGCGGTTCACTGCAGCTATACTAAATACAATATAGCAGTGACTATTCTAGCGGTGGGTAAAAATATAAACTAGCTCTACGATCACCATCTTCCTTTCATCGTTCCAACCTCCCTCGAGGCACTGGAAAATTCACCCTCGCTTTTCCACATCATGATATAATTAACATCATAACAACTCCAGTCATGCTCCCCTGAATCGCCCTACTTCTTGCTTGAACCCACGACAATTGTCCACATCAACCTCGCCTAACCAAAATAGTCCCCCAGAACGGCAATAAGTAAACAAATTCTCCTTATCGGAGCGGCCCCCTTTCCCCGTATCCCAAGGTTGAAAATCCAACTTAATGGTGCGGGGGATAGTGCAAGGACCTACTTGGAACTCCGTTCCGCATCAAAATTATTGATAGCCTGGTGTGTAAAAAACACCTGCATTATTCCCGGGGCAGTTAGTACAACTAGCTGCAGACATGCTACTCTCTGCTCCTACCCACCAGCAAACCAATGAAACAAATCTGCCTCGGTAGGAAATCATACCCACCATTTCGGGTTGTTACCCTGCCAGCCTTGTTTTCTTTCTTTAGGTGCCAAGAACAACGCCAAGGGGGTGGAATTATGTTGTTCGGTTAGGTATCTCGCTCAATGCAATAAGAAAAAAAAGTTTACTCGATTTACCTAACCTTGACACAAAACAAAAGAGCCACAAGGATGCTATCTGTCATTGCCCCATCATAGTTTGTTCTACCCCAAATTAATATAGTCTACGTCATGAAATGCAGATTGCTGTTCAACCTACACGACCTAGGCGCAATTTTCGTCGCCAGAAGAGGTAATCCCCGAGGACAAACAAGGCTGACAACTAACTAACACGAGCGTGTAGGGTACCCAAACCCGATGCAAGACACTTTCTACACTATAACCGGGCAACAACCGAGCAACACCAAAGGGACACACTGTGAGGGGTAATTAGATTTCGGGACCGAGAAACAAAAGCCGACGGGCTGGGTTGATGAAAAATGGGGCTGTTGAGTGTCTTGCAAGTTGAAACGTGACGGCCAAATATTCCCACGCTGCAACACCAGATGCAGTGTTTCCAAAATCGAGGCATGGTGAAGCCATACCCCCCAGGCCAAGAGTCTTCTGTCACACAGAATGTGAACAGAGTTGGAGCCTTAGCACGCCGATTCCATTGGTAAAAATGATTCCAGTTGTTGATTAGGCTGCTGTGTTGTTAAAACCACGAGCTGGTGTTTCTGTTTAGATATCCCGAGAATACCTACCATAGGAAATGAATGTGCATGTCCATTGTCCCACCCTGTTCTCCCCATCTTCTCTTCACTTCCACCCATTCTTTGTTGACCCCCCCCACCTTCACCTTTCTACCCAATGGTACCCAAAAAACCAAGCAGCGGCCAGCCCAGATCCGATACAGCGCACGTTCTCCACAGAGATATACGTGTAAGCGCCCAGGGTGTTACTCCACCAGTACATGTAGCCCCGTGAAGCCCAAGGGTCGTTCGGTCAGTCTGCCCGAGACAAACCGGGCTCGATTTTCGGTGACACTAGCCATGGCGATACCAGGCCTGTTCTGGTTCTGGAAGCGGGGAAGCCAAGGAAAATAGTGCATCTCTCACCGAGCGAAGTGATACCCCCGATCAATTTTTCGGTACCACGCCGGCTTGAATGTTATCCAAGACGCCTCCTTCTTCGCGCCCTTCGCATCGTCTACCTGCTCGATGCAGTCCCTCTCACAGGGGGTGCCTGTGACCTTCCCCGCCTCTGCTCCCGTAGCTGTGACGCGAGCCGCAGCACGCGGGGCATGGCTGGGCGCTGAGCCCTGCAATCGAGCAACACCAAATTCCCTCGGGTACGGCGGCGTGCCCGCTAAGCGGATGGCGGGGTCGAACGAGACAAAAACCAGCGCCCGAAGGCTTCCCTGGGAGCCGCCCGTGGAGTACACCATTGACCGATCGTCCCAGGTGCCGTGGGTGTTTCCAGCGTATCCCGGGGGGTTCAGGACAGCATACAGCTCATCGAGCGCGGGGTTGAAGTCAGCGGAGGGATCTGGTGCCGGGGGCCAAAGAAGGCCAGTTTCGTTCCTGTATTGACTGTTCATTGGTCCATTGGAGTCCTGCTGCGTCAGCTCACCGGGAGTCCAGGGGCGTCGGCTGCCCCCACGAAGACGAAGCTGTTGATCTTTTGTGTCGAATGAAGCCACCTCGTCGATCAAATCGATGAAGGTCTCCGAGGTGGAGTGATAGGTCCTCACAGGACATTTGGGGACCATCAATGGCCACGTCCTATTGTCATCTCCGACGTGGACATAGTGAGGACTTCGCGGCCAACGCTTCCGGGCGCGGCCTGGCTGGTGCTTCACAGCTGTGTCCGAGTCAATAAGCTTGTCTTTCGCAGCGAGCGCGTCGAAGTCGATCTCAGTCGTGTAGTATGTCCGACGGCTCGTGCTGCAGCCTCCCAACCACTCTTTTCGGGTCTCGACCCATTTGAGCCTCCCACTCGCCTCATCTTTGAAAAGATGGAGAACGGTCCATCTGTTGTCCAAAGGCCCTTCGGTATGGTCTCTGCGCCAGAGCTCCCGGTGAGGTCCTAGAACTGTGCCGATCACATGCCCATTGTTATCGAACGAGAATCGGAAGCAGGAGTAATATGATATCCAGTCAACCTGTTCAATGGCAAGACTTTGAACGTTTGACAAGCCGTAGAGGAACCCGTCGATCACTTCAAAGCACACGGTCGAGCCTATGTCAGTTCCAATCTCCTTCGGGATGTCGATCTCGTTGGGCTCCCATTTATTTGACTTGAGATTGTAAGCTCGGATAGACCAGAGCTGTGTTCCTTGGTTGTCGGGCGAATTGAGGGTACCGTAATAAGCGAAGAGGCTGTCATTCCGCACGAATGCTTTGGAAATGCTGTGTACGGCTGTCATGGCGATGAGCGTACCGTCTTGCGGGCGGAAAATAAGAAGGTAATGCTGGGGCTTTTGGTCCCCTGTAAGAAGCAGGGAATATATACAAGAGAAAATATTGCTGGCGAAGTATAGCAGCGTAAGCTTATACTTGTGAGGACCGAGGGCTTCAGGGGGTAGTAGCGTCTCGGCATGTTTTCGGAGCTCAATCACGATCTCGTCTTTGGCCGAGCGGCGAAGGTCCAAAATGCGCAGCTCCCGGCCACGGGCGTAGCAAAGCACGCCGTTTTCATACATCCACTCGTGGCAAAACGCGACAACAGCCGCGGTGTAAGGCGAAACGGATGAAATGGCATCTCTGCGCTTGATCAAACGACGAAGGTTCCCCGCATAGTCCCCAGAAGCTCTAGCATCACGGGCTTCGATACTGTGAGGGGCGTGGGCCTAGGCGGCGTTAGTTGATAATCGCAGGACTTGAGTTTTGCATTGAATCCGGGTACTCACCTTGAGAAGCCTCTTTGCTAGCCTCAAGTCTTGAACCACAAACCGAAGCTCCTTGCAGGTGTAACTCAAGTTACGAACGTCGCCGAGCTCAAGGTATTGGATCACCCATACCACTAGCTCATAAGGCAGGCGCAAGATAGACACGACCATGGCTCTAAAAATTGAGGGGATGATAGCGGAGGAAAGAGGGAAAGGCGCTGATAATTAGGCCTGGGAAGGATATTGGAACGCCTCAAAAATATGGACTATCGAGCGGAACTGCCCCTGGAGAGATGAGCGAAAGGTTATCGGACCTAAAGTGTCTAGATGGGATCATACTAAGTTGGGGTCTGTGAACCGCTGAGGCTTTATAAGACCGGGGGCCAGACTCAGGACCTGGAAGATTGGCAATGGCAGGGCTACGATCTGGGGAGGGCCGCGGCTTTGGAACCCCCGCTCTGTCGTGGGGAGATTCCTGGCATGACTGTGACGAGAACAATGGCTCCGCTTGAACGTCGGACTGAGGAGGAAGGTCCCATGGTTTTTGGTCCTACCTTCTCAGCCTCTCGGCTTTGAGGATCCGGCTTGTCGACGGGAGTGTTGACATGGCCAAGGGGCCAATGTGGATGTCGGGAAAATCCTGGAACAGAGCGCCATTTTCTTCATGTGATATGTGGGTTTGGGGGGAGCCCAGGTAATGTGAGGACGGGTTGAAACGAGAAACGCGGCGGGCCATGGGTGGGATTACCTAGGACATTGAGGCTCTGCTGATGGGTAAAATTAACTAACAAACACCGAGACAGGGTTGTGTGTATCGGGTACTACTATGTTACTCTTGTTAAGACACAGCAGCGCGGGGTACAACGAGCGACATGAGGCTGAATGGACCATGCTGAAGGCTTTGATTGGACCTCTGCTCACCACGGTGGGGAAGTGGGGAAGCCGTCACCCCCAGAAAGTAAAGAATTCAACCCTTGTCCCAGGCAAGAGCTTCGTTCCTCCCTCTTGCCCTTGTCCCGACCAGCTAGCAAGGATATGGGGAGACCGGAATTTGGTCCGCTAAACACTTCCTGCATGTGGGCGGACATGCTATCGGCTTTATCCGACCCCGAGATTCTACACCGACAATGACAATGACACCTTGAGGCTCTGCGCTGGTAAAAGCTGATACCTACTTCGTATTTGTGCTCTTTTGAGAGCCTCCGGAGCAGTCACCGCCACCGAACTACGAAAATCTCCGGCAGGGTAGAACGCCGACCACGATCCGAACGCTTTGGGCATCGGAACCGGGCTGTTCGGTATGTGATAGCTGTTAGTGACGGGCTTGGCTCGCCGTCTACCCCATGTAATTTGTTGATCGGGAAACTTGTTGTAGACACCCTGTCTGGCATTATCAATGGCCTAGGGTTTCATCGTCCTTTTTCAAGGGGGAGCTGCGCTTTCCTTGTAGCTTACTGTACCTTGCTTCGTTATGTGGCCTTTGGCCCCTCTGACGGGAAAAGTTCTGAGCCGGTTTAGTGGATCCAATGCTTATGGCTCGAACTTAAACACCCGAGCCGATGTTGTACAAGCTAACAAATCTTTAGGGACGCTATTTTTTGACGTGCTTGGTCATGTCTTATGAGACCGTGCCCACGGGTACGTACCGGTAGGGAGACACCCGAGTAAAGCTAAAAGTAAACCGCTTCATGAAGATGAGACACTTCGAAGCTCGCTTAATCATATTGGCAGCTTTCAAGGTTTGGCAACGCCTATGCCACTTGGCGTGATATCTGGCGACAGTCTCATAACGATGTGACTACCTCCTCTTCTCGGCTGGCAAACTTACAACTATCGCCGCGCAAAGAGCAAGCGGCCTTGGTGAGTCAGGGGGTTTGGGATCTTATAATACGTTTTCGGACCGCCGGCTTGATAGCCAGGCTTTTGCGTCGCCGTTAACTAGCTACAGCACACAACGGCTCCTTTTCTATAAATCAGCCTCACCCGCACAGTTTTGTTTGTACCCCTTTTTCCGGTTACCGTCTCCCAGCAACCATAAGGAGCCGTATTGCCCGCGGAGATCGGCACCACCGCATATATGGTGCCTTACTCAGCGCAAATGAAAGCCCGAACAGCCGAACAGTGCACACCAGTCCGATGCTCTTGGTGATGTCAGAGGCCATTTGCGACGGGATGCAGCCGGCGATGATTCCAAAGGTTGATTAGTCAGTTTTATCTCGGGACGAAAGATGGCCCGGCGGATGGAGGACTCGCCTCAACTTGGGAGCCTTGACTTAAAAGGGAAAACGAGCACCTCGTTCCAACCTAATCCCCCACTTTATTTCACAGCTACAGCTGCAGCAGGGTCAACGCCCGAAGACCGAAATCGCGAAGTTATGACGATATAAACGAATATTTTTACGAACCATAGCGAGTGGCTTCTGCTTTAGTCTGCACTTTTCTCACCTCCATTTTTTGCTTTTCTCTTCTCGGAATCTTATCACCCCTTTTACCGATCTCGCGATCGCTACCCAACATGCCTCACCAGGTTGAGCCCCAGGGCCTCCGGACGGCCGATGGAGTCGACCTCTATGCGCCCTTCACGAGCGATACAATTCTTCAAGTGCGCACTGGCAAGCTGAAGCCGATGCGTGGTCTGGTAGTCCAAACGGCCATCGACAAGGGCTTGTGTGATGGACCCGTCCAGGTGACCGAGCTGGGACTCGAGGACGACCAACATGATCTGACGTTCCATGGCGGGGTTGATAAAGCCATTCATGGATGTGAGCCTGCCCTTGCCTAGCTGTGGACATGTCCCTGTCTGCGGTATGGGGATTGGAAAGGCTTAATGATGGGAGCAAAAAATGACAAGACTGACTGACTCCCGGTCACAGACTGTTCAGCACATTACAGCTCCTGGAGTGCCGAGTTCCCATCCGCTACCAGCGCCTTCCGCCCAGGTGGCTTCGGCGAGAATCTCGTAGTCCGCCATATGAACGAACGCAATCTTTGCATCGGTGACATCGTGTCGGTCTCACCGCCCGGCAGTGAGAGCGACGACACCAGCGTCCTCCTCCAAATCAGCCTACCCCGCCAGCCCTGCTTCAAGCTCAATCATCGGTTCGAACTTAAGAATTTCGCCCCGAACACCTGGCGCACTAGCCGCACGGGGTGGTACTTCCGCGTGCTGCGCACCGGGACAATCCGCGCCGGCGACACCATCCAGCTCATCTCCCGTCCGCACCCGACTTGGACGCTAGAGCGGGTACAAGAGTACCTACACCGCAACACGGGCGACGCGGCCATGAACGAGGAACTCGCGGGCATCGCCGAGTTCGGCGTTGAGGCCAAAGAGACGTTTGCCCAGCGCGTGGTCAAGCAGAAGGCGAAGGAGCGGCGGGAACGGGAAGGGAAAGGGAAACGTGGCCGGGACTGGAAGGTGTACCGCGTAGCTGAACGGACAAGACAGACGCCACGGATTGCCTCGTTTGTGCTAGAAGCTGTCGAGCCGCTGGAGAGAATTGAGGCCAAGCAAGCGGATGAAGAGGACCCTACCGCCGTGAAGGCCGGGGCGCAAGACAAGGTCAAAGCCGGGAAAGAAGGGGGAGACGAGGACCTTATCAGCCTGAGGCCCGGGGCGCACGCTAAGATCAAGCTCGGCAACGGGCTGGTGCGGACCTACTCTATTGTCGACGGCGACCGCAACCGGTTCCAGTTGGCCATATCGCTGGACGACAACAGCCGCGGCGGGTCGCGGTATCTGCACGAGAAGGTGCAGGTCGGGCAGACGATTCTCGTCGGCCACATTACAGTCTCGATACCCTATTTCGCGGCCGCAAGCCACCACATCTTTATCGCTGCAGGCGTGGGGATCACCGCGTTTCTGGCCATCTTCGAAACCTACCAAATTGTCAACTTCAGCTCGGTACTGCACTACGCGGTCCGCTCGGCTGATGAAGTCCCATTTCGCGAGCGCCTAGCTAAGCTAGGCAATGATGCAGTCACAATCTACGACAGGTCCGCCGGCCAGCGGCTGGATATCGGCAAGATCATCCGCGAGATGCCGTGGAACTCGCAGTTGTATTTCTGCGGCCCTACCCGGCTGATGGATGAAGCCATGCGGGAGACTAAGGCACACGGGATTGGCGCGAACGAAGTCCACTTTGAAGCCTTCGCCGCGGATGCCTCTGGGGACCCGTTCGAGGCCGTGGTTATCCACAAGAGTAAGGACAGCAGCAAGAAGACGGTAAAGGTAGGCGAGGAAGAGACACTTCTTGAGATTCTACAAAAGGAATTTGGCCAGGAAGCCGTGGACTCGAGTTGCGAAGTCGGAAACTGCGGAACGTGCCGTATCAAGCTGTGCGAGGGCCGGGTAGACCACAGGGGCACGGCGTTGATGGATGAGGAGAAGGACGGCGAAATGTTGGCGTGCGTGAGTCGTGGCGTGGGGAGAATCACAGTGGAGATTTGAGTATCAAACACCGGGCCACTGGGAACGGAGACGACAGTTTAGTATCGAGATATTCGGACTGTGTGTTTAGGCACAACGTACACAGTACATGGGCTGTTAACGCTCATGATGCAAATTCCACTCTCTATTATGGATCTCTTTGGGGGGGGCTCTCAAACGAAAAAGGAAACATTCATATGGGGGAACAATCCTCCCAGCAGGAAACACAGAAACAGACTTGTCTCTTGGTGTCTCATGGAACTGCGAACAGGGGGTTCCGGAGAACGTACACTCTCCATTTACCGGGTGGTTTGCCGGGTTGCTTACTGGGTCTATCGTAGAGCTTTTGCCCGGGCTATTCCTGATTATGTTTGTTCCCGTATGTCCGAGACGGAAGGGCTGCAACAGGAGCACCTCATTGGGCAGGTCGCTGTTGCGTTCAATTCTCACACAGCAGAGCCGCAGAGCCTCAGCCAAGACTACAATTTCATGGAGGGGGGTGTGATGCACATGCATGGAAAAGATCTACGCGTGGCGGCTGTCTCGCCCTGTCCCTGGATGGACAACCGCACTTCTCGAAGCTGAGGGAGGTGCGGGGGTGGTGGGGTGAAAGAGAGAACATCGGCAAGGCTGTTTGGCCTAGGCCACATTCCACATGTAGGTTTTGACTTACACGGCATGTTTCGGCGGTTATCCCGCGCCATTTGCGTCTGGGCGCTTCCTCGTGCGAGGGTTTTAGTGGGTAGGTGAGGGGGTTGTTATCTCGGTCAATTTGAGCCGAGAGGAGGACAATGGGACAGGTGACTACACGTAGACGACAGAAGTATCTCCGGGATGTTGCTAGCCCGACCGCATGCGGGCACTTGCATTTGCATCACCTAGCCGGGGTCCTCACCGAGCCGCGCAGTAATGATGTTCATTGACTTTGCAGATGGGTTGGGCAACTCCGAGGTCTTGAGTTATCGGAGTTTGCTACGTACGTTAACAGTGTGCGCAAAAATAGAGTAGGTTCCGAGAGAAAGAGATGCCCGTTTCGGTTGGGTCGAGATTATTCTAAGCCGCGGGGGGGAGCATCAAGAGGCGGCTTAGAACCTACGGCGTTGGGAACCCCGCTGTGATGTGTTGGCTTGTCTTGGACATGGAGGGATGATGAGGGGGTCATGTTGGCACCACTTCGGTGAGGCAAACTGGCCATTGACCCTCATCGAGGAATCAGAATTTGTAAAAAGAATATTGTGGATGACCCGAATCAACCACGTAAGAAACAGGAGTGCAAATTGAAAGAATTGGGAGGAACAAGTCGCCATTCCTCGGTTGGCGCAACATCAAGCCATACACCCCACGCAATATGATAAGCTACACTGCTCGAGGTTGGTACTAACGAGTCTAGTTTCAGATGTTGTCATGTATATATTTTGTTTAGCGGGGCTTCTGCTGCATCACAGTCTTGGGAGCAAAGAGAGAGAGAGAGAGTACCTTAGTGATGAGTGACCACATTGCCGACATTGGAGAAGCAAAATCACAGCCAAGCCCTATCCCCATCCGGAGGGATAGACGTTGGCAGTTACGAAAAACCGGTGTTTTTCTTCGCTGGCCCCGGGAATCGAACCCGGGGCCACTTCGATTTACGACGGAATTGGCAGAGCCAGCGCCCATCCCAATACCGCTGAGCCAAACCGGTGTTTGGATTTCAATTGGGAGGAGATGGTGACAGGAGCAGCGAGACGGCGACTTGTATCCTTGGGGTGGAGGGATGGTGCAATAAACAGCAAGTAATACGAAGTACAGAAATGTTATAGGTGGGCTGTTGTGGTGTGTGTCCAATAGCATGACCCGATAAGCTAGCGATATCAGAAAGTGGGTCCCAAATTTTCTGGATGTCGCAGCGCAATTCAAATTCCTGCTCCTCGCAATGAAGCAAAGGCCCGCTAATCCAGCACAACATCTGTCAAAATGCCTTCCACTCCCTCCACAATAGGGGACTTCGCCATCCTCCCCCTTTCCATCCCACCATTACCCGCTTTCCCGCAACATGCCATCCACTACCTCTACGTCCGGCGCAATGCGCCCAAGATGCCGACCGCGACCGACGCCCGCAGCCTCTTCCTCACCAATGTGCCCGTCGACAGCACAGAATCCCACCTCCGCGCGGTGTTCACCACACTAGTGGGCGCAGGCCGATTCGAGGGCGCGACATTCGAGGACGAGCGCAAGGATGCGTATTCACAAGGCGCCCAGTCGCCTATCGACGCTGCGCAGCCCGCCCATGCTGCCAAACTGCTCCAGGCTCACGGCAAGAAACGGAAGCGCGAGGACGAGGCCGCGGCAGAGAGGGCACGGGAAGAGGAGGCGGCGCGTTTGCCCAGCACGTGGACACGGCCGCTGCGTCGGAGTGGTAGCACGGCAGTGGTTCTGTTGGCGGACGAGAAGAGCGTAGAGCAGGTGCTCAAGGCGATTGCAAAGACACACAAGACGAAGAAGTACCCAGCCTGGGGCGGGGGTAGCGGAAGCGGTGGGCTGAAAATCCCGCCGCTGGGCTCGGTCTGGCTCAAGACGCACAACCGACTCTCCTACCCTGACAGCGCCACGCTCCAAGCATCTGTCGACGCTTTCTCTACATTATTCGCGCGGCGCGAGCAAGAAGCGGCCGAGATCGCCAAACGGCTACGGAACGAGCCAGACGAGGACGGGTTTGTCACGGTCACGCGGGGTGGGCGGTCCGCGCCGGCGAGCCGGAACGAAGCGGAGGAGGCCAAGCGCAAGATGCTCGCTAAGCAGGAGAAGAAGAAGGAGGAGCTTACAAATTTCTACCGGTTCCAGCTGCGCGAGCGCAAGAAGGAGGAACAGGCCGAGCTGCTGCGTCGGTTTGATGATGACCGAAAAAAGCTGGAGGCGATGCGGGTTAAGAGGGGGAAGTTTGTGCCGGAAGCATGAAGGCTATCTCGAGCAAGCGTATGGTTGATGTGATGCTTCGCGAAGGAAGAAAACTAGGGGATAGGATCTGGTTGCTTCAATGGGCATGGAGGTCGATGATACCAACCCCCTGGAAGAACAAACAGCAGAATTGATGGTCAGGAGTTGGTCACACAACACCGAGTTCGGTGAGTTAGTGTTGCTTCTTACCCCTCTCTCAGCCCCCTCCTCTCCGATCTTCACATTATGATGACGCACGCGGGGCCATCAGACCGTCCTCTTACCTGCTGGGCGGCCAATTCCTCCTGGTGACCAAGAGGCCCAAGGTGACAAAAACCGCGCTTTCCAATAATCTTCTCAAACTCTCTGATACAGTGTGGTTTCTTCTGTTGCGATGACATCGATTCAAAAGCAATAATCGAGGTTGAACAAGTGGGCTGACAAACGTGTTGCTTGTTTCGATAGGAAAAAATGACGTACCCGATGCCGTGTGTGGATGGTGTTACAGAGTGCGGCGGTTCGACACGAGGGTTGGTGATGACTGAGTAGTGTGATTGTCGTCCGGTAGACGATGTCACAGTTGGACGTTTTGTTGTCCTGTGATGAAGGCATCACGCGGAGTCGGGTGTCTTTTTGGGTGCTTAGCGCGGGTGTCCCCGGGACCGTTTTGAGGTTCGGATTTGGGTTTCCTCTTCAAATAGAAACAATCAATTTATTAACGGGGCCTCCACTGCGGCCCGAATGCTCGCCGCCCCATCCGCAGAAAAAACGAGCCAAGTCTGTGTGAACCGTCTTGCATTCCCGCGCCCGCGGGACCAATCCAAATCAAACTCTGGAATCTGAATACGGGATCCGTCCTTGAACGAGCGTGTGTTCACAAGGAAGGAGCTTGTTTGGGGTCGTCCCAGGGACGACGAAAATGGACGAAAACAGCTCGCGAACATGCTCAAAAAGGAACAAACGGCAAATAAATTGACGAATTGGGGGGTCATGTGTGGGGCTCCAAGCAGGGGTTGTTGAGGATTAGACCAGTGAGACCTCGACAAATCTTAGGCCCCAACCACTTTGCCAACGAACCAACGGGGAAGCTGATCCATGTCTGTTCCTTTTTGCGCTGCCAGGGCAACGCCCCGCCAAATAAACAGTTTATCCTGTCCAAAGCTGGCTCACAGGCGTCGCATTGAATGAACACCCGAGCTCTCGGTTGCACCACCAAGGACCCAGCAAGCAGCCACCCGCCCATTCCGGAATGGCATTCTGCATCTTCTGGAGCCGTTGAGCTTTTTTCCCTCCTTGTGCGCTTCCCCTTCCCGCGCTGATTGACCCGGGAAAACTCAAGGGTCCTCCTGCCGGGTTTTCTGTGTTCGCCCCCTGCATCATTCCATTGAACCTCTCTCCCAAAACAATCACGGGTCCGGGTTACAAACCAGCTTCACATTGAATTCGGTCCCGGTTTCTTCGCTGCTGGTTTGGCGTTGAGAAGAGATCTAAAGACGAAAGACACACAAACACGCAACGATCTGATGAAGACCAAGCGTCGGCCGCGATTATGATCGAGTCCGAAAACTTACGTACGGCGTCGCTGTACATCAACAATCAGCTGCTATCCCGCGGCCTACTGCGAGATGGTCATGGCATCGACTTTGCCCAACCGGGCGAGTCTGACGCCGAGGTGGCCGAGACCATGAGCCGGATCATGGCCGTAGTCAATGACCTGATTCTCCGGCGAGACGTGAGTTTTGACAATTTCCTTCCTTGATCATGCTTCACCGCCTGGGTTGTGACTGACTTTTTTGCTCCCCCGCCAGCGCGACGCCGAGCATCGCGAGTCTCTCTCCACAACCCTCCGTACGCTCCGCGCCGAGTCGCTCCGCCAGGCAAACGATATCCAGCGTCTGCAAGAGAAGTACGCCGACGCTCAGCGCAAAGTCGGCATCAGCGAGGCTGCGGAGGCGGCGCTGCGTACCAACCTGAAATCGTCCGAGGCGACCGTACACCGCCTCAAAGAAGAGGCCTCGCGGACCAAGACACTGGTAGCGCAAACGCGGGCATCCTGTGCGAACGAGGTCCGCAAGCGAGATCGTCAGATTGAAGGCCTCAAGAAGGCGGTGACGGAGGCCGGCCGCGCGAGGGGAGCCGGCAAGAGCGCCGGCGTAACATCAATCACCGTCGTGGGCGAGATTGGCTCCGAGGCCGAGGCGGATGCTTCGTCTGGCCACGCTGGGCGTGCGGAGTCCGGTTGTGACCTGCGGACGGAGACGAATGCCTTTTTAGCCGAGCTGGCCAAGGGCCTCAGCGAGGAGAACGAAGGGTTGCTACAACTCGTCCGGAGGACAACCGAGCAGCTTAAGGATATGAGCGGCTGGGACGCGGAAGCCAACGGCCATTTCTCATCGACCGAGACCGGCGACGGCCACGCGTTGGTCCTCGCTGCGCACCCGGCCGACATGTCCCTCGAGGTTGAGGCGGTCCTCGACCACCTGCGCACGATCCTTACCAACCCGTCGTTTGTGCCGATCGAGGAGGTCGTCGTACGCGAGGATGAAATCCACCGGCTGCGCGATGGCTGGGAGAAGATGGAGACGCGCTGGAAAGAAGCTGTCCACCTGATCGACGGCTGGCGGAAGCGTATGCAGGCGAGCGGCCGGCCGGTGAACGTTGAGGAGCTCAAGATGGGGCTACGGCTGAGCCCGGTGAAGGTGAAGAACGTGGAGGAAACGACGCATGGATATGCTCTTCGGCTAGCTGCCGTGCTGGAGGACGACAACGTCGACTTGTCGCAGGTACCATTCGACGAGGGCCCATTGGAACTGGTCCCCCATCCGGACGACGTGGAGGATGTCGACAGCGATGTGTCCAGCTTGTTCGAACACGAGGTTGATGTCGATGAGCTGGACGTCGAGGAACCCAACGTTGAGATTCTGCAACAGTCTGTGATGCTCTCTTCGCCCACGCCTGCGCCCCCTCAGGTCGCCCCCCTACAGGATTCCTTTACCGCGATGAACAGACGCGAGCGGCCACACAACCGGAGGCCACCAAAGGGATTCCCCACCATTGATGAGGAGAGAACTCGGGATATGGACTCTGAGGAGCCCCCATTACCGCCCCCTCATGCGGAAAACCTTCCACCGTCACCGAGTAAGCGGCCGATCCTGTCACTTCGTACGGTACCTCCAGAGGAGGCCGCGAACGTCGAACTTCCGCCGTCTGCCCATGTGTCAACGCCCGATGCGTCGGTCGGCAACAATCTTGCTAGCAAGCCGGTTGAGGAGCGGACGTCCAAGACTTCGGCCACGGCTGCGGCTGCGAGACCCACGAGGCGGACGGCCGCCGCTGCGGTTACCCGAACTAGAGAGACTACCAAGACAGTGGAACCCGCTAAGGCAGAGGGTGCTAAGCGGGATGCTGTGCGGAAGGGTGTCGCGAGGCGGGAGATGGCGAAGAAGAAGGAGGCCGAGGAAGCCAAGCCCGTATCAAAGACGGCCCCCGTTAAGGGCCGACCCCCTCGGCCGCCCGTTACGAGGGGACGCGCCGATACCCGGCCTGATGAAAAGGCCGTCCCGGCGAACCGAGCACCGCGAGCCAACTCTGCGGCGTCGGCGACTTCCGCTCGATCTGTTGCTACCAACAAGAGCACAATTGCCAGCAAGGCCTCGAATACCGACCATCCTCTTCCCCCACCACCACAGCCCGAAACGGCCGCACCGTCTCCGAGTGCTTCGCCAAGCCGTTCACCAAAGCGTGTCAACTCACGCCTTCCCCTGCCCCGTCCAGGCAGCAGCAACAGCAACAACAGCAATGGTGGCAGCAGCAGCAATAACATCAACAATCTTCTGCCCGCCCCGCAGCAATCCCCCCTTTCGATGGCCACGATTACTGCCAAACTGGCCGCCTCCGAACGCGATGCCGATGCCACCCGTGTACGGGCCAAGCTCAAGGCGGCACGGCTTGGCAAGGCGATCAATCTTCCCCCACCAGGCTCTAAGGCCGGTTCGATTAACAGTGTTGCGCCAACCGAGGCGGATGCCGAGGTTGAGCGTAACACGGGTCCTGGTGCGAGAAGCACACGTTCGGAAAGTGACAGCATGGCCGGGACGGCGTCCACTTCCGCGTCCACCTCGGATGGCAGGGCGCCGCCCAGTTCGACTACGACGAGGGAGGATATTGGGTTGGACGATGGCGAAGACGAAGTAGCAGCAGAAAGGGACGGCGAGGATGCGGACGAACTGGGATTTTCTCCTCCGCTGAAGCCGGCTACTCAGAAGCAGAAACAGAAACAGGAGGCCCCCACAAAGCCAGCAACTCAAAAACAACCACCATCACCGCAAAAGACGAGGACTCAAAAGCCCTTACCTAGGGACAAGGAGAAGGATCAACCCCAACTATCGTCGCGCCAGGAACAGCTCCAACAGCGTCGCGAACAGCGTGAACAGCGTGAGCAGCTCCGGGAACAACGCCAACAGCAGAAGAGGGAACGCCGGGAACCACAGGCCCAGGCTTCAGCACCGATATCAGCCGCACCGTCTCGGCCCCCATCTCAAACCCAGCGACAAGAGCAAATCCCAGCTCAGCCGCCACAGCCCACGTCGGTTGGCACGGCAGAAGCGGATGAGCAGTCGCAGCAGAAGCCGCCTGTACGAAAGAGGGAAAAGCGCACGAGCATGGTGGCCTCGCGCCGGCGGAGTACGCTACAGCCGTGGGAGCTAGATGCGTTGATCCAGGGTGGCAAAGAGGGCATTGTTGCGGAGAGGTGAAATGGGTATCTTGCGAATGTATGGTGATGGGGTGTTTTCTGTCTTGGTTCTGTCTCAAAGGTGATGATATGGGGTCTTGGTGTTTGAACCTTGCTTCTCGGGTTTCGTTCACATGAGATGAGGAATGGGGTGAATTGTGCCCAGGAAGGTGAATACACAGGGAGAAGGGAGAGTTGGATAAATTAAGTGAAGGAGAGGATGGGCACCATATAATGTTGGGAACGTACGAACGCGAGAATGAGGCGTGGGGAATTGTGATGGGAACGGGAGAGGAGGAAAGACGAGACGGAAGGACGAGAACGGTGGACGATTATATTTTCCCCACTGTATGGACGGACCACTGATGTGGGAAACCCCCCCCTTCCCCCCAGGGGATTGTCACGACTTACGATATTGCATTTGGCTTATTCCCCCTTTCCCCATTTTCCCTTTTCTTGTATTCACGATCCATGTTTCTCATCCTGTCCCTCAATTTGCTGTTTTTTGCTGCCCTTGTTTCTGCACTCATACCACAAACCGCATTGCTTGCTTGCTGGCTTACTTGCTTTCCCTGCTTTACTGCTGGTTTGGCTTAAAACTGCTTGCTTTTAACTGCTGCATACAACATCATACCCCTTTCACGCGCGCGCCATCACACACACATACACATATGCCTATATACACATCATTACGGACCCGGTGTTGTTGGAGTGGTGTTTTTATCATTGTATTGGTCCGTACTCGATTTAATTCTGCACCTTGGATCTGCACTTTGACACACACTTTTCTCCCTTTGACTTTGACTGCTTGCTCGTTCCGTTCCTGTCTGTTGTTGCGTCTTGTCTTGCTGCCATGCATGCATGCTCTTGCGTTTGTGGTGTTGTGCTGTTTTGCCTCACGTTCCTGTTGTATTCAGAGTTTACGGGCATGTGTTCTTGGTTCTGAGGATCGGTTGCTTCCCCGTCGCTTTGTCCATTGTCTCTAGTGTTAGGCGGGCGGGTTTGGCTATTGTTAAGGAAACGGCTTACAAAAGTTGCATTTTGCGTTCCTGGTTCTTCGATGCAAGCAGGTCCGGCTGGGGGGTAGGGGCGCGTTGCTTCTGGTATTTGGCGTGGGAAATTTGTGGTTAGATATTTTGTACTTGCTCGTTTAAGCCAGACGATAACTTAATGCGTAATTATCAGAAGATTTGTGCCTTTTTTTTTGTTACATGTAAAAGTTAGTAGAGCTATCTGATCGTGTGGTAGATCGAACCTTGATATATTGTGGGAAACATTTTTTTACACGACTAATTCTCGGGTTAACATAATTACCCTTACCACAAGCTCCTCGGCGAGACAGTTTCGTGGATTGGTGTTTTGGGTGCATCCTAACAAATTATAACATATTATTATGGATATTGCTTTTGGTGGGATATTTCTTGGAAGGCCTGCATCTCCTGGCATTTTAACAAATATATAGACGGTTCCCAATTTAGCAATTCCGAGTCTGTGTCCTGTTTTCCTATACCAGATCCTTCTCTGTGTTATCACGGCATCCTCACCAACTCAAAAACAGACGTCTTCCGGGTGAAAACATTGCAGACGGGACAGCAAGATTCACGGCTCAACAGAATAACTCTTATTGACTGACAAATCCCCAGGATATGTCCTTCCCTCTTCCACACTCGCCCTTAGTCCTCCCAGCAAAGGTACCTACACCTTAAACCGGAACCCCCCACCATTAATCGCCCCCTCCACCCACTCCCCAGCCTCCAACTTCTTATTCAACCGCACCAGCACCGCCCTCATCACCGTCGCCGTGCACACCGCAATGAACGCCGTGACGCAGTTGACAATCATGGCCGTGGTGTACTGCGGGTCCGCGCTGGCCGGGTACAGGTACGAGGCGTAGATGCTAGAGCAGTTGCTGACCGCGTTGATGAAGGCCAGTGCGGCGGCGCGTTTGGCGGGTGGGCGAGGCATGGTGTTGCTGATCCAGGCCAGCGCGACGACGAAACCCGAGTAGACAGAGGGGACCTGGTGAGGATGGGTATTAGCAACCGTCTGTTTTGAGAAACAGGAAGGAAAAGGGGGTAAAAGCTTACCATGAGCATCATACTCAAATACCTGGGGGCTACCTTCGTCGTCGTGGCCGCGATGATGTACGCGATCACGGCAACCCACATGGGGATGGTGATGTGCCAGTAGCGCTCGCCCGTCTTGTCGGCGTGGGTCGCGTTGAGGTAGGTGACGATGACGCCGAGCACGTAGGGGGGGGCGGTCAGCAGCAGCGAGATGACCTTGCTGTTCTTGGACCCGGCAAGAGCGCCCTCCTGGAGGGTGTTGACGACGGTCGGGAAGAAGTTGGTCACGGTCCCGCTGGCGACGATGCAGAAGAGCATGAGCATCTGGGAAAGGGGGGTATCGTCATGGTTAGCGCTGGGAGCGGATTATTGTTTCCTAGGTGTATCGAGGAGAGGGGAGGAGTTATAAGAGCAAGTAAGGACAAAACAAAACCCACCATAATGTACGTCTTGGTATCGATAAACGCCAGCTTGGCCCCCTCCCAGAACGTCTGCTCCTCACTGCCGACCCAATCGTCCTCGCCAATATCCTCCTGTAACCGCCAAATCGCCAATGTCCGCTCCTCATCCGTCAGCCACGTGGTCGTGCGCGGGAAGTTGGGTAGCACAAAGACACAGGCCATCGCGACGACAACGGTAGCAGCACCCTCGATAATGAACAGCCATTGCCATGCGCCGAGCCCGCGCGCGCCGTCCATGCCCCAGGTCACGCCGGCGGAGATGAAGCCGGAGAAGGCGCCCGAGATGAGCGCGCCCGAATAGAGGACGGCAGTGCGGAAGCCGAGCTCTTTGCGTGTGTACCAGCAGGAAAGGTAGTAGAGGCAGCCGGGACTGTAGAGTACCAAGTAACAGAAAATAGTCAGTGGCTTGTTTTCTTTTATTTAGCGGCGGGGGTGGAACGGGTATACTTACAAGTAGGCGGCTTCGACAATGCCGAGGAAGAAACGGTTGGCGAGAAGGCCCGCTGCGTTGGTGCACACAGCCGTGAGCGCGGAGATGATACCCCAGATAACCATCTTTTTGCTGTTAGCTGGCCGAGGTGAGGTAGTTTGAGGCGTATTCCAATGCGACTTACACATCCGGGCAAGTAAAGAGCCGGCTTGCCGAATTTGTTGAGAAACAAGTTGGATGGAATCTGCATCAGCAGGTAACTATCATCCTCGTCAACACCCCCCCATTCTGACATCCTAGGTGGTCTCTGTCATAATGCCACTCACCCCACAAACAAAATGCTGACCGACGTCTGAAATTCGGTATCCGTTAGGTTCAGATCTTTTGTCAGCCCCGCCAGCCTTGCTGCTGCGATATTGTTCCGGTCGATATAGTTCATGATGTACATGATGATGATAGCCGGCAGCAGGCGCAAGTCAATCTTGCGCTTGAGTTGCTTTTCGAGCTCGAGCCGCTGCTCAGACGTCATGTTCCGGATCAACTCCGGCGGCTGCATCCGTGGCACGGGTGGGTGTTCGACGTTGGCCTCGAGAGCCTTCTCGTCGGCGAGCTCATCGCTGCGCTTGGGGGCGCCGGTCGAGTCCGCCATGGTGGATGAATGCCTTGCTGTGGCCCAAGTAGCAGGGAAGGGGAGATGTTTTGCACAAAGGGAGAGAAGAGAAGGCGGGACGTGGAAATAAAGTAAAAGTGGGAGGGTGGTAGGTAATATCGGGCAACCTAACCTCGGACGGCTGCACCCGAGTTGGCGGTACAACAGGAGATCTTTCTCCGTTCTCTCCTCGTCCGTCCAAAGAGAATATAAAGCAGAGCAAGGGAAGAGCAAGGTAGAGCGGGATCAGTGGCAGCGGAAGCAGAGCGGGGGACCCGGTGCAACACTAGGGCATAGATACTCATATACCCCAGCTTCAACATCCAGTGGGGAAAGTTCCCAGTGTTCACGTTTCGCCCGCGCAGCAAAAGGACTTGATCTGGTTTGCCAACATCGATTCCACACTGTCACACACACAGACACACACACATATCTTCACACCCCTGTACGTCATTCAACTCGTGGCCCAACGAAGCAAGCGAGCAACCCGAGCCGGAGCGCGTGGCATGCAAGGCATGGGAGGATGGCAGGCGAGTGAGACGCGTTGCCGGAGTCCGTTCCCGAGTGTTGCTGCAGACCGGGGTTAAGTCAGGGAGGATGGGAATCTTTTGAACCTTGTAGGCTGTAACCCTGCTTCGGTCTTTTCGAAGCGGTGGATTCGCCGTTGATGAACGGACTTGGAAGACAGCACGGCATTCCCTTCTTGGGCTAAGTGCCCTAGCCATGATGAACGGGATACCTGAATCGGATACCATAAGCTATTCGTAGAAGGAGGAATGGAGAGCCGAGAAACTATTCTAGGCCGGCCAGCCACTCCGCCGTCGAGTCCGCCAACCTGGATTCTTCACGTTTGCGGATGGAGATAGGGACAGAGAGAAGGATGAACCTGGGGAAACGAAACCTGGGGAGATGGGGTCAAACTGGGGAAGAGCTCCAGACTTGCAAGCCTTGAACGGTGATTGGCTCTTTCCCTGTCAGGAACGGCCTGTGATTGGGCCGGTTGATGGCTGATGCGACCGGTTGAGAGCCCGGGTGAAATGAACCCGGCACAGTGCTGCGAACCTGGATTTTCCAAGATCCTGTCAACAATAAGCTTTCCCAGTAAAGAGGGTCTCCGTGAGGGGAAAGCTTTATCTCCCGAGTCGGCTTCTGCGGGGTGTTGCAGCGGCAATGGTAGTTGGAGATGCAGTGACGGTGAATAAATTACTATACTATGTAGTAAAAAACGTGGCAGTGGAAAGAAGTAGAAAAAGAACTTCGTGGACCTCAAACCTGGAGAAGAGAAAAGAAAAAGCCAAGCTTCAAGATGATAAGGCCGGTTAAGAGCCTCAATGCACAATACAGACACTAAGGTAGCTGAGCTTCCATTGCCCATCAACCGTCCAACGCAGCCGACTGGTTGATTGCCAGCTCGGGATGGTTGCCAGCGAAAGGGCCGAATGAAAGGCCGAAAGCATGGTCAATAATGGTCGGGACCGAGAATGGGGACAACCGGGCCGTGGGGCGGCAAGGGCGGCACTGGGGCCGGCTTTCTCTCTTTTTCCCTTCTCCATATGGGGTTGACACGCGATGAGGAGAAAAGATGGGGTTCTTGCAGATGCCAGGTCACCACTTCGTTGGGCAGACACCAGTTCCTCGGCTCCAACGTTACGATCTCGTGTTGGTGGGAGTTTATGCGAGAAACGCGTCCTTCACAGCGTGAATGTACATACACCACATAGTAAGCAAATTCTGAAAGCAAATGTTGCTCCGTTTGCCAAGCCCGCTCCGGTCGTCCTCACCTTTGAATCATCCACGTGCGCTTGCTCCGAGTGCTGCGAGATCTCGTGTAGGGTTGGATTTGTTCCAGATTGTATCACCGGTTTGACATCCATCCATCCGTGGAATTGGAGATGACTGGGGTCTCTCCCCACATGGAGACATGGAACAATGGCCGATCCGTTGTTTCCGCAGAAACAATCTACATTTGGGGTATTCCGAGGATAATCGTACCTGATTCTCAACGGTGAGGGCGGAAGCCTTCCGTTTTTCATGGGGACACAGTGGTGTATTTTCCGTTGAGGTAGACATGGAGAGTTACGCTGCGCCATGTGGTGTCGTTCATGTTCGGGTTTTGACTGTTGATTATTTGGGGATAATGACGGTTGCCCTCCTAAAGTTCATTGATTAAAATTTGTTTACCGGTCGTTCCCAAAACCCGAAAGTTATCTCTCCATCAACCCAATTCGACCATACAAAAAATATAGTACTCCGTAATCGACACAGGTATGCCCGCTGGCCGCCGTGCATGGTCAACCGTCCGGCATCCGGCTGGTTGCCATATCCAAGCCCCGGATATTCATACACGTCATGCATAGTACGCATACATTAACTGCCATTAAACCCTTCTCCTTTCCGCTCTTCTTTCCCTGCCGCATTCATCCACCCCACGGTCATTAAACATGAATCCTCATCCCCGTCATCATCCTCCATAAAGAAGCCCCCATCAGTGGGTGACCGTCCTTACCGCCTGAAGAATCACTCCAAACACCACCCCCCTCGCAACTTCCTCAATCTGGAGACAGTCAAACAGCCTTCCCAGCGCCTCCGACGTCGCCGCCTGGCCCATGACACTCGTCAGCGCAGCCGGCACACCGCTCTCAATCAACAGCTTCCGCGCCTTGACCCTCAATTTTTCCTTCTCCTCGTCCGTCAGCTCGGCCGGCCACGCGGCCCGTTCCGCCTCGGTGGGCAGCACGCCCTCGCGGAGCTTTCTGAGGTGCGACGCGAGCCCGGCGTCGGAAGCGTGCGCGTCGAGAACGGAGGTTTGCATGAGGGATTGGATGGAGAGCAGGGATGGATTGCCGGGGCGGAGGAGGAAGGACTTGGCGGCTGCGAGCAGGGTGCGGCGGATGTTCCAGGCCGAGGATAGGGTGTAGAGCTCATTGATGACGGCGAAGAGGAGCTCGACGGCCACGCGGGTTTCTTGCTCGGAGAGCTTGGTGTGCTGTTTGACGCCCTGCAGAGGCGGGCCGTTAAGGCGCTGATGGGGGTCGAGCGGGCCGGTCGTTGGGGTGGTGATGGTGTTGGGATGTTGGAAGGTATCTTGTGGGCGGAAGGTTGTCGGTAGCCCGTTGGACGGACTTACCGGTGTCTCGTAATCGTCTGGGATGAGGTCCGGCGGAGGAGGGAGCCGGAAGCCCTCGAAAGAGAGGCTAGACGGGGATCGATTTGTTGGTGGTCGGCTTGGGGCTCGACTCGCTGGGCGGCTGGCCGGCCGACTGGATGTTCGGCTCATCTCCCGGCTGTTGCGCGCCGAAGCTAGGGATATCGACTTGCGAGGGTTATCCGGCTCCGCTTCCCCTTGCGAGTTGTAACTCGGCCGGCGATCCATCGACGGCATCTTACCGGGCTGTCGCGCGATGACCGACGAGCGCTGGCTATCCAGGCTATCGCGGGCCCGGCGCATCCCACTCAACGAAGCGCTGCTGTCCACGCGGGGAAGTGTCGATATCGATAAGCGACTAGCTGCCGTGACATCTTGCAGCGCCGAGGCCGGTGGTGAAGGCGTGGGCGGTGCTGGTTTGCGCTGCCCGATGCCGATGTTCCCAAGGACCCCCGTTACGCCGCCCACTACCGCTTTCGACCCCTCTAGAGGCGCACTCGTCAAGACATCGAGCATGTTCTTGCCCAGCTTCTCAAACGCCTGGAAGCCCGTTTTGGGCGCGTTGGGGAGGTGGCCGTTGTCCCGCTCCAAGAACTTCTTCAGGCCCTCGCTGTCGGCCAGACTCTGGTGCCCGCATGCTTCGGCCAGGTATCGTTCGAGCTCGCTGCGCAGCGACGTCCGGGTATGCCCCTTCCAAGACGGCAACGTGCTGTGTCTCTCTGTAAACGCGGTCGCGCCAGAGATGGTCGCAATCCGCCGTAGTACTTCATGGAGGATCTCGAAGTCGCTGTACTTGCGAATAATCATCCACCCAGGATAGACGGTCGTGGCCGGCTCGATCTGGACTAGGTAGTCCCATACGGGCTTCGTGCGGATCCGGCCATCACCTGGCTCGTCCAGGACGGTAATCGTGGCATTGTGTAAGGTCAATGGGGGTGTTTTGTGAGCATTGCTAGCCTCCCCATCGACTTCCTCTTGGCCTGGGGGTACGATTTGGTCGAAGCTGGTGAACCGAGATCCTTCGGTCACGGGGGGTGATGACCCTTGACTCGACGAGGGCGTCGCGCCCGAGTAAGGGGTAGCGGGGGTGTGGACGACATCGTTTGCGCCGGACGATTCGCTGCTGGTTCTCTTCGGGCCGCTGGAGGTGTCGAGCCGCTGAGGCAGACTGGGCTTCTGGGCACCTCGGTTCTGAATGTTCGATTGGTCGATGGTGCGGCTAGGGGCGTCGGTCGGTCTCCTAGATGCCTCTGCGGGGCTCTTGTGGACCGATGCAGCTTCCCGTAGTCCCTGTTGCTCACTGTGCGCGCTCTCTTTCGCAATCATTTCATTCAAGCGCTTCATCTCTTCCATAGCGAGCTCCATCTCCTCTTCGGCTTTGCTCAACTTCTTCTTATGTGCCGTGGAATCCTTCCTCCGTGCTCTGTCACTGTCGAGCGAGCTACGACCCCCCCTGGCTAACCCAATGTTGCCCACATTGCCGTCTAGATCAGCGAAAGCTGCGTCCGTGCCGGGTCCCGTCTGCATACCGACATCAATAGCCTGGCTGAGATCGGGCTCTCCGGACTCCAGCAGATAGACAATCCACGTGTTGATCCATTCGGCTTTCGAACATGACTGGAGTGTTGATTCCAATGCCACGCCCGCGAGCATCTCCCGCAAAAAGACGCGGGCAGGTTCGCAGTCATAGCTAGACCGGTCTAGGAAACCTAACAGGTCGTCGGCCGCCAGACGGAGTTTGTGGGCTTGTTGCTTCTGGTTTAGGAGGGTTGAGAGGTTCGACTCGGGGTGGGAGGCAAGGTAATTGTAGACGGTATCGGCAGCGGACACTTGAGCATCAGGTGGGACCTCGGCAAACGCACTTGAGAGCTCGGACATGAACACCACAAGAATCGACGATGAGTTCGTCAAGAAATCGAGAAAGGCATCGGCGGGGCGTTTGCGGCTCAGCCGGTTGGACACCGACACCATGAAGCCCGTCAGCGTTTTGCGGACCGCCAGTGGGAAGAACTTGTCGGCCGGCACGATCGGCGTGTACCACCACTTAATGTAGTTGTCGACAACGGCGTCGAGCAGCTCGGTCATGGCCCCGCGCGTTTCGGGCCGCAGGTCTTCCAATGAGCGCACCAGCGCGGTCTCGGCCTCCTCCTCGGCTGCCAGCTCTTTCGCGAAGGCCGCCTCGGAGCCTTTGCTCGCGGCCAAGACCCGCGCCAGCAGGTCAATCCCCCGCTCACCCTTGACAGCGCGGACTACTTCATCGTTGCGCTGTTCCCATTGTATGAAGGTCACGATCCCGCCGAACGCCCCGATCAAAACGAGGCCCAACCGCCCGAGCACGAGGTATGTCGTTGCAGCAAGGCCCACGGCCACACCGCCAAGCGTGCCAGGCGTTGCCGTCGCCAAAAAGCTGAACACTTTTGTTGTGAGGTTTTCCCCGATCCCCTCACTTGTTGTACTCTGACTCTGGCCCTGGCCCGGCGTCGAAGGCCGGGTCGGCGGTGTTGAGTGTGATTCTGTTTTGGTTTTCACGCCATCTTTTTCATCCATTGTCTCGGGTATGGCGGCCCGGGTCGGTGCATTGTTTGGGTTCATATAGGCGCGGTGGCGTTTTGGGAAATCATTGATTCGTGATTCGCTTTGGTCGAGTGCCGTCGTCGGCTGGTCGTGGGGGATGTCGCAAAAGAAAGGGCAACGAGGAGAAGAAAGAAGGGTGTTTCGCAATGGTGTTGGACAAGGGGCTTGGCAGGAAACAATGCAATCTTACGGCGCTGCAGACATTGGACGAACGGATTAAGTCAATGGTAGCGCAAAAAGCCCCTAAGGGGATGATGTGAAATGACGAAGAAAATAAATAAAAGACAAAAGGGCGGGATGGATTCGATTGCACAAGCGAACCTCCCTCCTTGTTGCTGATGCAGTGTTTTTTTCAAGCTCTTGTTGCTCCTGGGATCCTGGGAGGATTTCATTTTCAGGGGCCTCGATCCCCAACACTTTGCGCTCCAGACTCAGACGGCGGCTGACTTGGCGCAGACCCAGACCTGTCGCGTGTCCCCACTGCAGGGCCCGAGCCGCAGCGTCCATGCCATTTGGTTTTGATTGGGCTGATACAAAGTGGGGCGGCGTGGGAGTGCGTTGCCCTTCGCGTGAAAATTGTGGGGGTTAATTCCTTCTGGACCCTGGTGCACGTGCAAACGCGTGCTGTGGGCGCTGTCGACGTCACCGCTAAAGCGCGTCCCTTGTCTGCGCTAGAGGAATTCGCGGGGAACAAAGAACGAAGAAAAAGAAATATACATCCTATGTTGGGCTAAGTATAGCGCACATATTTGGCCGGCGATATAAACTTCACCCCCAACCTAACAATAACGATTACTCCAAACGAGTCGATCACCCACCAAATTATTCAAGATGCCGTACACGAAGAAACGCCAACATGTCGCGTCCGACAGCGATGCCGAACAGCCGCTGCCGCAAACCGCTAAACGTTCTAAGAATGAGAAGAAGGTGAAAAAGGAACTTAGCCAGGGTACCGATGGCGATGGAAATCCGTACTGGGAGGTAGGTTAAGACAATTTCTACCCCGCCATTTCGATCAATCCACTGACCAGGCCACTCTCACAGATTGGCAACACCCGTCGCATCAGCACCGCCCAGTTCAAGGGCATGTCGTTGATCAATATCCGCGAGTACTATACCACCCCCGACGGCGAGGTGCGGCCGGGCAAGAAGGTTTGTCGGCCTCCCTCTCCCTGTTCGCCCCCAGCTAGGAGGGTTGCCTGAGTAGTCACCAACTAACTCTACTTCTCCTTATGTAGGGCATTTCCCTCACCCTCGACCAGTACAGCGCACTGCTCAAAGCAATCCCGGAAGTCAACGAGAAGCTCCGTGCGGACGGTCACGAATTGGGTGATGCGCCTGCTGGGGCAGAGACGGACGCGAGCGACGCGACGGCGGTGAAGACGGAGAAGTCGGCCAAGACAAAGCCACAGAAGGCGAATATTGAGGCGACCAGCGACGAAGAGGAGTGACGGGAGGGGGAACTATTTCGTATGAGCTGGCTTTTCCTTCAACGTTCCTTTAACTTCGTTTTTTTTGGTTTTTGAATTGCTCTTTTCGTGAATTGCTCTTTTCGGGGATCTTGCCGTTGGCTTTGGGGCGTTGGCTAGGGCGCTTGATGGGAACGTGGGTGGGGGTAATCTGGGTTTAGGTGAAGAGGAGATAAACAGGCGATGGATGCCTATTTGCAACGCGCTTCGCTGTCGCGGCGAGGGCATTGATGCTGATACCCCTGAATTTTGTGGTGTCGTTATCTAGAGGGATAGTATAGCGAACGATCTTGCGGTGTCGGGACTACTAAAGGGTTATAACACAGGAGTGTACATGTTATTGACCGATAATGTACAGGGTCCGGGGATAGTTGGGGTCCGGAGAGGGGTCTATAATACACAATGACAAATTGTTGCCCTTCGTTGAGGCTGTCATCCTACGACTTACTTTCCTCCTCGCGTAGCCTAGCTATCAACTTCTCTTGTAGAAACGGGCTTAACCCAAGACTGCGAAATGATGTTGTTAGCAGATGATATCGATCAAGGACTAGCTAGTGGTCTACTCACATTCCCTCGTTCGTAACAACCCGGTAGGTACCGCTCGACTGGTAGTTGCCAATAATCTCCCCCTTGCCGTCAACCTCCACACTTCCGAGAATGTCCTCCGGCCTAGCATTTGTCAGTAAGCCAAGGTGAACCTTGCGGAGCACTGAACTTCCGAGCTTCGGTTCAGACTTACCAAGCAATCCTCCCAAAATCCGGCGGATTCCTCGTATCACTCAAATGTACCCATCCGCCGACGCCAGCTCCTCCCGCACCACCTTCGGCACTCGCACCCCCCGGCCCAGTCCCCGTCCCCCGTTGAGTGCGTGCTTGCACAAAGTTTAGCCCACCCGGCGAGGCAAACGCCTGCGCCTGGCTCTTCAAGCTCGGGTCCTCGGCCGCATGCTGGGCAAGAACTTCGTCTAGGATGGAGAGAAAGTGTGTGTTGCTCTGAAAAGAGTTGGGTGTTGGTGGGAGCGTTGTGGTGGTACCGATGGCGAGGGCGGGGTTCGGAGGCGTGGTGGGCAGTAGGGAGAGGAGGTGCACGTTCGGGTTGAGGGGGTCTTGGAAGACTTTCTGGGAGTGGAACAGCCGTTAGCTCGGTACTTTGTCAAAAAACGGCGATTGGGGGCGGGGTGGAAGGTGGGTGAGGAGTACTGACGATACTGGGATTGGAGGATAATGTCGAGAGTGAGCGGGTAACGCCGCGCAATCGCGATGGTTTCAACAGCCGGGCGGCCAACATCTTGTCTACCTGAGCTTGGTGGACGGTCTGCTCATGCGGTTTCGAGGGCGTTCTTGTTCAGTGCGGTCATTGAATTTCTCTGGGGAACTCAAATCGGGACCCACTTGCCCACAGCTCACACCCCTGTCGTTCTACCTTGCCCCTGTTACCCCCACCAAACGCGGTCCGACGCGTTACCTCTGCCAAGCCCATTAACGCGGTCTTGAAAGAAGTCGAAGCAACCGTCTCAAGGACAAATTCACCCAACTCGACAGCCGAAATTGACCTCCGAATCCCGAAACACCACAAAATCCCGACGCAAACGGGTCAACCGCCAATATGATGGCCATACAGAGTCCGAAGAAAACCCCGCGAAAGAATGCGGCAAAAAGCCCCGAAAAAAAGAAGGCCAAACCACCCCCACCGCCGTTCTTTGCCCCACGAAACCTGGCGTCCTCGAATGTTATCCCATCATCCTCGCCGGCATTCGCGACACCAGCACACCCGCTACGACCGTTCCAAGTGCCAGCACCCGCGAAAGCTGCCGTTCTTCCCATTCTTCTCCCGCCCGCGACACTTCGGCCCCTCGCTTTCCGCACCTTCACCAAGAAACATAGTCTCACACTCACATCCTCAGCGCTGCAAGAGCTCGCAACATTTATCGGGAGACATTGTGGGTCAGGATGGAGAGAGGAGGGGCTCGCAGAGAAGGTGCTGGAAGAGGTCGCGCGGACTTGGAAGAACCGTAATGGCGGAGTCATTGTGGAGGGGACCAGTCCCGAGCTGAAAGACATTCTAAAGACGCTAGAGGGGAACATGAGTGGTGGCAAGATCATGACAGGGCCCAGGGGCCTCAGCAGGCAGAATAGCTTGATGCTTGAGCCGAATGAGGATCCGGAGCACTCCAAGACCCGGCTGGGGCTCAGACCTGCGACGACACTCACGCGGGAGGATAGCCAGGCAAGCTTTGGTATGTCGGGTGTGGGATTCGAAGAGGACCCGGAGGAGGAAGAGTTGCAGGATATTAGGAAGTGGATGAAGGTTATCGGGGCTTTTGATCAGCCACGATATACCTATAATGTCACAAAAAAGCATTTTGAGAAGTAGGTCACTCCGTTTCCGGCTGAGGACGTTGGAGAGGTAGGTATGCTGACTATTTCGACAGGATTGCGTCCAAACCCTCACTTCTTCCACCGGCCTCCCACAAAACAGAAGCCTTTCGCAACAGGTTCAATGTTGTACATCAACGACTGCTTCGTAACGAGGCCTTCCAAACATCGGCCGTAACAAGCTCCCGCACCTCTGCCCTCCGTCGAGGTGCGTCCGCCACGATGCAGTCACACAAGATCACACCCGTTGCAAACCTGTTGGGCCGCCATGGCACGAACCACATGCTACTGGGGATGCTGGTCGTCTTGCCGACGGGAAGTCTTGCTATCAGCGACTTGACCGGCACGATCACGCTTGACCTGTCGCATGCCGTGGCTCTTCCCGATGACTCGGCCTGGTTTACGCCAGGAATGATTGTTTTGATTGACGGTGTCTACGAAGAAGAAGAAGAGTCGATCGGGAAAGGGTTAAGCGGTAGCAGCGGCGTAGGAGGCACCATTGGTGGTCGGTTCCAGGGGTTTTTCATCGGCCAACCACCTTGCGAGACACGACGCGTAACAGTGGGTGTGAGCGGGTTGGAGGGCGGTGCGGACCACACAGTCGGCGGCGGTTTTGGTTGGATAGACTTCCTCGGCGTGGGTAGTGAGCGGGCGGTGGGGTCCCGTATGCGTAAGATCGAACAACGTCTTTTACGACAACCAGCCCTCGCAGACCCGGATATCCCCGGGCGGGGCCGGGTGGTGATTGTGGGCGAGCTGAATCTCGACCAGCCACGCAGCTTGCAAGCACTCAAGAAGATATTGTCCCTGTATGCCACGGACCCCGAGGGTTCTACGCCGATGACGTTCGTGCTGGCTGGCAACTTCACAACCCACGCCGTCATGGCGCGTGGGGGAAGTGGAGGAAGCATCGAGTACAAGGAGTTCTTTGACGCATTAGCGTCTACTCTTGCTGACTTTCCCATGCTACTCACCACAGCGACGTTTATTTTCGTCCCAGGCGATAATGATGGGTGGGTGTCAGCCTTCTCTGGGGGTGCTGCTGTGCCATTACCCCGGAAATCCATTCCAGATCTTTTCACCTCTCGAATCAAGAGGGTTTTTGCGGCCGCAAACGCCGAGGCAGGATTATCTCCAGCCGAGGGGCAAGGGGGTGAGGCTGTGTGGACTACGAACCCCAGCCGCATGTCCCTTTTCGGGCCCAACCATGAGATTGTCTTCTTCCGTGACGACATCTCAGCCCGTCTGCGCCGCTCTTCCGTTCGTCTCAAGAGCAAAACCGCCACAATCACGGCCGATGATGACCCTCGCCAGCCACAAACCCAGTCGGAAGACATCACTATGTCCGGGGCGAACAACAACCCAGCCCCGTCTTCCCCATTAGCTCCCGGTCTTGAAGCAATGGACCTTGACGGCGCAGACCAACAACAACCTCCTCCACCAAACGCCCAGGACGAAACAATCCCCTACGATGTCCTCACAGCCCGCAAACTCGTCAAAACCATCCTTGACCAAGGCTACCTTGCCCCCTTCCGGCAAGCCTTACGCCCTGTCCACTGGGATTATACCTCAGCACTCTACATCTACCCACTGCCAACAGCGTTGGTACTAGTCGATACGACGGCACCCGCATTCTGTGTCACGTATGAGGGCTGTCATGTAATGAATCCGAGCAGTGTACTTGTCGCGGGTAGGAGGGGAGTTGCTAGGTGGGTAGAGTATGCCGTGGGTGTAGGGAAAGGGGGGAGGGTGAGGGAATGTACATTTTAAGAATGTACCTCCTGGATTGGGCTTTGGGATCTGGCTGTGTAAGGGGATTTTGGTTACGTTTTCGGCATATTTGTTGGCTTGAGCAAAGGGGGCATTGACTTGGGGCCGGTTTCGTCCCCGGACATCCAATAACATACTTTTTGCTGATAGGTATGTTGGGGCGAATGTGGTCGGGCGAGGTTATAATACCTTAGCGGGCTCATAGCGTTGCATACGAGAACTAGGGAAAAGCCTCCGGCGGAATTTTATTTTTATGATAGCCCCCACAGTTGCGGTCCATTTCGCCCATCGATATTCGCCTCGGTACGGATAGTCGTTATCGGTTCCCGCAACCACGAGTGCTAACTATCCGACGTCATCCTTCGATGCATCGTATGAGTTCCGTCACAGAACTAGAACGGTTTCGCCGCGTTTCGATGCATTCTTCCCCGCTGACCGTTCGCAAGATTTTGGCTTGAACTAGGAGGCCTACTTTTACTCGTCAATGGATGTGGCTAAATAAAAGCCGGTGATCGTACGGCGGTCATAGGTATGTTTCACCTCGTCGTCGTCATTGGCCACTACCTTAGGTTACATTTTTGACTATTCTTAGGTTATAATAAGAGCTACTTTCCTTCCGGATTTCCATCTCGCGATATCTACTTATCTTCCGCACGGCTGTTGCGGGGCCGGGAGCTGCGGCCCAGGACGCGTATACCTGCACTGACCCTTCTCCGTGCCCTAGAAACACCGAAAGGAGTCAAATTAGAGGCCCAGGACCTCAACTCCACGCGTGGCGCTCCTCAAGTCACCCAGGTTTAACCGTAGTGCGTTTCTTGCCTGCTTCCTTTCCTGATCACCCTCGGTCGTACGCTTCCCCTTGTGGTTGTCGAGCTCCATGCTCCAGGGACACACGGCAGTGTAGTAAGAAGATATCTAGACTCAGGTCGCCCACATTATGTTCACGTTTCCGAGGACTAGCGAATTACCTGGCCCGAGAAAATTATTCCTCGAGTCCCACCCGTTTCTTTAAGCTGGTCTCGTATTGCTCTGGCCCGACGCTTGGGAATTTCCCGTTTGATCAGAGTCCTAACATGTGCCGACGCCAAAGCCCACACGGCGATGGCTGCGGCCCAAGCGTGAGGACACTAGCTCCCTGAGCCACCCCCGCCTAGATATGTTGGAGACATATTTGAAGCAAGATAGAGAACCATGCTGCTGTCGTTCCGCAGTGTTGCTCTCCCGATCTAGCATCCCCGCGCGGACTTCGTTCTCGTTTCCCTTTCCCTGTTTCACAATACATCGTCGCTCGTTTGTTATAGGATCCTATTCTTACACCACTCCGAAAGCCAGCCATGATGGTGTCACTCAGCGTACTTTCGCTTGAATGCGTGGTCCTGGCCGCGGTAGCCAGGGCGGCTACTGTGACCTACAATTGGAACGTGACGTGGGTATGGGCCAGCCCGGATGGCTTCTCAAGGCCCGTCATTGGCATCAACGACAAATGGCCATGTCCATCAATAGATGCCACAGCGGGTGACACGGTAGTGGTCAACCTACAGAACAAGCTCGTGAACCAGACGACGGGGCTGCACTTCCACGGCATTAACCAACTGCAGACAGCCGACATGGACGGGCCGAGTGGTGTAACCCAGTGCTCTGTACCGCCGGACTCGACGGTCAAGTACCAGTTTACTGTGGACACCCCGGGAACGTACTGGTGTACGTTCAGCTAGTATTTTCTCTAGTGCTAGTAGTTCAAAGTTAACCCTGGTTGGTATAGATCACTCTCACAATATGGGACAATATCCCGACGGGCTGCGAGGTCCGCTGATTGTGCAAGACCCAAACGACCCGTATAAGGGGAAGTACGATGAGGAACATATCTTGTCGATGTCGGATTGGTAAATATAGTCCGCCGCGGATGAGAGAGCGATAATGCTGACATCATGCAGGTATCACAACGACAGTCTCACCTCTGTCCGGAACATGCTCACGCCCTCCAACACTCAGTTCAAACCTCCGATCCCCGATAACCTCACCGTCAATGAGGGGCAGGGGTTGAAGATCGACTTTGCTAAGGGCAAGACGTACCGTATTCGGATGATTAACTATGCCGCCTTCGCTGCGGCCATGGTTCACTTTGACTTTCACACCATGAACGTGATTATGAACGATGGGGCGTACATCAAGAAAGAGGACGCCTACCATGTTCGGCTTGCCCCCGCTCAACGGTATGATGTCCTCATCTCGGCCTCTGACAACGACACCGGCAATTACCCGTTTCTCGTCGCACTTGACCTCAACCGGGACTGGACCAATCACACTGAACCGATGATCTGGCCACACAATTATACAGGTCACCTCGTCATGGACTCCTCGAAACCTCTCGGGAAGGCCGAGGTCGTCAAGCAATGGAACCCCGTCGACGACGCTGACTTCAAGCCCAACGATGACCTGGCTGCATACGGCTCCTATGACAAGCTGATGAAGCTCGATTTCAAGTTTTGCATGGATCAAAACGGCTACCCACGATCCTGCTTCAACAACTTGACGTACATCAACCAACAAGTACCCACTCTCTACAGCGCTGCCACCACGGGCGACTCCAACACCAACCCAGTCGTCTACGGCCAGGTCAACCCGTTCATCGTCGACTACGACAACACCGTCCAAATCGTAGTCAACAACATCGACAACGCCTCCCACCCTTTCCACCTCCACGGCCACCACTTCCAAGTCCTCTATCGCGCGCCCAGTAGCGCAGGCCTCTGGCCGGGCCGCGACGAGAACTACACCGCCGTGCCGCCGATGCGCGACACCGTCGCCGTCATGCCGCACTCGTACGCCGTCCTGCGCTTCCGCGCCAACAACCCGGGCGTCTGGCTGTTCCACTGCCACATCGAGTGGCACGTCGAAATGGGCCTGACGGCGACGGTGATCGAGGCACCGGACCGGCTACGGAACCTGACGTTTCCTGATGATCATATCGATGCTTGTAAGAAGACGGGCACGCCGTATCAGGGGAATGCGGCGGGTAATACTCAGAATGTGACCGATACCACCGGGTATGTGACCGTCCCGCCGACTACGTACAATGGGTATGTTCTTTCCTCTATCCCAGTCCAGATGGTTATACCCCCTTGCCCCCCAACCCCGACCCTCGCGGCCTTTTCTTCTCTTGGGTGATTTAAAACTTGGTATTCCCAAGCCGAGAAGATGGCTAATTCGGGTATTTAGTGCAACATACATCGCTGCGACGAAAAAATCCAAGACAAAACGCCGGTTTGTTCGGGCGGTCGTTGCGGCGGCCGTTAAGAGAGCAGCGAGAGTTTCCTGGAGAAGTGTGAAGTTCAAGTGGCTGAAAGAATGACAGAAGTGTTGAGTATCTCAGAAGGCGGATACTGCTGTTTGCACTACACGTCCGAGGGGAAGGGCGGGTAACTACATAATAAGTGTCGTCATAAATTATGCATTTATTCTTCTGTATTTTTGTCGATTATTTAAGAGACTGGGGGTTAATTACTTGAGGAGACTCGTCCATCCTATACGCTGCACAAGCATGGAAGATAGAAAAGAAAGACAAAGGGAACAAAATGCAGGCGGGACTTCGAGTGTCCACCCGCAGAACCTGCAGGTACACAACCAATATAGACAAGACATTCTCGCTTCCACAACTCTTTATTCACCATGACATAATACATTGACTTGTCAGTCTCAAACATAACCCCTACGCCCTTTGGATGCCAAAAAACATCACACGTGGGCTTGCACGAGGCCCCGTATTCCGAGCCTCAAACGCAGCTCCGTCGGGGATAGAAGACAGAACCCGAGCAAGTAAAAATAGTTCTAACTGCTCAAGCCGCCCTCTGCTTCTTTCCTGAGACCATGCCCGGACTGTCAGTCGCACGAGGGCGGACGGAGTTATCTTGCAGCAATGCGGTGACACGACTGGTGGAGGATACGCCGCAGTTTGTCCGGTGAGGAGATTCACGCGAGGATGGCCATGTGGATTTTGCCGGCTGGGAATCATCATGCTGCATTCACCTCAACTGTTGGAAGATATCATGGTGATCGATGACGCTTTCTGGAACAGTTTGATCATAGCACTGTGAAATCCCGATTCACCGATTCATAAGTATACTTTGGAACAGGATTCTGAGTAAGGTACCTACAACGCGTGTATTACGTAGGTAGGTAAATAGCAGCGGCCATGGTGCTTGCTTGGAAGATACGGGACCTCCATTCGCGGGGGCTAGGGACTTCAGAAACAACGCCTCTTAATAACAAAATAGACGCAAAATGACTGGCCACTCTATGTTTTTGCCCTCATAAAATTGTTACACTTGAGTCGAAATCGGATAAGTACCAGTTGACGGTGACTTCTCGGGGAAAATGAACTGGCACCCAAGGGCATTTTACTCATCAGGTTGGTTATTACCTAGTTGTCCCGAACTAGGTACCTTGGTGTCAGCCCGAGCACTGATTTATGATAACCCAGTGAGCATCGTTAGATAACCAATATCCGGAGTGAGTTGTGGCGAGCCCTCTTGGTCGACCTGCCCGGCCCACCGGACAAGCTGACGGGGAGTCCGGTTTTGTTGGAGGTCGTGGCGACGAGAGCAATGGGGAAGGACGGGAAGCACCTAAAAGAGGCTTGATACGAGCTCATTACACTGGGTCAAGATAAACGGCACATCCAAGCAGCCGGATGAACGGAAGGTCAGACGGCCCGGTCCCTGAATGGGGAATAATGATGCTGCGGCGCAAGGCACCTGGGCAGTCTTAGCAAACCCGAGACATGCAAAGGCGAGGTGTTTCTAGCTGGAGTGTTGGAGTAGAGAGTGATGTAGCCGCATAGTAGTAGTATGGAGTGAGCGAACGGCATGAGAAAACACAAAGAAAATAAGAAATGCAAAGGAGGGTAGTGATCGAAGCAGCAGGCAATTTCGCTCCTACGACTTGTGAGGAACCCGCCGGACAAATGCCCACTGCGGTCCCTCTTGGTCGTAGGTCTGACATATTTTAAGATTTGTTCTTCGGCTGGGTCGTGGCTCTGACATATGTACATACCCTTGCATAGTGCTAAGGGAAACATTCTGTGTGTCGTGTGGGGTTGCTCCTGGAGAATTGTGGGCTGCTGGTAAGGAAATGACTGATCGCGTTTGGCAGTGTTTTGCTTCCGTGCGTTTAAGGGCAAATCCAACAGGTGGAAGCGCCCAGGCGGCGGGCTTGAGCCACCCTTTGAACGAATGTGAAGGCCGAAATGCAGGGGAAAAAGCCTCAGAGATGAAAAATCCCGAAATATTGGCACCTGGGGACTTGTGCAGGAGCTGCCCTCAACCATTGCATGACCTCATGGCTAATTGCAGACCGAGCTCCCGATCGGATGGGTTCCCGCCTCAACTCCTAGTGAGACTTAAACTCAACCCTCGATGAAAAACCTCTCCACAGCGTGATGCAGAAAACGAGTATGTATCCTTCAACATTAACTAGAACCGGCAACGGGCAATCACAAAATTTGGGATGCTGACAGAGATTCGCAACTGAAAGAAAATGTCTTGGCAGGGGCCAGACCAATCATTTTCCCTGTTCGCCGGCTCCCTGGTCATCCGACACCTGGCAACGACAACACGCGATCAAATCTCCAGCCCACCAGACTCACCCTCCCTCTCCAAGTCATCGCCATCCTACCCCGGCCAGGAAAATCGATCCGAACTGTGGGAATTTGGCAACCCAATCGGGAAATGATTCAAGGATGTATTGGAAACGTCCGTACGGGCCCGCCGTAGGCAAGGCCTGTGGTACAATTCCTCGCTGAGGCTGCGCCACGGGACTCCGTACTGGGATCAAGATGGGGGAGTCCGTCCCGTCCGCCGGCGCTCGTCCCGAAAGCCGGCAGGATCGCCAACGCCGAGATGGAGAGCCTGGGTTGCAAAGGAAACAAACTGAAGTCGTTTTGGTGGTGGGCGCTTCTATTTTCGGCCCCGCGAACCACAAACGCCAGCGCAGATTCCGCGGGCCAACACTGCACAAGCCGGCTACCGGCGCATTGGGTGGTTGAAGCACTGGGAACAAGGCTAACAAAATAACTCCTGTGGGAGGAAGGCACGACCCATACCAGAGAGGAATTCTCCTTGTTTTGGCTCGAGCAGGAATGGCCTAGGTTGGGAAGGAGGGCACCGAATACAAGGCCCCCTGCGCTTTTGGAAAACCCCCAAGCCCAGCTTTGTTTGGCTCGGATCAGGTCGTGGTGTCATCAACCAGAAAACCCTTCCACACCTTCCTCTGCCTATCGGACGGCGCCTACGCCCCGACTCCTCAGAGACCTAGGCGCTACACAGCATGGCGTGTTGTCCGGAGCTCCTACTCTGTCGTATCTGTCCTTCGTTCTTTTCGGTGGCGATTTGATCTTTCGTGTCTTGGATGGGCGCCATGGGGCAGGCACGGGTCTCCTTTCCAACGGATTCGGCGGAATGGAGTAGGGGCACTGAGAAATCGAATGCTGCTTCCATACCGAGTTTGGCCGAGTCACCCGGAAGGAGATCCCATGTCCGGTATGGAGGGGAGGGGAGAAGGGGGGTGGGCGGCATTGTGAGATGCCCATGTGCTTCTTTCATTGTGGTATTCCAGTTCGGCCTCGCTCCGCCATCCCCAACGTTTGTCCGGTGTTTACATTTTCTTACGGGAGCAGTATAAAGTTTTGCGCACTGCGTGCCACATTCAAAACTGTTCTTACCCATCTCTGTTTTTAGTTTGCAGCTCGTTAACCCAACAGCTCTAGACCTGGGCCCCTTCTCGCCAAACCGACGGCGATAACCAGGCTTCCCGGGACGACGACGATATGGAGCCTCATTTTAACGACGACTTGACCGGGCGGCCGGCCTTCCTTCTATTTGGAGACCAGTCGCTCGACAGCCATGGATTTCTAGCCCATTTCTTCCGCCAACCACACATGGGCGAACTCGCCCGGGTGTTTCTCCGTCAGGTTGAGCGCGCCCTCACCAATGTAATTGAGAAGTTGCCGGTCGTGGAGCGAGCGGCCCTCCCCAGGTTCCTCTCGCTTCAGCAACTAAACGAGCGGTACCACCACGCTGAGCTCAAGCACGCAGGCGTCGACGCGGCGCTTCTGACGATATCCCAAATTTCACACTACCTCAAGTAAGTACCTCCTCGGAGGGTGTGTTTGCTGCTCGCTCTTGACGAAAGAGGACATGCTAACGGCCGATTTCTAGTCACACTGAAAAGCACTGCAGCGACATTACACATCCAAAGCACACCCATTTGATCGGCCTTTGCACAGGGCTGTGGGCAGCGGCCGCTGTTTCGCTTGCCCCGTCGCTCCCAGACCTTGTCCATATCGGTGTCCAAGCCGTTCTTCTGGCCTTCCGGACAGGTTCATACGTTCATAGCATTGCACAGCGCCTGAGCCCCACGTCAGACCATTCAGCAAGCTGGACGTACATTTTCCCTGACGTGGATCACAAGGAGGCTGCGATGGAGCTTACAACTTTTCACGAGGCAACTGTGAGTAAATATCTTGGCCCCGGCGCCTTACCTTGGGATCATATTTTGGCTAGAAACGCTGACATTCTGTGTGCTAGGGTATCCCACCCGCTAGCCGCGCGTACATTAGTGCGACATCTCGCACCCGTGTCGCTATCTCTGGGCCGCCCCGTACTCTCGATTCCCTGGTCAGCAACCGAGTCCTGCAGGCTACTCCCATTGCCGTCCCAGTCCATGGACCTTACCACGCCCCTCATCTTCATTCCGCCGCAAATGTGGAGCGTATCTTGGGCCTGGACACATCCGAAGTGAACAACGCCTTTCATAGGACACAGCCGCGATCGCCGGTCATGTCTTGTGCAACCGGTACTTGGCTTCCCGCCGGAAATACCAACACCCTACTGACGTCTATCGCATCGACGATTCTCAACGAGGCCTTGAGTTTTGATCAGGTGCTCGGGGGTTGCATTGATAAAGCTCTGGAGTTTCAAGGGAAAAAGTGCTTTATCCTGCCTCTCGGCCCGACTCAAAATGCCACCACCCTCGAGCGACTTCTTCATGAGAAGGGCTTGGAGGTCACTCTCCGCACTCCTCCCCCCATCACGGAGGAGAGCATTGGTAGCAGCGTTGGGAACCATGGCCGGAACGGGAAGTGCAAACTGGCGATTGTCGGCATGTCGGGCCGATTCCCTGATGCTGCTGACATCGAAGAGTTTTGGAAACTACTGGAGGCAGGTCTCGATGTGCATCGTGAAGTACCCCCAGACCGCTTCGACGTTAAGACTCATTTCGACCCGACGGGCAAGAAGGACAACACGAGCCACACACCGTACGGCTGTTGGATCAAGGAGCCAGGTCTGTTCGATCCCCGGTTTTTCCAAATGTCTCCTCGCGAGGCTCGACAGACCGACCCGATGCAGCGGATGGCCCTCACCACTGCATATGAGGCCCTGGAAATGTCTGGCTACATGCCCAACCGGACGCCGTCAACCAGGCTTGACCGGATCGGTACCTTTTATGGCCAAACCTCGGACGACTGGCGCGAGATCAATGCAGCACAAAAGGTGGACACGTACTTCATCACGGGAGGTGTCCGCGCCTTTGGACCTGGCCGGATCAACTACCACTTTGGCTTCAGCGGACCGAGTCTCAACATTGACACGGCTTGCTCCTCGAGCGCCGCCGCTATGCAAGTGGCCTGCACCGCCCTGTGGGCTCGTGACTGCGATACCGCCGTCGTTGGTGGTCTGTCGTGCATGACCAACCCGGACATTTTTGCCGGACTGAGCGCCGGTCAGTTCCTCTCCAAGAAAGGTCCTTGCTCCACCTTCGATAATGGGGCGGATGGGTATTGCCGTGGCGATGGCTGTGCGTCAGTCATCGTCAAGCGTCTAGACGATGCCATTGCAGACAAGGACCGGGTGCTCGCCGTTATCCTAGGCACTGCGACCAACCACTCAGCGGACGCCATCTCCATCACCCATCCTCACGGCCCGACGCAGTCTGCTCTGTCGACAGCCATTCTTGATGAAGCAGGCGTCGATCCCCATGATGTCGACTACGTCGAGATGCACGGTACTGGTACTCAGGCTGGAGACGGCACCGAGATGGTCTCGGTCACCAATGTGTTTGCCCCCGCTGATCGCCCGCGGCCTCCTGGTCGGCCTCTGTTCTTGGGTGCGGTGAAGGCGAATGTTGGGCATGGCGAGGCTGCCTCGGGCGTCACGGCACTCATCAAGGTGCTTCTGATGTTGGAGAAGAGCCTAATTCCGCGCCACGTCGGGATCAAGCCTGATAGCAGGATAAACGAGACGTTCCCTGACGATCTCCTAAAACGCGGTGTCAACATTGCCTATAGCACTACTCCTTTTCGGAGGAACGACGATCATCCGAGGCGCGTCTTCATCAACAACTTCAGCGCTGCCGGCGGCAACACTGGCCTTTTGCTTGAGGATGCGCCCGCTCAACCACCGGCCAAATCGGACGCTCGCAGCCACCACGTCGTCACTTTGACGGCTAGGGCGAAGTCGTCTCTGATCAAGAATGCTGAACGCCTAGTGCAGTGGCTACGGGACCACTCTGAGACACCGCTCTCCCACGTTGCCTACAGCACGACCGCGAGAAAGCTTCAACACCATTGGCGGATCAGTGTCGCCGGTGCTAGCACTTCGGACATTATCAAGGCTATTGAGAGGCGCCTCGAGGAATCCTCCGAACCCCTCACGGCCCTCAAGCCCCTCAAGCCCGGGAATCGCAAAATTGCCTTAGCGTTCACCGGCCAGGGCTCGCAGCATGTCGGTATGGGGAAAGAGCTGTACGAACACTACTCGGTCTTCCGCAACAGCATCGATGGCTTCGTCGACCTTGCTGTCCTGCAAGGTTTCCCTTCTTTCCTGCCGTTCATTGATGGCAGCATGAAAGATAGTGCGTCGCCCACCGTGACGCAGCTTGCTTTGACATGCTTTGAGATGGCGCTCGCCCGGCTTTGGGCATCGTGGGGCATCAAACCAACAGCGGTGGTGGGACATAGTCTGGGAGAGTATGCCGCCTTGGAAGTGGCCGGCGTGCTCTCCGCCAGCGACGTCATCTACCTCGTGGGATCTCGTGCTGAGATGCTCACCAAGCGATGCAGTCCTGGCAGCCATGGCATGCTTGCTATCCAGGGTGGGATTGACGCCGTCTACGGCGTGTTGAAGGTGTCGCCGGAGCCTGTCCATGTTGCCTGCGTCAACGGCCCCACCGAGATGGTCCTCAGTGGCGAGCGTCGTCCCCTCGAGAACATCGCGGCAGCTCTCCTCCAACGGGGTCTCAAGTCCACTCATCTGAAGGTTCCATTTGCCTTCCATTCCCAGCAAGTGGATGTTATCCTCGATGACTTTGAGAAGCTTGCCGAAGGTGTCACCTTCAATACCCCCAACATCCCCGTCATCTCAACAGTCACTGGGCATGTCATCGACAGCGAATCCATTGACGCCTCCTATCTGCGCAGACACGCACGTGAACCAGTCAATTTACACAGCGGGATCATCAATGCGAAACAATCCGGACTTGTTGATAAGGATACTATCTGGATCGAGATCGGTCCTCACCAGATCCTAGCCAATCTTATCACGTCAAACATTTCCCGGGAAACGGTGGCTGTTCCGACCTTACGCCGTCAAGAACAGTGCTACAAGACTTTGGCCAACAGCCTGGCCAGGCTTCATGGCGCGGGGGTGAACTTAGACTTCAATGAGTACCACCGCGAGTTTGCCGACTCGGTTCGCCTCTTGAATCTCCCTCGATACGCCTTTGATGAAAACAACTACTGGATCCAATACGAGGGGGATTGGTGTCTCACCAAGAACCGGATTCCAGCTGCCGTGGAGGAGGTGCCAAAGGTCATTAAGCCTACCTTCTCCACCACGACCGTGCAGCGGATCGTCAAGGAGACAATCGAGGGCGACAAGGCGATTATCGAGACCGAGTCTGATCTGTTTCAGGAGCAGCTCCGGAACGCTGTTTCTGGCCACATGGTGAACGGCACTCCGCTGTGCCCCTCATCGCTGTACGGCGACATGGCCATGACCATATGCGACTACGCATACAAGCTGCTGCGGCCCGAAGCAAACAAGATTGGCTGCAACGTTGCCAATATGGAGGTCCCCAAGACCCTCATCCTGGACGAGACGGCGGAAACACAAATCCTGCGGCTCAACGTCATCGCCGACGCCCAGCTGGGCTCTGCCAGCCTCGTATTTTCCACGGGAGAAGGAAAGAAGCGGACTGAGCACGCGCATTGCACAGTCTACTATGGCAACCTCGACGAATGGCAGAAGGAGTTCGCAAGGGCCAATTACCTCATTAAGTCTCGCATTGAATTCCTCGAGGACGCCGAGAAGCGCGGCAAGGCCTCCAAAATTGGCCGCGGCCTGGCGTACAAACTGTTTTCGGCCTTGGTCGATTACCATCCACGCTACCGCGGCATGGAGGAGGTCATCCTCGACAGCAACACTTGCGAGGCGACGGCCAAGATCAGTTTCCAGACGACGGAACAGGACGGCACGTTCCATTTCAGCCCCTACCACATCGACAGTGTTTGCCACATCTCGGGGTTCATCATCAACGGCACGGATGCGATCGATTCGCGCCAGCAGGTCTACATCTCGCACGGCTGGGGCTCCATGCGTTTCACGGAGATACCGGATGCCAAGAAGACGTACCGCAGCTACATCCGCATGCAACCGATTGATGGTACCCAGATGATGGCGGGCGATGCGTATGTCTTTGACAACGGCAAGATCATTGGAATGGCTGGTGACATCAAGTTCCAGTGTATTCCGCGCCGAATTCTTGATACCGTCCTGCCGCCACGCGGTGCCTCTGCCGTACCCCCCCGACCCCTGCCGACCATTCCGAGGCCAGTTACTGCGCCCAAAACAGCTCCCAAATCGACCGCCAAGACGGCTCTCAAGGAGGCTCCCAAGGTGGTGCCTTCGAAGAAGAAGACAAAGGAAATGGTGACTCCCTCTAATATCGGAGAGGTGAACCAGAGACTGAAGTCTGTGGTCTCGTCGGTCATGGATCTCATTGCGAGGGAGCTCAACTGCTCCCTTGATGAGCTGGCAGACACGATTGCCTTCGCAGAAGTTGGTGTCGACTCTCTGATGGCGCTTACCGTTGCGGGCAAAGCTCTCGAGGAACTGGATCTCAAAATCGACTCGAATGCCTTCCTTGACTACCCTCACGTCGGTCCTTTCAAAAAATACCTGACGCAGTTCGAAAAGCCCGACCGCCGGAGCACAGTACGGTCTCCGATTTCAGGGGCTTCGTCAGACAATGAAGAAAATGCCGGCGGCGTGGACGATGAAACGCCGGCGTCGCCCGGCGTGGAACCGGATTCCAATGTCACCACACCCCTGGACGACGATGAGAGTGAGGATGACGGGAACAGCGAGGGTGAGGACCAATCAGCGGAGCGTGAGACTTACCCCGGCATTTCGAACCAGCACCTACGGTCCGTTGTCCACGAAATCATTGCTGCTGAGGTTGGTGTTAAACCGCACGAAATCTCGGACGCTCCCGACTTGCCCAGTCTCGGCGTGGACTCCATAATGGGCCTCAACATCGTCGGCAAGGTTCTTGAAAGGACCGGTGTCAAGTTTCCGGGCAACCCGTTCCTGGAGTACTCAACAATCCAGGAAGCGGAGCAAGCTCTGGGAATCCAGGAAATCCGCAAGAAAGTTAAAGTCAAAGCTAAGGCACAAAAAGCAGACGATAAGCCCGTCCCTGCGGCTCCCTCGGAAACCAAACACCCAAAGATTGGGTTGGAGGAGCCATGCCCTCCCAAGCCGCCGAGGCCCACGGAGTTTGTGGACGAATACCCCCACCGCAGGGCTACATCAGTCCTGCTGTCTGGAAAAGTGCACAAGACGGCCAATCCCAATCAGCTGTTCATGATCCCAGATGGCAGTGGCTCTGCCACATCGTACACGCAAATTTCAGATCTCGGGGAGGAATGGTCAGTCTGGGGTCTTTTCTCGCCCTTCATGAAGACGCCGGAGGAGTATACGTGTGGCGTCTACGGTATGGCTGCCAAGTTCATTCTCGAGATGAAGACTCGGCAGCCCGAGGGCCCCTACAGCGTTGCTGGTTGGAGCGCCGGCGGTGTGATTGCGTACGAGATCATTTATCAGCTTGTCAAAGCTGGTGACACGGTCGCAAACCTCATCATTATCGACGCACCCTGCCCCGTCACCATCGAGCCCCTCCCGCAAGGTCTCCACAAGTGGTTTGCATCTATCGGCCTTTTGGGTGATGGCAAACAAAAAATCCCGGAGTGGCTGCTCCCTCACTTTTCCGCTTCGATCACGGCTCTCAGTAACTACGACGCCGCCCCGATTCCCAAGGACAAGTGCCCCAAGGTGATGAGCATCTGGTGTGAGGATGGTGTGTGCCACCTTCCCGACGATCCCCGACCAGAGCCGTACCCCAAGGGTCATGCTCTGTTCCTTCTTGACAACCGCAGCGACTTTGGGCCCAATCGGTGGGACGAGTATCTGGACATCGACAAGATGCAGTTCAGGCACATGCCTGGCAATCACTTTTCCATGATGAATGGATCGTTGGTATGTTCCCCACCGCTTTTACCTTCTCTTTTTTGTCTTTTTTTGGTCTTGTTTTGTTGTGTCTATCATGCTCACTCCTCGTTGCAGGCCAAACAGCTCCAGGGGTTCCTTCGTGAAGCTGTTTCTGGGTGAAAGCTGATGTGGACCGGCGGGGAACAATGCCCGGCTGCCGTTGCAGTGCAGTTGGTAATCCAAGGTTGGCGTGGAGTGTTTATCTTTACCATTGCATTCTCATTTGGCGCATTGGGATATCTAGCAGGACTTTCGGACATTGATAGGACTTTCTTTTCTCTACCGACTTGGCCATTGGGTGATGGAGGATAGATAATGGATTTGGGTTGATGGCAAAGGTGTCTCACCCCGCAGGATGCCAGCGATTCTACTTAATAGGCCCTGAGACCCAATAGCGATTGGTAATTTTGCTTTTGAACAATGATCCTCTGTTTGTTTGTTGCCGTGTTATGCGAGTTCGCCGCTGGGTGGGCTTCACTTTGAGTTCTCCTTTTACCGCAAGCTACCACACAAACACCGTTGCCGACCGTGTTATTGAGGGAGCAAGGTTTATTGTTCGGTTCGCGAGTTGCTGGGACCATTTTGATTATAAGAAGAGTCTATTTCGGGGTGGCAAATCTGTTGTTGGTGAAGCCAGGTGAGTGAGTATTTCTCTTTCTCCAACTTGTGAAATAGGCCATTTTGTCCTCTTCTTTCACTGTTTGTTGCCATTATACTACCAATAATCTCATTCGAGATGAAGCAGAATCCCGTGGTCATCCCAAAACTAACATACCGTTAGGCATGTCAGCTACTGTGTACTACTCATGGGTGTCTCTTCTCATTGCCTGTCTTCCCCAGACGCTCTTACTCCCAAAGTTGTGAGACTGGGTTACTTTATTTAACCTTATCATTACGCCTTCTGCGCTTTCTCTCTGATCAGATCCGGGAACTCACCTGCTATGATTGGCGGGGGGTAGAGGTCACGACAGTTCACCCATAGGTGAGCATTTGAGGTCCATGGGTCATCCCTTGAGTCTTATACAGCTACCAAATTTCATGACTCACTTCAATGATCCAACAGAGGTGGACTGGTTCATTTACAGCCTAAAAGCGTGGTAGTTTCAACAGTATCCTATGATTCTATACTCAGGCTGATGATATAATACAAGATTTGCTAATTCGTGATTAGGCTCGCAAATTGAGGACACTGGATAGGATGGGTGAGGCGCAATCCCACATCGCCCCCGATCCGCTGTTTATTCATGTTTCTATCGTGGTCTAGTTGCGAGAGAACGCACTTGGAGATCTCGTCGCTTTTCACTTACAGGTATTATCACCTTCTTCATCGTCATATTCTAACGGGGTCAGTCCATCAATCCATTCTATTTCATGTTATCACAATGTCGAAGCCCGGATAGTGCTAGTTAATGTTAACGGCTCTGTACAGTACACAATACAGTACACAAAGTCTTGGACACTCGAAGCTCTTTCGGACGGTTGGAGCCCACGCCCTCTCTTCCTGTCGCCTCAGGGAACGCTTCGGAAAGGTTCCTAATCTTGCATCATCGCTGCAGATGAAAATCTGAAGCGTGCTCTTACAACGATGCCCGCCGTCTCCCGTGTTTACCCTAAGCCGCTATCAAAGATATTGCGCTTCGTCATAGCGCTCGATTTAGGACTCCACTCCCACAATGGTCTGCATGTATGTGTATGCACCTCTGGGGAAGTTCGCCGAGGGAGTGATCGTTGACAGAACTTGTGGCCGGAAGGGAAAAAGGTGTAGAGTCCACACGAAGGCACGTTTCGATGGGCCAGTGTACGCTTCCAACACACCTAACCCAGTGGCACGCAGCGGAAACGTTGCCGAGATGGAGATCTAGATTGCGCTAAGGTTAGATCTTGGTATAAGCACGATTTGGATCTAGGCACCCATCGCTCTTCACGGTGACCGCGAAACCTTTTCGCGTCTTGTTATCGCGAGATACGTTGGGGTGGGCATCGCACCGCGAACTTAAGCCTCTTTTCCGGGGAACTTGACTTGCTGGTCTCCGTCGTTGACGCAGCCGCCATCCACTTAGGGCGATTTCAGGCGATGCATCTGGCAGCGATGTTGGTGCTAACAGCTGGATGGCATGCAAATTTACAGCCGTGGCACAGTGAATGGACGTGCGTTAAGCGTTTTGCCAACTGACATTGCTGCTAAGGTTCTCGATATCCGTCATGGTGCAGCCCTTAGGTTCTATGTAGCGTCCCCGATTCACATATTTTCGAGCATCGGAGATGTCTATAAATGCTATGGCACTCCCCTCCATAGTTTTGGGCTACGAATCTTGGTTTATCAGTCAAGAACTCTCACATATTCTTCACTTTCTCTCTCTTACCTCTGAGACCAACACCTTGTAAACAACTCTTACAAAGTTTTATCTCAACCACGCTACTTCATCGAACCCTATACCTATACTTTGATATATACATTCAGCACCACAATATCCGGCAAAATGAATCACATTTCCGCCTCTACTGCCTCGTCAATGTCTGGCCAAGGGTATCTCCCCGCCCCCAATTGGAACGACCCTCCCCGGAATCCCCCGGGAAACAACAAACCCGGGCAGTGCCCGAAGCCAGTTGTCATGCGGGCCGCCTGCGACGCCTGTACTAAGAGCAAGTACAGGTGTGTGGTAGAGGAAGACGGTGTCTGCACTAAGTGCAGACAAAGAAACATCCAGTGTTCGTTTTCCGTCTCTCGTCGCGGGCAACGGACGCACGGCAGCAGTAACAACAAAAACAACAACAACAACAGCGATAACGGCGACAACAGCAATAACGACAACCACACGCCGCCGCCCGCCTCAGCAAACTCTATCCCGGGCGACTTGGACGACTTGCTGGGGCAGGATAATGTGGTGAATAGCCCGTTCGGCGCCCCCATCGATTGGCCCGGCTTGGCCCTTTCCGGGGCGGGAGCTGCTAACGGGGGTGAGGTTGTTCCCGGGACTGGGGCTGTCCCCGGTGTGGGAGCTGTCCCTGCTGCGGGAGCTGTCCCCGGTGCGGGAGTTGTTCCTGCCGTGGGAGTTGTCTCCGGTGCGGGAGCTGTCCCCGCCCTGGGAGCTGTGTCTGGGGTGGGAGCTGTCTCTGGGGTGGGAGTTGTTTCTGGGGTGGGAGTTGTCCCCGGGGCTGGGGTTGCTCCCGGGACGGGGTTGGGTCCTGGGGTAGGATTTTTGGCTGCGCCCAGGGTCGGACTTTGGTATGTGCCGGGCTTCGGGTTTATTCGCGGCACTGAATTCGACCCGATTTTTAGGGCTGCGGCTGGGACCTGGTTCGTGCCCATGGAAGCGTTCCAGTTCCTGGGCTTCTGCAATTTCGACAATGGCGTACAGCCAGATGGATAGGAAGAGGTCGCGAACAGAGAATAGTCTTGCTGTACACAGCAAGCGTACACAAACTATTCTCTAGGCAGGTATTTTTGCTTTTACTTTCTCTGAATTTAGATAGTACATTGTTTTTATTTAGATTAAGAATGATCTAAAACAGTACAACGTATAGTCCTTATAGATATACCAACCTTCTAAGTCAACTATTCATTTACTTCACATGCTCGAAGGGTATAAGAAGCACTAGCCTTCCTGAGATAAACCTCCCGTGTGGTTTCCTGACCTCCATGCAATTACCTGTATAGTGATGGACCACCTTCTTACTCCACCGGAAAGAACATTACATTTCCAGGTGCGTCACTTTTGCCACCGTACTCTGTTAGTTAATTTCATACGCCGTATTTTACCACAACTTCAAGTTGCTGTATAAGACTTTAGCCCAAGGGTAATAGTGATCTAGCCACGGCTGTGTGGGGGTGTCAAGTTCGTAGGGCATGTGGTTAGTATTTTGAAGGAGCTATCACCGGGATTTTAGGTATTTTCCAACTGAGATGACCCGGCGTCGTTTGGTCGTGGGTAGCGAATGCAAAGCTTTGGCCATTGATGTAAATTGTTTCCCAAGTAGTGCTTCTCTCCGTTGACTCGCAAAACAGGATTGAAACAAACGGTCAAACTGTACTGAAGAAGTCCGTACTGAAGAAGTTCTGGCCTTTTGCCCTCAAGAAAATACGAATATTCTCAGAACAGTAGGCTGCAAAGCGCAGGATGGCGTGACATAACGCGCCCCGATAAACCCTCGCGATCTCGCCATGGCCCACCCAGCCACGGCCTACCCGTCCCCGAACATAGTCGGGGATAGCATGGACCAGCCCCAAATCCGCCAACCGCCGTCGTGATCACACCGGCCATGCATTGTGGAGTTGGGGACAACACCCTTTGGGGGTTTTGCGGTTGGGGAGGCAAGGAGGGTGTTGGACGGTGCGCGGCTGCGGCGACCGGATCAGAAGCGGGATGAGAACCACAAGATTGTTGTATCCAGGTTGGATCAGGGGTCAGCTTACGTTTGCCACCATACAGGGGTTTTATTTCCCAAGACAAAAATCCTTTCCCTGGTTCGTCATATTTTTGGTTTGGCACTCACGACAAGGCTAAGAGACCAGCCAGTGAGACGCATCCTCGAATGTAACCCCAGGTTTTCGGAACCAGCGGCTTGGATGTGATGAGTTTGTGAGCGGTCGGCGGTGTATGTGCGTAGACCGCGGGGGATTGCCAAATGAGGAAACTGATGAGAGTACACACGTACAGAGTATGTTGATGTGATGACTTTTTGACTGAGGCTTGGGACGATGCTTGAAAATACGGATACTGTAAGCGATGGATCGTGTGCGTTCTTGGCTCTCAAGCCCCGTTCTCGAAAATGGAGGCTTGGCAAGGATGAGTGTACGGGGCCAAATTCGACACGTTGTCACAATTCCTTTGGGATCGGACAGCCGGGATACCTCGCTAGGGTAAACAAAAGCAGGTGAATGGTCTGAAGGAGGTAATCCTGCTTTACATTAGTTTACATTAGCCATGAGTGTTCATTCTGTGCCCCGGATGAAGTTCAGGCACCGAGTGGAAATCGGACATGATCTCCTCGTCGCCCCCACACTCAGAGACTAAGGTGGAAGATGGTCAGACCCACCAACCGAAAAGCAACTACAGTAACACATGATTGGCCAAAACGCTTCTGTTCATCCCAATTCGGCAGGCGCCTTGACAAGGGTGTAGGACACTTCGAGACAACCATTACACCAAAGACAGTTTCTCAACAGAAATTTGTTTTAAACCAGCCCAATCTCTTCAAAATCACGCGAATGAACTGGAAGTAACTCCCAAAATGGGTTTATAAATGGGGCATCGAAATGGATGGCATGGATGCAAGTAAGGTATATCTCTCTGTCGAGCTGAGCCAAGGATGTGTTCCGCGGCAAAGCTTCATGACTTAAGGGCTTGGGCCGGGCTGCTCCTGCCTCATGTGATTAGGTATACGAGTCTAACGCACTTCTTTTCATCCTACTCTTGGGCATGAATCAGGCATCTAGACTTGTGATCAGCTAGAGCGTTTATTCCTTTCCAGGCCTAGGTGGTTTCACAGTCTACCGTAATGGGCATACCAATGCTAGGGACTGCAAATATTTCTCCTTGCAATGGAGAGACTACTTATGTACCTCTAAGTTAAACTGCAGTGGTATAAACCAAACTGGTAGGTAGGCAAGGTTGGCCTCCGTCGGTGGGCCCGGTCAACCACTACGTAACATCCCCAAAAGAGGAACCGTGGTTCGAACTGTCCAGTCAAACTAGAAGTTGCGTACATGAGCCCACACCGTCACAACAGCGACACCTGCCCACATTCTCGACCGTACTGACGCCCACGGCAAGAGCCCCAACCGCACCGGCAGGAGGTTTTGAGAGTTCGTCTAGAGTTGAACGATTTTGAAAGTTGACAGGTTTGGGGTGGCACATTATAGCTGCCTTAGGAATTGGTTTCAAATGATGCCATTGTAGCTGCCTCGTATTAATTAGATGGACAGACGTGATAGCCGTGAGTTGTGAAGGAACGAGTGACTGGGGGCTTGATCTTGGACGGATGCCCAAGTATTTATACCCGACGTGAATCGCAAATCTCAACTTGATCTTCTTCCTCAAACTTTAAACCCTCCAGCCTCGGTTCATATTTGTCCTTCCAATCCCGAGCCCGAGCTGGTATGTGCCATTTCGGTCCCTCCTCTCCATGCTTTTGTCGCTAACCTTGAGAAATTTTATTTCATCCAGCCTTCTTTTCTCGACACGTTCTGGGCCATATCCCACGACAGTCCTTTCGAACCCCCGAACAACGACTCACACATCCAACGCCTTGCCAGCGCCCGGCCTCAGGCACTTTCTGCCCAGCCCAAACGATCCTCCCCAGAAACCCCCTGGGAACAACAGACCCGGGCGGGGCCCGAAGCCAGTTGTGATGCGTGCGGCCTGCGACCTGTGTACAAGGAGAAAGTACAGGTGTGCGGTGGAGGTAGACGGTGTCTGTACCAAGTGTAGACAAAGAAACCTATTCTGTACGTTTTGCGTCTCTCGTCGCGGGCAACGGACATACAACAACAATAACTGGCCTGGTTCGGCCCTCCCCAGGGTGGGGGTCGCTAACGAATCTGGGTTTATTCCGGAGGCGGGAGCTGTCTCCGCCCCAGGACTGGGTTTGATCCCAGCAATGAATTTGACCCTATTTTGGGGGCTGTAGCTGGGGCCTAGTTTATACCTATCGAAGCGTTTTAGTACCTGCGATTCGGCGATTTCGACAATGGCATACAGCCAAACGAATAGGAAGAGGTCGGCTACAGAGAATAAATACCTAGTCTCGCATGTATATAGCAAGTATATATAAACCATTCTCCAGTTGGGTATTCCCGCTTTAGTTTCTCAGAATTCAGATTGTAGTTTGCTTTGGTCTAGATTAACAAGTATTAAAATTACAACGTATGGTTCTGATGGAAACTATTCCCTGGGACGGTGTTCTTTCTTTTAGTATGCTGGAATCCAGATTGTGGATTGGTTTTTCAAGATTAAGAATTATCCAAAGTACAACGTATGGTTCTGCTAGATATACCCAGCTTCCAGAGTCAACTATTCGTTTCATTCGCATGCCCGAAGTGTATGAGGAGGATTTGCCCTCCTGATATATGCCTCACGTGTGGGTTTGTGCCGGGCATAGGGTTTGTTCCCGGCAATGAATTTAACCTCGTTTTTGGGGCCCTGACCGAGGCCTGATTTCTGTTCGTGGAAATATTTGTTCCCTAGGTCAGTACCTACTAGGGCTTTGGCTATCGCAATAATGTGTCACAGCCTAACGGGTAGGCACCCCTTTATGGTCCTTCTAGAGTTAGACGGTGATGAGCGCGGGAGCAACCAGTCCGCGGTCACCATTGACGAATGGTGTACATTGAAGCGGAATTTGGATTGGAACTCCGGTCCTGTGATAAGCACAATCGTCTACTAGCCGCCGTACCTGTTACTGCAGTACCTTATCTCATAAGCAGTCCCTGAGGGTACTATGTCGCCCGTCCTGGTCTTTGTCCAACACTAGTTTATCACGCGGTAAATAATTACAAGCCAAAGTGAGCCCACATTGAAAAGGAATGTGCCGCTCGAAGCCACGTTCTTTTTCACGAACCTATCTCCTCATGTAAAGCAAACGCACAACACCAGGGGTCGGTCCCCCCAAAGAGGTAGAAAAAACCTGTAAGTTATGTGGGGGTAACAAAATAGTCTTTTCGATGGTGAGGACTATTGCCGTCTACTAAACATCGACATCTGTCCAAGCATTGGCGCCTGTCAAGTAGTAGAGCTGAGAGGCGAACCAGGGTAGCAACAGCCGGAAGAATGTCGCTAATTGAGTGCTGTCGGTTTTAGAGTGGGAACTTGCCATTGCTTTTGTGACAACACGTAGCTGGGGCGGGCGCAACAGCCCCGGGGTCCATCTCCCCTTCATTCTCTTTGCTTCTCGTTTAAGCAGTGGCAGATTAGATTGGGATTGTGTATACTCCTAAATGGGGTGGGATGCTTTAGATACTTTATGCACTTTTGTAAGGATATCAACGTTATCTTTCCGCTTTGGGAGACATGGGTTGCGCCTTATCGGAAGAATTGTATATGGATACCGTATCTCCCAAATCCTTACTGTGTTTTACGGCTTAACGATGATGCGGGCGGTTGGCGGAGTCTTTCGGAATAACCGGCTCCCACGGGTGTAAGAGCTTCGAATTAATGGTTGCTGACCCGCCAGAAGTAGTGCAACCGATGGATCCAACCGGAAGACGTTGTCGAAGCTGTGTGTGACACCTGAACAAGTGCCAGTTCCTGCTCCCGAAGATACAGCTTGCCTCCTTAGGACAGTGATGGAAAGGGTGTCTCACTAGCCTGGTTGGGTACCCCTCCCGCAACCCACTAGGACGGTCAGACGGGAGCGGCTATAGGCATAGCAT